AATGAGGGGTAGGGGGGAGAGGGGAGGGGGGTTTCTAGGGTTTTACGTAGTTGGCCTCCGGGATGGTGGGGGGCAGGGAGCGGAGGGAGGTTGTGTGTATGTGTGTGTGTATTTAGTACGACAGGGAATGGCGGAGCCGGGGTTGGACGGGGCTTTCCACTCCCCGGGGGGTGTTGTTGTAACTCTGTGGCGCCTTGCTCAGACCCCGCTTGCCGCTGCTAAATAGGTAGCCGACGGACTGACCGACGGACTGACTGGATGGCCCCTGGATGGCCCCTTCTCCTTGCCCATAAACTCCTTCCCCCCACTTCCCGACCCCCCGTGCGCCCACATACAAACGTACATACATACATACATACATACACACGCGCCACCAGGTTCTTCTCCCCCTCGTGGGTTTGTTCGACGTGGCCAAGGAGCTGACTCGGCTGGGCAAGCAGAAGGCCAAGTTGGACAAGGAGCTGGGGGGCGTCCTGAGCCGCCTGAACAACCCGGCGTTCATGGCCAGGGCGTCACCGGAGGTAAGAGGAGAAGACTCCCCGCTGCTCGTCCTTTGCGTTGCGTGTGTCTGTGTGTGTGCTTGTATGTATGTATTTGTGTATGTGTGCGCGTGTATGTATGGCGGAGAGGGGGGGGTTTAATGGCGGGCGGGTGGGTGGGTAGGTGGGTTGATTTGGCTGCTGTGTGCGCGCCGTAGACTTATATATCGATAAGCTCACTCCGTTTTTATCCATTGTGTTTATTATGCACGCACACGTTCCTCTGTATGTCGGCCTGTCTGTCCGTCCGTCTGTCTGTCTGTCCGTGCAGTACGTGGAGGAGGCTCGTGCTCAGGAGCGGGAGGCCCGGGAGAAGTTGGCGCTGGTTGAGCTCAAGATCGCCCAAGTGGCGGCTCTGCAGGCGGCATCGGCGGCGGGGGGAGCAGCCAAGTGACGTGATCTGTACATACATACATACATTTTCACACACATACATACATATTCCCCCAGCATGTCTGCCTACATCTCCGAACCAAAGGGGGACACCACCCCCACCCACCCAACCTCCCCCTACCCACCTCACTCACATGTGGTGGTGTTGGTGCTGGTGCTGACGGTGTGTGGTTGCAACTCAATCCGTTGTGACCCTCTCGCCCCCAAACCTTCAACCCCCCACGCCCGTCCGGGAGACTGGCGGGGTGTAACGAAGGACGTAACGGGGTGTAACGAAGGACGACAGGTAGATGGAGGGGGGATGGTCGGGGTGTAGGCAGGTGGGCAGCAGCGGGACCTCGAGCGAGATAAAGGAGTGGCAGTTGTTGTTAAAAAGGGTGGTGCCTGGCGGTGGTGCTTCTTTGCGAACTCCGTGAATCAAGTGACGAGGGAGGGAATATAATATATTCATTACGCGGTCAGTGGTGCGGTGTGGAGAGTTTGTAGGGTTTTCACCACCACCATCACCAGCTGGTGGCAGTGGTGGGGGGAAATCTTGCACCAGGGCATTATTGTACGGCAGCAGGATAGCGTATAATGGTATGTAGTGAAAAGAGCGGAAGGGTGAGAAGGTTCCGGGTAGGAACTCGGGCCAACAAGCACGGTACGTTCTGCAGTACAGCTCGGCCCAAACGTGCCGTACCTATGCAATGTGACAGGAAAGTTAGGGAAGTTGCAACACGGTGAAGCAGAGCAGCGCTTTGCCGTATTCGTGCGCACGTGCGGCAATACAAATTGAGGGGTAACAACGCCTAAGCTTTTAGCTTTTTCAGAATAATTTCTGCTGCATAAAATTTGCGGCTCAAAGAGAAACGCAACTCTACAAAAGTGTCCCCGCTAAAGTGGCTTCCGGGCTTAGGGTTGCGTGTTGTGCAAGTCGTCAGCTCCCGCGTGTCAACCCAGATCCGATCCCAACTCGAAACACGTGTCCGCCTTCACATCTCTTTTGCCCAATAGCGATCCTGTCGCCTCCGCGACCGTCGCTAACACGGCTGCTACGGCTACTACTGCTGCTGCTATTGCTGTTCTCAATGTCAGCGGTGGCCGTTGCCGGTCTCCATAAGGCTCAAGAGAGCGGACTGAGAAGACCGCCGCCGGGAAAAAAGAGTCGTAATAACCTTGGTGCGACACTACTTGCAGGCCAAGAGGCGTCTTCCGTCCATTGACCTGGTTCACACAGATCTCCACACTGAACATCCTTGACCGTTTGAGAAGAAGTGACAGCCGTGACATAGCTTGCTCGTCCTCATACACATGGCACGACTCGGAGGACTTTTAATCTGTCGTGATACCCTTTCCTAAAGCAGACAGTGTTTGTTTGGGTGGGGGGCAGCACTAACAGCTTGGGCGGGATGTGACTGGCTGTAGCTGCAGGGGTGCATGGCCAGCTTGAGGTCTATGTATGTGTGTGCGAGTGTGTTTGTGTGTGTATGTATGTATGTATGTATGTAATCGTTCCCCCCAGCAGCCCGTGGGGTTCCCCGCAGTAGGCTATCGCTCCATGTGCCGGTGGGTTTCTACACCTCGCCCACACCCGCTACCATTGCTACCGCACATCACACATCAACCGCCTCCCCCCCCCACACACACTCTCGGGGGATAGTAACTGCCAGAGGTCGCAACTGCATTTCAATATACACGGTTTCTGTACTGCGTACTTGGACGCACTTGCTTATGGCACTGCCTTTCCGCTGCGGGCCCTTTTGTGCTGGCAGGGGATATGACGCACCTGGTAGGTGCACCTGGTAGGTGCGGGTGGGGGTGGTGGGAGTCAAAGGGGAATGTCCAGACTTACCGGGGGGCATAGATATCCGGGGGAAGAAGGGAAATCTTAGCAGGCACTTCAATCGTTTCTTGGAATGGGACGATAAAAGTGGGACGATAACAGTGTCCTTGCTTAGGCAGAAAGGCCAACAGGCCTTACTTAAGAAAGGCCTGCCGTCTTTTGTGAACCATTTGAGACCTTTGACCTGCGTACGTGTCTGATACTAAATTGCGTAAGACTTGTAGCCAGCTTTGCTCGACCGAGGCAGGGGAAACCCAGGCAAGCCTTAAGTGGGAGATGGAAAAAAGGAAGCCTAGCTAGGCTTTGCCCAGGACCCCCAGGCAATCGCCCAGTAGCCTGAGCGGCAGGGCAGCTACGGCTTACTAAGGACGCCTAGGCGAAGGTCCCCCTAGACAACAACCTAGGATTTTGTCGGTCCCTCCTAGGGCGGGTCCAATAAGCTGCAGTCCATATAAACCAAACGCTGATGGCCCTTTTTATTATTATACTGTCACGTCAAGATCATCATCTGCGGTTGCGATATCGATCACCGCCATATCTCGTCCCTCCTCGTCACATCATGACATGACCTGCAGACCTACCCCTACCAGCCCGCCGACGTCTGTCTACATTTTGTGAAATCCCACGTAAGAGCCTACCCGTTCTAATGCCCACCTATGACCTTATCCACGATTTTTCTGCGACACCAAACAAAATAAGGGTGCAATAAAGGTGCGGCAGCGGAGCGTTCTGCCGTGACTGTGCTGCAAGGCGACCATGCGCACGTGTCACTAGGAGTGAGTAAGATGTTTTCAGGTCATCTTCAGCGGTATGCCGTGGAGGTTGTTCCGTGTGATGTCCGTGTGGAGGGAATAAACTCCCTTCAATCCGGCTGTGCCACAACACAGAGGCCACTTCCCTGTTAAGACCAACCAAGCAACCAACCACACGAAGATCGATGTCGCAGCCGCGCGCCATTTCATTTCGCACCACCATCATGATCGATGACTAGCACACCTACTAGCAAAAGGTGCTCACTAGTTCTCTTGCGACCCTGATGATGAATACCCCTTTCGAACCTGGCGGCATAACTCACACAACGCACACACAAACACACACACCGTAACAAAATCCCTTTTCTCCTCCCCACCACGCGTATACACAATTTCCTTGCAGCCAGGACTTAGGGCCATATTCTTCAAGTGATCGAGATGTATGTTAATGCGATCAATCATCCTGGTAGTCCCCCTGTGTACAACGGGCTCGGCGGCGGCGCAAACGGCAGCGGCCAAACATGGGGACAGCAACCGCACCAGCGCTGCCCGGGAACTCCTTCCGGGAGGCGCCAGTCCCAACCGTCCGCAACCGTAACAACCGGGGCGACAGCCGTCTGGGATACTTTCCGGCAGCAGGGAACGTCACCACATGTGGAGCAGCATCTGTCGCAGCCGCCGTCGTCAGTGCAGCAGCAGCAGCAGATGTGGCTGCCTCTACCGCAAGAGCTGCAGCCGCATGAGCTGCAGGTGGCACTGCCACCGCCACCGCCACCGCCACCGCCACCGCCACCGCCACCGCCACCGCCACCGCCACCGCCACCGCCACCGCAGCAATTCCTTCAAAAGGGCCTGCAGGATCAACACCGCCAGCAGGTCACGCAGCCGGGCGGCCACAGCGGACCACCAACACCATACTGCGGGGGCCCCGGGATCCACTTAGCGCATTCAAGCAACGCGTCGTACGTACCCAGCTGCAATACCGGGTACGATCAAACGCAGTACAAGACTTTCGTCGTGACAACTGGTGTCGGAGACACACATCAGTACGGAGGCGCCAACGGCGGAAATGTCTGCGTCCTCGGCGCTGGCGGGACTGAGGAATACAGCGTGTATGCTGGTAGTGCTGGTGCTGCTGGTGCTGCTGGGGGTATCACAGCTGCAGGTAGTTGCTGCCAGGCGGCTGCTGAGGCTGGATCTCTCTTAGACACGGTGTACGGCAACGCCTACGGTGCCCCTGCAGCACCTCCTACATCGTGTGGTCCGCTAGGGCCAGTAGCGCCGCCACCACATTATCACGACAACCAGTACCCGTGTTTCCAGCAGTACCAGCAGCAGTACCACCAATACCAGCAGCACCAACACCAGCACCTGCATCAGCACCAGCAATATGAGCAGCACCAACACCAGCACCTGCATCAGCACCAGCAATATGAGCAGCACCAACACCAGCAGCACCAGTATCAGCAGCATCACCTGCAGCAGCTGCCGCCACCGCCGCCGCCGCAGCTGCCGCCGCAGCTGCCGCCGCAGCTGCCGTCGCAGCTGCCGTCGCAGCTCCCGCCGCAGCTGCCGTCGCAGCTGCCGCCGCAGCCGCAGTCGCAGCTGCATAACTACGAGCTGCTAAGCGGAGATGGAAGCGTCCATGGCTCTATGGTCGACTGGACCTATCCATCTGGCCAAGGTGGCTTCGACGGTCCTGGAACTAGCGGGGGCAGTGTCACGGCGGCCGCAGCACCCCCCTTCAACCGTACTATTACAACGCAGATTTTGATACCCGCGTGCCAGCAGCAGCCGCAGCCGCAGCCGCAGCCGCAGCCGCAGCCGCAGCCGCAGCCGCAGCCGCAGCCGCAGCCGCAGCCGCAGCCGCAGCCGCAGCCGCAGCCGCAGCCGCAGCCGTCGTATCCAGGCGACATGTCCTCCTCATACACCATGTTGCCGCACTGCACTGCCGCTGGTGCTGCATCCGGTGCGGCCTCGGGGTTCGGGCAGTCTTCATGGCCCACCGCCACCGCCGCCGGAGTCAGCGGTGGTATCGGCGGTGGCGTTAGGGTCAACAAGTGGGCTGTAGCCGCATTGCCGATCCGTGTCGGCGCTACTGCTTCTCCGACCCGCTGTGCTCCTGTCAATAGCCGCTCTTCCCTTGGCAGCAGCGACAGCGATTCCTGTACTACACTACCGGGTCTGGCCCGTGACGATGCTGACGCAAGTGCCAAGTCCGCCGGGGGTGATGGGGGGGCCGTCGTTGGTGATGAAAACCGGCGGGGGAGTGGCGATGGCGGCGATGGTGGTAATGGTGGTAAAAGCGAGTTTGAGGCGTTGTCTGACAGCGGAAGCCCCGATAGGGATGCGAGGACGGACAGGGCCGCTCCTAAGAAACGAGGACGGAAGAAGGCACGGAAGAAGTGCGCCGGCGCTACCTCTCAATTCACGGGGGTTAGCTGGTAAGCTAACAATCTTACATAAAAATGTATGTATATATAAGCAGTTATATGGATGTATAAACACCTGATAGGTAAGATGATGTTCAGACGTGTTGCCCTCAGGTCCTCTTTGCGAGCATGAAGTCAACACACTTGCGCCCTCTTGACATTCCCCGCCCTGCTTGTTCCACCACCTTAAAGCCCATTCTGTCCACATGCACCCTCCTCTTTGCTGTGTCTTAAACGAGGCCCTCGCACATACATACGTCTCGGGAGAGCACTGAGGTTCGCGTATATGTGAGGTTCACGGTCCTCTAGTGTATAGCTTGGCTGCCGCCCATGTCCGCCTTCTTCACCCCGATCTCGTCCCCAAACCCTCAAGCCCGCCGAACACCAACAGCCCCAATTGAACCCCGCCCCGACCCCCCTCCCCCTCCTCCGAAAAGGCACCGAGGAACGGGGAAGTGGGAGGCGCACTTGTGGGACCCCACTGTGCGGCGGAAGAAGAGGACCCAAGGGGGGAGGAGGGCCTGGGGCAAGCAGGTCTACCTGGGGGCATACAACACTGAGGTTGAGGCAGCACGTGCATACGATATGGCGGCCATCGTCTTCTTCGGGTCTGCTGCTAAACCCAATGTGAGTTCAGGGGGTTCAGCCTTTTTGAGCCGCATTCCGCGATGTTGGAATGCGTGTTTTTATGATCTAAGCCGCGGGGCGGGAAATGCCGATGGTTCGCATGCGAACATCTGCCTATGCTCCTGGCAGTGCGGGTGTAACAAACCGAGCGACTGTGTGTGTGTGTGTGTATGTATGTGTGGAATGGCGCATGTTTGCGCCCTCTATGCTGTGTTGGTGGTGCATCTGGCGTACCTTAAAGGATTGTTGCGTGCCGTTTCGTGACCGTGTTTTTCGGTGACGAATTTGTTCCCAGTTTTCGCTGGAGGAGGCGTACGGCGCGGAACTGGCGTCTCTGTCTAAGATGGGCAAGGAGGACGTGGTCAACATGCTGAGGCGGCAGTGCCGAAGCTTCAGCCGGGGCGAATCTCAGTACCGCGGCGTGACTCGGCACCGTGCGTCGGACTTGTGGGAGGCGCGGATCGGCAATATGTTCGGCAAGAACTACGTGGTGCGTGTGGGGTTGGGTGCTTGTGAGTGGTTTGCTAGCTGTGTGGGTGTGGGTGCTTGTGAGTGGTTTGCTAGCTGTGTGGGGGTGGGTGCTTGTGAGTGGTTTGCTAGCTATGTGGGGGTGGGTGCTTGTGAGTGGTTTGCTAGCTGTGTGGGGGTGGGTGCTTGTGAGTGGTTTGCTAGCTATGTGGGGTTGGGTGCTTGTGAGTGGTTTGCTAGCTGTGTGGGGTTGGGTGCTTGTGAGTGGTTTGCTAGCTGTTTGGGGTTGGGTGCTTGTGAGTGGTTTGCTAGCTGTGTGGGGTTGGGTGCTTGTGAGTGGTTTGCTAGCTATGTGGGGCTGGGTGCTTGTGAGTGGTTTGCTAGCTGTGTGGGGTTGGGTGCTTGTGAGTGGTTTGCTAGCTGTGTGGGGTTGGGTGCTTGTGAGTGGTTTGCTAGCTGTGTGGGGTTGGGTGCTTGTGAGTGGTTTGCTAGCTATGTGGGGCTGGGTGCTTGTGAGTGGTTTGCTAGCTGTGTGGGGTTGGGTGCTTGTGAGTGGTTTGCTAGCTATGTGGGGTTGGGTGCTTGTGAGTGGTTTGCTAGCTGTGTGGGGTTGGGTGCTTGTGAGTGGTTTGCTAGCTATGTGGGGCTGGGTGCTTGTGAGTGGTTTGCTAGCTGTGTGGGGGTTGGTGATCACCGGGCGGCAAGCTGTTGAAGGATCCGTCCTTATGTGATCCTTCAGCCTTGTCTCCTTGAGTTGTTTCAAATTGTGTTAAGGTCTGCGTTTAGGGCACATGAACCCGTGACTCAGCCCCACATCCCCAACCCGGTGGCTGGTAGTTGGACCCACCCCGCCTCCCCCATCACCCCACCCTCACTACCCAATACGATGTGGTGCAGTACCTGGGGCTCTTCGAGTCAGAGCAGGCGGCCGCCATGGCGTACGACTTCGCCGCCCTGTACCGCGGCGGCCCAAGCTCCCTGACCAACTTCGACCCCCGCAGCTACCTGCAGGGGAGTACCGGTAGGACAACAGCAGCGGCAGCAGCAGCGGCCGCAACCGGGGTGCCCAACCTACCGACAGCAGTAACCACGATGTGACAGTTCACTGATTCCGTCCTGATGCACATGCTTGCGTTGTCATAGGGGTTCTTCTTTCCCCCATTGGCTCCATTCATCTTTCAGTTTTGAAATATACGCACGGCAATAGTGCCAGGGTGCCTTGAAAAATACCGATATTCTGAGTTCATTGCACCCTTTCGGCCGTTCGTTCACGCCTCTGAAGAGGTACTATTTCCGCACCCCTCTTGACGTTCTCGTTCTCGTTTTCACATCTTTTTTACGGTCGACTATCCCTGGCAATTATTTAGCAAACCGACCCGGCCCGACCCCATGGAATGTACATCTGCATGGCGGGTGGCAGCGATTACTTCCCCGACCTCTCCCCCCGCCCCTCCTTGCAGGCACCCTACTTCCCTTCTCCTGGCTTCCCGAGGCGGTCAAGTTGGGATTCGCCAAGTGGCCAAAGACGATTATGGCGGTTGATGACCAAGTGGTCGCTGTCGGAGGTCCTCAGCAGCTGGCGGCCAGGGGTGTTGATGGCGGCGGCAGCGGCGGCGGCGGCAATAATCAGGCGAGCCACGCTTGTGTGCATGCATGGATGGATGCACGGGTGTATGTATGTATATATGTATGACTTAGATTACACTGTGGGCCGCGAGCGCCGGGGGCCGAAGTCGAAACACAGCGCAAGGGTCGGAAGCACACATTACAAGTCGGTTAGTCTTGTGTTCTCCCGACCCCGACCCCGACTCAGACGTATGTATGTATGTATGTGGTATCAAGAATGCCTTTGGATCGTTCTGGGTCCCAGCACTGCAAACCTATTGCCCACCCCACCTTCGTTGCCACCCACCTGATTGCAGCTTGGCAACAACAGCCGTAACGTTACTGAGTCCGGTCGTTGGGCGGCGGCGGGAGTGCTGGGGCCGAAGGAGGGTCAGCAGATACCGCTTCTGTCAGCCCACTACTGCCTCCAGCTCAGAAACCACCAGCCGCCGCGGGACACCCCGCAGTGACTGGCCCACTGCAGGTAGCAGTAGCAGCAGCAGCAGCAGCAGCAGCAGCAGCAGCTGGTGTCAGCGGTCCGTCATCGTCGTCGTCGTCGTCGTTGTCGTGGTGGATATGCGGGGTAGGCCGCGTGTCGTGTATGCGCCAGGTGATCTGTACCGGGCAGTACGTAGTGGTGATCCAACTGCAGGCGCCGCTGATGGCAAACTAGCGATCACAAAGCTGCGAGAGCGTCAGGCTTTTGTTGCTCACGAATTGCGGCGTCATATCATTGGCCAACAATATTATGGCTGCGAATGCCGTACTTATGCTGAATGGATCGTGTTGATGTTGGCGATGCGGGTGACATCATTACAGGAGATATGGCCAGTGTTGAAATCGAGTGCGTTGACTGGCAGGTGGTCCGTGAATGTGTCCGTTGGGAACAGTGTGAGACCGTGGCTTCTCGCGGCGTGCGTGCACTTGTCTTGGAGAACGCGGCCAAGGACGTGCTGTGATCCCACAGTCAATTTTGTGCGTCATCACGGGTATCGAAGACGCGCAACATACTGAAGCCGTAACTTCCAACGGGGTATGAGCAGTCGACGTGAACAAAGAGGCACGGCGGTCGTTTGCCGTGCTGATTATCAGACCGCATCTGGACCTTTGGGTCCAATGTCTCCCGTGGAAAATAGGGTGCGATGCGGCTTGCCATGCCTAAGACCACACAGACAATTCCTGTGCTATAGGGTTGCCGTACGTTTGTTGCCAGGATAGTTCATGTCTTCTCGCGCCACAGGGCCCACCAAGAACGATGGCAGCGGTACGGTGACAAACGTTGTGACTAGCTGCGGCTTGCCTTACAGCCTTTAAAGACCAAAAAACCGCCGTCAGTTGTACGGTGGAATCAATTTTCAATATCTATAGTGCATGGCGTCACGGCTTTGACGGACACCCCCGCACTCGTGCGGCACTTGTAACTTGCAACTTGCTTGCCTTACGGCCAACGGCTGGTGGGCACTAACAAGTCCCTCGTCCACTAAAGAAAAAAACAAAGGCGTCCGTACCACCAGGCCAACAAGGGTCTCGTAAACCAAGCGCTCCCTCAACACAAATGGCACCAATCCGTGCAATTACACGGATGTCTGTCCAAACCAAATGCCACATAACGGAATTCCCAGCATTTCCCCCCTTACACAAGGACACGTTTCATTGCGGAGTGGGGTAACTTCCCGAAATGTGTAGTCATTGTGCTGCACATATGCCAGTGGCAGCAGCAGGCTTACTTTACCACTGTTTTACCCAGAAAAGTTCCCCATGTTGATTGCATTACACGAACGATTCGAAAGCCACCACGACGAAACCCACGACTCCACTACGGACTCAGTAGGGGGTTGCATCTAGGTCGCCAAAAGAGCAAAAGCCAACAGGTGGTAGCCTTTCAACCACCGCGTTGCCGCAGTCAAGAAACACTAGATGGTAACCTCTTAAAACGAGGACAAGGGCACACCGCCCGCAAAGTCCAAAGCCTGGAATTCATGGGCGGCCCCAAGAGGAGCGCGAGTACCCTTGCTCCCAGCCAGACAGCCAAAGCCATGCAACGAAACGAAACGACGTCTTAAGACCGGCACTCCCACAAACAAAGGCACACACTCATATGCCGTTCCGCAGCTTGTAGCTCAGCAACATGATTGACACCACATACCGCTGGACACCCCCGGAGGTGCCGCCGCGTCTCCCCAAGCCTTTCAAGCCAACCCCCTTCTTTTCCACACGCAAAATCGGGCACTTAGGGTTCGAGGATAGCCCCACAATCAAGACAGGAAAACCCACATTCGTACTGCACCTGACGCGCCGTGCCTCACATTCGTATCGGTCGGAGATCATGGCAGGAGACACACACTGTCTCTTAGTCTAAATATGGACTGCACCACATAAGCGACACTGCTATCAGGGGTCGTACCCCATCCTACCGCTCAGCCGCATCTTTGATTCTCAGGCCTCCCCCCCCGCCCCGTTCCTGTCGCTGCAAAACCCGCGCTTGCTGCTGTCCTTACAGCTCCCACGCGAAACCGCTTTACAACACGTCAAGAAAGAAAGAATATCGCGTCACTCAGTGACATGTATCACTGTTGCGTGACATATTTCTTGCACCGAGCATTGGGGGTCAATTGACCCAACACAGCCGAGCGGCGTCTCCCACCAAAACCGTCTCCATGCAACAACTCTGATCGGGGCCACCCCGCTCCTCCATCTGCCTGCACGCCCTCAGTCGCACACGACCGGTTGCATGAGTACTTACAGAAGTGATGCTCTAGTAGCTATGGCAGCGGGACCCAGGCGCTGCGGCCTTCATATCTGTCCTAACCCTCTTCCCATTCGCTCCGCAGCCTGTCTCAGACTAACGAGGGCCAAGGCCACCGCATGCGTACGCGGATCACCATTACAGCTGCCGCCGCCGCCACCGTTGCATCGGTGAAAGCCTATAAATGCGGGGCCAAAGACGCAAAGCGCCGCAGCGGCCAATCTCTATTATTAGGAATGTGGATGTTCTCATCCATATGTGTGCACACACCGAACAGCAAAACGGTTTGCAAAGTCTTCACCATGTTCGGAAACCCATCATGCATTCCAATCTCCTAAACGTATATCAGCCGTCTACCGGACCACCCGCCTTAAGCGCCCTCTGCTAGATTTCAACCCTCCGTGACGCCGTTGACGCCCCTCCAAAGTTGTCCGCCTGGACCTGACCCCGAGGTGATGTTGTTCGTGTCTAGAATTTCCACACCGGCCTCATGCCTCACGCCGCCGTGCGTCCCTTCCACCTTCGCACTCGGCAGATCCGTAGCGGACAACGGGCATGGGAACCTGCGGCTGCGCGAGTGACAGCGCCGTCATACGCTGGGCCGGCTGGCCGCCGGCCGCCGCCGCCGCCGCTGCGGCCGCGGCCGTCCGGTACGCGACAACCGTCGACCGGAGAGTTGGACCCACGCGGCGGCAGTCCTTGACTTTGAGCTCCTCCAGGAATGGCAGGCTTGACGCAAGGTGCGCAATCCCTCCCTCAGTGACGCCATCACCTGCGTGACAACGACCAAACCTCCACCTGGTCAGATGTATTTGCACCATCGCCGCCATGTGGACATGTGGCAAATCGTGGTCATGGCCAAGGCAGGCCACTAGGCGATTTCAACGCTATAGATGGACATAAGTTTGGACGGCAGGAGGCCACAAACCGCCCAAAGCGGGATTACCAAATCTTCCAGCTGTAAAGATTACAGCTTTAGGCTATTAATCCACATATTTAGGGACCCTCCGGCCTTCCTGCTTGTCCCTACCGTCCCCACGCCTTGATAAATGCTCTAGCTGCTGCTCAGTCGCAAGGAGGTCGCACTTCCCACAAGGCCACAAGGCCCCGTCACACGCATTACGTGGGCTCGAACGCCGTCCACGGACCCCCGTTACCCTTACCTAGAGCGTACAGCTTCAGCCGGCGCAGCCGAGTCACCGCCGCAAGCGCCGCCACACCTCCGTCTGACACGGAGCCTAGCGCACGCAGCTTGAGCTCCTCTAGGCTAGGTAGACGGCACAATGCGACCGCAAGGTCAGACAGATGGCTGTCCACAAAGCCCGTAAGGTCCTTAATTCGCAGGATTTGCAGCGACGCCAGCCCATACAGAACCTCACAGTGAAAGCCCAGAATGCTCGCGCCAGCGTGGTGGAGTTGTGGTAGCATCACCGGATACAGCAGCGGCACTGCCGTATGGGAGACGATCAGCTTGCGCAGCCCAGCCTGCAGCGACAACGCCCGCAAGTTCGCGTGTGACGCGCAGGCCGAGAGCTTCAGGTTGCGCAGCTGCGGCTGAGGCAGTAGCAATGCAAGCGGTGGTGGCGATGCACACAGGCTGCTGGGACCGTAGAGCCGCAGGGTCTCGAGGCGTCGTAGGACTTGCACTGGCGCCATCGGGGCAGCGCCGAGGCCGCTAGTACCGCCCCCAACCCGCGACGGCTGGCTGCCGTGTGGAGATAGCAAACTGTTATTGTTGTTCACAGCGGGGGGTGCCGTCCACGTGGCAGCCTGCGCCGCGCCTTCCCGCTGCGCCTGCCCCTGCCGCAGCGCTAGTTGAGGTTGAGGTGCGGCCGCCCTTTCAGTGGGCCTCATGCAGTTGTGCGGCCGCGAAGGCTGCGGCCGCGACGTCGCCTCGTCCCCGCCCTGGGATGTCCCGCTGAGGCTTTCGTAGCTCTCCTCGTCATCACCTTAGTTAGCAACGGGGCCGAACGGGGGACAAGATGATTAGGTGGCGTGCGCAAGAGCCGCCGCACGTTGGAGTAGTTGGTGGCGAGCGAGAGGAAGTGCATAAATGGCTCCGGAATGACTAAGAACCTGGCGGAACCAGGCGGACAGCATGACGGTCAGGACATGACGGTCAGGACATGACGGCGACATCGCAAAGAAGTGCTACGGGGCTGCTTGCTGTTTGGCCTCCACCTACAGTCTGTAGACTGCGGTCTTCCTTCGCATTTCCCGCGCAGTCCCTCCGCCCAATCGGCACGCCCTGGTCGCCCCTATACAGTGCTGAACATGAGTCCTGACTCACGCCCTCACCACCCCTCACCACTGCCCGGGCCCCGCTCACCACCCCTCACCACTGCCCGGGCCCCGCTCACCCATGCTGCTTGACAGATCCATCTCCTCAACCTCCGCCCCAAGACCCTCCGCCTGGGCCCCCGGCGACTCCGCATCGTCCGGTTGCAGCGAGTCAAGCCCGGCCATAGCCAGGTGCCGCAGCGCATGAAGCTGCGCTAGCCGGGAAAGCAGCTCCCCATCCAGCTGGAACTCTTCGCCAAACAGCTCAAGCTGCTCCAGCCGCCGCAATTGTGTGATGCGCGCGAGGCCTGCGAAGTGTGGCGAAGCATGCTACAATAAGCCCCGGAAAAGTCAAGCGCAATGAAGAGTACGCGCTTGGGTAGTGCCACAGTAATGTCTGCTGTGGTGGTGGTGGTGGTAAACGTGGCCATTATCGGTAAGGAACGGCCATCTAGCAGCGATACGCAGAGGCCCCATGAATAAGGAGGAAGTACCTGCAGCTGCTTGTGCGAGTACATGCGTGTAAAACGGCTTTTCCCCCAGATGAATAGAAGACGCCAACATAAAAGTATAGACTGCAACCTATGGACCGTCCAGCGGCGCCTGGCCCTTCGCAGGGTAACGAAACGCTCTTCGGACGGCTCAAGACTGAGCCCCAGCAGCCAACCGAGTCCTCAGGACTCAGCAACCCTGCATAGCACCAAGTCGCCGCCACCTCCAGCACCAAGCCCCTCATGACTTCTCGCGAGGTCCCCACCTTTGTTACTGGGGCACCGCTCCTCATCCGCGTCTTCGTCTTGGATGTGCAAACGCCGCAGCGTTGTAATGCCCATGATGAGACGCAGCATGTCATCATTGACGCCGCACTCGTACAGGTGCAGTTCTGCCAGCTGCTTCTGGTACTTGACCAAGCCCCCCATGACGCGCTCACCAGCTCCCGACTCGCCCCAATACGCGTACTGCAGAGTCAGCTTCGTTAGGTGGTGTAGGCGAGGCAAGCTCATGACCATGTCCGCGGTGGTGTCACGAATGTACGACAGCTTTAGCACGCGGAGGCCCGTCAGGCTGCCTAGCATGAGCTGCAGCAGGGGCCGCCGCAGGGGCTGCGCGGAGGAGTTGGTGTCCAGCCTGAGCTCCTGCAGACTGGGCAGGCGGGCCAGCGCAGCTGCCTCTGTCTCAAGCAGAACGGTTTTGTCGACAGTGACGGCTACGGCGCGCGAATAGCAACATGCCGTTGCGAGGAGGGACTCGGTGAAGTCGAAGGTCTGCGGAACCGCACGCGCCCCGCTGTTATAGCCGTACTGCTGGAAACGCGACTCCGGCTGCCCATAGCCGTTACTGAACCCGCCGTACTGAGCTTGCTGCTGGTGAAACTGCTGTGCGGCGCCCCGGTTTTCCCCAAACGTCAGTCGGGCAAGCTGTGCGCCCTGGTCGGACTGGGCTGTGAGGAGGAACATCGTCGCCGCCTTCACCTCCTGCTGACTGCTGAACAGAAATTCTAGCGAGGCAGTGCTTGGGAAACGCTTGAGAAGGTGGGACGTCGCTAAAGCGTGGAAAACTGGCGGCGATGTGAATGCTAACTTGGCGCAGGCGCTGTTGACAAGGTTGCGAAGAGGCGCGCATACAGTCCTCAGCGAAGCCCGGTCCGCAGGAGGAAGATGTGGCAGCACGGATACGAAAACCTCCTCCAGCGACCTCTCACGGGACGGCGCTTGCAGCATCAGAGCCATTCGTCCTCCGGCCTGATAACTACAGCAGCCAACGACGCTGACAACCACAGACGCCTTCACAGACCTTCCCTCCAAGTTCAGGAGAACTACCACACGAAGAAGTCCTGGCCAGCCCGCTTGAACTTAATAAAGCATAGGAAAGAGACCACTGCCGACCCCGGTTGCTTCAAACAATTCTGCCTTTTTCTTCCTTATCGGGGTTCCTGAAGTCTATGCATGCGTAGTGCTTTCCCACCGTCAGCAATAAGCACTAACGAAGCTGATTCATCTGTTAAGCTTGCAACCGAACAAAATTACGGGAGCTAAGTTTCGACACACATATCAATGCAATAATATACTTCTTTTGCACCCGGTACTTGTTCTCATGCACAGACAGTCTGACTGGAAAAAGTCGGGCAAAATGGTTCGTAAAACCACAGCAAGGAGCATTTTTTAAGAGCAATTTATCCGATTTTGTGATGCAATTCAATACATATTTCAGCAACCAATTTGTTATTGGAAACGTGAAGTTTGGCAGAAACCGGTTGGGGTTAGACATCTGTGGAAGGACCCCAAAGCCAAAACCAGAAGTCATAGGAATAAGTTTCAGCATTTCAGGCTAGCATGTCTATGGAGGCCTAGGAGCTCTGATCACAGCGCCCGGTTAGGATGTCCGAGGAACCTTGGCAATGGCAGAAGTGAGAACCCTTCAGATGGAGCTTCTCTATCAAGCATATATCAATATGAACTGTATGCGATTACTGGCAGAACCACTTTTATGGTGGTGGGGAAAGCCCACCTTGACAGGGTCAAGACAAAAACCCACTTTCTACCTTGTAAGGGACTTATCGCTTTCATAGTGAATGGAATCTTTGGTGTAAAGCTGTGTGCGTGGGTTCTGGGGTCATGCGGATTGGTGAGGGAGGTTAAGCCCGATTTTTATCCGATATAATTAATTTTTGTTTACAGTTATTATACCATGTAATATAAATATTATTGAACTTAACTCCTGATATTGTTTCTCATGAGACCGATGTCATGTGCCGCCATCTGAATTAAGCCCGAGCTAACGGCCTTCCGATTCAGTTGGTTTCAACTACGGTATGGTAGCAGCAGTCCTTGCTAATTTCCCCATCACTAATTGCGAGGCCTGCAAGGCTGTCAGCCGCAGGTGAGGTCCCTGGGTCAGTTTGTGACTCTGGTAATTCTATCTCGTATGGACAGTCAGCACCGCAGCGGTACCAAAGGATTAAGGCATTCTGGCACCCACCAGGTTCAGGAAATAGGACGAGGTGCGTGCCCCTGGCTGCCTATGAGAAAGCGCATATGATGTGTGAAACAGGGGGGTATATCTTCGCCCGTGGCAGCTACCCTGCGAAACCCTGCCTTCCCCAGTATTTCGGGGCACCCTCATCCAGTCACTGTAGTCAACTTCACAGTGGATCGCTTAGGTTCCGCACCCACCACCAGCGGAATCTGTCGGGTCGACAGCGGCCCAACTCCATTCCTGTCGGCTCGCAGGTAAACTTTATCCCAGGTCACCACCGTCCATCAACTAGGGGCGCAATCGGAAGGATTTTTGACCCTAACGGGTATCTATCCCGGGATCTCCCGGGGGCAATGGTCGCACGTCACCAGTAGTGCCTAACCCTAGTTTATATGTATGCTTGTGGTGGTTGCATGCGCTGGGTCCGCTGTGTGCCTTGCCATTCCAAGCCTTAATTCCTCAGAGGCACGAGCCAATAACACCCAATATGGGTCCGACCTATATGGACCTATAACTCAGCAACATGACAGCCCACGAGCATGGTAGCACACGTTCCCCCGATAGTGTCTTCTCTCTGTGGAGGACATGGTTAAAGGGACAACGCTGTTACCCAAGGCTATAAGACGTTTGTCAACTTATGCTAATGCTGCTAATTCCTTTGTCCGGTTGGTCTTTCGTGAAGTGTTTCTGTTTGCTGGTGTGAAATCCTTTAGCCCGGATGCATGCCTGGATTGTACATTCACCTTCGGGGAGACGAAGGGGTGTCCCCAAGTTGTTCTCCCGGTGCAACGTCATACCCGTTTTGCGTCACAATCGCAGGCGGAACATGCATATGGATTGGCATGCGTTGACGATTACCCTGGTTGCTGTCCTCACCTGTTTGCTGGCACCAATTTCCCCAGAGTACAGAGGGCGGACGTTTGTCAAATTTCGCACGCGTACGAGTTTACCTAGCGATCGAGCGGCTATAAGTTCTCAGAGATATTTCCCGCAGACGAGTCCCGCCCTTCCCTTATCTCCTATTCGTTACTCTACTAGTATGTTGTATTCCGGCGACACCAAGCTGATATGGGCAGTGCAGTGGGGGAATAGACAATGTAGACCGCTATATAGGGCTACCTTTCCAGCGAAAATAGCATAGAAGAATGATGTAGGTGACAGAAGTGTACGGAAGGGCAGTACTCGCAGTACCGTCCGTACGCGCGATGACCATGCGGAGTCCCACTTTCCCAAATTGGTTAGTCTCCCACATGGCTCGGCTTGAACCCTTCCTTCAATCGGTATTACTGTTTTTTGTACTCACCTGGTATTTGTCGCATTGAAGAGTGAATTTTTGATGTTTGAACACTTTTCTGTTCGCTGGCAAAAGCCATGGCGGTACTAGGCTTGCAAGCTGCCTTACTTTTCTTATTAGGAATAGCACTTCATGCAGCACGAGGAGACTTTTGCCTGGACTCTGGAGGCACTGACCCGGGGGCGGCCACGATTTGCCATGTGGATTTTCTGGACAATTGTTTAGGGAGAGAACTGACAGGGGATATTTATGTCATTGGCAATGGAACGTCAACGTGGGACGTGGGTGTGAGTCCTTTGAGCTTTGCGCCCGGTGAGAGCCTGGACACTATGCCACTCCTTTTAAAGGAATGCTGCTTGAAGTGTCCTGACACATTTCGGGCCATCCTTTGGCAGATGCAAGGTTGTCAGTGTCCTGCCTTCACATTTCATTGGAGCAGCCCTCTTTGAATGAAATGCAGCCTCATCCAAACAATTACTCAGCATTGCTCCATCCACCTTTTCTATTGTCTCACGCGAAAACTCCACTTTCTTCTTTGACGTTGCGTGACGTGGAGATTTCTCTGAGCTGCAAGCTTTTGCTTATGTGGCAAGAATATCTATGCGGCGTGCAGCTTCCTGGGAAAACTTTGGTGAGATTATCGCGTACAGCTGCAGATTTGCTTTCCTTAAAGCTGACCCGTGTTAATGACGTCTTGTTGGGTTCACTTTGGCAGATTCAAGACAACACTGTTTCTATTGTCTCTTGGATGGTAGAGGGCGTATCTCTGGAGCGTGTACTCTTAACGTGCGACCCGGGCGACACGACCTTTTCTCCTATCTGCTCTATGGCGGTGGTGAATGAAGTCTCCGATATCCTGGAGGCTTCCAGTCGACTGCAGACACCTTATCTCCCCCTTGTGCTGGTTGTCTACCAGGGGCTGTCCTTCACCGACTCGAGCTGGCCAGAGGAAGGCTTGCGTATCACAGCCAACGTAACGCTGAGCGCAACCCTCGGCAGCTATGTCACCATTAGTTTTGGCTTGAAGACCGTACTGTTCACGGTCGACAAGAATTTCTCCAGCACAGCATTTCTATCATTCCGTGGGTGCATCCTTGTAGACCTGCCGTTGAGCTATCTGCCCGTGCACCACCCCAGGCGCCCCTTCGGCGTGCTTTCAACGGCGTTATGGCCTGTGTACAGGTATGTGTCCTGGGCTGATGCACGTGCCTTCCTACGAAACTAACGGTGGAGGGTTACTTACGCGCAGGGAGGAGGTTGCTATGGGGCTGTACAGCTGTACGCTGATCCTGACACACGAGGAGTTCAAGTTCTGGTCCTTTGTGAGTAGCAACGGGCTGGAGGAAGGAGGAAGGGCCATTTCACGATTCCCATTTGGTTGGTGCATGAGGCAGAGGGCGAGAGGGTTTTGCTGGGGGGGCCATGAAAGCACGAGTGCATTTGTCCGGGGCACCGGTGCGACGATGGCCCCCGCTATTTATTGCTTTTGCCTTCGTGCGATGCAGTGGCTCTCGATCCTGGTTTCGCCAATTCCAAGCGTCAGGGCAATGGGAAACTGGACGTACGCAAGTAAAGTGACGGTGAGTGCTCGGGGCATGAGCTGCTGTGCCTGAGAGAGCGTTTATGGGATTTGTCGCCGGCACTTGGTGGTTTTGCAATTCCATCAGGGTCGCCGCTATGGGCAAAGCGTGCTTCTGTGTCAAAGAGTGCTGTAGACGAAAGACTGACTTTGTCCGTGCTTTATGTCTATACGACCGACCGGTGTCCGCTGTGGATACGGATACGGTGGTCTGGAACATATGAGGCGCGTAATGATTCACCCGCGTGGGTCCCATGAGTGCACCATATCAGTAATGCGGATTTGAATCCGGGCTGAGCAGCTAGCCAGACCAAGAACCGGGACGAGAAACCCAAAACGCGTTCGTTACAGTACAACTAATATGAACCAGGCACCGGGGACGTGGACATATGGTTGGGGAGAAGAGACGCCCAGCCTGCCTGCCAGAGCCCGCATGCTACTTCGTGCGGCCCTTCCGGGCTACCGTGCTCTTCCGCATTGGTAACCAGCAGGCAGCCGACGGCCTCGCTTGGGTTACTTTGGCCCCACGCCTAACCCAGCGAAACATCCCCCGTGCCTCTAAACAAAATCTAGCCTCTCACCAAGCCAGGAAACCAAAGTTCGAAAGGGTGGGCGGGTGGGAAAGAAAGACCGCCAAATCCACACCGCTGATCAATGGACAATAACAACGGCAGCTAGCAGCTGTTCTGGTAAAGAGAGCTCGTATCAACCAGCAGCCGAGTCCGAGATCACCCGGAAGATAATTAGACAAGACGAAACACCGCCGAGCAAACAGCAGTTCAAAATAACAACCAACTAACCGCACCGTACAACGCCGCTCTGACGCCCCTCTTCAAACCACATTTTCGGCTACGCCTAAAATAAGATTTTTACAGCAGCTACACAGGGTAGGGTGCCGTCCTGATACGGTAGGGTGCCGTCCTGATTTGCTTTTGCTCCTTACGTTTTTTGCAAATTTGCTTGATTTTGAAGTGCGTCCTTGCGTTTGCAACCCCCGTATCTTTGTGTGCACTGCACTCTCCCCTGATACAGCTTGGGACCTCTGGCGACGACTTCATTCAACTGGAGAATTACTTTGGGCGATACACGACACTTCACGACGTCCGGTACCAGGTTTCAAATGAGCTGTATGCAACACAGCAACGCAACAACATTCTCCAGATTACGAATGACGAGGCAGTGCCCCCGACGGTGGTCTTCCAGACGCGCAACAGCAGCGATCTCCTAAGCGCGCTGTCGAGCTCACCCAGCGCGACGGCTGCTCAGCACGGCCAGTACATTATCCTCACGGCAAACCTGACAATAATGAACGAGTCTCAGTGGCCTCCGGATGGTGCCCCCATACGTTATCCAACAACGATAACCACGTGGCCTTCGTCATGGGTCGCATTCGACTTGCGGCAGATGCGCAATGCGTTTAAGATTCTGGGGTCGACGTCTACCACCATCAAAAACGTGGTGTTGCTCAATCTTGCACCCGGACCGTCGGATAGCGAACTCGCCGGCCTGACCACAGGGCTCTGGGCATTCAACTTCAGTTGGTAAGTTGGCTTTTGCTTCCAACGGAGGAGGCGTTTACGATGTGACAAAATATGATTCTCGATATGCGTGTTGGCACCACCAGACACTACTAGTTCGCATGTCAAGAGACCTTACAGGGTGTTTGCGCTATAAAGCATGCGATGTGCGATTTCACCTATAACCTTTGATTGTGCCCTTTGATTGATGATTGATGTACCGCTGCTACCCAGCAATTAACCCGCAAAGTTGAAGGGGCGTGGTTGTGCCTTCCCTGTCGTCGGCGGTTACCCACAGGGGCAACGCTGACTACCAACGGCTCAACTTGGACAACGTGGTTATGGTGGTTCCACGAGAGGAAGTAAACTACTACATCACTACCGCTGTCGATCAGAAACAGACGGACACCTGGATTTCATCATTTGAGGTGCACTCGCGGATGCAGATACAGATTTTCAAAATAGCACCGTACTGGGGTTGATGTCGGTGCTCCTCTGGGTGCATGCAGTCCGCTTACGTATCGGTTTGTTGTTCGGTAGCCCAGCTACCTACCCAGCTACGGTAGCTGGGCTATCCTAATAGTCTTTCCTGTTGTTTCCTTGTTTCCTTACCACTCTGTCTTACCACTCTGTAGTAGTAGGCGGGTATTTCGGTATTGTATGTGTAGATCCGACCCTTCTGTACCCCCCCCCCGACCCTTCTGTAAACCCCCCGACCCTTCTGTAACCCCCCCCCGCTCATTCTGTAATCACTGACGGGGTTGCTCTACGCCCGCAGGTGCTTTCACAAGATACAGTCAACCGCTCGTGGGTGCAGTTCAGGTCGCTGGCGACAACGCGGTTCATCGCGCGGTACTTGAACATCACTGACACAATACCCTACGTGTTTGACAGCGACTCGCTCAACATTACCACCGTGTCAGGTCGGACCTTGCGTGAGGGAGGCTCCATGTGATATTTGGCATGTTAGATTTGAGTGTTAGAGGCGGAATAGGCAAGATAGGTGGGCATTGAGGTTTGTGGATATAGAATGCGATCAGTTGCGGGTTCGTATCGTTTACCAGGAGCACGTTAACTGGTTAAGTGAATGCCCATGGCTTAATATTAGTTCAGTGCTGCACCATGTCTGGCGTTATTGCACGTGGCTTCGCCAGGTGGTTGGAGCCTTGGGCCCTAAACGTTTTTTTTCCTGTTTCTGCAGGGCATGTGTGGAACTTCCGCGATGGTGGTTCGGCATCGGAGGACGGACGCAATGTGTTGCTGTTTGCACTTGTCGCAATTGCCCTCCCGACTGCCCTGGGCTCCGCGTTGTTGACGTACATCCTCCTGAGGCGTCGCCGCCTCACGCGGCTGTGCCAAAGCGAGGGCCCGCCACAGGGAAGTAAGTTAAAGGACGGCGGCGGTGACGGCGAGGACTGCGCGGGCGTGGAGGAGCACGAGGAGCACAAGGCAGCCCGGCAAGATGTAAGTTGCACACTATGGAAATGTTATGTTACTCAATGAAGTTCGCCTAATTTCCAGGCGTGAAGACTTGCAAGAGGCTCGCCTGTATTCATATTCCGCTTCTGGTGTGTGTCTGTCTGTATGTGTGTGTGCGTCCATATCCCCTTGTGCAGGAGCTGCCGGCCTGCTGCTTTCCTTTTCCCTTATCACTTCCGCTCCGGAAGTCGAAATTTGTCAATCCTCTCTACCACGACGGGGGCAGAGCTCCCCCGGATATCATCCTCACGGGTGTCCTGGGGCCGGCGGCGTTGGCGCGGTCCCTGGCGCCCGTCCCGCCAGAGACGACAATCCTGGACTCAAGTACGTCAATCAGCACCGTTGCGGAGTTAGCTTTGGAGTTGGAAGGCGTGCCAGCAGCTCAGGGCGAGACACTCGCAGAACAGACCGTGACAGGGGACGCGTTTACAGGGCGGCGATCAGGGAACAGCCCTGGAGACAACCCGCCTCTGTGCGTCTTGAGCGCCGCACCTGCGGAATTGCGCCAAGGAAGGGAGGCGTCAGAAAGCTTGGCGGACGCTGCAGCAGATAGCGGCATATCGTCGCTATCTGAAACCTGCACGGCCGGGTTTGGGCCGCGGCTCGAACACGGGGGACCTAGTAGAAGTAGCGCCACGCGGCTAACGCCTGGAGGCGTCAATACTGTGATGCAGTCTGCGGCCGCCGGGTGCGCGACCGGGGGCACGGCGCTTCTAGTCCATGGGGCCGGAACCAGGCCACCACCACCTGAAATCTCGTGCGAGCGGCGTGACAGCCCAGCTGTTGCTGCCGCAACTGCGGAGTTGGCCATCATGCCATCGACATCCAGAGGGCAAAATGCAGACGCTGGTATTAGCGAGATTGTACGTGCTGGCGCGCATTGCCTGGCACCAAATGCCCACCCGGGAGGCTGTGGGGAAGCGGGTTTACAGGTGGGACCTCGACATCCTCGCTTTATGGACCTGCAACAGCTCGACCGCTTGCGGAGGGAGATTGGCGATCGCCACCTTGAAGTTCAACACAGTCTTGGGTGGGGGGGCTGCGGAGTTGTGTACAAGGGTAAGGCCTTGGCTGTGCGGCCGAAGGGTTGGGGGGGAAGGACAGATGCTGGGTCTTGAGCTGACGGCGCAAATGCAGTTTGCATGATTACTGGTTTAACCAAGTCCGGCAGGCTGGCTCTCTATCTCTTATCTCTCTTGAGTGCATACAACACGGGGTGCTAAAATTGGTGCGCCGTCAGATTATTGCGCCTGCTGCCAAAACAATGACGCAGAGGACCATATAATAGTAGGAATGTACTTTTAATCCCGTCGGCCTGGTGGCATTGTGTGCTTAAAAGCAAACCTTCTCAGCAACCCTAATTGTGCGCTGCTGATTCCCCCTTCCCCCCTGGCAGCAGCTTCACTCGTTCGTGGTTCGTCTTTCCCCCCCTTCCCCCCGCGTGCATAACAGGTGTATGGAAGGGCCTGCAGGTGGCGGTGAAGACGATACTGCTCCAAGGAGACAGCAAGCAAAGCCATCAGTTCCTGACGGAGGCTGAAATTTCTGCCAGGTAGGCATAGTTGGGGAGACAACAGCAAGCTGTGAGGGGCATACCATTCTGACCTCCGTGATACTTGCCTAGTAGCTGGCGGGGCCCATTTCTGCGTATTCACCTCGCATTCTCGCTTTGCCGTTTAGTTTGGCTTCTCTCTCGTTGTTATCTTGCTCTCGTTGTTATGTTGGAGTGTCTTATGGACCTCCTAGAGCTTGTTCGCTGCTGCCGTGCATTGAAGCGGGTTCGCCATGCGCTCTGCTGCATCCGCAGTCTCCAGCACGCAAACATCGTCACAACGTACTTGTACGAGCTGCGGCCGTTGGGCGAGGTGGATTCTTCCGCAGGGGCCGTGGAGATTCGGACCCGCTCTGCGTCGTCGGATGAAGCCCCTGGACAGGACACTGAACGAATGAGCTGCTGGAAGCTGTACATAGTCCAAGAGTATTGCGAGTTGGTGAGTGGATGGGCGTGGATTGTAGCTGGTTAAAGGCTGTATGGCTGCAATCAAATACTCGACGTTCCCATGGAGATGTATGCAGTGGAAGCCACGTTCGTAAGATTGTTGTAGCTTCAAATGCTTGCCGCAGCTTTGGCCGTGGCACGTCAGCCGGCGACAGGATGTTTGGTTGGCCGCGTCCTTAGGGATTGAGCTCGTATTGTTGCCGATACGCGTGTTCGACCGTACCCACCCCTTCATGTGCCGCTGGGTGTGCAACCATCGCCACCAATGCCGCAGGGAACACTGAAGGCGGCAATTGACCAGGGCTACTTCAAAGGTTCGGGAAACGGCCTTCCAAACCTGGTAAGCGGGGTGTTTGCTGTGTGTACGGACGAACTTCTGCCAACTTGGAAGTCAGCGCGCAGCGTAAGGTCATTAGCTCCCATGAGACGTCTTTCTTTGTACATATCTTTGTACATGGCACATGGGCTGCAGCAATGCGTGCAGACTGAGGTTCCGCCCTTCCTCACCTCACCTCACCTGACCGACCACCAGGTGATTCATCCCCAGGCACAGCCCTTAGGCCTTATGGCATACTCCCCCATCGTTGCTTACCATGTTCCTTCCTGGGTCGCTCCCACAGGCGTTTCTCCTTACCATGGCACTGGACATTTCGCTTGGCCTCGCGCACGTGCACTCTAAAAATGTGGTGCATGGCGACGTTACGGTCAGCAACGTCCTGTTGCAGGCCTTTCCGGGCAGACCCCAAGGCTGCATTGCCAAGGTCGCTGGTAAGTCCGCATCCAATGTGCCTTTCCGTTAGGATAATCCATGCATGATGGGGGCCATAGTGCCCATCGAGTTTTCCTTTGGCGGGTGGGCGTCACGTGCAGTGCAGTGCGTTCCGTTGCGGTGCGGTGCGCCATGTGTGGGACCAGTCAGCCTCTTCCTCCTCACAGTCAGGCAGGGAGGAAGGCGGCGTGGTTTTGTTTCTTCGCGCACTGTTAAGGGTTACATCTTAGAACAGTTCTGTGTCCTGATTCGAAGAGGGTAAACGTTGTAGCTCACTCAATCGCACGCCCGTCGCTGAAAACGAGTTCGCCACACCTCCACGGCCCATATGCACTCTTGGGGGTTAGTTGCACTGTACTTGTAAGCTTCAGGGTAAGCCTTCACCGCCTGGCCCCCCGTTGCTGCCATGTGGTGGCGTCGCCTCTGCGTCCGTTGCCCTGCCGTTCCCAGACTTCGGCTTGAGTGTCAAGTTCGAGGCGGGGCAGTCGCAGGGCTACCACCTGTATGGGGGGACGCCACACTACATGGCGCCGGAGCGCGTCCGCGGATTCCTGTACAAACAGTCAGACATTTACTCGCTGGGTGTGTGCCTGTGGGAACTGTATTGCGGCACGCCACCGTGGCGCCGCAACGCTGCCGGCGCACACCATCGCGGCTATGGAGGCGTCACCTCGTCCAGCAGTGTAGACAGCGAGGGGCACCATCGGCATCACCACCATCGCCACCATTCCTTCGGCGATTCCGCTGCGCTTCAGGGAGCCGAGTCGGAGTCATTCCGTTTTCCGCGCGGCTGCCCGTCTGAATATTCTGCGCTGGTGCACTCGTGCCTGTCGGGGGATCCGCAGGCGCGGCCAACGGCTGCGGCGGTTGCGAGTGCACTGCAGCGGTTACACCGTCGATACTGCTGAGATATGCGGATTGGGTACGGGGGCCGGGCCGGAGAAAGGAACGGGGTCGCGGATCTGACCCTTTCCTAGTCTGGATGCCGTTTGCACTGCCTTGGCTTGCCCGCATTCTTTTCCGTTGGGTGGTCTTGTAGACGGGTATGAAAGCTCATTGAAGCGTTTCATTACTCCTGTAAGCTTAGAACTTGTGAGGACTTCTCGTGTCGATTGGACATGGAGTTCGACGCGGTGGAAAAACTCGTTTCGCTGTTGCTGTGAGAAACAGCTTAAATGACTGCATGTTGCATTTGAGTGTTGTGTTGACAGGCTGCTTGCTAGTGACTTGCTAGCGACTGCAAGCTAGCCTTCGCGGAAGCATCTGACCTGGTAGTCCGGGGACGGGCTGGGGGACGGGTCCACGGCCCCTGGAACCATTCCATGCGAGATTGCGGAATGGCCGACCCGCACGGAGCTTCCTGACACTGCTGGCTCAACCGGTCGGCTGTTGGCAGCAGCCGTGAACAGTTGGCAGCCAAGGCGCAGGGCACGCGTAGTAATTAAATGTGCTTATGCAAGCGGCCGCGTGTTGCCACCGCCTTTCAAGCTGGTCGTGGACCGGTTGCTGGTGCTGGGCTGTGGCGCCTCGTGCGCGTCTGCTTGGCTGGGTTAGTGGTACGCGTTGGCACGCAGCGGACCGCGCTTAGTGATACTAGCGCAAATGTCACTCAGGGGGCATTGGAGCATAACGTGGTGTTACAACACATTTGGCTGCGGCGCGATGCCACCGTCACGGACGGTGCCGGTCAACCCTGAGCTGGTCGGTAGCTGCTGCTCTAAAAGTATCACAAGCAGCACTTGCCACTTTCTGGACTCAATACAAGGTATATCAAAGCTCACGACCATTCGGCTGGCTTAGGTAGGTGTTGTAGGCCCTTCTCGCCGTAACGGATTCGTTTCCTTGCAACTGCGTGTGTTGTTTGTGTCCACGTGTGCAAGAACCAGCTATGCAGAGCTGGCACATCGTGTTTTGGCCGCGACGCCACAGGTACTAGGAACTGATGTACTCGCTTATCGGAACTGTCGTAACTAGGTCTTATATTTTCAGTGGAGGTGGATATTGCGCTGGGTGGAGCCCCAGAAGCTCCGAGAGGGATTCGCCTACATGAGCGGTGCGTGGGATGAACTGTGAGCCGACTCTTTGTTTCAGCTGATATGTACGAAGATAGCGTATCGAGCACATTGTCTCAGGCACGTGCACTGACGGGCTCGGACGCAACAACCATGCGTAACTCGCGCTCTTGTCTGCGGCCATGCACAGCGCAGGCAGGATTTCACTGGCGACCGTGGACAATTTGTGATGCGGTGTGGCGCTGTGATTTTTTGACATAATGGTTTATACTCGAATGTGCAGTGATGGGCGTTTCATTTGGTCTGTTCCCGTTTTGAGTAATGCTGTGTGGTGAATAGACGGGGGGTAAGGAGGGAATACACGGCAGGAACCAGGCACTGGGGGGATGGGCTTGTACTGAGGAGCTTAGTATGGGGGAAAATAGGCTCAGGATTTGCTCCATGTAGCTGTACTTGCCACATTTTAAGTTGATGTTTGTTTAATCGCTACATTAACTGGTGGTGATTTCTGAATGGGCGCGTGGTGCATCGAGGTTAATGCTTTTCCGGGATTGCGACGCTGTGCATTACCTTCGGGGGCCCTTCGGGCTTACCTTACAGGGAAGGTATCGAATATTGCGAATTTGCCGTTGCCCAGCTCGTGTTTTGCAGGGAAGTAAAATAGGCCCTTCCTGTGTGCTACATAATTTAAGGTAAATGTGTCCCGACACATGGGGTTTGGTGACTGAGCGTTCCGCAGCAGCAGGAGGTCACACCACACGTGACGACCCGCACATGCAATTCGGAAGACCTCTAATTGTAAATAGGAGTATCCATCTATGGCAGGATCGCCATGTTTGACCTTCTGGCAAATATTGTTGCTCAAGGCAGATAGGGGGATGAAGGCAGGTGCAATGAAGGGATCACTGGGTTGTAAGGATTCCACATGTTAAACCTGTAGTATTCAGGTTGCTTTGTTATTGCCGTGCAAAGGAACCATATTGGAAGTATGGAATGGCTTTCGGCAGGGCAAGTTACAACCTGACCACCTAAACGCATGCATCCAATAATTTCGCCCAGTTCCTTTTGCTCTGAGTTAAAGAAAGTAAAGTGACCTTTTTATTAATCCTAGGTTTGTATACAAATAAACCGATAGGTACGCGACGTATAACTACGACAAGCAAGCGTCAACGGTTAGCTTCGACCACCTTGAACACACCGCATACCCTGCGCAGGCGGAAAAAAACAATGTTAACATAAAAATCATGGGCCACGAACCAATTTCTGAAGCCATCGAAAGTCTTGCCTTGACTGTTCACGCCGACCCAAAACAAAGCGGACCAGAAGAAGAGCCCGATTCTCAGCTGCAGCCTCAAGCACAAGCGGTTGCATCACAGGTCCCAAATGTGCTACCCACGGAAGTCATCAGGCACCATCTCATCCCGGCACTCTCGCTCAGCGCTCTCCGGGCCTTCCGGCGAGTCTCCAAGGCAACCCACGACAATGTGGCCGTCCTATCCATTAAGCGCGCCCCTGGCACGCATCCTCTGCCCCCAGATCTTGGCCACCGTTTCCCAAATTTGGCACGTCTCGACCTCTCTGGTGACTCACAGCTGGTTGGGGGACTAACGTTGTTTCGCGCGCTGCAGTCCGCCAGCCAGCTCACCAGCATCAGCTTCGCGACCTGCACCTCCCTGCCTGCGTCCTTCGTCACCAGGCAGCTCATCGAGGCGTGCCCTCGGCTTCAGGTGGGATATTTAGGTGTGCAGGCCGCTGCAGTGGGAAGACCGATGAAATTTGGAAAGTACACGTCGTGGTCATGGCCATCCGCAGAACCTTGCTGGAACGGCATACACTTAAAAACACACACGACAGCACTTGTCTTTCTTCCCGCCTTATCTGTGACGCGAATGCATTTAATGCCTAGTGGTGCATTGCTGTTGGCTCGAGGCCGCCGAGCCTGCTGCCAGTATGCTGCACCGAACCCGCCTGCTGTAACAGCGCCTATTATGGGATTGCGCATATGTTGCTCCTGTGTTGTGCTGCCTCTGTCCGGCCGGGTCACCAACATCGCTCCCCCAGCACCTGGCCCTGAGCTGCTGCTGCTCTGGCGGAGCCGACACGGAGGCCGCCACGATGTCCGCACTTGCAGCAGCGCCGCTCGCCGCCACGCTAACCTCCCTAGACCTCCATTGCGGCAACGCCTTCCAACCAGAGCTGCGCCACCTAGAGGGCCTCGGCAGTGGGCTAATGTCGCTGCGAATATATGGCAGCCGTACACTGAGCGACGAGGCGCTGGCAGTGTTGCCGCACCACATGCCTGCGCTGGCGGAGGTGGTGCTAGCGGAGCAGCATTCGCGGCGGGGAAGGCATGTCCGCGGAGAGGGTCTTGCTGCGCTGCGCGGCCTGACGGCGCTTCGGGCTCTATCGCTGGCTTGCCCAGAGCCCGACGCCCGAAGCATGGCGACTGCGCTGGCAACGCTGACGCAGCTCACAGAGCTGGACATATCCCGGTGCGAGCCGCAGTTGCTAGAGGCCCTGTCACCGCTTAGCATACTCGTGTGCAACAGCGGTGATGGCGGTGGAATGCTACAGCGGCTTTCGTTGCCGACCGCCTATACGGAACGGCAGCTTGAGCGGGGCCTCCCGGTTGTGTTCGGCAGTGGCGCCGCCATCGCCAGCGGCGGTGATGAGGATGGGGCGGCAATGATGGCCGTCCAGCTACAGGCCCTGCACCTACATGCCTCAGCGGCGCTACCGGTGGCGATGGTGGAGGCCATGTCGCGCCTGGGGAACCTGCGGCAGCTCAGTCTCTCACACTGTGGACCAGCGGGTTCCGGGGCAACGGTGCAGGCGGCAGCGGCAGCGCTAACCAAGCTGACGTCATTTCGCCTGGTCCAGGAATACGGCAGTAGCGGTGATGGCGAATCCAGCACTGCTGCCGGTGGCGTTGCGGGACCTGCAGGTGGTAGGGGTGCACTGCATGACGTCGACCCACATGTCGGGGGGAATACCACCCTGCAGCTTCACGGCCAGCCCGACGTCGTCACTTGGTACGATGGCTTGCTGACGTGGAGCGCTTTGATGCGGCTTGAACTCACTGACCTGGACGGCTTGGACGACGCCCACCTTTTCAGCATTGGCTGCTCGCTGAGTGTGTTGTCGTGTTGTCGCTTCAGCCGCAACACCCGCATTACGGGCGTGGGGTTTGCTTCTTGGCCTGCTGGCTGCCGCCGCCTCAAGGCCCTCACGTTGTACGACTGCGCGCGCGTCGGTGATGCCGCTTTGGAGCACGTGTCAGCAATGCCGCTGCTGACGCTGACACTGGCGTACTTGCCGGAGGTCGGCGCCGATGGCGTGCGGCACCTGGCAGAGGGATGTAAGTCGCTCCGGAGCCTGATCTTGGAGCGCATGGCCCGCGCACCTGGTGCAGCACTCGCGGCTCTGTGGCGGCTTCCTCGGCTGGAAGCCCTGTGTCTGCGCATGTGCAATGTTAACAACCTCACACTCGAGATGGCACTTCCACCTCCCCGGCACTTAGCAGAGGACTCGCCAGCTGCTGCTGGTGCTGTTGGTGCTGTTGGTGCTGATCTTACAGCTGTCGGCGGTGAGTCTGTCAGCAGCACTGCAATGACCGGGGCCTCTTCGGCTCCGGCGGCGAGCGGCCGCGAAGATGCAGCAGGTCACGGGACGCAGCTGGGGCAGCAGCTGCAGTCGGTGTGGGCAGCAGCGCAGCATCTGACATGGCTGGAGCTACAGGGCTCGCTGGTAAGCACCTCGGGGCTGTGGGCCTTACGCCACGCACCCGGTCTGACGCACCTGAACCTCAGCTATTGTCTTAGTGTGGGCGATGCAATCGCAGACGTACTGCTACATGGCGGTGGCGGGGGCAGCGCTTCAACGGTTGCGGGGTCAGGAGCGAGCAGGGGCACGGTGTTGTTACTCCCCTCGCTGGTACATATTGACCTGCGAGGTTGCAATGTGTCCGAACCAGTTCTTGACCGGCTGCGCTGCTCCGGTTTGGCTGTTAATATTGGCTCCGAGATATGGAGGTAAACTGATTACTATGGCAGTAGACTAACGACTGTAACGCGACTACCTGTCTGTAGTGGTATTCCAGTCTGGACATATTCACATGATATACCGAGCAGTCGCAGTGGCAGCAGCTTGATAAACCAGATTCTTTCCACTTAACATCATGGAATATCTGCGAATGGAAACTGCAAAGTTCCCATTCCGAGCATCACAAGGTGCGCTGCAGCAGATTGCAGCGGATAGACCTAGTAGATAGACCTAGTAGGCTCGCCAGAGGAACCATGTGGCGACGGCCCTTAATCTTCCCTTCGCAGATGCAGGCTGCCAGCAGGATGTAGCAGGATGTAGATTAGGGGGGCCCCAAAAGGACAAAGTGTGTATTAGGTTTAAATGCACGGTCACGAGGAGGTATCACCCCGTCGTCATCATTTTCAGGCATGCCCAATTGCATAAACGTTAATAAAAATCGTTTGCCATTGTCAGAGGGTCAAGTGATTACGTGAAGACAGGTGTGGCCGGTGTTTGCCTCGACGGACGTTCATCAGTGTGTTTGGGATGTGGTGGTCCTGGATGCCCTGCCATTTCTCGGAGCCTCTACAGCCTATTTCCCTCTTGACGGAATACTACTGATATGACGCATCTCTTCGGAGTTCGCCGTAATTGTTGGTCAAAACGAGCATTTTTGCATTAACATTCTTAGTCCTCGCGATTTGATGGCCCTACCTAAGGTTTCTTCATAGCGGTCTGAGGCTCGCTATAATCCCTACTGATAGACCAGATTCTTCACTTGATATTATTGCTGTATGCTCGAGATACGTTCACAATACAACATAGTTGGGTTACACAGCCACAGTCGCTTAACCGGCACCTTCGCGCATTCTTCCACAATTGCCCGGTCACGAACACTCGGTCATGATCTTCTCTGCAAAGACAGCTTAGATATACAACCCTTGTTGCTATACCAAAACCCCTTCAACCCCGTACAAAACTGCCATCAAGAGACAGAACTTAGATTGCTCGCTGTTGAAGCGCCATCTTTGAAGCTCCATCAAGCCGGAACAAACTAACTTTTAAAACCGTTGTTGCTCTGGCAGGATGAACGCCCTCCCGCAGCTCCAAGACTAGCAAGGCGCAGACTTCGTGCAACTCCGAAGACTACCCCAGCACAGCCATGCGCCGATACGGATGGAAATCCGTTCCACCGTCTCGACCAGCATCGAGCACGCCATGGCGACTCCAAATTAGCTTAGGCAATCGGAATCGAAACGCTGCAGTGTAACAATACCAGAAGGGCATAAATTTAGTCAAACTGCAACAGCGTGAAGCGAAGAAGCCGGTAGTCGAAACGAAAAGTTCCCACTGGCTGATAGCAGTGCACCTCCGTTCCTCACCCGTTGGTGGCGAAGTTCACGTGGTTGGGGTCAGCCAGGTGGTCAGCAAGGTTGTCGAGCGGGCCCTTGCCTGTCGTGCGGGGCGAGAAATGGAAAAGATTACAAACCAACCCTCAGTATTAATCATCCGTAGCATCGAAAAGCAGGAAGAGCCATGTGGCAACAGCCTCCCAAGCCCCCATCCGTTAATTACTCACCGGTAGCGGCGTACTGAGCAGCGAAGCCCAGGCAAGCAATCTGCATGGAGCAAACAAGGAGGCCGCAAACTGTCGTCATTAAACATCGCTTACGACGTCAAACACCGCAGATGACCCGGAAGACTGTCAGGAAGATGAAATTACTCTTATCCGAACTTCAATCTGGAGCTTACCATTGCCAGGCGGCCGTTCTTGATCTCCTTCTGCTTGTACTCCTTGTACTTGTCGGCATCACCGCGGGACAGGCCCATGGGATCGAAGAAGCGACCTAGAGAGAAAGGGCCCCAGTATCGCCAACGCTCAAGCTGGGCAATACTTCTACATCGATCACAAGCTTAGGAATAGGCAATTAACAGACTTACCGCCAGGGTAACCGTTCTCAAGGCCCTTGAACTCATCAGTAAAGCCCAGGAAAGAGCCGTCGCCCTGGCTGCCAGGGTTCTTGAAGTCGTACCACCGCTTGGTCTGATCAAGTGAGAACGAGCAATGGTAAATCAAGTCAGTGCGTGCTGCAATCCTTAAATACCATGTTAATTGGCGGGCATGGCGTAATGTCATGTAGTCTGCCGGAGTTTCTTTCGCAACTCAAGCATGCAAGCAAAGTGAATCATGCTACAGCGAAATCCCTGATCTGCTCCCGCACCAGCAGTAGACATTCACAACCAGAACACTACAACACATATGTAGATACGAGTATGAACCATTGTGGCTGGGGTGCATGAAAGCTGAGAAACAAGTCAAAATCAGAGATTCTCAGCGGTTATGCTTCCTTAGGAAGAACGTAAGAGAGCATTCAGCAGTCATGCATCGCCAGCGCCATAAGCTTACCTCGGCCCAGCCCATCAGGTACAGCTGGGTGATCAGAAGCGTGGGGAAATCAATGTTGTTCTTCTCCACGACCACCTTGCCGGCATCGTACCACTCTGGGAAGCCCAGGCCAACCTTGGCACCAATGCTGGTCAGGATGATGCCAGCCGCGCCAAGCATGGCAAAGCGGCCGTGCACCAGCTCAGCCTGCACATACCTGCATGTATTTGGACAGGAAAGCGCGCCGAGAGGGCCCACAAAGGTTTACAGAATACATTCTGTGCTCAGAATCCGGCCAAGTATGTCGGGTCGCAGGCTCACACAAATGCACTTGCGCTTTTAAACGCTTTGATCATAATAATAGATCACTAACAATAAAGGAATCTGCTACTTTCCACTTTACTTTCTAGTCACCATCACTTGCGGGCTGGTGCTCACCACTTCAGGGTCTGCGGCTCCTGGCCCAGGAAGAGAGGGTCGAAGCCGTAGTCACCAGCCAGGGAGCCATCCAGATGGGCCGGAGGTGGGTTTCCTGGGAACCAGACCGGGCGAGTCGCAGCCTTCACGCGCACCGAGCGGGGCGTCTGGCGAGCCACGCCGAAGGCGGCACGGCGCTGCACAATCATGGAAGCGGCCATGGTGGTGACTGTAGTGATATACAAGGCGTCAAGCGACGACTATGAGCTTGAGCACAACCATAAAGTCTCAGCGCTCCCTTTGTTATGCGAGAGATCTCTACTTCCGTACATCGGGTGCGATCCAAGAACAAGAACGGTCAGCAACGACCATGGCTGTAGAATAAAATGAAATAAGCCAAGTTCTTGCCTTTCTTTTTATGCTTGCGAACTTTTCACATGTAAATAACTGACCTTGAGGAGGTGGATATCTCTATAACAATAGCTTTCAAGTAATTGATAGAAGGTGAATTTCAAACTCATGAGGATACAAATAAGGATGCTTAGAACTCCTGTAGTGACTAGTTTTGGCCACGCATATCGCACATGGCATTGCAGCAAGTAGAACCTTCGGACTTCTATCGCACGTTCATATTAACGCATAACCCATTGATGGAGTGCATGGGGAAATGTTTGCTTCTAAAGTTGCTGCTTTCCCCCCCCCCCCCTTCGTGCTTCGCTGGTACCCTCCCGTGCGCACTGAGGGAAGCACGTTTCCTCCAGCCTGAGTTACTGTTGCATGCTAAGAGCATGACGGGAGAGGACACTTGGCAGAGTCAGGTTTGCAGCTGGCCCGCACATCCGTAGACGACAAGAATTTTCAGTGGCATTGCGATGCGCGCCTATACAGTTCCTTACACTGAATGCATCACAACCTAAACGACGAACACAACGGCAGGCAATCTGACGCACCTGTTCTCGGACAGACTGCGGACAGCAGAGCCAAAGCGGGAAGCTATGTTGCTGACCCGCGTCGATTGCAACTCCCTAAATCGCACTGCAATCTTGACAGGTGGCTCCCTATCGTAGCCAAGCTACACACAACAACACCCCAAAACGAAACCGGCCAGGTGTAGGCATACAGCTCGACAAATATGTAGAAAAGCCCAAACCAAACGCCTGTGCAAATAGCGTCCCTTTCTATTCAAAGACATCGTACTGCCAGTAAATGATCATGAAACTGACTTAAAAACATACGGTTGGGCATGTGCTGACGGTCACTCCAGACAGCAACCCTAAAAGAATTCACTTAGAGCAGGCATCCATCCAACACATCATCCATCCAACACATCATCCGTGCAAAAAAATCAACCAGCAGACGCGAAGAGGGAACGATGCGCTGCCCACTCCCCATGACAACGGACGCGCATTCAGTTTTGCAGATGCTCTGCCGGTAGGTTAGTAAGTCCCTCACCCCCCTGCCCCAAACGCCTCGCAGGCAGGCTGATGTGCACGTACTAGGGCGGCTGACAAACAACCAAATAACAAAACAAGCACGGTACGCGTCTGCCTCACAGCTCACTTTTGTTGTTAACACGAATCTCCACACATGAGTACCAAAAAAACATCCTCCGCTGGAGGTGGGGGCCAGAGCTCCCTCAGCTTCTCCCCATATGAATTCATTTGTTCCTTTCTCTCCTTCCCTTCCTGTCTGTCTCTCACACCTCCCCCCCGGCTACTCAGTTCATAAAAACCTCTCCTTAAAAACCCTACTATCACTAGTCCCTCCTCCCCTACCCACAATCCACAATCCTGCTCATCTCATGCACAATCCCATACGACGCAGCGAATCCCTGCAACACCTGCACATCGTGCCAAAAAAACTTGCCATTCTTCCTCTTCCCTTCCGACGCTCCACCCGGCCTCCCCCCTCACCCCCATTCCCTCGTCCCCATCCTCACCTCAAACGTTTCCCCCCCTTCTCCCGCCCCTTCCCCCCTACCACAATGACCACTCTGACCACTCAGGTATTCACAACCTCATCTAAATGAGCATCCTACCCTCTTACACAATGTGGCTGTACAGTACGACAACAAACCCAGGACTCCTTTACCTCCCGGAACCCCTACCCCCCGCCAGCGCCGCCGCCGCTTCCAACCCCATCCGCAGCCAACTGGCAGCCACATTGATGCGCTGCTCATTAGTGGGTTGGCGGTACAGGTACGCGCCGCGTCGCAGCAACGCTGCCAGAGGGCCCTCCAAGGTCACACCGCCACCCGGGCTGGCGGCGGCAGCCGAGGCGGAAACCCCGCCGCGACCGTCGCCTAGCCGCACCCCGGCGGCGCCCAGCAGCGGCCCTAGCGGCGAGGAGCGTACGGCATCCGCCAGCGGCGATGGCAGCTCCAGCGGGAGCGCCACGGCGGCATTGATCTGCCCCAGCGACATCATGCTCCCCAGGTGCTGGTACCTGCAATCCAGGTGATCGGTGATCCATGGACAACAAATATTGACGGCATCCCTGTGACGTCGCCATAATAGCTTTTTACAATAACCCTTTTTTGGGGGACTTTTTCAAGTGCTCCTAGGGTTGTAGTACGTGTACGGCCTAGAAGCCATCAGCTGGAAAGCTGTTCATGTCGCTCTCGGTTCATGTCGCTCTCGGCACAGAGCGATGGTGCGCGGCATTGCGCGGCATGGGACCTATGTGAGAGACATGCCGCTGCCAGTGTCGGCGTCCGCGCCAGACGACGCGGTCGGCGCGGAGGGAGACGATGTGCACGAAGCAAACCCCAAGCTGCCGGCGTCGGAGGGGAATTGGGCCTCGAGACGGTGGCACCACACGAACCCCCTCCCCGTCCCCGTCCCCGTCCCCATCCGGCCCATGCTGAGCCCCCGCCCCGTTGCCCACCTCCCACACCCGCCCCGCTCTCACCTGAATGGCAGCAGGGGCCGGCCGTTGATCGCGGCCCAAATGTTCCAAGCGGCATAGTCCGCCTGTTGGAAGGCCACCTGGGCTGTGGCGGGCAGGACCTCCTGTAACGGGGGAAAGACGAACCACACACGATTGAAGCTGCTGCCAGGGCAAGAGAGTAACAAACGTAGAACTGACCGAAAGGCGTCTGTAACGGGGGAAGGAGGGACGACGATGACTGTTCGAGGGCCTACGTCCTTTTCAACTAAAAGAAGATTGAGCCCCCGCCGCACGGGTGTCGCAGATCGAGGAGGCTGAGTGACAGCGAAGGGAGATGGAGCTCCCCCCCAAGGGTTCGGAGCGAAGGAGTTCGGGCGACGTCTTTGAAGAGGCAAACTGGAGGGAACTGGCTGATGGATCGACAGGAACTAGGAATGATGGCCAGCAGGAGGGTTTCTGTTGCGGCTTACCGTTGTGGATTGTGCGGAGGGGGAGGCGGAGGCCGATGACGGTGGGTCAGTTGCGGCCGCGGCCACGGCCACATCTCCCAGGGCGAACATCGTGTCGCTGCCGCGAATTCGCAGGGAAGGCTCCTGGGGAAGGCAGCGAACCAGGGGAGAACCCAGGAGAGGTGCAGGGAAAAAGGCGGGAAAATAAAGGGGGGGCCTGACATTGGTGTGGCGATATCCCCCCAGTGGTGGTAGTAATATAAGGAGTCGTTTTTTTCCGCACGCAATTTCTTCTAAGCATGGGGGTAGCTTGGTCCACCACGCCCCCGCCTCACCGTCTCAATCGCTCCCCGAGCATTGGTGGGAAAGGGGAAGCCCTGCCTCGCCTCCCTCGTTGCCGGACTACTGCCGGCCGTCCAAATCACCACATCTGCAGCCAGACGCTGCTGCTGCTGCTCAGGGGCTGTAGCAACAGCAGCCGCAGCGGAAGTGGCAGTTGCGGGGCTGTAGCTCACCGTGCATGCGGTGGGAAGGGCGGTTACGGAGGCCCCGTTGTCGTCTGGGGGTCCAAGGGCCTCCACACGCACACCTGGTTCAGGTGAAAAAGGGACACGGGTCACCCTCATGCGGTGTATGGGTGTGCTTCGGTTGGGGGGGTGGAGCTTTAACGGGGGGGGGAGAGTGAGGTGGGGAAGCATGTGGCTATGGGTGTGTATGGGTGGAGGACACACATGGCATAAGGAACAAACGACCAACTGCCCAACTGCGCAAGTACCAACCGGCTGCCGGAGTCTGGGTGGGGAGAGCGGGAGCGGAAGTCGAACCACGAACGAGTGAAGCCGAACGCGTGAAGGGGAGGAGGGGGAAAGCCACAGAGCCCTAAACGGGTAGTAGCATGGGCGCCACCCGTCCGCCACCTGCCATTACCCTCACATCCCCCCACCCCTCCACACCCCAATACACTCCCCCCACCGCTCCCTCCCCCATTGCCCCCTGTCCCATAACTCCGCACTCATTCACTCACCGGTCACAACCTGCACCCCCAAATCCTGCAGCGCCTTGTTGGCGGCTGCTCGCTGCCCCTCCGGACTCCCCTCCAGGATGTCCGACCCGGGGGTCAGAAGCTGCACAGAGACGGCGCCCCCGCCGCCCCTACGGCCCCGCAGCCGCTCCCCCACCACCGCCGCCAGCTCGACACCCGCGTAGCCGCCGCCCACGATCACCACAGATCCGCCCGCGCCTGAGTCGGACAGGAGGTCCAGGGTGCCCTTCACCTGGTGGAAACACAGTGTGGATGCAGGTGTGTGTGTATTTCTTTGTTTGTGTGTATATATATGTATATATATAATATGTGCGTGTATGTGTGTTGCGACAGGGGGGGCACCACATTGGAAAACCTTAGGACTACGCGACTACCCCTCTCACCTCCGAATGCGGGAGGGCCGAGGAGGCGAGGGCGGGGGGAATAGGCCCCCAGGTACCAGGGGACGCGGGCGAACCCCCCCGATCCATTGCGAGGCCCAACTGGCTTAGGGGGCACTGCGGCCACACCCCGCTGCTACCTGTGTGTGTGTGTGTGCTTGTGTGTGCTTGTGTTTTGATGCAACTTTCAGTTAAACACGCGTCTATAATCATCCGCCGGCTGAATCCCCCGTACATTGCGTATGTTCCTTTCTGCCCGCCAGAGGTTCCAGAGATCTCCCCAAAGGTGGGGGACAAGGAAGAGACCCCCTAGGAACCCCACTAGCCCTATCCCGACAGCTCCACCCGCTCCGAAACCTACCCGTACGGCATCCTCGTACGTGTTGAACGGCACGGCCCACTCCCTGACCCCCGGCACCCCCCGGCTGTCGGGCTGGGAGCCCAGGGCCACCAGCAGGTAGTCGTACGGCAGGGAGGTGCCGTCGGACAGGGCCACGTAACCCGCCCCGTCGTGAACCACCTCCGTCGCCCCCGCCTCCGCCGGGTGCACCCCAGTAACTTGCGCCTGCGGATCCCGAAGACGTGTTTTTCCCCCCGGGAGTGATGGAGTGATGGAATGGCGGTATGGGGAATGGGGTTGAGTTTGGGGCGTGTGTGTGCGTGTGTGTGTATCAGTGGTGGGGGTCAGGAACCTCGGATGGCCCGTATCCAGGGAGGGATAGGGAGGGCGGGAAGACGAACCACAAACGAGTGAAGCTGCTGCCAGGGCAAGAGTGTAGGGTGTAAGAGTGTAGATAGGGAGGGCGGGAAGAAGGAGGGATGGGTGGGGTGGGGGCAATCATACGACACAGGAAGCGCTGGGCCCCAACTGCTGGCGTCCTTGGGCTAGCCAGGTGTGGTGGGAGGTGGGAGATGGGGTCGGGGTGAGGGAGAGGGGATAAAATCATCAGCGGGCGGCCAAAAGATGGCCGGAAGACCGCCGCATGACAGGAACCTCGCTCGGGAGGCAAAAGAATCACGTCGTTAAAAAGAACATTATTGCGTTCGAGAAGGAGGCTAGGGTTTCCCATGTCGTGTACGTCCACGCCTGCCAGCATCCATATCGTACACGGGCGAGGGCGGGGCTTTCACCAACCCCTCCCCTCAACACCTTCTGGTACACCCTTTCCTTGTGGCAGCAGCTTCACTCGTTCGTGGTTTTCATCTTTCCCCCCTTTTCAAAGGCCCATGCACATCACCATTCGGTGCTACCTACCTGCACGAAACGCACGGGGTACGGCGCCAGCAGCTGTGGCAGGGACGGCGCAACCTCTTCAGGTGTTGCCGTACCGTTGATGAGCTCGTACAGCAAGGGTTTAAACACAAAGCGGTCCGACTGATCGACCAAGGTGACCTGCGTGCGGGTATTTCCCCCCGGGGCGCCGCGCACAGGGCACAGGACCACAGGGGCGAGGGGGAAAAGAGGGGGAGGGGGGAAAAGGGGGGAAGGGGGGGAAAGGGGTAAGACAAACCACTGACGATGGACGGGGGGCACGCAGGTGAGGTCGCTACAAGAGGACAAGAGGACAAGGCCGCACTGAAGGGAAATATGAGTGGTTTGCATTTCTTCTTTCTTTAACGCGCCTGCCTCCTCCCTCCCGCCACCGCTATGTGGGTGGTGCCGAGGAAAGGTTTTCAAGGGAGGTAGACCTCGGGGTGTCACACAGCAGCCGCAGACAGGGGACGAGCCAGGTGTGTGCGACCCAGATCGAGATCATCCCGCCCGCGACCTCATCGTCGCCCTTCCTAAACCATCAGCTCAGCTCACTCCGGTAGCCCCCTGCCCCCGCCCCCCTGTCGCGAGGAAGGACTTTAAAAACTCCAATATGCAAAAGTGACCATAAAGCGCCACATCACATCACATCACAACACCGATGGAGGGTGGAGCTCTTCCGCGCATCTAATTGCAGAGCTTCAAACCCCATCAACTCTCGTCCCCATCTTCAAACCCCTCCAATTGTGTTCCCCGGTCAATTATCGTCCGCTATTGTGTTCCATGGCAAGTCACCTCACCCCGGGCTCTGGCGGGCCCCCCCACCTTCCCCCTCACCCCGCCTGCCCCAGGCCAGACCCCCCACCTGCGGCTTCTTGCCCCGCGGCCACATTAGTTGGTCCAATCGGAATGCCGCGTACAGCCCTCCGAAACCACCTCCGAGCACTACCACGCGGGGATTTGTACCGGTGCGGCCTGACGCGGCCGCGGAGGCTCCTGCGGGGTTCCGGGACAGCGGCAGCGGTGATGGAGAGAGACCCCCTCAGGCGGCCGGTATTGGGGGCTGTAGCATCAAGTCATGCTTTGGAAAGGCCAGGAGTAACCCCATGGCCGTGAGCGGGGCCTTGCATAGGGAACATACAGGCCTTTGCTGCCGGTCTTGGGCCAGAAACGCTGACCCATACGGTGCCCTCAGCACACATTGGATTACTCTTGAACTTGCGGAACCCTACCCCAGACACGGCCTGTAACGTGATGACCTACTCAAAGATGGTAACACGAGCTAATGAACGGTGATAGACGCTCACCGGGGGCCTGCGCTTGTGTCGCCATCGCGCGTGCGACCACCCTCCCGGATGACCGTGCTCCAGCAGAGGGACCTGCGCTTGAACAGCCACCTGAGATCATCGACATGTTGTATTCAACAACTTGCGACTACCACTCGGCCGGGTTGAAGCTGGACCGCGGTCAAGCGTTTGGAACCACTCACCTAGAAGGCGAACGATACCCATCCTGTGCAAATAAATAGCCTGTCGTAAACCAGCTACGTTCATACGTAAATTAGGACTGGAAGAATACTCAGCGGTAGGTGATTGGACCCTTCGGCAGGTTACAACCGAAGAGCGAAGCATTTACAGCAGGTGCGCTAGATGTTACACCCTGAGAAGTTCACACGACATCTGCTTTCTTTCATAAGCTGGACGCATAGGCTTATTGACGCATGAAATCAGGACGGTCGTTGCTCGTCACAACTGCAATGTGGCTATGGAAGCGAGCATTATCGTTACGTTTAGCTGGACGTCTACATTACGGTGAATAGCTGTTTTCAGTCCACACACCCCTTATCACCATGGCTTCGCTTCATCCGTTCAAGTTTCGGTCGGCGACGAACCACACACACCACCGCACGCGTGTAGGTAACCACAAGCTATTTTCAGTTCATCATGAACATCACTTACATCAAACCTCTTTATTACAGGCAATTACCGGTGTCGCGTGCAGCAAGCCCCGCACGTCAGACATCGCCACACACGGGCCGCACGTACATGCTACCGCAGCGCCGCTCATACTAGCCGCAATTTCAACACTCCTAACTGCGGCACCAGCATTTGCTGCCGGAGCGCCGGAGCTTTTCACCAATAAATGTGCAGGTACGTGACGCCACGTAGCCAGTGGATGCTCGGCGATTCACTCTGCCGTCCACCATACCATCGACGCCATGCCTAATCCAGCATCCCAATCCCCGGTGTCTGCAGGCTGTCACATGAATGGCGCCAACGTCCTAGCCGTGGGCGCGACTCTCTTCCCCGATGGTACGGGCCCGTTACCCACCCGACCCGACCAGTCCCCACCCGACCCATACGTGTCATATTGCTTCAGGCCGCTACGTACATACATATGGCCGCAATGTACTCTGAGAGCTGTCCCTCTATAACTCTGCTTCTGACATGCTAAATTCCGTCCAGAAATCCCCACCCACCGATCTGGCGCACGCAATACACGACATCCACATATCGAACTCTTCCTCCCCCCACATTCCGCGTCGTTTATTACAAATACATTATCGCCCCTCCGCTTGGTTCGCAGCTTCTTCACATTGCACAACCCCTTCGTGTTTCTGCCGCTGGTCAAAACCCCACTGTAACCTGACATTTTGTACGCCGCCAATCTTGACGCCAAGTGCGTAATGCGCGCGTGGCAAGCGGCTTAAGGGCTTTCTTTACCCCTTTCAAGCTACCTCACTGGGCGGTGCCCGCTCGATTACAGCTTAGACCCCGCCCAACCTCCTTTTGCCATCTTGCCCAATGAAGACCTTCGGAGGAACGGCGTCGATAGCTCCGAGGCGCTCTACAAGATCATTTACAGCGGCAAGGGCAAGATGCCCGGCTTCGGCAAGGAGTGCGCACCCAAGGTGCGAAGGGCAACAAGGGTGATGGGACAGCAAGGGGGCTGTCGGGTCGGGACCTCGACAGACTGAGGTCGGGAGTCCAACTGCCCCTAAGGTAAGGGCCAACCAGCTGCCTGGCGTTGACAGATGGGTGGCCCGCGTGGGGGACCCCGGGGCGGCCCGGTAGATCAGCCCCCGCTGGCGTCTAAACGATGCTCTGATCTGCGATTTGCTTTGGTGTGCTTTGTTGCGCTGTACTGTAGGGCGCCTGCACTTTTGGGCCGCGGCTTTCGGATGAGGAGGTAGCTGCTCTTGCGACATACGTGCAGGAGCGGGCTGCGGAGGGTTGGAAATCGTGAGGTGGCGCCAGCGGATGGCTGTTAAGGAAGGGGGTTTGGGTGGGAAAGGAAGCGCGCGCGTCATTTGGGGCATGAGGAGAGCTTTGGGCGATGTGTTGGGCTCCTTTGTGATGGGAGAGTGGGTTGAACGTCCATCTGATCGCGTGTATTACGAGCGATTATTTCAGGTCCATAGACAGTTCCTGTCGTGAGCGCGTGAGCATTGCTGCGTGGCGGGCATGATGCCCTCCCATGGGGGACATGCGGGGCACTGATCCCCGTGGATACTGGAAACGGCCAGAGTAGTAAGGAGCTAAACAGTAGCGGCATATCGTGGATTCTGCGAGTCGAACGGAGAAACAAAAGGGGATCTTGAAGGTCGGGCTTCATGGCGTTGAGGGCCTCATGTCCTCTTGGGCCTTACAAGGGAGACCAGTCGATGGACTACTCCCTGGGTCTTCTACATGTGAAGAGATGTCCGTCTTGAGTGAGGAGTGAGGTCACATAGCGCCACAAGCCTGTGAACTGGGCTATTGCAAGATATGTGCAAGTTCTTCTTCTTCTTCTTGCCAATACGTTAATAAGAACCGTACTTCATGTTTCATACGCATGCAGACCCGCGGGCCCAAGTCTTGCCAATCAGGATTTCAGTTTATATGTTCCTCTTCATATTTCTGTAAGCATGCTTCGTTAGGTGAACCTCATAAGTGGGCACAGGCTATCTACATCGGTGTTACGACTCAAGGAAGTCTAGCGCAGGAAATGGATCGAAGAGCTCCGTACAACTTCTTCGTCAGTGGTGTAGAGGAAACGCGGACTGGCTCGATCGTAGGTAGGCTCCCCACGCCTCCTCGCGAACTTGTACTGATAGCCACAAGCCTGGCGTAAAAATGTGCCGGTACAAGCACTGGATGGGGATGCCGAAACACAGAGCCGGTTATGTTCCCGCTCATCGTACGCTTCCTTTATGCGTTTCCGCTTGGGAGCTTGGCCATTATTTATAGGCCGTAAAAATTATAGGCCGGCTGGTCGGCGAAGGGATGAGCGCACTTGTAGGGTCTGTAGCAATGGAGTAGAGGACGAGTTTTACGTGCTTATGGAGTGTACGGCGTACAATGATGTCCGCCGTGGTTTCGCTTCGTTCAGAGTTAATGTGTGTGACAGCTTACCCCTATGCTCCTTGTTATGAGTGTTGATTACGTGCGCGGGTTGGCAGGATTAGTCCACAACACCCCTTGGTCCCTTAATTTTCTCTTTTTCCTAGGTTTCGCGGTCCATGAGCCCCCTGGCTCGTCTGGGCCTTATGAGCTCTCAAGCTTGTAACATCACATCTCATGTCACACGTAGAGTAGCTTGCTAGAGCAGTCATCCATCGGCAGTAGATACAGGAGGTAGACAGAAAAAAAAGCTGTCACTCTCTGTTACATCTACAAGTAGGCGGAGTAGCGGCCCCAAGTCCACTTTGGCGCTTTTTCATAGCATAATGTATTTCTAACCTTTTCCTCTATGATTTGAAGGTCATTCCTTCCCATCGTGCCTTCCCACCAGTGCTGAACGAAAGAGGCAGTTGTACGGTGACTGCGACGGGCCATCCAGTTGTATTGCTACCATACTGAGTACCGAAACTGTGAAAATAGCAGCGATTGTTTTTTAAGTCCTTGGTCGTTTGAATGGCGCGCCGGCATCGACAATTTTGTACAAGCAGCTCGGCCCTGGCATCCTGCGCTGGGTCACCCAACCAAGCTAGTACATCCGGTCGTAATGATGTTACCGCTCTGAGTTTCCGCATGGTCGGTATCGATGCCGAGGCGCGTCACCTTCGGCCCCTTGCATTCGCCAGCACAGCGCTCAAGGTAAGTCTTTGTTTGTTTAGATTGTATGTCATAAAGGTTGCTATTTCGAACATTCTGCCATCAAGGGGGACAAGATTTTAGTTGTTGAGGGGCTGACTGAATAGCAATCATCAGATAACACGGCAAACCATCTCGGCCTGGATAATGCTCTGGACATTTTCCCTGCAGGCACAGACGTCGACCGACACGGTGTCGGCCAAAGCAGCGCCGTCGGGCGGGAATAAACCTATACATGACGTTTTCGCTGGCGCGCTCGCGCGAGCCATAAGCCAGGGCACAATCCATCCGATCGATACGCTTAAAGTTCAAATGCAGGCAACGAACAGGGCTGTCGCTTCCGGTACGCAGAAGCTTGCGATAAGCGCGCGCTGACGAGTCACACTTTCATACCTATATTATAACGGCTACGCTTGCAGCATGCGCTGTCGAGTTCCAGCCTGACCCCACCCTAGGTTTCCTGACTGATTTCTTATGGGCAAAGTGCTTATCTTTTTATGTCTTTATGGGTAATGGGAATTTTTTCTGTGGCGCATGCCGTATCGCCCATGCGACATCCTTTGATGACGCCCGTTGCGTCCAATGCCCAGCCCCACAAAGCCGACGCCCCTCCCCACTCGCAATATGGTGTCTCCTGGCCAGAGGCCTCCACTCATTCTCCCCGCCAGCTGCTGCCGACCCAACCGCAGCACCGCCCACCCCGCACCTTCTCGCCCTTTCCGTTCTCCTCCTCGCAGGCACCGGGGGTTCAGTTGCTGCAGCCCTCCCTGGGGCCAAGCCGTCCCCGCCCCTCCAGCCTCTCGCCCGGATGTCTGGGGCCATGCGGGAAGCCCTGACGGACGCCAAGCGCCTCTACCGGGTAGGTTCTGAGGCCTGGCCGATGTCCCGGGCCCCGGGATAACTGGCCTCAGGTTAACGAATCAGCAATTGAAGCCTACCGCTACTGTTACCCAAACATGAGCGCTTCAGCCCAGAAGGGTCCCTGGTTGGCCAGCTTGCGGGGGGAGCTGGGCAGTGGAAGCGCATGGGAGCCCCCGATACGGGGTGCGCCTTACACCCATTGGGGGAAAGAGGGTTAAGGGTGCGGGGGAAGGGGAACCCTCGGAGGGGGCAGGGGGGAAAGACGAACCACGAACGCGTGAAGCTGCTGCCACGGAAAGAGTGGCAGGGGGGTTGGGGAGGGTGGGGCCTGAGGCCAGGGGCGCGCTAGGTAGATGTGGAACCCTGGGGGGAAGAGGAGGAGAAAGAGGAGGGGGAGGGCGTTGGGAAGGGGGGTTTCATTTTTGTAGGTGCAGGCACGGCCACTAAGAGCGCGTGAATGGGCCAGATGCCGAACTGCACAAGGGTCGTGGAGTTTTGAACTTGCTTAGTTGCGTCCGGCGCCGTAGATCAACAGGGTTCGGAGGATGCGGCGGAGACCGCCATCTGCCGTTGGGGAGGGCGAGGGGAGGGCTGCCAGGAACGGACCGGGGCGATACCTGCATAGGGACCGGGGCTCTACACCCGCGCATCACCCGCCACCCTGTCTTTGCATGCGGAACGAAAGATGTACGGCAGATGTACGGCACCTGGTGATCCGAACCCGAATTTGTTTGCTTTTCGTCTTGCGTCTTGCGCGTCTTGCGCGCTCCGACCGATCTTGGCATCACCTGCGGTTCTGCTTATGCTTATCTAGTGCTCCATCAGGTTTTTGTTTTCCCCATCATGTCCTGTCTCTTCATTTCCTACGAAGTCCACCCCGCCACGGGCCCCCCGTGCACCTCCCCACTCCCCGCGCTCCGTTCTTAAGGGTGTTCTGGGTGCTGCCAGTGGTGCGGGGATCATCATCGGGGCGTTCTTCGCCTTCTACTCCACCAGCAAGAAACTGTTGAGGGAGAAGACGAACCTATCGGAAGGTAACACGCACCGCCACAACACTGTCTGTCTATCTGTCTGTACAGTGGTGGGGTGCATGGGATGACTACTGGGCCCCCCACACACACCGTTGTGTCGTGAAGAGAGTGGAAGGGAGGGTGACGATTGGCAGCAGGGGTAGATGGCGCTGACGGGGATGGGCCGGGAGTGGCGCAACCGCGTGGCGCATTGCGCTGTTGGTTGGATTTAATTAGAGACAAGGAGGATGACCTCGAAGTCATCCGGAGGTGAGATGTGAGGCGACTGATAGTGGTGGTGATGTTCTTGCTGGTGGTGCTCTGGTGTTGCAGGTACGGTGGCTTTCATCGCGGGTGCGATCGCAGCTGTTGGCAGCAGTGTGGTCAAGGTACCCATCGCGGTGTGCATCCGCAGCGTGCAGGCGGGTGTCTACCCCAATGCCCTGGTGGCGGCGACCTCCGTGGTACAGAAGGCGGGGGTCAGGGGGCTGTTCACGGTGAGTGGAACCGGGTCGGCTGGATTGAAGTGGGCGTGTCAGGGGGCATAAGTTCATTGGTCGTGGAGTTGGTGTGATGTGGGTGGTGTGATGTGGGACGTGACGAGAAGTGGCATGGAAGTGTGGGTATGGTGGCACGTGTTATTTGCGGGTGTGATGCGGGCGATGGAGCTGCTTTCTTCAATGTGGCAGACTGGGGGTTTTGTGAAGGGGGAGGGTGACGAAGCGGGCGGGGCTGCAGCAGCCAGAGGAGGTGGGTGTCCGGGCAGCCATGCAGTCAAGCAGGTCCGTGTGGGGCAGGAGGCCTCCTGCCTGCCTGGCCGCACGCCCTCTGCGCCCTGTAGGGTTGAGCCTTCCGGGGTGCGGCTGGGGTCCGGCAGGGGTTAGGGAGACATCAGGAGGCTGGGCGGGAGGGGAGGGGCACAGCCCGTCGTAATGCTGGGTGGTGTTGGAGTTACCGCCGACTGAGAGGAGTTAACCCCCCCTCCCTGCGGGCGCTACCGCCAACGCTGCCGCCGCTGCAGGGCTTCCTTCCCACGCTGCTCGAAGACGTGCCGGTAAGGTGGTCGCGGGGATCGGAGAATGGGTCCAAAGGAGGAGTCATCAAGGGGTGGCATCCAGGGTATCCAGTGCACAGGCAGCGGTGGCTGCCCCCAGGCATAGCACTGCTGAGGTCGTACGGACATGCACAGGTTTGACCTCCGAGCCCGCCAACTGTGGCGGCATGAGGTGTTCATCGCCTGAGGAATGCTTCCGCCCGGCCTCTTCTTCCTTTCCCCCCCTCGCTTATCAGGACATGGCTGTCAAGTTCGCGGTTTACGAGACGTTGCGTGCCGTGCACATGCAGCTGCACCAGCAGGAGCGGGTAAGTCTGGGAGGATGACCCACTTGGGGGTCAGGAGGGACGCAAGGCTGCGCTGGGACCAGGGACCAATATCTGCTGTGCTTACTCGTACGGGATGTGTCTGAAAGGCAGCTGATCAAGCAGGGCACCAAACGTTTCTTCCCACGTGAGGCGGCGAAGGGAACGACGTGGCCGTGTACGTAGCGGGGCTGAAGCTCCATGTGCTGCATAGGTGCACACTGAGTGGCTGAGACACACTCGTAGCTTTTGACATACAGTTTTGACATGGTTTTCTGAATCTGATTCCTTTCTGCAACGCCTGCCTCATGGAGTAGCCACACCTCCTCCCTCCTGCACCTCCCTCACCTCAGCCGAGCACCCTGGAGGACCTGGTGATGGGCGGGGTGGCGGGCAGCGCGGCTGCGGCAGCCACAACACCCCTGGACGTGGTCAAGACGCGCATGATGTGCAACGCGTCGGAGCGGCCCACAGTCATGCAGGTGCGGGGGGTTGTGGGGGTGTGCGGGACAGGGAATTGTTGAAAGAGCTGTTGGGAGCGCCGATCATGTTACCCAGCGCAAGGCCGGGGCAATGCTGCACCGGGCTCCTGCTTCCCCCCACTTCTTGGTTGTGGTGAAGAACCTGAGTGATTGTCTTGGCCGTTGACCTGGCCAAGCCGTTATGGCACCACTTTCGTTCCCGTCAACACCCTGGTCAATTCGCTTCTCACGCGACCCAGGCTGACACCGGGCCGGTGGTGCTGCTTTCCTTACCTCTTGTCTCTTTTGACATGACAGGCGGTGCGTGGCATCCTTGCGGAGCGGTCAGGGTTGGGGTCGTTCTTCCGTGGTGTGGGTCCCCGTGCGCTATCCAACGGCCTCAACTCGGCCATATTTTACATGTGGTTCGAGTTGCTGCGCGCCAAGATTAAAGAGGTGCTGGACAACCGTCAGCTGCAGCAGCGGGAGAGGCTGCAGCACCTCGCCGCGGGACAGGTGCGTGTGGCGGGAGGGACTGGTGGATGTACGAGAGCATGTACGCGCTTCGTGTATAGTGCAAAGGAACTCTACAGCATGTGTCTGCGCGGATGCGGCCCTAGCAGGGAGGGGTGCAGGGGCCGCAGTGCTTAAGGAGTGGCATGGCTGTGTGGTATGATGAGACTCGGTGAGCGATCCTGGGAAGTCTCCGTTCGCATACTCGGCAGGACGTACTCTGTCTAAGTCCCACGCGGTGGTGCCTACGTAGGGTAGTACTGATGCGTCAGGAGCGGTTGTTTGTTGCTGTAATACGGGCGGGGGTCTCTCCTTTCCATCGCAGTATGCACATGTTTCCACCCCTCACGTTCCTTTCTCGTCTGCTTTCGCGCACACTCTGCAACTATTTGTGTACCCTTGCCTATGCCTGTTCTTCATGTCCCTTACTTCTGCTTTGCACAACGAGGACAGGCGATTCCGGCCTTGCTGGTTGGACAGAGCTCCTCCGTAATGCACACCGAATCGCATGGCGGCCAAGGACAGCAGCAAGAGCAAGCGGAGGTCAAGTCAAGCAGCAGACCTGGGCACCAGGCGGTTGCCTCCTGCTCGCAGCGTTGGCTTGCAAGAGCTCCTGGGAGCGGAGGGGCTCCGGTTGAGGGCGCCGCGGGATCAGCCTCGGGACAGTTGGATGCGGGCGGCGATGTAATCCTTGACAGCGGCTGCTGTGCTGTTTGCACAAAACCTTCTACTGGGCGTAGCGCGTTGCAGTCGGCTGTGTTGGGCTCTGGGCGGATAGCATGCTTGTCGTTGGCTGTGCCGTTAATTGGTAAAGGACAAGGCGGATTGTGGAGCTCTGGGTGAGGATTACTCTGTTGTCTCGGGTTTTGGAAAGCTATGAAGATTTGCGCATGTTGTGGAGACAGATAGCCTATGCTCGTATTTTTTTGGAAGAAGTCAGTCCATTTATTTATTGTGATATGAGGGCACGCAAGGACAAGTGCACTAACGCAGACCGCCGCCGCCGTACAACGGACGATTCAGTCTTCTCTTTGAATCTTTTTGCGCTAGGACGGAGCTTTATATTAACTTTTGGCTTTTGTTAACCTGTTACAAATACCTCTTTCGCAAGAAGCTTTACGAGAACTCGTTAAGGATGTCAGCGTGGGCTGACCAGGTGGAGAGCGAGGTATGCCCGGGGATCAGGCGTTATAGAGTTATCTTCTCAGTCTTTCTTGCGCAGGTTTTTAAGATCAGTTGCAACGCTGGTCCACGTGGGAAACTTGGTAGCCGCCTTCCAGATTGTGATTGCTTTGTGTCCATCTTGCGCGTCGTGCAGAGCTGCCTGATTTGTAATCCGGTATACTTTGTTACATTACAGGAGGCTACACATGGCGCCCTTGCGAACAACTCGGACTTCCCCACGTTGGGCGAGGCCGCAGCAGCCAAGCCCCAGGGCAAGAGCAAGGCCAAGAAGGGTGTGAAGCTTGGTTTTGGCGAATTCTTAAGTATGCCCACTGGGGGCAGGGGCGACTTTGCGGACAAGGGTCTTGCCGACAAACAAATTCTCATGAGCCTTCCGACCGCACCTCGCGGAGGTCCGCGCGAGGACGGAGACGGCAGGCCGCCTGGAGGTCTTGGAGGTGGTTTTCGGGATTATGGCGGCGATCGCGAAGGCCGCGGTAAGTTTTAAGTACGGTGGCGTTTCCCGATGCCAGCATGTATCAGCTGTTGCACTTCATGCAGGTGGCCGCTACCAGCGAGAGGATCGTCCCCCGCGCGAGGAACGGGAGCCTTCTCGTGCAGACAGCGTGGACGATTGGGGCTCGACGCGGAAGTTTGTACCGGGCGGAGATGGCGGTGGCTTCGGAGGGTCGCGCGGCTTTGGGGGTGGCTTCGGTGATCGAGGCGACCGGCCACCGCGCGAGCCCCGCCCTCCGTCCAATGCGGACATGGTAGACGATTGGGGTACGGCCCGCAAGTTTGAGCCCTCTGGACCAGCACCCCGGGGCGGTTTTGATGATCGGCGCCGCTACGACGGGCCGCCGCCCATGTCCAAAGCAGATCTGGAGGACAGCTGGGGGAGGGGCAGGGACTTTAAGCCGTCCGAGTCGCCGGCACCTCCGCGGGGCTTCGGTGGCAGCCGTGATGGGCCGCGTGAGAGCACAGCAGACCGTGAGGATCGATGGGCCCGGAGAACGGTCGAGCCCAGCACCTCGGCAGCGCCGGAGGCGCCCGCGGAGCGGCCACGGCTCAAACTCGCTCCACGCTCGGTGCCAGTCGGCGAGCAGGCTCCTGCCGCAAGCAGCAGCGGCGGCGCAGAGGAGCGCAAGGCGTCGTCCAACCCGTTTGGCGCAGCACGGCCGCGTGAGGAGGTGCTCAAGGAGAAGGGCGTGGACCCGATTAAGGAGGTACTGAAGCTAGAGCATGGAGAGGTCATACGGTGAGGCCTGACAGTGCGGGCACAGCTTTTGAGGGGACAGGCATGATTGGTTCGGGGCCATGTCACATCTTGCTTGGTTAGGAGTTTAGCCAAGCTCGCACCCTCTACTTCGCACTTTTATTTAGGGATGTAAGGGGCGCAGACACGGCAGACATAGCTTTTTCTTAGTGTCGCTCCAATTTCCTGTGTTACGCGCGCCTGCCTGCGTCACTGGACTCCGTCCATGTTGCTGGCCGCTTCCATTTGTAGGGATGAGACTCCGGCCGAGAAAGCTCTCAAGGCCGAGGTGGACGCCCTTGCTGTGCAATTGGCAGATCTCAAGGCGAAGTTGGCGGCGGAAAAAGATGCAGATGGTGACGAGGCTGAGGCTCCCAGCGGTCCAACGATTCCGGAACTGGAACATGAGCTGGACAAAAAGGAATGTGCTTTGCTGAAGCTGCAGGCGGAGGAGGACGACAGGGTGCGCTTTGCGCGGGGTGGTCGGTCGGGGCACGAGGGTGTTGGCAAGGAGCGGCCGCCCCGCCGCGGGGATGCGGATGGGGCCGGGAAAGACGGCGGGGCGCCGCCGGCACGGAGGGAGCGCTGGTAAATCGGTGGCGTTACCGGATTGGCTGCTGCTTGGGGATTGTGTATGCGGGTTTTCTTGAGACATCCATCTTGCATCGTTGTGTGGGGCTTCACGGGCCTGGCTGGGGCATCGGTTTGGTACGGCGTCCTACTTCGCACCTATTTTGCTCATCGTTTCTGGCTTGGTTTGTCGCATTGGAAGCCGTTGACGTCGGCGTGGTACTCCAAATGGCTGGTCGATTTGTTTCGTCGACGGCATTGGCTAGCTGGAGTGTGAGCAGCATGCAGGGGCGTGGAAGCGGATGTTTTACGGGAATTCCAGCAGGCAGGCGGGTGTTCGTCGCAGGTGGCTGCCTTGACTTGCTGGGGAGAGCGTCGCAGTCTACACTGCAGGCCGAGTAGAAACTTGTTGGCGTGCTGCTACGATGGCACGTTATGGTCGCGTGTGTTCGGTGTGTTTACCGATGAGCGGGTGCGCTAGCGTCTGGGCTTTGCGCGTGTCTGCGCAGCTATGCTGTTCGTGCAGATGTCAAGCTAGATTACTCTTTCGTGGATCGTTGGTTCATGCAGTGTGCAGAGAGTTCGGGGGCCGTTTGTCGTATGGGGACGGCTGAGAGTATGTGGACAGGTAGGGCCAATACCATCTGAATATTTGTAGGAGAGCGGCAAGGGAACGGAGCAAAAAAATAGAGCTGGCGAAGGGTTCACCTGACATCACCTCCGTCCAGCGAATTCATGCACCGTCTCGCCGCTGCAATGGGCATCCTAGGGACATGAGGTCGGTCTGCAGATTTGCCGCGGTTTGGACAATCACCTGTTTCACATAAGCAGCAGCTGTGGCAAGTTTTTCAGCTTTTCGGAATAAGTGTCTTGGCCACAAAGGATCCAGGCGTCGGCAACGTGCACGGAAGAGTCGAGAGGGGGGCCAGTGCCGCCAAATCTTCCAAAGTCTCGCGTTTTTCGAGAGCGGGAACACCGGATTGTGTACGGCGTGGTGGCAGCGGCTACGGTCGCCGGATTAGATAGCTAAACTAGGTTTCGTCGTGTGTGCGGCTGTGTGCATTGGCGCGGCATTTGTGCGCATGCTCCCCATGCGACGCCCCTTGTTTAAAGGACGAGCGTATGCATGTTTGGCCGGAAGATGAGAATTTGGGCGTCGTGCTAAGCCTTATCGCGGGGTGGTCATCCCCGCTTCATGGCATTCGGGTACGTGTGTTTTTTAAGGTGTGGATGTGTCCCCAGACGGTGTGTTAACACTTGATAAAGACTGGTAGCGTCGCCACCGTTTTACGAAATTACAAGTACCTCAGTGGAAAAGTGGAGGCCGGTGAGGGATGCAACCAGACGGGGCTTTGTTAGTGCCCACTCTTTTCCATGTGGCAGAGATAGGAGCGCAGTTTTAGTCGTCGCAACCTTCGTGAACTGCATGACAGAACACATTGACAGGGCTGCCTGCCTGCTGGTCGCAGCTGTCCTGGGGGCGGATCCTGCTCATACAGGCGAACCTGACTTTGGGCTGACCTAACCGTGTTGGAAGCTACAGTCCCTTGCTATACATTGTAGCTGACGTTAGCGGGTAGCGCAATCGAACCGCGCGAAATGTGCCGCAGGCTATGTGCTTCATAGTCATATGTTCACGGACTTGCCCAGCATGGAACCACCTTTTGCTTCCAGTGTGACGGCGACAGCATATCGGCGCAGGCCTGCATGTTTCGGAAGTTACTGCGTATGTCCGCGGCGTCCAGTGGAAAGTCGGTTTTATTGCGGTTAATGCTCCCATGGTATTTTCGGGAATGGATTGTACGTGGGACTGCACGTAAAAAGGCCAGGGAATGTGGTTAGGCTGGTTTTATTATTAACTGGCATACAATGAACTAAAACGACCGGCCAAGGCTGTGCGTTACAGCTCCAGACAATGCAGGGGGACAATGCCGTGCGGTTGCGAGTGCAATCCCTAGCCCCGCATGGTTCCACCACGTTACATCAGCACGGTATGGTATGCGCTAGGGTAATCAAGCGACCACACATGGATCAGAGAATCCAAATGGTTCAATGTTTCGTTACATAGCGCGGTCCAAAGCCGACGACGAGAGACAGGACAACGCTCGCTCCGCGATGTAGCGAAACCCAGAAGTAGGAGGGCCTGATCCCTGAACTGCGCGTGGCCATGCCAATGCCTAGAAGACCTGCGTTGGCAATGCCGTGACTCCAAGCCCAACCTTAGCGACACTGGCCCACCACTACCGATGCGCCGTACACAGGAATTAGGTGAACATAGAAAACTTTTGCAGCCAGGAGCCCACTCGTCAATGAACAGGTCCCCATCACCCCGACCTGAAACTAATAACCAGGGCGTCCGGAGGCCACTTACACGCACGAGCGCTCCCCACGCCTACTTCCGATCTCCTGCATCGCCTGCATCTCTATCGCCTCAAACCGGAGATTACAGCCTTTGATTCACGTACCAACCCAGCCTGCAATCCTTGGAAGCCCGGTCGTCCTGACCACCAAAATATACTTATCGAACTACACACTCACAGAAACAATGGCAGAGCTATCCGCGCATTTGTTTCAGCCGCTTGCTGCTGCCGTTCCTTTCTTCGGTTGACCCCTTTCCCCCCTAAATTCAGTTTTTACCCCTGGACGCAAAAGTTACAACCTTCGGTGCCGCACTCCTTCCTCGCGTATAAACCACACTAAGCCGCACCCATAGGTCCGGTCCCACATGACAAAGGGTACCTGAGCACGAAAGGCAAACGATGAGGGGTGATGAGCGACGCTGACACCCGGGAAACATCAGAGCCGCTGCGGGAGGCGGGCCGCCCTATCTTCCTCACCGGGGATATCTGCTCCGTCCGTCCGGCCGTTTGTTGCTGATACCACCCTCGCACCCGCACATAACCTCAAGGTACAGAATCCCGTGCATTCAATCATCTTGTCTATCAACACCGTAATGCACCATACACAACACCTCTCACTTCAGTTCGCAAGCCGTTCCAGAACTTACGGCACTCACTCTACATAATAGGTCGTACAGCTCAATATAACTTCCCACCCTGCACAATAAACCGCAGACCGCGAAGGCTGCTCATTCGCCCCACTCCGCCCCGATGTCTGCACGCAGCCAGGAATGTCTGCAACGCCGCCATCATGTCGGACCCCACGCTCACCACGCATACGCTCCCACACGCGAATATAAATCTTCTTGGACCCGTGAGCAAGATAGATAGATGGATAGATAACAGGATCCATCGGCACGACGCCTGCCAGCAGAATTAAATACCGTTGTCCGCGGCCCTGCCTTGTCAAGTCTTCAGGCACCACTGCGACGTGGACGAACCTGGGGTCCGGCCGGGGCTGTCACGCCGGGGCCTCGAGCCCAGCTGCTTGGCCGTGCCCGCACTGTTTGCCATGCGCAGCGGAGTATTCCGAAACCGCCGCCGTGGACCACACACGCACACCGTGGGCGCTCTACGTCCACAACAGCCGGCTTCTTCAACTCGAAACCTCTCCAGCCTGATTTCTCTAGCCTGACATTCACCGCCTTTTGAAAAATCTTGGGTGGGCAATGCGGCCGCGGGAAACCCACGACAGCTGCAAATACATCAGGCACCGCCAGCCACCCCATGCCACACCACCCTGCTAGCCCCGAAGAATACAAACCTAAGCAGCCTTCTACACACCTTCTCAAGCTCTTACTTTCAGGCACGAGGTCGTGCGAGCGTTTCAAAATTGCACATAAGTTCCAACACACTCCCATACACACAAACACACACACAGACACTACACACACACACACTACACACACATAAAAGCCACTTGACCAACCGCGGTCAACCTGACCAACCTGACCGCTAAACAAAAGGTCCCATCCACAGCAGCGCCTCTAAAACCATGAATGTGGGCGAGGGTTACAAAAAGGAGTGACGGTGCCCGATGACCACCACCGTTGCCGCCCGTTGCATGCATCGACAGCGTCGTACATGCTGTACATCTTGAGTGATACACATGCTCTGCTGAGAAAACCCCCAACGCAGAACCATACCACGTCATCCACACACGACCAGGTGCTCCATAAGGCCCACAACCCAGTGCCACTACGCCCAGCATACTTCTCTGCGAGCCCGGAAGTTTCGGAGCAAAGCTTCTCAACTTGATCAACAGCTCCCGTTTTCCCCCCTGCAGCACCGGGTAGGGAGTCCTCTTTGTCTGCAGTAAAGTGGCACTTAGATCAGAGATTCAGACGCTCGGGACGCCGATTCAGACGTCTCGGGAACCACCTCGTTGCATGGCAACCTCCGCAGCCGGCGTCGTTGTCGTTGTCGTCGCCGTCACCGCCTCCGCTTCCGCGGCGGCGCTGCCTTCAGGAGGAGGCGGCGGCGGGCCCCGCCGCGCCACTGCCGCTGCATGCAACCGCGGCTCCGTCCCCCGACCCGCGCTATCCATTAACCCCCCCGCAGGCTCCACGAACGGCGGTGGCGGCGGTGCCGACACCGCCACTGGCTGTGCGGCATGCGGCACGGTCGCTGAGAACCCTTCGAGCTCCCTCTCAAGTTTAAGATCCAGCGATGCTCGCGAGAGGCTGGCACCAGTGGGCAGAGAGGGCTCCGCCGCCGCCGCCGCGACGCTGCCGTTGGCTGCTGCGGCTGCTGCGGCAGCGGCGGCGGCAGTGGAGTTCGAAGCTGGCTTGGTCAGCGGCGTACCAGGCTGCGCGGCCTCGGCTGAGAGCACCTCCGCCATCTTTGCGTCGCGCTCGGCGGCAGCGGCCGCGGCCGCAGCGGCGGCGGAACGCGCGATGTCCTCCACCTCCGACGTCAGCACGATCATGTCCAGGGATGAAAACGCTGACACCTGCTCCCCCGCACTGGTCATCCAGTCGGCCAGGGCTTGGGTGCTGGGGGTGGGGAAGAGGAGGACGGGGTGAAATACAAAACATGGGGGGGTGGGGCTTCAAACACACCGGGTTGGGGCCCATCGGATGAGGGTACGGGCATAGCATAACCCTAAGTCATCCGGACAGCCGAATTCAAAATCGGATGCGGATTGGAACTTGAAAGAGAGGGCGGCTGCGGCTGCGACTGGGAGCTCCATGTCAAAAAAGCCTAGGATTCTCTTCTATGCACATGACGAAGTGCGAAAGGTAGGCGAACAAGCGCCACGGTGGTTTCCGACAACGCTGTAAACGGTGCCCATCGGCCTTCCGGGCACATCATCCTAAAACACGCACACAGCGGCAATTTGCCTCACGAGCTTCACAGAAACTAACACCCCAAAACCCACGGTTGGAAACAGCAGCACGCTGAATAATGAAGGAAGGAAGGAGGGCCGAGTGCCGCAGAGTACACATGATACGCCGCCCCGCCTACCCCGCCTCGCGCCACCCTCCTCCCCGCGCCTCACCGCGCCTCGATGGTCTCCTCGATGCCCCTTTTCAGGAAGTTGAGGTCGATCTCCGAGGCCCCCAGACCGCCGAGCATCATGGACCCCAGGGCCAGACCCGCCTCTACGCTGCGAATGACTATGTGGTTGGCCCCCGCCTCCTCCAGCTCGGCGGCATGGCTGACGGGTGGGGTGGGGTGCAGGGGGTGGGGGGCCATGCAGTTGTGCAAAGTGGGGCAAAGGAGCTCGCGAAGGTGAAGGGAATCACATGCAGTGGGTGTGTAGGGTTTTTTATGGGTTTAACTGCCGATGTCGCAAAAAGCACATCAGCTGACAGAAGGGGATAGAAAAAAGGAATTCCTAGAGCATTCCTAGGTCATTGGGGGAGAGGTGGGGGCGGACTGCACTACAGGAAGTGTGTATGGGGGGAAGGAGAGAGGGATGGCTGGTACATGGCCTCCAAGGCCTCAATTGACACGGAAGGGGATCGAAGTCTAACTTCATCACATTTTTCGATCTACGCGCTGTGGTGTTGTGTTGTCGTGCAGCATTCAGGCCACGACTGCACCCAAGGTGGTGGTCATTTTTAAACTGTCCGACTGCGGACATTCCCGCCGTGGTAGCCACTCCCCTTCCCGGCCCTCTAGCATACCCCCACGCCTCACCGCAGGTCCGAGGCACACGCGTATATGGGCACGGAGGGGAAGTCTATCCTCATGCTGGACACGGCCTGCAGCGCCGCCTCCCGGTCAGCATAGCAGACCGCCACTGCCCGGGGCTCCTCCACGCCCGCAGCCCGGAGTACGACACTGCGGGTGGCATCACCGTACAACACCTGAGGGGCTCGGGGAGGGGTGTGGGTGAGAACGCGCAAGGGGGCAGAGGGGGAAACGTGGCCAGTTAGAAGGACAAAAGTGCTGTAGCTGGGTGGCGGGCGGGCCGGCAGGAACATGGTTTAGGTGCCCTGTTTGCAACTCCAACCCCCCAGCCAAGCAGTAACAGTGACAGTACGGGGTACGGGGTAACAGTAACAGTAAGTCCCCCATGAGCCCCATCGGCCCCACCTGGCCGCCCACCTGCCCGACCCCCTATCCGGGGAGGCTCTCCTTAGCTCCCCCCGCCAGCCCGCCTACACCGATGCAAACCCCAGCCACGGCACACACACCTTGAAACCCGCCTTGCGCCCCGCAGCCACCCGGTCCGGATCCAGGTCAAACGCCACGTACGGCAGTACGGATGAGCCGTCCAATGACGCTAGGGGGCTCTCCAGCATATTCGCCACCATTTGACCCGCGGGCGAGAAGCCGCAGATCACGACGGGGTCGGAGACCTGTGCGGCCGGGGAGAAACGAGGGAGAGGTCGTCGTAATGGGCAACATGCAAAAGCAATCAGGTCCACAGCACTCTTAACTGTAAGAGAGGTCAAAAGTAAGGATGAGGGAAGGGTGAGGGAAGGGGCAGGAGGTGGGAGGATGAAGGCGGGAGGGCAAGTAGGTAGCAGCATAACGATAAGCGCCGCGGAACGTCAATTGTCTCGGACTAATCATCTTCCCAATACTCCCTCCTCCTCTCATCCACGTCGCCGCCCTGCTCCCCTTCCTGAACCTCCAGAAAAACCAAACCGCAATCCCCAGACAGACAGACAGACAGAGACAGATACGTCCCCGCCTCACCCCCGTGTGATGCCCCCCGGCGCTGTGATCTGTCCCATCGCCAGCAGCGCCCGCCAGCGCTCCTGTCCCCCCTCCAACCGGCGGCAGTGATGCCAATGGTGGGTACAACTCATCAAGCTTGTTGGCCACCACCTTGCCGGTTTCCGCCAGGAAGGGGGTCAGAGCCATGGACAGCACCACCTGAACATGGCAGGGGGATGGGGAGGATGGGGCCCAGGGATCAGGAATCTGGTCACAATGCTAAGGGGATTTCCGACGGAGGACGCCGGGGGGGGGGGGGAGGGAACAGGAAGCAGGTGTGAGGCACGTGTGCCACCCTGGCCACCTAGGTGCATGCCAATGCAAAGGCAGGCAAGCATGACCCTGTGGTGGCGGCATAGGAAAGCCGGCTCCCTCCCTCTCCCTCCCTCTTCCTCTCTCTCTCTCTCTCTCTTTCTCTCGCTCACTCACACATACATACATACATACATACATACATACATACATACATACATACATACATACATACACGAAAACCCACAGCGCCCTGGCCCCCTCCCCCTTGCTCACCACAATGATGAGCAGCTGGTTCAGGTTGGTCGGCAGTATCCTCAGCTGGTTGGCTAGGGACAGCAGCACGAAGGCGAACTCGCCCCCCTGGGAGAGGACAAAGCCCGTGCGGATGCTCTCACTCCTGCGGGGTTGGGGGGTGGGGAAAGCGGGGGAAGGGCGGTTGGAGGAAAGCGAGTAATATGTGAACCCCAACAAAATCCAACTGCCGGTGGCCCACTGCCCCAACCCCACAGGGCAGGTAGGGGCACAGGAAGCAAAAGGGGACCTTGCAGTTCACGTGTAACGAGGGGACTGGAAGGAAAGGCAGGGGGAGAGGAGGGTGGTGAAATGGCAGAGGGAAGGTAGGGACAAAAGCCAAAGTGCCCTCGGAAGGGAGGAAAGGGCAGTGGCGGAGGAGGGCAGCCGAGCCGGGCAGAGAGCGAACACATCTAAGAGCCACAAGCCCGACCTGACCTCCAGATTCACACCCAGGGAGACGGGGAGGTCTCGTAAATCCCAGGTGGTTGTTGTTCTTGTTGTTGTTGTTGCTGTTGCGGGGGGAGAGATCCCCCCGCCATGCCTGGGAAGGTAGTACCGCTGAGTCTAAGGCGTGTCTAAGGATGTCTGACACGGCGAAGGCAAACATGGCCAGATCCCCAACCCTAACTCAGTCCTACACCACCCCAAAAGGCCCCCCCCAAAAAAGATCCCAACCGGCGCGCCGTACTTTCTACGCCGTGTGTCGTACGCACCTACTGAGCCCGACCAACTGCCCCGCGGCCGTCACCACGCCAGTCTTGATCACCACGAGACCAGTGAGGATCCAAAACACCTGCCGTACATGCGAGACAGGAGTACGGCAGAACATGTCAAGAAATAAAACGGGCGGAGCGGCGGCAGGGTAACCTTATCCGGGAAAACGCGGGGAGCCTGGCGCACACGAGCCACAGGCAATTGGGGACCGCCGCGCCAGGACCACCACCGAAACAAAAGCCGGGCGAGAGGATATCTCCCCTTCCCCATGCGACAACGCCGTTGTACGGCAGGACCATGCCCCAGCGTCATGACCATGCCGAATGCCCTGCCATGCAATTTCTTTCCCGCAGCCAGTGTTGCAGCACAGCCTCCCGGCCCTCACCTCCTGCCAGTGCGACTGCAGAAAGGCCAGGTTGATGGACGAGCCGGTGGTTACGAAGAACAGCCCTAACAGCAGCCCCTTGAAGGGCCGGATGTCCGCCTCCACCTAGGGCAAGGCAGCAGGAGGAGGGGGGAGAAGGGGGGGAAAGACGAACCACGAACGAGTGAAGCTGCTGCCAAGAAAAGAGAAGGGGGGCGGGGGGTGAAAACACGTAGCCGGAAGGAGGCGACAGCAGGGCCTGTGACGGGGCCCCCCTGGCAGCTGGAGGACCACTTTCCCCCGCTAGCGCCGCCTGCCCACCCACTCACCCACACAGTCAACAACCGAACCCACTCCAAATCTCCTCCCGCCACCCCTGTCTCGCTCCCTCATCCGCCCCGCACCCTACCCTACCTTATCGTACCCTACCGTACCGCACTCAGAGACCACATTTCTGTGTTTTTCTCTCTCTCTCTCCCCCACTCACCCAATACACAACCCACCCAGCTACCCGCCCGCCCCGCCCGCCTACCTGCGTCCTGTACGACGTCTCCGACAGCAGCACACCCGCCAGGAACGCGCCCATGGTGTCCGACAGCCCGAGGCGCTGGGTGATGAGGGAGGTGCCCGCCACCGTCAACAGACACAGCGCAATGAAAGTCTCGCTGTTGCGGGACTGGGCGACCATCTGAGGACTCGGGGCCAGTGGGGGCCGGTGCGGGTGTGGGGGTGGGGGGATGGACGACGGCGTGATGAGGGGGGTTGAAGGTACGGGAACGACGAGGAGGGGGAAGGTACCGGCAGGGGTAGGGGGCGCGTGAAAGGGGTTGGGGAGAGGTGCTGGTGAGGAATGAATGCGGCTCGCATTTTTGTGGCTTCGCGTTCCCAGGCAGCACCTGCTCCCGCCCCCTATCCTTTCCCACCACTACACACACATACATACATACATACATACATACGCGTGCGCCCTGCACGCGCTTACCTCGAATATTCTCTTCATGATGAGTCTATCTGCCAGCAGCAGGGCCCCCAGTCCCGCCACTGTCTGGAGGGCTGTAGGGCCCAACAGAGTAAGCAAGCTTACGGGGGAGGCGGCGCCCTAGCAACGGGGGGGACGCGGGGGAGCGTGGCCAAGTAAGCTTGGGCAGAAGTAGAGGTGAGAGGAGTGCGTCATGCAGGACGGGCATACATACAACCATACAGTGTTCGCGTTTGTACGTGCAACGGAATGTTATACCCTGCATTACTAGGCTGGGGAGTTTGCTTCTTTGAGAGGTTTCTATCCGTCTTGAAGGTATGGATTTTGTGCGGCTACTTTCCTTTCTAACCTCCCAGGTCCGAAATGAGGCGCCGTGGACCACCGAGCCCAAAGCCGATCACCTCACCTCACCTCACTAGCTTTTGCCTGTCATTGTCGGCCCCCAGGAATCCCCGGACCCCTCCCTGTCACCCGGTAACAGGTAATCAATCAACTCGAAAACGCGGCCACCCTCACCTCCCCCCTCTCTCCCAGCCTTTCTCGGCCTTTTATCCCCATCACCAACCCCCAGCCCGGCCTCCCCCTCACCTCCATGAGCTCAGCTCCCCCTTTGTTGGTAACCAGCGGCAACAGCACCAGGAAGGGCACCACCGCTATGTCCTGCAGGGCAGCGGAAAAAGGCGACATGGCGAGGACGGAGGGGTTAACAGAGGGTGGGGGAGAGGAGCGCGGGAAGGGAGAGGAAACGGGGGGTTAACAGTTGCGGGGCTTCGCGGGGCATCGCAGACCCCGACTAGACAGCAGGTTTACCGGCACACTCGAGGCGGGCTGGGAATCCTACGCGAGCAGCACACAGCGCCGCGTGGAGGGCAAGGGACGGCACCAGCTGCAGAGCGAGCACCCGTTCAGGATTGTGGGGACCTGTCCCCACTGGACGGTAGACAGGGGCTTGCTGGGAGCAAGGCGGGGGGGAGTTGGTGCTTGGATGTTGGCAGGTGGTTCACTGCGCCTTCAGCATGGTACAAAAACCTCCCCCATTCCCCTCTCACCACACCCTGCCTCCCACATATACATACTGCCCCACCTGGAACAGCAGCACGCCCAGCGTGGCGCTCCCGAACCGGGTGGCCAGCTCCCCCCGCTCCCGCAGCAGCTGCAACACGAAGGCGGAGCTGCTCATAGACAGAGCCGCGCCAATAACCACCGCCTCGTCCACGGTGCGAATCGACACCAGGCGGTGGGGCGCGTGGGCAATCTGGCCGCAAAAGGAGAGGACGTGAAGGCGTTTTTGTGACAGTAATTTTATACATGATTAAAACTCACCAAAAGACAAATCTCGGTTGACGAGCCGTCTTTTAAACTGCCTCCACACGCCTCTCGCCCTCCTCCTCTTACCCCACAAACCTGAAGCTACTACGCACCTCGCGGCGCATCGGCCCCCCCCGGGCCCCCCCAATTTGCAGCTGTCCCGTCAAGGCCCGCAATGATCCTGATCGGAGTCTCTAATCACCTCCGCACCCTAAAGAACCGCCGCACACCTGCTCCAAAAACACGGTGCCCAGGCCGTGGCCCACTGGCAAGGCGAACGCCGTGAAGATGCCCGTGCACAGAGCTACTTGCAGTGTGCCCAGACCGAAAGCAAACTTGGCCAGGGACTGCAACGAAGTGGCAGTAGCAGTAGCAGTAGCAGCAGTAAAAAGGATCAGTAGCGGGAACACCCGCGCCTTCCCAAGCATGAGGATACAGCATACAGGGCCATCAAAATTGTCCACCACACGAGTGCCAACCCCATCCATCATGTAATGATATTGAAATTATTATCAGAGCCGCGTGATGGAAATGGCGGGGATGGAAGTGTACAGAGGTGTGCCCAGAGAGAGCCCGGCAGCCCAATAACGTGGCCGGCTGCGTATGTCACGCCCCCGGCAGCACGTCCCGGCCATCTGGCGCCATCACACGCAGCACACCAACAAGAGGCCGCTCCCGCACCACGGGCCATGCTGCGACCCTCTCCCTCCCCTCCTCAATCACGTCGTAGGCGCCTCGCTCGCACCTGCAAGATCCCACATCTCGAGCACCCTACCTCCCCCCAAGTTCCATCTGCAACCTACAGGCTAGTGCGCCGCCCTAAACGTGCATATGCCCATTTCCTGGACTGGCCCGCATCCTGGCGTAGTAGATTCGGTTGGGTGCATGGAGACCCACCACAACACAACCCCTACACATGTCGGCATTTCTACGCCCCGTCAATCGCCAACCGGCCCATATGTCAAATCGCGTGTCAAGGACAGGAGGTGGCTCCGTTCCGGTCTGCTTTTCCTTTGCAGGGAGGTTAGGCATGTTCAAGGGGCTTTACGCATCTGCACGATTTCTGGGTCGGAAGCGTGCAGCGCGCCCTTGAGCTACGTTGACAGCGACGCCACTGGCCTGGCCCCGTAAATGGCACGATGGCTGCGCTGACGACTTCCGTCCGTCTTTGCTGCGCCACAGATTAATCCCAGGTTCCGCCCCCATACCGCCTCTCCTTCACCGTGGTCGGGTGCGGGTGCGGGTGCGGACACCCGCAGACGCCGGAACGGCTGCTGCCGCTGCTGCCTTTCGCCAGGAGCTGCCCCATCGTATTAGCCATAGCATGCACCCGGAGATAATGACCCCAGCGCGTGTGTAGCACCCTGGCTGCGGTCGCGAACTCGTAATGTCCCAGCGCACCCAAGGAAGTTGGATTCGGGCGCTTCGCAAGCCGTAGCGGCTGCCCGCGGAATCCGGGTAATCCGGATCGAGGGTGACCCAGAATGCTGGGAGGAGAACCCAACGCATTCGGCAATAGTGCTAGGTGCAATCCGCCCTACCCTCTACTCAGTCAGTGGTCTTGCTCGGCTATCCGGTTGTTGCACCTGCGCGCACCTTTAAGCGGTCAAAAGACAGCTCCAAGCCCATTTCAAATAGCAAGAACAGAACGCCCAGCTCTCCTAGCCGTTCTGTGTCCTGGAGGTCCTGAAAGAGGCTGCGGAAGTTGACACCGAGCGGAGGGCTCAGGGTTTGTATGTTTGCTGTGGCAGTGCACAAGAGGCGTGCGAAGCTGGTGATGCTGGCGATATCGGCGATGCACTAGGGAAAGGGCGAAATAAGGTATTGTCCCGGAAGGATTGGCTTGCAGGGGAACATGGTCACCAACGGGTCACACGGTGGACCCGGCGGGTCACGCAGCCCAAAACGATGAAGAGCACAAACATAGTATTCCCTAGACGAATTTTTTATGTTGGAGCACCTGTGTAAAACAAAATTGTCCAGCAGGCGTTGCTGCTGGGCGTTCAGTTGTCCCGTGCGTTCATCTGCCACGCATACATGAAAAGGTGCGCCCACCACTCACCCAAGCTGTTTCAGCACCACGCCGCTGAACAAGAAGCCCAAGACAGGCGAAAGCTTTAGTGATTTAAAGAGCGGAATAACAAGGACGGTGGCTGATAGGAATGTGAGGAAGTCCAGCCCGAGCGGTAGGAGCATGCTGCTCTCCGTCGATGCAGCAACGACCCGTCCGCGTGGGGGAGTAAGGTTTCCATGCTTCCTTCGCCGTAAATAACTGCCGCTTAAGACATTACAACTTCCAAGCTTTACGCAGCTCGCTGCCTTGCTGCGTAGACTGCTCTGCCAGCGACGAATAGGGCCTGTCTGTAGTCGATTGGCTGACGCAACACATGTATAAGGGACAGGATTACAAAGCGGGCTGCGGTAATGTGCTATATATGGTGCCCCGCAGCGCAGGCTCATGGCCATCCACCAACCACTGGTTGGCCCCAAAGGGGCCTCCGGTGCTACCTAGTCAGTTGATACTCAATGTTAGTATACTTGCGGTCCACAAACCACGCTCCGGTCAAGGCATTCTTCGTCAGCCGGTGGAGAATCCGTGCGTCAGTAAAGGGATCGGCACGTCCTAAGCGACAGCAAGGACACACGAAACGGCTAGTAGCAGCTAGAGTTGGCAAGGTAAAGTTCTAGCTCCGAATCCATGTACGAGTGATCGGCAAACACTATACACCAAGCATCGCGTCAAACAAAGAATAAAAATAAAAGTATTATTGGGCGTGCACTAATCTTGTCATAAAGAATAGAGCACTATGCAACTCCGCACTTCTTGAGAGCATTGCCTGGGTCCTCTTGGTACTGTTCCCGTGTGATCCAGAAGTCCGTATGGTCCTGCGTTGTGGCGGTTACCATTGTTAGCCACGATTTGCTTTTGATCTAAGGGCATGCTGGCCCGCCCAAGTCGCCGGACTGCACTCTTATGGCATGTCTAGACTCCGCAGTCTTTGCAGGGCGAGCATCAAACCTGGCTATGCATCGTACAGCCTAAAGTACAAGTGCTTTTGAAGACCCAGGGCAAGTATTACCTTCACTTTAGTCCCCCAATTTCCCCCCTTAACAGAACCCAACCAACCTTCATAATATCCGCCAGCACCGCGCCTCCAAGAAACACCATGTATTTTCGGTTGGGCGGATCCGCAATATGGAGTTTCAACTTGCGGAGCCTTGTCCTATCGCCCTGGCGAGGGATTGATATTTGGGTTCAGCCAGCGAATTGCAAATCTCCCTTGCCATTCAAACCACGGACGATTTAGCACAGCCGCTCGAGTTATGTCCCACGCCCACACCAGAGTCCCTGTCCCCCCGTTGTGCCATCCAGCAGGCAGACCTAATAATCCCATGAGAGGGGTTTCCTCGGTTCACGCGTGTTTTCCTTCAGGGATCCAACTGGGACACGCATGAGTCGACGACCGCCTTTCGACGGCTCACGCCCCAATGAATCCTTTGATTGGTGCAGCCAACCAAACCCACAAGGGTATTCGGGCTCGTGCCAGCGGGAGTACCTCAGTTCCACGGGCGCACGGTAAACGCAGAGCAAAGCGAAGAACCATCACTGCAGTAGCACTCACATCACGATTCAGGGCCCATAACCCGCCTTCACAGAGCATCTGTAACCGCAAACCACCACCACCACCAAGTCCAGTTCCAAACACCACCTTTTTAGCCTTTTCCTTACCCCCCAACCCCTTTCTTCCCCGAAACCCCCCTCCTAACCGCCCTGCCCACTCCCCCATCCGACACCCTACCCGTCAGCCCCAAAACCCTCCCTTGCCCCGGCCCTCACCCCATTGCTCCACCCCTTACCTTAAGTACCCGTTCCACGTATAGGGTTCGAATTTCCTTGTCCATGCGTGTCGACATGCCGGGATACATGGTGGATCCGCCGCTGACGACAATGTGCTCGTACAGCGCTCGCCGATTGTCAATAGGCGCATCCTGGATAGCATTGAATGCCATCTCCGCGATCCCTGGCGCCTCTACGTCCAGCAGCCGCGGGTTGAACATCGCCTCAGGCGCCATGAACCTCTCCGGTCCCAGCCGGATAACGCGGCCGTCTGGCAGCGTGTACGAACGCATCAGCTGTGTCGTCTCGCGCGCCAGCTTGAGCTCTTTCTGGTAGTCAAAGGCCACGTACGCCAACCGCTCTTTGATGTCTCGCACGGTGTCCAAGTCCGAAGTGTGGCTTAGCGCATAGCCGCGGCGTTGTAGCAACTCTAGAAGATGCGAGGTGACGTGACGCCCGGCGACGTTGAGGCGTTTGGTCTGGTGGGGAAAAGCGTAGCCGTCGACCACGGCCACGGCGTGCGACACCCCATCACCCGAGTCCAATACGAGGCCAGTCAGTAGGCCCTGCGCGTACAGCGTTAGTACGGCCTGGATCTGCATGTTGGCCCCCGAGAAGCCGTACTTCTCAAACATGACCTCCAGCATGCGTTGTCGGTTGGCGGTAGGGTTCATGGCGGGGTCGGTCAGAAGGATTCGGCACTCGGAGGGGTCGACGTTGAGCTGCTCCGGGCTGAAGGCATGGTCCCAGATGAGGCCTGTTGGGAATGGGGTGAGGCGGGCGCGTGTCAAGAGGTGAGGCGTGCGGGAAGGATGGAATTGCGACAGCGCCTCCTTGCTTTACGGGAAGGTTACTGAGCTATAACTGGCAACTACATCATAAGACCCGAACCCGAATGGCTCCGATCAACGACATGACATGTATGTCTAGGATTAGCGGTAGTATCTCGGTGAGGGTAAGGAGCCAGTTGAGGAGCCAGGTGGGTGCGGCAAAACCCTAGCAACCCTTGGGCTCTACTCACCCATATCGTCCCAGCTTTGTACGATGCCATTGCGCATTGGGTACAACAGCTCCAGCTGGGCTTTATTGCTGGATGCCTCCGTACCCACATAAATATCCTGCAGAGCAGGTTACGAGGGCCAATGGTGCGCTTACGAAAGGCCAGTCAGTGTGCAGCTCTCTGGGCAGCTCGACGATCCCCTTAAAGAAAACTTTCTTTGTTCCGGATCTCTGACTTCGTGCGTATAGAGGGTTGCTAAGCTAGGTGGCGGCAGGCAACAGGCAAGCAAACTACAGCATGCGCGAATGCAAAACCCCTGTCCAAAGCTCTGCTGCAGTCTGCACGCCTGGGATTAGCCCCCCTTCATTTTTTTCCATCTGGCGATAACGTGATAGCGTCCTTCACCAGATGTCGAGTCACACGGCTTCCAAACCTACCTTAAGTTGCTGCTGCTGTGAGAAGGGGTCGTTATACCGGAACGTCGGTCTACCCACGAGGCAGGGAAAAACTGCTCGAGGGAAGCTGTCGCCGGCGAAGCCGCATTTGACAAGCTGCAGACAAAGGGGGCTGTTTTGGCGCGAGGCAAAGGCTTCCGTACGCAGCCTATTTCCAGCCACTTACGCCAGTTCCGTTGTCACAAACGACTACACGGTTTCGAGGAAAGTCACCCATAGCCAGCGATGTTTTAACGGCATGTCATTCTGATGCCCTTTTCAACAGAAAGGCGCACGCTTGCAAACATATACTCCGTGAGCAATTAAGTTTAAAGTTGGTTGCTGTAAGCTACAATTTTACAAGGTTATGAGTTCACTATGTTATGGCAGGTAATTTGCAGCATGAGCACTTGGACTGCAATAACTGTACGACCATTCCCGCTTCTTTTGTAGGAATAGGCCGCTCTTCCTTCCTGCTTTTAGGGACAACATACAAACGTACATATATTCTATATGTCTTTGGTCGCTGTGGAGGAATGTCCACAAAGCTGGTCAAGAAGCAACTGAATTCCTTGATTGAGCAGCACGCCGCCCATTCTGAAGGCAAGGCGGTTACTTCTTCGCAAAGGCCTAAAGAAAAGCGCCGGCAGGCGGCGCTGAAGAAAAAGCAAAAGCAGCTGCACAAGGAGGCTCAGGCTCAGCGGACGGAGCGCTTGGTGTTCAGGAAGAACCTCAAGTATTACAGCACCACTAAGGGGACAAGCGACCTTAACGCAGAGCTCATGGGCAAGCTGCTCGCCTCTGTGACTGCGCAGAAGAAGTGAACTGCGCCGCCGACCCATCAGCGATTACCCAGCCCCGAAGCAGGGGCACGCCATCGTAGATATCTTAGCTCCAGAAGTAGATCATTCCAGTAATGCCCTTGGGGGTATGGACTTATACAGGGTTGCCTTTCAGCAACGCCCCCAGTACTTTGCAGCAGGTATGCGTCCTACACCCAGGAACGCACTCTCGTCGGCCATGGGCCACTTTGCGGACTCCGAACAGCATCTTGTCAGCCCCAGCTAAACACTTCGTATGCCATGGCAGTAGCCCGCCCTTTGCTAGCCATGCGCAGCACGTGGTCGCAGCCAACAAACGCACTGTCCTGTACCCCGATAACCTCGCCCATAAAACGGCCTCATCGAAAGCTTTCCATAAGCCGCTTAGCAAACCCTCGACAATTTGCTCGGCGAGTTCAAGCCCCAGCGGTGGCGCCGGCAGCGCTTTCGGCGACCCCAATACGCTCGTGGGAATGCTGATGGCCTATGCCGTCCAGCTACAACAGCAACAGGCCGCCTCTGCCGCCGCGCAGGGCGCAGAGATACGTGTGGAAGGCATTGGCTTCCACCCTCCCGGATCAGAGAAGCCGCTGCTGCAGGACATCAACATGTCCCTTCCAGCAAACAGCCTGGGACTCGTCATGGGACGTTCCGGCTCAGGAAAGACCACGCTCCTTCAAGTCCTGGCAGGCCTCACGGAGCAGACCTCCGGCCACATCCGCATCCTGCGTGGTGCTGCGGCGGCAGCGGACAGCGGCGACACGGCCATCCTGCAACAGAGCTTCGCGGCGGCGCAGACGGCGTCAGGGCAACACGGGGGCGCCCCGAGTAGCAACGGCGTCTCACCTGCCGTGTCGTCCGGATCGTCCGGAGGACATGCTAACGGTGCCGAAACGAGCACCGGTGCAAATGGCGCAGCCGCTGTGGTGGTTCGACCAGGGTTGACAGTTGAGGAGCGGATGCAGCAGGTGAAATGGAATTAAGCGGCCTCCATTGGGCCGTTTTTCCCACCTGGTGTGCTAATCTGCCCCTTTCAGAGATTGCATAAGGGGCTCAGACAGGGGCTGTGGAAAGGGGAATGGCCAGGATGGCTGTCGGTCTGGGGCCCCGTTGTGCTGATCTGTTGTTATGCGAACTGCTGCTGCTGCTTCTGGCAACTATTGCTGGCCTGGAAGGAAGCTGTTGCCGGGTCGCAATCCTTGTCGCTGCGCCATTTTCGTTATATTTAGCTGTCGGCACGGCGCTGCTATGTGCTGCAGGTGGGCCTCGTGTTCCAGTTTCCTGAGCGGCACTTTCTGGGAGAGGACCTTATGCAGGTAGAGTAATGCATGTCCTGCATGCCCTCCAAACCCGTTAACTGTGGGTGGGTAGTGGGACTGGGGCGGCTTCAATATGCATGTCATTGCTGATCCTCGGCATGGGGTCTGGGCCACGGAGCCATGTCCGGGCTACGTGTGGGTTACGATCTCCATGCGGTGACTAGACAAGACCATGGCCAGGCCAGCGGGCTGGCGCGGTTTGGTCTTATAATCCATGCCTCTGCGCCGCCTTCGTGTAGCGATGAAGAGAGCACCGCATCATGTAGCTTGCACGAATCGCCAATGCCGCCATTGCTGCAGGAGCTCACGTTTACCTGGCCACGGTTGACGCAGTATTGGGGGGAGCGGCAGGCGCTTTCTGCCAGGATGCAGCAGGCGAGTAAGCGTGCCGGATGCAGGGATGCAACTCAGGGAAGAGCACGGCGTGACGAGCGTACAGGGGTCTTCCTAGAGGTTACCCTGTCTTTCGAGGACAGGTTCAGCTGCGCGGGAGCATCGCCATGCGCGCCTGGCTTTTCCGGCGTCGGGACTTCTTGTGGCTGCCGCGGTAGTTCAGGAGGGAGCTAGGGCCCTTGATAGCACGTCTTTTACCATAAAGGGCTCTAGCTGTTGCTGCAGTCCTTGCCGAAGGAAGCGTCAAAAGCCCCCGTCCCGAAACCGGGATAATCATCCCGTGTGCTCTGCGCCCCAATAGTGCTGCTCCTCGTCGTGGTCCCCGCAATGTGGCTTTAATCCCTGGCCCATGCGCGCACACGGTCCGTGGCCATGCAGCCCTGAACCCAACCGACCCCACTGCCCCAGTTGCCGCGCGCTAAATCATCTCATTCGTTTTTTTGCTGTGCAAGAAGGTATTGGAGGCCGTGGGTCTGCAGGACATCCCGCTGCATGTGCAGCCCTGGGCTCTGTCTGGCGGTCAGCAGCGTCGCCTAGCGCTTGCCATCCAGCTTGTGCGCCAGCCGGCGCTGCTGCTGTTAGACGAGCCGCTGGCGGGACTGGATTGGGAAGCACGACAGGAGGTCGTGACGATTTTTCGGAAGCTCAAGGTGGGTTGCTGTGGCCCCAAAGTTGAAGCTGCAGGCTTCGGACGGGCGCAAACGTGTGTGGCAGATGGCCGCTGCGAGGCCGCTTGGCAAAGGGGAAGGGGAAGGTGCGGCGAATGGTAAAAGCGCTGCGGAGGTCAGGGCCTCTTGCCGCTGTTCTGTGGCCAACATCGCGCATTCTGAGCACCTCCGCCCCGCCTAAATACGCAAAATGTCCCTGGGCATGCTTGGCGTGTCCAGAGTTTGGCATTTTTCATCGGCGTGCTTTGGATCAGTGTCAGCGTTCGGGGGCCTCAACGGCATATGGAGACTGGCCATGTTGTCGTCAAAATAATCCCTCGGGGCACTGCGCTTAACGCAACTTTACGGCGCTTCATCTCGATGCTGATATTCGCTTGCCCTCTGTTCACTTGCTCGGTGGCGCCTTTGCACGACGCGTAGGAGCAGTGCACCGTGCTGGTGGTGAGTCACGACCTTGCGGAAATCGCGCCACTAGTGGACTGCGCTTGGCGTATGCGCACTGGAGGCACCTGCGAGCCGGTTTCGTGGCCACCGATGGATCTAGCGGGTTTAGAGCAATAGTGGTGCCAAGAGGGAGCTGGGAGCTGGGCAAGGAGCTGGAAAGACGACGCGCGAAAGCTGGGGCAGGCCAGGGGGAGTTGGACAGGCAACCCTTGAGACAGGCAACCCTTGAGAGTATCTCTTTTTGCTAGAGACTATGAGGATTTCAGCGTTAGGTTTCACGTGCTTCTAGATTCTATCTGCGGGATGGCATGATGGCACACGGGCTTATTGGCGTTTACAAGCAGGCTTGTGCCAGCGGTGTCAGTGTGTTAAGTGCCGTGCATGCAGGTTGGCGTGTGTTTCTCTGAGTGTTTCTCACTCTGAGGCGTGTTTGATAGGTTAGATGTGCGGCCTAATGCGGCACGCAAGGTACGCAAACACAACTGTACCTCTGTGCCAATGGTTCGTGCGATGACGGTGCGTCAACGCCTACATCAGCAGTGCTGTGGATGATACTTATTAACCAGAATGCCATTGTTACAGTGGACCCCGAACGGGTCGAGTGCAACGCGCCTAGGACACAACACTGCGGGCCTTATTCAAAAAGAACTCGGCCAGGCCGTACTAACTTCACTGGCCATAAATACTCAGCTAGTACGTCAGACAAAACAGATCAGGCTCAGACTGAGCCCGCAGACCTCCTCATTGTATTCCGGTCAACGGCAGACAACCTCGTTTGCATTGTTTGACTGACAAAAAAGGTAGTTGTCAGGCACGTGCTCCCAAACTTTTGGCGGGTTATCCCAGGTCGCAAAAGCAGTTAAACGGGCCCAAAAGCCGGAGACGAAACCGTTGAGAGCGGATGCAGGCAGGACCGAAAACCCTATCTGTACAAAAAGTGGGGACCGAGATTGAGTGAGCTGATGGCTGCAAGGCAAACCACCTCCCGCACACCTACTAAGAACCCCGGTAAAGGGGTCTGGCAATTTCAGTTCATTCAGCAATCGAATATTAGTGTATTATTTAAGTAGGGACGTGGCGGACGCGCTGAGGGCATGGGCAACGAATTGCCGGCAAGCGATGTCCTCTTCTTTGTCCTTCCCAACTGGAATGGTAGCCACAAAAGCTGAGACACACTGACAGAGGTACATAACCCCAAATAACAACGCGGCATGCATACTACAAGCCGAGTTGCGCTGCTTCACGGGATACCCCGATATTTTGATGCTTATATAAAGCAAGAGGTCTTGTGAGTAGTAGTGCTGCACTAGGTGGACTGTTGGAGCGTATTGACAAATGTCAGCCGTAACGCAGTACGTTGCCTTGACGTTGGTGGCCGGGATCTGAGCGACGGTCTCTGTAACATATGCGACACATACTTCTAAACTGGTAAGAACACTTCAATGCGGCTCACATGCCCAGGAGCACCCCTGGTATTATGACACTTTCAGGAGGCCGGGCTTCCACAAAACGTATACGCGTACATGACTAGGGCCTCTACATGTTGCGCATATCTGTGAGAGTGTAGGGCTAGCTAATGGAGACGTTCGTGCTATTTTGCACAGTAAGTGTTTGGTTATTCTATCATATATATTTCGACTCTTGGCATCTCAACTCTCTGCGCGTTTGGTCGAGAATAGTTCCCTTGTGTAAAACTGTCGACAGCACCAACTTTTGGCATTGTCACTGACCCCTGACCACAGGAGCGCCACATTTGGAATGATATACTCACAACTGCTTTAATCACCTGCATGGCTCATGTGCATGCTGCAAAGCTGCTGGACCTTTTGGTTTGTCAGCAACAAGGCGCATGGCCGTGGTCAGGGGCTACGTTTGATTACCCTTGCGACGGCACAGTGCTGTCCAAGGCGGTTTCGGTGATTCGAAACGCTCATAATACCTGGCAAGGCATATGGCGGCTGCAAGGTCCTGAAATGTATCTGGTACGTGTAATGGGGTTTGCATTTCACATCAAAATGTTGGGGCCTTTTGGTATCTCCCAGTTCCATTCATTTCGTTGCTCTACGGCTTAACCGTCACTCCATGACAAAATGATAAAATACGCAAGAATCGTGAACCATGGTCCTGCGCTGCAAGCATGGCTCATATCACGGGGGATAAGTTTGTTTTAGGTAGGTCACGCCAAACCTGGCATAATAGTCATTTAGGGTGTTGAGAGCGGTCATATCTGGATGTTCGTGGACGGCTTTATGTGAACGCGGTTAGTGCTGTGCTTCCCCCCCTCCACTCGCGCCTGCATTAGCAGCGTGCCCCGCCTAAACATGGGTCCCATGTGCTCCCTTCCATGAAATCACGCAGCTATTCTGCGTGTGCGCGAACCTGTCATGGTTTGCTATCGCTGTAGCAAGCATTCGCAGCGCCCTAGTCAGGCGTTTCTACGCTTCCGGGGCTCGTGTCGTCCTACTTGTGAGCACCAAGTACGTATTTTTCGGGGCGGCCTTCTTCAAATTGCAGGGGTCATTAGATGTGCAATCAGTTACTGTCCATCCCTATCGTTTCCGTCTATTGAAATCCGAGACACGTCAACGTCGCTGTGTCATGACCAATACTTCTGCAGCTTTATGTAGAGGTTTCAAATAGAGCCGCTGCAGAAAGACTTCATGTGAACACTGACACAACTCGTGCTTAACCATGTTTGTTCGTCGGCATTTCACAACATGCTTCTTGCGTATATGATTTACCCCATGGTCTCGTGCTGTGGCCCGGGAAACAGGTTTGCCAGCAAGGTCGCGACCATTATAACGTTGGCTCTCTGGAAAGACGCCCCACCGTCGACGTTTTGCAAATGGTGCGCCGTGGTTTTGAGGATGACGGTCGGAAGCTTCAAGCACACTCCTCGCGACCGCCCTGAGACCCTTGTGCTAATCCCAACCCATCAGACTGGGTATATCTGCCTCATCTTCTACTCTACTTCCACTGCTTACCCTTTTCAGGATGCGAGCTTTTTTTCCTGCGACTTACATGCCCGTGACTGCCCCTTGGAACCCTTATATGGCCAGCCTGGTAGTTTTTCCCTCCCTCGCATGGTTGTCCAGCGCCCGTTCTGTCTTTTGTGCGTTTATAGCGCTCTTCTTTTGTCGGCAAGTCTCTTGGCAGTCTCGGCACGTAATCTCTTTCATTAGTCTCCGTTTAGCAGCACGTATCCTTCATTGCTGTCTCACACTGCACACCGCGCGTGCTATTGTGCAGGTATCTGCCCCTGGACGGTGCAGTCCTGCTGTGGCAGGCGCATGTGGCACCGGTGAGATGCTAGAAGGGCATTTGAGAGTAACGGGGGAAATCGGAGCTGTTTGGAGGGACAGGGTTTTGGGGGGACGGTGATTATTTGTGCGCGAGAAATTGACGCGGTTAGGGCGCCAGTGTGCTCGCCAGTCTGTTCTCGCCACATGGACGGCGCCATCTCAAACCCCTGCACGTGTGCAGCCGGTCGGTAGCGCGTTTGAAGTGCTCACAACTGCAGCAGCCCATCAGTGTGGCTGCCACACGCCTGGGGCTGCGGGCCCCCGCCGTACCATAAGGCTTCTGGGAGCGGTGTAGGTACACTCCATGTAACGAGACCCCTGCCGCCTTCACGCTTCGGTATTGCCGCCCTCGGCCGCAGGTAGGCGCGGTTGCGCAGGCAGCAATCGCAGCGGCCGATACAGCCTGCACGTTTTGCTGCTGTTGGCTGCTTTCGGACCGCTGGCCATACAGCTTCAGCACGGGCACGGTGTTGGCTGTCAACCTGATGCTGGCGGTTGCGTCTCTGTGGCTGGCGGAGCGGATGGAGCAGTCAGACCGGCGCGCATTCGAAATTGCAGCATCCAAGGGCGTGGGATCTGGCACTGCGGAGCTGGGGGTAGCGCAGAAAGGGTGCAAAGCGTGCCTGAGTGGCATTGCAGCAGTAGGCGAATCTTCAGGTAGGTTTGAGCTCCTTGGAAAGATGCATATGGATGGGCGTTTGAGAGCCCGGTTGGCAGATTGCGCAGCGTAGGACATTTCATCTGGAAGCGCTATGTCTACGTGGCGCGGAGCTGGAAACCGGAATAGTCATGAACCATGACAGACTCATGAAATCGGTTTTCAGCAATGCCTAACTCTTACCGCCCGACCGGCTGTGCATTCAAGTAAGAGTAATCTGGGGGAATCTGGGACTGGGTGTTCTAATCGCTGACAGGCATGGCCTTTGGAGCAACCTGCTGCGACCGAGTCGCCATGGGCATGTGCGATTGTGGATGCATGGCTAAAGGCGCGGCGGTCATGAACGCGGGTGCAACCGCTGGCATTGGCGATGGTTGCAGCAATAACAGCGGCGTGACATTGGACGGCGCCTGCGGAAGGCCAATGCCGCAAGCACCGGTGCGGCCACTACCATCAAAACTGCCACAGCAGCAGCAGCAAGAACAGCAGCACCGGCAGCAGCAGCCCTGGTGTGGCTTGGATGTGTGGAGCTGCTTGCCCCGGAGGCCACTGACGTATCCAGGTAACACCGTCGCCAGCGGCAACGGTAGCGGCGGAAATGCCGCCGGACCTGCCGATGGCCCTGCCGGCGCGGGCTCTTGCAGCGCCGGCTGCGGAACAGTTTGCAGTGAGGTGTCTTCCCCAGGGACCCTCTCCTCCACGCGTTCGCTGAGTCGCGCGCTGCCATCCTTCAGCACGCTAAGCAATAACAGCGCTTATGGCAGCGGCGCCGGTGGCAGCGGCATTTCTGCAATCGTGCTATCGGAGACTGGAGGCCCTTCTCGGAGCGCCAGTCGACCGTCCAGCTGCGTCGGCACGCCCCTGGTAGCGCGCCCAACCGTCCAGCAGCAGCAGCTGCAGCACCAGCCGTCCCAGCGGGCTGCTCCTGGCCGTGTGGCCCTCGCGCTGGCGGTAGCGCCAGGGCAGGGGCCTGGCCCGGGCAACGCCACCGGAGACAGAAGTACCGCCGCTTCAGGGGGCTTGGCAGCCGGTGCATGCCCAGCAATGCAGTTGTCGACGTGCACTTGCGCTTCCGCGCAGGGCCCTGCCGCGGCCAGTCACAGTGCCGTTAAGGATATCTGTGGGGTGTGCGCTACAGATAGCATTGGAACCGCAATGGCGTCGGTGCCTGCGTCGGATAGTGCGGGGCTGGCGCCAAGGCAGCTTGTTTTGTCCGGCGCTGTCAACGGAGGGTGCTCGCTCGTTGGGAGCGCGATAGGTGGGCACCTGGCTTCCACGCCGCCTGGGAGGCCAGAGCTAGATCGTGCCTCGTCCGTACGGGGAGTTTCGGGGCGAGATGTGAAGAGGGGGCCACTGGCGGGTTTGCTGCCCACGCCACACGGCCTGGGGACATGCAGCGGGACGCAGCACGAGGGCGACGCCGACGCAGCCCGTGTCGGCCTGCCGCCATCGCCGGCGGCCGCCGCCGCCGCCGAGTCAGGGGTGGTGTCGGTGTGCGCCACGTCGTTGCTGTCGGCAGGCCCCGGCCCATTGCGGCAGTTACGCCGACTAGTGCAGAACCTGGCGATGAGAGGCGCCCCAGCTGCAGCTGCGGCGGTCGTGTCGCCGTCTCCAGAAAGCCAAACTGCTGTCATGAGGGCCTGTAGCAGACACACAAGCACCAGCGGTATCGATGCACCGTCCGTCGCGAAGGGCAACTGTCCGTCCGCTAGTGAACGGCCTTCGGAGCCGCGTTTGTGCTCGTACCAGCGGGAGGGCGCTATGGTAGCGGCGACCAAGGCAAGGCCGGACGGTGCAATCAGTGCCCAGCAGTGCGGCTCGGGCTGTCCAGTCGTGGGCGAAGCGAAAGCGCGGCCTTGCAGCTGCTGCGATTCTTCTGCCATTGCGCCAGACGGCCACGCGGCTGCTAATGGCGCCGTTGCGCGGCGCTTGCGCCCGCCACCGGCGGCGGCAGCACCAGTGTGCGAGGCCATTGTTACAGAGGCGACACATTGTGCCCTTGGAGCTGTATCACCCAGCCACATGCTGGTGTCGGCGGATGGTGTTCTGACGCACACACAACAGCCGGTCGACTTGGCGGCCGCCCAGCCGCACGTGCGTCGGCCTGGCGGCTTGGCCGTCTGGGCGCTGTCGGCCGACACCGTCGCGCCAATACAGCAGCGGCAAGCAGTGCAGCTGCAAACGCCTTTTGAGTTCGCTACCATCGCTGCCATGCCATCGGCGGGGCCCAGCCAACGCGGCGGCGCGTGTTCGGCCGTCGCCGTCGGCACTGGGCCCATGGACAGCGCCGCTGCCGAAGCAGGGCCCGTCGTTGCCAGTGGCAGGGAGACGATTGTCCCTTTGTCCTCCATTGCAGCGCCGGCAATCCGTCCTCTAGCACCGCTTGACGTGGCCACGGGTTTGGCCGGCACATGTAGCGGCCTCGACGTTCCGGCCTTCGATTCTCCTTGTGTTGCTCTCTGCGCCGCCGCCGCTAACTCGAGCACGCAGCGCAACTTTGCCCTCGCCAAGTCTCTTGCGTCCAGGGGCGGCAGCAACGCCATGTACGACATGCCAGCGCTCCATCACATCCGCTGCAGCATAAAGCTGTCAGGCCTGACCCCGTCGGACCTGCCGGAAGGCTTTGTAGAACGTGTGGCTTCGCTGCTGGCGGCGGCTGGCGGCTCAGCAGTGGCGGCGGCGGCAGCGGCGGCGGCAGGGCATTCAGCACCGGCGACGCCGGCGCTTGCGGCGGTGGGAACGTACGTGCGCGAGGGATGTGTTGAGATAGTGGCGGACGTCTTGGTGCCATCCGAGGCAGCGGCGGCGGAATCTCTTATCGTGGCCAGTGCGGCGGGCGGAGCTGCGGAGGGCGGCAATGGCAGCAGTCGCATTTCTGGGGCCGTCAGCACTGGCACGCCTGGGCTGGCGCCATTGCTGCCTATTGGGGAGCACGTCGCTGCGGCCACGGTGGTGATGCGACCCGCCGCGGCTGTGCCGTCAGCGCCCCGACAGCACCAACAACAGACGCCCGCAGAGTCATCCTCTGCCACCGCATTGCATCCCGACCGCGCGGCCGCAGAAGCCATGCTAGAGCTCATGGAGCAGAGCCTGCTGCCGCAGATCCACGGAACGCTGGGACGCCCGGGACGCGGGATATCGCCGATGTCGCCGCTAACCGGCGGCGACGTGAGGATGCAGGCCGCCGTAGGGTCAGCACAGGTGGAGGCTTGGCGCCAACCTCTATCGGCGATGGCCACCGCGGCAGCGGCGACGCCACTGTCCCCTGCAGCTCCCCAGGTGCCCCCCCCAATGACCATTGTGTGTGTGACGCCGTGTTGTGTCACGCTCCGTCAGGCCAGCGGTGACGATACGCGTGACCGACGGCGCCCCACGGTGACACTGACGATTGCACTTGCTGGTGTTGACGCCAGTACGGGCGGGGCAAGGCTGCCGCGCGTATTCGTCCGGCACAGCGGCCGCTGCCTAGCGGCAGTGGTGCGTCCCTGTGCCGTATCCTACATGGGCTGCCCGACAATAACTGTGGAGCTGGCGATGTCAGGTGTACGTCCCGGGCTGCTGTTCTTGGAGGTGGCGGCGGCGGCAGCCGGCGGCACGGACGGTGGCGGTGGCGGCCACGGTGCGCTATCGCTGCCGTGGCCGGTGCTCGTGGTCGGCGATGGACGCGTGGCGGCGGAGGTAATGCGGGTACAGCACCAGCTGGACGCAACGGTGGCGTTGCGGGCCGCATACGCCGATGCTGAGCTGCTGCAGCTTCGCCAGCAGATGGCAAACAGCAGCAGCACCACCACCACCACCACCACCACCATCAACAACAGCGACAACAACGACAGCAGCAGCAGCAGCAGCAACCTGTTGCAGCGACCACCTATGCTGCCGCCACGGCAGCTGGACGGCGGCGTCACGTCACTGCTGCTGGACTTCGGCATGTGGTTTGACGCGGTTAGCATGTCTGACGCCGATTTCATCGCTGCTGCGACCGGCCAGCCTCTCCGCGGGGCCGGCATGGCGGATGTCACTGCGGCCCCTCATCACGCGCCGTCGGAGGCCCCAACGGCGCCAGCGGCACTGCTGCCTCTGGCGCTCACGCCACCGGTTACAGGAACGACAGCTCCGGATGACGAGGAGGAGGGAGAGAGGGGAGATGGAAGGGAGGAAGAGGAAGAAGACAGCAGTGACAATGACAGCAGCTGGGCATCATCGGAGGAGCTCTCCTTGTATTCCTCGGCGTGCAATAACGGTGCGGTCGTGCGGGCGCAGGTGGACCTGCCTGTCGGCGGGCCTGTTCAGCACCTCACGCCCGCACTCCATAGCCCTGAAATGTGCGTCGGAAGCAGCAGCAGCAGCGTTGGCGACGTCAGCGCCGGCGCCAGTGACCGCTATGACGGACTTGGCACCGGCTGCGCGGAGGCGCTCGATGGTGAAGTCCAGATGCTGCTGCTGCGAGGTCTGCAGCCCGAGCAGGAATTGCTGGAGGGTAGTTTGGACTTGGCGGCGGAGTACGAGCTGACGTGCCGTGGAGGGCCTGCGCTGCAGTCTGCTGCCGTGGGGCTAGGTATGCGGCTCTTGCGCTTCACAGTGCTCCGCGGCTGGCCTGCGGCTGCGACGCTGCTGCTCAAAGGTCTCATGGTGCACTGCCGCCTGTTTTTTGAGGAGGTGCGCCAGCTTTTCCCATCGCCAGTCGCCATCGGCGAGGGTGCCGCTGCTGCCGGCAGCGGCGGCGGCATGCCGCTGTTGCACACAGCCGTCATGTCCGGCAACATGTCCATGGTGCGTGCCGTCAAGGCCTGGGCGCAACGCTACCGCTGCAACTTGCCGTGGGACGAGCCCGCATCCGCTGTGGGTGGCCTGACGCCGCTGCACCTGGCGGCAGTGCAGGAGAATGGCCGGTTTGCAGGAGCCATCCTGGGGCTGTGGCCCGACGCCGAGGCGCTCTGGGCTGTGGCGCGGGACAGTGACGGCCGCACACCGCTAGAGTATGCCCACATGCGGGCGCTTAGCGGGCCCGCCGCCGCTCCGACAGGGTCGACGTGGCAGCTCACTGGACAGCCAGCAGCCTCGCCGCCGGCGCCAGTCGTTGCTGAGCAGGCTATAACCGCCGCAGCAATACAGCCTGCTACAATGGCTACATCGTCGTCGGCGCCACCATCGCTGCCACCATCGCAGCCGCAGCAGCAACGTGAAGCGGCCGCAGGGAGCACGGAAACCACGGTCGCCATGCCACCCCATACGCAGCCACCTCCACCGCCGGTGCTGCAGGGAGACGCAGGCGGTTGTAGAGCTGTAGACAGAATTGTTGTTGGGGACGGCAGCACCGCCTCCGCTACAGCCGCCACGAGCGAGGGTTTTTCAAGCTCCTGCCCGAGCAGCATCTTGATGACCAACGCAACAACAACCCAAGGCCTCCATGGCCAGGGCAACACATTTGGCCGCTCCTACCGGTAAGCCCCCGCCTGCTCGTCCATCTTGGCGAGTGCTATCTTCCTGGAGTCTGGACGATCACCGAAGGGAAGGCATTCACTTTAGTTCATCCCTAAAGGGTTTCCAATGTTTGTTCTTCTTCCGCTGCTTCGGATGCAGCTTCATCTCAATCACGAGCCACATTACAATATATACAATTATTCGTGGCTGCAAACTCGCAGTCGTAGCACGCAAACTTTCGCCTACAGGCTCAGAGCTGAAGTTCGGGGCAGGGTTTGATGCCTTCACGGCTTCGAGCAAACCTGTCCTTCAAAGGGTAGCCCAGTCGATGCCCAGTACAGCCTTCTCATGGTGTTCATGGGCCGCCCCTTGCCCACCACATCCATGTACAGCATATACGCCAGCACATCCTTCCACACACACACACACACACACACACACACACACACACACACACACACACACACACACACACACACATCCGCCGCATCGCCCACCATATCCACCCACCGTGTTGTGTTCGGGTGCATTCGGGTCAACGTGGGGGGCAACATTCCCTTTTTTTCCATTCAGGCCCTCGGACTGTGGCAGCGTAGCCACCGGTCCTGATTCTCAATGGTCGTACAGCACCAGTACCACGGCGCAGACGCAGCCGAACAACCAGGTGATTCGATACCGAAAGGGGAGGGGACAGTAGTGCTGACGTATCTTTCGATGCTGGCCCTCGGTGTGGCGGGGGACCCTCGCAACGCCGCGGCCGCCTCCGCCTCCTGTCAACCCCCTCTTACTCTTTCCCTCTACTGACAACTTCTGACAAGTGCCATGGCTATGTTTGAATTGTTACAGAGTGGGAGGCTTCGGGTTTTAGGGTTCTAGGCGATGGCTATGTTTTAACTGTCCGCCGCAATCGTCAGGATTACACCTTTCCTCGTTTGCCTTGAAAGCACGCTTGAAACCCGCTATAGCCAGGTTATGCATCGTCGCTCATTTTGCCACTGCAAACACCTTCCTGACTATGTGCACCTGCGGGTATGGGCGGTTCCTGTTCTTGTTCCTGTTGCGGCGGCGCTGTGCCGTCTACAGCCGCTGGGTACCCTGCAGGACCTCCGCAGCGACCTGTCGCCCGTACAAGCCGCTGGCGTGCACCACGCCATCAACGCCACGCTGCTGTCGCTGGCCAACCTGCCGGACATGAGCAGTAGCGGCAGCGGCGCCGACGGCGCCTCCGCCGCTGGCGGCGGCCCCACAACCGCCACAGCTACGGAGGAAGCTCCTGCGTCAGGGACTGCAGCATTCCTTATGGGTGGCAACGCTTTGCAAGGACAGCTCCTGGCGTTAGCGGTGGCAGCACAGGAACAGCAGCAGCAGCAGCAGCAACAACAACAACACAACCTACAGCCGCAGACGGCACCAAGCGGTTCCGTCCGTGCGGCCTTCCAGTTAGATATGGCAGGCCATAAGTCGCACGTGGCATCGCCGCTTTCGCCGCAGATGCAGAACCCGAGCTCGCACTTATCCCAGCAGTCATCACTCCGTGCGTCGCCATCAACGAAGATGGGGCCATGTTCGCAGCCAATACGGCCGCCACCGTGGCAGCAGCAGCAACAGCAGCAGCAGCCGGGCTCGGAGGGGACGGTCCTCGATGCCACTGCCGCCGCGGCCGCCACCATGGAAATGCCCCCGTCAGGTGCCACTGCCATGTCCCCGCCGGCCCCTTCTAATGTTATCCTTCTATCACAGCCGCTGACCGCGAACCCGTGGCATTCGTCCCAGCAGCCGCAGCACAAGCTGGCGACGCCGACGCCGACGGGACTGCCGCTGCCATCTCCGCGCGCCCCCTCCCGCGGCCACCGCCTCCTGGCCAACACGCTCCTCAGCGACCACGCAAACTCAAACTCCGCTGCGTCGCTGCGCATGCGCTCGCCGCCGGGCTCCATAGGTTCTTCGCCTTCGCCCACAATTGCTGCCATCACCGGAGCAAGCAGCGCTGGCGGCGCGTCGTCATCGTCGTCGTACTCGACGCACTTCACTACCACCTCGGCTGTGTCGACATTTTCGCTGTTCAGCTCCGCTCCGCGGGGCCTCAGCTGCGGCCCTGGTGACGGCCAACCCACCACCAGCACCCGGCGAGCTGCCTTCGCAGATGACTACGCACCCTCTTGCTTGCCCACTGCGGCTTCCAGGACGGCCGGCCTGACGAGAATGCTGGCTTTGATGGTCGCCGGGCGCGGAGACGGGGTTGCCGGGGATCTTAATGGGGCGTTGTGTAATCGCGGCGATGCGTTGCGACTCGCACCGCGCCAGCAGCAGTACGAGCGCCAGTACGAGGGCCAGCAGCTACGGCAGCAGGAGCAGCAGCACCATCGCCACCATCGTCATCACCACCATCACCAGGAGCAGCAGCAGGAGCAGCAGGATCACCTGTTGAAAGCCTCGGGAGCTGCTCACCCCGAGGCAGCGTCTGGTGGTGTTAAAGCTAGCGCTTGTATGGTCGACGATGCTGGCAGCCACGGTCACGTTGGTCGGGGCGGGCCTGGCAGCAGCGACAGTGTACGCTGCAGTGGCTCTGTATCTGGTTACGGAAGCTCGCAGTCACATGAACCAACTCCGGTGGCACAGTGTGCGTTGGCGGGAACCGCCGAAGGGGATGGAGATATGCGATTCGCCGGCAGCGATGTCGCCGCATCGCCGGCACAGCCTTTGCAGCGCTGTGAGCCGCAACAGCAGCAGCGGCAGAAGCAGCATGATCAAGGACGACAGCATCAACCTCACAATCAGGCTGCTCAACGGACGGGTCAGCCGTCTTCACCTTCTGGGCCGGCGTTGGAAGCGTCGGCATCGACCCGCTTCCTTCTGTTGAGTGGCACTCTGGTGGTCACAGCCCCGGCGGTGAAGTTGGCGGCCAAGGCAGGAGCATCCACGCGGCTTTTAGGCCTCAGGTTGCTGCTCTTGGGGATGCTGGTGCTGGTGGTGGCGGTCATGCTGCCAGCGGTGCTCAAGCTGGGTAATAATCTAACGGACCGGTAGCTCAACACAAGTTGAAAGAGCAGGAGGGCTAATCCCTACCTTTCTCTTGTGTCCTCTGGGCTTTGGGCGCCGTGCAGAGTGTGATGTGGCGGGTATGGGCGTGGAGGATGGGGTATTGGGGGCTGCCGAGTTTTGGCGGCTGCGTGTGTTAAGCTAACCCATGGTCGGGGCGAATTGCAGCTTCTGGGTGAGGTCCGCCGTGCCCAGGGGGATGGCGTGGACTGTTCAGCGTCTGACAACTGTTGCCTTGGGGCCCCGGAAAGCTGTTTTCGCGTGTTAGGATCTGCGGGGCAGTGCTGGGCCTGTCACGGCAGTGCCATGGCGGTGCTGGATGGACACGACGGAGGGCACGATTGGCGGACGTGGCGCAGCTCAGGGGAAGGAAAAAAGGGGGGAGGGAAGAGATGTCAGGCAAACGCAAGACAGGCAGGGCGAGAACCAAGACGCAAGGGCGTGGTTGCGTAATACGCTTTGATCGCGGGTGTATTAGTTCGGGCTTAGTTCAGGCGGCGGGGCGGGTGTATTCGTTGTGCTGACGAAGGCTGTTGCTACTGCTACTGCTGCTGCTGTTGCTGCTACTGCTGCTGCTGTTGCTGCTGCTGCTGCTACTGCTGCTGCTGCCGCATGCACGTGTCGGGAGCATTCCAGCACATGCCGCACTTGCGGAACACCCCAGACTGCTGAGTGAGGGTTAAATATGATATTGTGTGCGGAGTGACTTGTGGGGTGCTAAGCAATGTGACTCTGATCGCCGGGCGGAGATCAGGGAGATGGCCACCGGCGCGGCTGCGGGTGTGGCCGCTAGGTGCTGTGACTCCACCGCGTCCGTTCAGTGGGCACGTGCGGTTCAGTGTGCCGCACCGCACCTTTGGCGTTGCAGGAGATGAGGTCAGATTGGGGTGTGTGGCAACGACGGGTGCACGGACGGGTGGTGACACGCTGGTTATCGCTCCGGCGGACGGGGAACGGATAATTACGGGGTACTGGTGCTGGGTGCATGCAGGGTACTGCGGTTGCGAGCCTTGCTGATGTGGTGCAATCCTGCCGCTGCTGCTGCCTCGGTGATTGCTTGGTGTTCGGTGATTGACATGGGTTGTTGGACGGGGGCCCAGGACAGGCCTGCTGCAGGGCGGGCGGGCGGATTGCCCTCTGGAATACACAGGAATCAAAACCAGTATAGCAGGAGCGGCGTGTCCGGGGCAGTCTGTCCCATACTTGCCATCTCAGCGGCGCAAGTTTCGCAGTCGACGTGAAATTGCGAGGAAAACCGAACTGCTCGCCCAAGCTCCGCAATCGAATGTGGGGGTGTGGAGTGGTGGTGATCGTGGTGGCGGTGATGTTGCTGGCAGCGATGGTTATGTTGCGTTGATATTTAACTTGCCTTGATTTTCAGTTGCTTGTTGGAGTGTGAGGTTTTGCGGAATGTGTGGTACTCTTGGTTGCCTTGGGGGCATCCTGCCCGCCCTCCCTGCTCCTCGTGAACTGGAGGCAGCGGATGGGCGCGGCGCGCTTTTGCGGGCAGCGGCCCCCGGCTCCCTATAAGGGAGGTGGTACGTGTTTTTTCTTGCCAATGCCTCCAGAATGCACCCAGACCCAAAACCATATCAGAAACTGTCATTTGTTCTTTTGAGCTGTGCCAAGCACGTGCAGCCTTCCGTATGTAGCCTTCTGCGCGCGGTCACATAGATGAGTCCTGTTTCTTCCGGCGATGTGGTGGAGAAGGTTTGCGGTGGTTAACAGCCAGAAGTTAGTCCGGCCGAGTTTCGCCAAACGCGTCACCTAGTCTTTAGCCATGCTGTGCCGATAACCACGTTCATCGTCGTTGTCGGTGCTAAACCATGCTGCTGCCCCTTATTTCGTTACCATGTTTTGTATAAATATTACTGCTGGGGAATGGGACTGATAATCTTTTGTCTTTGATGGTGCGCTCCTGCTGCATGGGGTCATCTGGGACGGGTAGGGCGTTGGGGGGTTCAACAATGCCTTGAGGCATACGAGCCTCTTAGGATCTTGGCGGTCGCTTCCGCGGGTCAGCAACCCGTGGTGCTGCGGGGTGGGTGCGAGGCGAGGTGGGGGAGGGAGGCATGGTAGGGCACCGCCCTCGCTGCCGTTACGAAGGCATCATGCTTCTGTGCATGCTGCGCTATACATCTGAGCTGTGCTGCCGCGCACTCGTGAGGTCTGCTCATGCTGTAGTTATTCCCGGGGGGGGGGGCCCGGGGGGAAAAGAACCCGAGAAGTGCCTGAGAGAGCTGTACAACACAGGCCGGCTGCAGGAAATGCGGCATCTCACTGGGTAGGGTTAGTGCTGAGGTGCCACCGTGTAATGTCCTCCCAAGCCCTCTCCGGATGCTCACGCAAGGCAGTGCAGCAACTTGCTAGCGCCCCTCATGCCACCACATGCATGCCCGGTGAAACCTATTGCCTTAAAAGCGTCGCCATGCAGCTCACAGGCTTGCTTGGCATTCCTAAGCTTTTAGGTACTTGTTTTTAGTGCTTGAATAAAAATGCAGAGCGGCCACGTTGACGTGTCTTCTTATGGCGCTTGTCTGATTATGGCCACGTTCTTTCTACTCTTCTGTAGGTGATCCTTTGCCAGTAACATTCCGTTGGCACTCAGTTGTTGACAGCTAAGTACGGAATGCCTGTTAGTACAGAGGTCATGCAGTAAGACGCCCTAAATGCAAGCGCCAGAAGGTTGCAATGATTACGCAGTGTTGAGCCCCTCATCGACCTCGTGGCTTCCCCGTCGGCATGGCTGACACAGGGGCCCTCCAATTTGGCCTTGGTGTTCGTTTGTATGGTTTGTATGGAAGAATGACACCAGTTTTTGTTGATTGTTGCTATGGTGGCCATAATGGCCTCTTCTGTGAAGCGTGCAGTGCAAAGGAGACGCTCACAAATGCACAGACCGGCAACACATTCATCCGAATCGCTGATGCCTATTCCTGGAAATGCGTTTCTCAGCATGGGCTACATCAAGGTCAATCAAAGAGCGCCCCGTCGCGCTTAAGTTAAAAGCTCACGCGTATCACTCTCCGGCCGTGTTCCTCATAATTGGCAGCGTTTTATTACTACGAGGCCCTACGCCACTTCTCGACCTTGCCACTATATAATTTAAATCGAGGAAGTTAGGAATCGAGTTATGTCGCGAAATGCCCGCCCCTAAGGTTACGAACAGCTGAGGCCAATAAAGCGCACGTTTGTTGCTAGGTCGGGGCCTGCGCACTTGGTGGCTCCATCGAGCTATCATGATAGCTAGCATGATGCATCCATATTGACCTCCAACATGAGCGTTGCAATCCTTTGATCATATTCCTCCATCGCGTTTTGGAGTACGTACGTGAACGACAACAATAACGCTAACGAGTAGTCCTCATGTATATTGTGCTAAGCTTATTTCAAGTGGTTTGGACCATTTGCGCTTAGTAAGAAATGTCCATGCTTATGCCTACGCGTGCGTCTTGCTTGTCGGTGTGTGGGGGCACCAGGAAAAAACGACAAAAACGGCGGCGGCCAACAGAAGCATATTTGACTGCAATCCCCAACGCGGACATAAAAAAAAACAATTGCTGCTGGCATGGCGAACTTTAGAATTAGGCGAGTCGGGCTCAATCGATACGAGTGAGCCTGCTTGATTGCCAGAAGTTGCCAGATTCGTCAGGCATGTAAAAGACGGGTCGCTTTTTTTGATTTTTCATTACAAATCTTCAGGCTATGCGCCCTGGTAATGTACGATTTATTTTCGTCAACTCCATCATGCCACTGTCTGACATTCTTATGTACCCAGGAAACCGTCGGAAAAATACGAACGTGCGAGAAAGCGCAGCAGAACATTGGCAACAAACCTCCTGGGTCAATAGCGTCTTCGTTGATCAGGTAGCGTACCTAACGGGAAAGATGGCTCTGGAAGACTGGTCTTAACAATGTCACGCAGCCCAAACTAACATCAGGGCCCTTGGCCGCCTCGCTGCGCCGTCTGTTCCGTATCCGGCCATACGTTCCCCTTCGTTAAAGTTCCTCTGCGGCACAATTCTTATGCTTTTGTATCAAGTTCCTAGACGACATCGTCTATCTGTACTGCTGCCCTTAACGGTCATATATGAAGGTCACTGCTCAGAACTGCTCCGATCCATGACGACTATCCTTTCCTTCAAAGTCTTAAGTCGTCGGCTGCTTCTCCAGCCTAAGCTTTCGATGGAAGTCTCGTCTGCAAGCCATTCCATGCGTACGATGCGCGTGTGTGCCAAACGGCAACTCCGATCCAAGTTCAAATTCGCCAACGGACTGCACTGACAGCAGCATAGGAAAATTGCGTGCTTTGACGTTGAGCACAACAGACATATATTACCAATATTCCGGAAAGACATCTTAGCGAAGGAATACTCCTAGGCTGCTGAGCCTGCCTTCTAACTTTTTTCCTATTATTCGACCGACGAGGTCGCGCCAGCCAGCCATTTTTTTAAACCAAGCTCCGACGGGGGTCAATAGCAGTGGGTTCCATTTCCGATACCGCGGAAGATACTCACGCTGGATGTGCCCAAGGCATTTACAGCGCTGAAGAACCACAGGTCTGTTCTCCATGATAGCCGCTCTGGCTACAAGCAGCGGTCCCACGTCCCAAGCCTCTGCCTGCCTATGCGATCTTATCGGGCTTACAGATGACTTCATGATCGAGGATCATGATATGATGTATCCTGTTCAACGATTCGCAGATATGATGTATCCTGTTCAACGACGTGCTGCAGCGAGAGCAGCGCTGACAGCGCAGCAGCAGGACAGGGCACGGAGCCGAAGCCCCGCTGGTTCAGTCACGAACACCCAGTGACACCAGATATGAAAGCCTTTTCAAAAACATCGACCTGGAAGGTTCCCGCACTTCCACCAGCCGTTGCCTTGCTTGCAAGGGTCGATAAGTTGTATCTTCTCCGCCACGGCGCCCGGGCAGCATTCTTCGTAAACATGCGACCCCGCCTCAGCCTGCTCCTCGGCACCGCCTGGGGATCCGTAGCGGTCTGTGGGCTTGCTTCACGAGAGCTCATTCTGCCCGAGGGTGCAGGATTTCCGTGCCGGGGACTGCGGCTGGTTGCCTACCCTAGGATGGAACTGACTGATAAACCGCCTGAGTTGCGTATTCCGCGCTGTGACCTAGCAACTCCGTGATGTTGCCCATGCCTGATGTTCTGCCGCATGAAGTGGGGGATGGACACATCTGCCGTAAGGATTTCCGGGTCTCCAGCCAATTCCTTTGGAATGGGGCTTTGCGCTTCTGTGTTATGGAGGAGTTTCCTAGAGAAGGCGATAGAGTAGGGACAAATGCAACTGATGCAAGTGCATACCACGTCTGAGCGCATTACCTAAAGAACTGCGCGGGTGCATGCTTTGCGTGATCCTGGCTGCGCGGCACATACAGCTGTTTCCTACCTGCGAACTTACTGACGCTTACTCATGCGTCCGGGCTGGGTCCCTTACGGCTCCTGAACCAGTTAGATACTTGAAAAGGAAAAGGAAATGTTAACGGAACAGCCTGCACAGCTTATACGACCGACAACAAACGGCTATCATTGATCTTTGCCCATCATGTTTTGGCGTCTGTAGCAGCGGCTCGCGCAAGGCACGACCGTCCAACGTCGAGTGGGCTATAAGGCTGCTAAGACATTGCGAACACGATGTTTGCAGGACCCCAGAAAAATGAGGTTATCGCAAGGGTTGAGCCGCCTCTTACTGCGCTTAGCTAGATCACCTGCTACGACCGAGCAAGTTCGAAGTGGCGGACAGGCGCCTGCTGCATTTTCGTTAATTTAATCATTAAATTATTTATTTATTTGCTTACCTTAATGCAGCAGATGCACAGCACTGTCACGCAGGGAGTCGTAAGATGTCGTATCCTTACTTTCCTCTCAATTCTTGGTAAACAATAAGTGGCAAACTGACTGCTTACAGTCCATGAGCCCCAGACCAATTTGGTTAGGGCATGGGGTGCTGCCCCCAGGACCATCCACAAGGGCATTCGTGAATGGAAGGTAGCACAAGTGCGTGTTGATGGAAGACAAGGACATTTCCGAGCACACGCCATTGCCCAGGGCAGGTTCATGCCTTCCGATAGTATGTGAGGATGGTGATCGAGATCAGCGCATTAGCTTTTTGACCCAATTGTAGGTTCAGCGTCCGTATCCGAAACGGCGGAGGTTATCCTCACCCCAGTGCAGGCAATAGCGGGTCTGTGGCGGGCGGAAACAGGAGCTCGACATCTGGACATCCTGACCTATCTGACGAGCAAAAATATCTTCTTACCCACATGCCTTAAAAGCCAGGCTAAAGAGGGCCCTGAAGTGCTTACCGGTCTGCGCGGCGCTGCAGCTGCAGTGTCCCGTTCTCCTTCTTTCTCCTCTGGACGAAGGTCGCAGCCGCTGAGGTCGCTGGGACTATAGCGCGATTCAGCGGTGGTAGCACGCGCGGCGATGATCACTGACAACGTCCTCAATCAGCGCCACAGTGTTATGATCGTCCATGGCTCCCCCGGCTTTTACAGACGGACCCCCACTTGTGTGCGGAACTTGTAGCTAACCTGTCCATGCACAATACTTCGTGCATGTCAAGATCTTTGCATGGTCAGCAAACAAAAGGATGTGACAACAAAACAGCTGGATTCCCAGTTTGAAATTGCTCAAAAAGTTGCGGACTCGCTTAGTGACTTGTGTCGACCGAACAACGCCGCGACATTCACACCTGTGTGCAGTATGTGATATGCCGACAAGATAAGAAGCTTAAAGTGTTATCCCAAGGCCACCTTTGAAACGGGCGTATTGACCCCTCAAACGCTCCGTATGTATGTATGACCCCACATTGCGAGTCTACAGTGTCGGTCACTCTCCAACACAGCAACATGGATGGACGGGCAACCTCTATACTTCGACTTGTCCTCCTCGAAGTAGCTGCCCGTGCTGTTAAACAGTTTGCAGTCTGTAACTGTTCCTTGGTTGCCGGTCATTAGGTACAGGATGGCAGAAAGGAAATGGGCTGTAGCCGCCCCTTACGACACAGCCGTTTTTATTCCAGGTAACTCCTTCATCTAGTCTTGGCAGGGGCTCACGGCGGCCCGCTGTGTGCGGGTCCCTTCTTGTATGCCACCGTCGATACGCCACCTCCCCTTTCGTTCCCTTTCGTGCTTGGTGTCTTGCCGCTCTCCATCAGCGGCGCCTCGTCTGAAGAAAGGCTCATCTGCCTTTTTCAGGCTTACCAACGTGGCATTCCTTAGCGTCAAACTTCCATAATGCCGTATATATTTCAACAACAGGCTGGGGCCTGAGGGACCGCATGTTATCCTTTCTTTTCATCCCATCGTGCGTCACACTGCAAGGAAACTTGAGCGTGCGGTTTGGTGAGTGAGCTTACATCTATCTCCCGCAAGAGGGCCCGCAACTACTTAGACCTTAGACCTCCACTGCGTGGCAACTAACAAAAAGCGCCGCAACCGCAATTGCTAAAATAGGCACACAGAAAGGAAAGTTGCTCAAGCCTCAGGGAGAAGGCAAGGCACTTCTCAATAAGCAGTCATCATGTGAAGCACCCATGTTACCACCAGCAAGGACGCTACCTGCCAGACCAACATCTCAGCGTCACCGCGTATCTCCATTGCTTTGCAGCCGCCCGTGTTGCCGCAACGCCGCCACCGGTTCAGGGCAGCTCTGCTGCTAACCTCTTAGGGAGTTGCCGCCAGCCAATCCCGTTTAGGTGGCCGTTGATACCTTACACGGCATCATCCTTCTAATTACATTCACAATCTTATCCACTTAATTGTGGGAGCTGGAGGTAAATGGAGAACGAGAAAGGGGAAAGATGCTTGACCCACGAACCGAGGCTAGCATGCGGAAAACGCACTCCTTGCTTCCTCTGGACGGGGTCCGCTAAGCCTCGTACATGAATTGGTGGAATCTGACCTAATGCTCAAGCCCGCGCTAGAACATGGTCTTCTTCTTCTTCTTCTTCTTCTTCTACTTCTTCTTCTTCTACTTCTTCTTCTTCTTCTTCTTCTTCTTCAATCTGCAGATTGGCAAAAAAGGGTTATGCCGTTTCTCGCAATAGTGCAAGATCTGCCGAGGTAGACACAGGGCCGTTGCCAATTGTGCAAATCGTCTCTCTCTTGCTGGTGACCTGGGGACTTTGCATCAGCTAGGCGCAGAGGCGGCAATACCAAGCGCGGGAAACGCCGACGGCTGTGTCAGAAACAGTGGTGGTAGCTGCTAGCACCCGTTACTGGGAAGAAGCGACTGGCGCGAAAAAAACATGCCGAGCTGGAAACACACGTATCAATTGTTTAACTTTTTATTTCCGATCATCGGAACTCGACGTCTGACGGAGGCCCGTCTAGTCAGGGTTAGGATCATAAAAATGCATTGCTAATCACAAGCATACATTTATGGATGGTAAGGAACCGATATGCAGGGACGTAGGCAGGACATATCGCCGCCAAGCCGCAGGTCGTTGGCTGCTAGCTACGTAACCAACGCAGGCATGCGGCGTGTATGAAGCTGTGAAGCGATCTTGTCTGCGATGACTCTAATCATAATCGATGATGAATCTTGAAAGTTCGACGTTGTGAGTTGACAAAAACGTGAAGTGGACATCCGTCCAGTTAGGCATATGAGCGTAACCTCCTGTAACGGAACAGCCATCGAAACGCGGCCTTGCTTTCTTAATCGCAACAACAATCGCCAACTTGGCCTATAAAGCCATATTTAGGAGAATCTTCCAGAGGTATTCGGCGCAGAGCGAATGCTTTCATCCAGCACCCAGACAGACGCCTAACAGCCTGTTTGGACCCTAAAGCGAATGCGGTCTGGAAGGACAGACGGCGTTTCCCGAGAGTTAAAAACATAGTACATCACAGGTGCTGATTTTTGGATATGCTTTAGAGACAAAATTTCCCTAGATAAGGTAGGGCTTTGCAAAACGAAGACCTGTTACAGGGCGAAAATTCTGGGGTGCCCAAGTACCATGATGCAATGAAACTCCTTTACATATAGTTAAGGCAGCAAATCTAGAGAAACTTGCTGCCCAAAGTTCGTTTAGGCCTGTTTTGAAAGCCTTACTGAGACGTTCAGTCAGACGCACAAAATGTCATCAGAGGTGTAACTGATATCAGATTTATCAATTAAGAGCGTCGAGTAAGCTGGACTCCACTAATAGAGCAGTACTTTACTTGAACCCCGCCCGCCTTTCCGCGGCAGCTTCCAAATGCCTTCCATAATCACACATGTTGCTTACAATTTGTTAATAGTGGTGCGAACTCTAATTTCTGACCTAACTGGATCCTCCAAGAATCAAGCAACCATAAATGTGAAACACAGTGCAACTCAAGCTCCCGTTAAGGTATCTTGAAGAAGAAATATAGGCCTATCATTATCTGTACCACGGAGCACATTCAGTGTGGTGCGATTGCGTCGGCTGCGCTAACGGCCAGACCGTGACTGCCCACCCGTCGTACAACCCTCAGCGAAGATATAATAGGTGAACCTGCAGCCTAATTTTTGAGGAAGCTGCCTATACTATAGGCAGAACCTCTATTATTATAAGAGGAGTCAATTGCGCAGTCTACTGCTGCGATTGTTTAGATCGCAGAACCCGGGTGCAAGGCGGAAGCCTCATCGGTCTGACATCTGTGCCTACAAATAACAGCCAGCGAATCTTCTAGCAATTTGTTCCAGCTGACCTGATCGCAAAGGCACGCGCCGTGGGTGAGCTGCAATCAGTCCGCAATTGTAGTGCACGCTAGCTGGCGTTCAACTCAATTAGACGTGAGAAATCCATCACTGCAAATAGATGTATCCTGTTATTGCTCCTCATTAATTTTGCCTGTTAGATTTGAGGAAGCAGAGCCTGTCCAACCTATCAGTCATCACTTCGACGGAGTCGACCTGAAACGCTTTTCTACCCACAGGTAACATCAGAGTAAAATTATATCTTGAGATACTGTGAGTATGAACCATCAAGGCCTCCATCAAGGCGCCGGGATGCGGGGCCCTTGCAACAGCCTGATGTCCCGCAAGCTCACAACAAGCTTGCTGCTATTGGCCTGCTTCTTCCTTTCCATCAGTGCTCACACAGGCAAGTAGCAAAATCCATGCGGCCCATATACATGCGCTTTTATACAGGTGTCAGGCCAGTACATTTCTCTGGGCTACGTGGTCACGTTTCGCTCCCGCCCCACTATTTCCATTTATAGAGATATTCCTTCCTTTTTATTAGCGAGTACCTAGGTTGTCGTCCTGCCCACGCGGGATGGCGAACATGAGCGCCTCATCGCTATTTCGTCCTCGTAAGAGGAAAGTCCTCCGTACCCCGATGCAGAGCCGCGGCTGCCGGAAAGCGCCTTCACAAAAGGTAGCCTCATCCCGCTGCTATAATTTTATTTTGTCTTACAAATTTAAATCCGGGCGAACCGTACTTTCCGCCATGCCTGCTGATGAACTTAAAACGTTGCGATTTGTCACTGTTACCACCCACAACCTCGGACGCGCAGATGCCCTCACGACTCGCCGATCCCTCCTGGCGAAGAAGCCTACTCCGCCACCATCAAAGTCGCCACCGCCGTCACCACCGAAGGCGCCCAAGAGGATCCGGCCACCTCCTCCACCAGGTGCAGTACGCGCCTGCCCGCGTGTCTGTCTATCCGTCTGTATGCCTGTCTCTCCACCTGGGCGTTTTTTGCGCGCGTGCGTATAACTGTAGGTATGCACATGCTTACGTAGAGCAATATACATGCGTGCGTGTGTGTATGTATGTACGTGTGCGTGGACGCGAGCTTGCATTCGTACGTGTGCATGTGCTCTTCCACCAGGTAACCCATAAGCCACATGATTAGTCCCCTCCACCTCAAAAACCCTACCTGACACTCCCCGCGGCCTTTTCCACACGGCCCATCCCACAGAGTACGAGCCACCTCCACCGTACGATTACAACCCGCCCGAGGCCTGGCCGCCGATCCCGCCGCCGCCACCGTCGCCTACGCCGCCACCCCTGATCACAGGAGGTCGGCGGCGGCCTCCCCCTCCGAGTCCCAAGCCGCCTTCCCCCTACCCACCGACGCCCGACTACGCTCCTCCACCCTCCGAGGACTCCGACACTGATACGTCGCCGCCTATTATAGCGAAGGGTAAGTGGTGTTGAACCTGGGGAACCTTGAAGCAGCATTTTTACTCCAATACGGAACCGTGCGATTAAAAGATTCCGGGCCCGGGGGTTTAAGTCACGGCACGAATGAATGAATGAGGTTACAGCGGGACCTAACAGGTCATCGGTGCTGTCAGCACTGGCACACTGTAATGGCCGATGAAGGGGCCAAAGAGGTACCTGCAGCAGGTCAGACACCGTATGCACAACGGCTCGGACAACACCAGGCAACCAGAGACACTCCCTTGCCCTGCACTCCCAAGGGAATTCACCGTAGGCACGCCCTGCAAAAAGGGGCCCCACAGCATGTTGGTGCGATGGCGCGTGTTCGGAATCCTTCATTCTTCTCCGGAGTCACTTGGACCTAGTTTGGCGCTGGATAATGTCTTCGGGGTTGAAGGGCGAAGGCTGTACCCGCTCAGTACGGAAGTTCGTTGCCATAATGGACAACAATCAGTTGATTCGCCAGACCACGAAAGACTTTAGGAGGCTGTGGGATGAGGCTGTTTGTTGGCGGTGGTGGTGATGGATACAGCTCTGCAAAGGCCCGTGTTCAGCCGGTGTCAGCACAGTTCTGTGGATGTTGGGAAGGGTCCTCGTTTCTCTAACAGCCTTACTTTCTGTAACTGGCTTGTACGCTGGCAAGTGGTGGTCGGGTCGGCAGCTGCAGCGCCGGCAATAGGGCGGTCGAAATCAGACGCTAGCTTGGTCAGGGAGCCTTGCTCCTTGGGTGACCAGGTGCCTCCTTTTTGCGACGCTCGCATTCGTAAGGTCGCATACCCACTTCACCAGGCGTTGTCATTACTAAGCTAAAGCATTAATGCCAATTCCTTGAACTGCTATCCATGCCCGCTTATCCATACCTCCGTCCCCGCTCCCCGCCCCCCGCGCTCCGCCCACCCACTGTGCTATGCAGTTCGGTCACCACCCCGCGCGCCCAAGCCCCCGCCTCTCCCGCCACTCCCACCGAGTCCGACGCGCAACTGGTGGAAGGTGCCCCCTCCTTCCCCAGAAAACCAGAGTAAACGCCCCAGTGCGAGCGAGACTCCAAGCTCCAGCCCCTCAGCAGGCCAAAAGAAGGCCGCTTAGGCTCCCCTTGAAGACAAGCTTGGAAAGAGACATACAGGAAGATAGGTGGGTGCGCCCGATTGCGTTGCGTGGTCGAACACGAGTTTTATATAGTCCAAAATTGTAGACACGGTCAACTTTAGAATATTATAGTTTGTAAGGGCCTTGAGTTCTACAGGCATTTAGGGTTCTTGGCACGATGTGTGTGTATGCAAAGCATATGCTTCAACCACCAGGCAAGGCCGAACAGGACCAAATCCGTAATTAGCCGCTTTCCTTTCCACAGCAACCAAGACTTAAATCCGGCTCGCATGGGCCCGTTACGTATATACCAGCCTGTGCACGCGTCCCGCCTGCGGGTTCCATCAGAGCACCGTAAGTGTCCCTTCGCTGCTCACACGCACTGCATTGCTGCCGGCGCCAATGCCGATTAACGTCACCGCCACTGACCTTGAACGCAGGGCAGAACAGGACATGCGGCCATGTCCTGCAAAGTAAATAAAGGCCGACGGCGGGCTTTCTGCTCGCTTCCAATCTACAGGCGAGAGCTAGTCCTGGAAATCGCCGACGCGTTGGCCGCCTGCCCGTGGGGCACATGCTGGCTCTGCGGCGGGAACCTGATCGGCTTCCGCTTCGGCGTCCAGATGTGTCCTACATGCGCCGGAGGTGGAGTTCTTGGGAACCTTCTCCGGCAGGTCGACATGTGGGAAAATTCTTTAGCTTCTTGGAGATCGGCCGCACCCGCACACCACAGGTGCTCGGCCCAAGCAATAGGCGCGGGCAAGCGCCAGCGCTCAACGTGCGGTAAATGAAGCTGTGACACACCGATTGGTCGTCGTCGTCATGCAGCTCAGCGCGTCGTTGTACCGTGTCGTACAGGGCTGTACGGGAACAGCTCTCTGCCCGGCTGGATAGAGGTGCGGCCATGAGGCCCCCCTGGGAGGAGGTTTCGTTGTGCTTCCTGGAAGGGTCAGGCTGCCGGTCAGGCCCGGCGTCGATCCCCCGCTGAACGTGTGTCGGTTGTGGCGGCGCTATCGCTTTGTTCTTGCTTCTTGTGCCGGAGCTGTTGATGAAGGTGTTGTGGGAGGTAGAGATCTGCCAGTGATGATGCTGTTTACAGTGCTGCTGCTGCTTTAAAATGTATTGCTTTATTTATTGCTGTTGTTTGCTGCTGCTACCGGCATTTGCATGTCAGGGGACCAGTTCCATCGTCATGCAGAGTTGTGTTTCGCAGCGTGTGGCGTACTGCACATCGCATCCATACATGTCATCGCAGGCTGCACAAAGCGAGAAGGGAGAAGACGAGTAGGAGGCGGATGGCGTGACCCGAATAGGATGGGCGGTAAGGCAGCTCCGCTGCAGACTGCACACTTTTGGGCACCCCTTCAGGCTCTAGGGGAACACGCTCCCCACACAGGCAGGGTTCCCAACCAGCAGGCCGCGCCTGGCACCCGTGGGACCAGCTGTGTCCACCTTGCTTTAAACGCAGCGTAGACCTCCCCGCCGGCAAGGTGCCGGGGGTCCCTATGCTGCATGCATCATCGGCACAACGGGTTGCTAACACTGCGCGAGGGCGGTGGTCTAGCCAAGTGAAGAGTGCTTAGGCAGTCGGGAAAGTGGCCGCCCTTGTTGTGAATCCATTGTGCACCTGCACGAATTCTCCAGGACCTCGACGTCGTAGCAGCTTTTGGGTGGTGATTTGAGTAGTACAGACAAGGCCCGCTGATCGTCTGCCGAGGAGGGTGGGGCAGCCCTTCCGGCTCCCTTCCTGACGTAGTGGAGTCACCAGTTGTTTTGCCGTGATGGCTCGATTAGATTATTAGGAGGTGCCGTTTCCGGCAGTTTGGCATGGTCAGTTGCCGCTGCTTGTGCCCCTGTGCGATGTGTCGCGTTTACTGCTGAAGGATGCGCTTGTTTCCGTCGGTGGCCCTTGTGTTCTATGTGTCTGCTACAAATGAGTTTGCCGATGATGCACACGGTCGATTGCTGAGTAACTTACATACGGCAGGAGAGGTCAGATAAATCCATGTGCAGGAACGTTTGGCACGTTTAGTAGTGTGTCTCGAAATGCGGGAACGTTTTGTGCGTAGTGTGTGTTTCGAAGGGTGCATCTACTGCTTTCCTCGCGTGTGTGTGTGTGTGTCAATAACTGTGTTGATAGGTTAGGGCTTGAATACATGTGTGTGTATCTCTGTTTCGTAGTGGCCAGTGCCAGAATAGGCAATTGTTCCAGCCTGAGCAGCGCGCCCGGGCTCCCTCCCCCAAAGCGCCATTGGGCGTGGCGCGAAGTTGTGTTATGCATGCTGCAGGACGGTCACATCCCGCGAGACCATGGCGGGCATGGGGGGGGAATGGGGCACTGGGGGTCGTCCGGGCCACTTCCGGAAGCGGCCTTCGAATGAAGCAAATTATTCCCCGAGCCCGGGTGGCTATGGTTGTGACTGGCTAGCTGGCTGGCTGCCTGGCTGGGTGATTCCTCGGCTCGGCGCCGGAACTGGCTGGTGACTGGGACGAGGTACCGTACTGGGGCAACTTGGGGACATGGAGGGACATGAAGCGAGGGGAAGAGAGAGGCGCCCTTGCGTGCCATTACGTATGCGCATTTCGAGCGCATGCAGGCCGCTCAGACACCTGTCTATTTATGTTTGGTAGTACTGCTGCAGTAGTGGCAGTACTTACAAATGTGCGGATGCGCTCCCCGACTGGCCGACACGGGAACCAGGTCACGCCGCCGTCACCGCCAGATGCTCAGTTGCTTGGCGTACGGGAAGGATAGGTTGGCCCCCAAACTGCAAGACGTTCGTTTATTCCAATGAGCGTCACTTCGAAGCGGTGAAGCGCACAATGCAAAATCGACAGGGTCGTCGTACCAGCAGTAGTACCGGCAGCAGTAGCAGTAGTGATAATCGTGGTAGTCGACATTTGGGACATAGATCCGAAAGAGGCGAACGGCCTGCTCGCCAGCCAGCTGGGTCGTGGTTTGGCGTTGGTCGCTAGAGAAGTCAGCAATTGGCACGAAGCGAATGAGCAAATGAATCTGCAGTGATGCGGACACCACCTTTTTATGACGCGGATGAGTCGTTCGGCCGTGCAATGTTTTGATGGCTGTGGGGATTGCCACGAAATCGTTGTCGCCGTCGCGAGCTGCTAATCGCCGTCGCCCGCGAGCCCCCTGGCAGGCAGTAGGTTGTAACACAGGCCGATGTTTATTTCACAAAAAACTTGCCAGGCTTTACCCTGCACTCTTGAACTTCTTCAGATCTTGCACATGCAGTATGTCAGTACACTTATGCCCATACACACAGGACGCGGTGTGCAGAGCCGACTGAAACCAAACTGGACGCCTAGCACGGAAGTCGCATGTACGATATTACAAGGTCTTAAGGTTGCATGGTCACGCATGCCTTTACATGCATGCAACACAACACATGCATGCAACACAACACATGCATGCATGCATGCATGCATGCATGCAAGCACGTATGATGCATTTCCATTGCTCGCCACCAGCAGAGGGAAATGTGCCGCTGTACAAGATACCACTTGTATTTGTTACTAGTAGCGCTCATGCTCAGCAGTGTAGCTGCTCGGAAGAACGCATGCTTAACCGCAGATTACATTGGGACCCCCCGTGTGCAGGTATGTATGTATGTATGAGTATGCACCGGCTCCGTTGAGACCACCCTTAATGCTATTATGCCACCGTCACTACTACGCCCCGGCACTACTACGCAATGCCTCCGGGAAAGAAGAAGGAAAGGAACAGAACACCCAGAACAGCTACTATTGTGTTTCTCTGCCGGCTATGAGCGAACCTGCAGGCGAGTGATGCAGCCCTGAGCGAACATGCCGAGAACTGCAATAGCGTACTGGTCTTGCATCATCGCATGTGGTGGAATGAAACTGATTGGATTGACAAAACGCTTTAAGGACAGTCGTGTCTTCATTGCCGTACATGGGCTTGCATTGCCTTCTTCATTGCCGTACATGGGGCTGCATGCACAAGCGGGAACTACGATATGGTGAACCTCACCACATCGTCACAAGTCAGGCTGCCATGTCAGCATGCTCACCCTCGTTCTCAGCACCAGGAACCCGAGCGCTCTCCCTTTCAACTCCTACTAACCTCGCCTTCTTCAGCTACACTGCGGCGGGGATGGGACGCCCTGTGCAGTAGGCTGCGAACAGCTCCTCCGCAGATACAGCAAACACGATCCCCTCCGCGTCCCCTTCAACCTTCCTGCCCTTCCCGCCCTACGGCATCGTACCACGACAGACGTTGCGCTCTTGATAGTCGGGCCCCAATACAGGGCATCCAGCGGCACCAAGTAACATGCCCCTACCTGTCCGCCACCGCTACCACCGCCAGAACCACCACAAGGCCCACCATGAATACGTATTCCTAGTCCTGCACGCTCCTTCAAAGTGGGGGAGGTGCCACGACCCGCCCCGGCAACCCCAGCAGTGTAAGCACTGACAGCACGGGGCCTCCCGGGTTATTTAAACGGCGCCGTACATACCGTACACGCCGACACAGCCACCGGCCGGCTTAGGATGCGTGACCCTGGACGGCAGGCAACTGGGCAACTGGCTGTCCGTTGGAGCAGCTGGCGGGTGAGTGCGCCTGCCGTGCCACCAAAGCTCACTTTGCACACACATATACATACAGGATACAGGAGCACAGCGTGCTCACACACACCGTTAGGAACGCCGTAATCCTCACCTGAACTGTTAATACGGTACTCATGTCATGCCACGTCACGTCGCCTCCCTTTCCCCCCGCCTCCTCATCATCATCTTCCTCTTCCCGCCCTCTATGCCCTCCTCGCCCTCCTCCCGTGCCTAGCCCCTATACGGGTAAGTGTTCCCTTTCCTGCGGCCTGCTGCAACATCCCGGAAGTGTTACGGGTGTCACACGACTCCTGGGCGTCTCCGTTACTGCAGAACGCACCACCACGGTTCTGCCAGCAAGCAGCCAGCCAGCCAGCCAGCAAGACGGACGGCCTCCCCGGCCTCTTAGGGAGTGTCAGCAGCGGCAGCGCCGCCGTCGCCAGCGGCCAGAGTACGCGTGTTGTCGCGCCTGCCGGCATGGAAGGGCACCACTCCGTGGGCCCTGGTGCCGTAGACCCGGTGCTGCCGCCGCCGACCTGCCAGTCGGTGCCCCACCAGCTCTGCAGTGCCGTGGAAGCGGCGGGTGCCAGCCACGGTGCGGTGTGCCCGGAACCCCCATCCGGCGCCGCCGCCGTCATCATCGTCGCCGCCGCCGTCATCAAGAGCAAGCGCGCTGCCTAAGCCGCCGATGCCGTGGTCCAGCCCGCCGCCGTCGCCGAGGCTGACAGCGTCAAAGCGACGTGCGCCGCGAATGGCTTGTCGGTGGCTCCATCCGGCTGCCGCCATTGCACTATCGTACTCCTCAGGCATGGCCTCCGTATTCCCTGCCAGGATTGTTGCTCCTCCTCCGTAGGCTGTAGTGCTACTGGCGGCGGCACCAGCTCCGACAAGGATGCTTGCGCTGCCGGGGCTGTCAGCACGCGCCGCAACCGCCGCCTGCGCCTGAGAGTCGCCTGGGGGTCCCGCCGCGGCGGCAGCGGCAGCGGCCGCCGCCGCTAAAATCGCCGCGGCAGCGGCTGCATCTACTGCAGCTTCAGGGGTAGTACCGTCCACAGGCACGCTGTCCCCGGTATTCTGCTCCACCTGCTGATCATGTTGCTGGGGTTCCGTCCCGGGGGGCACGTTGTATCCAGGGATGGCCGGGGCGGCACGGATGAGACCGTCGACACCCACTGCCGCCGCCTTGAGCTCCAGGTTGGGCATGGTGGGCTCCTTGTACGGCTTGTCCTTCAGGTCCTGCCGTACAATACGAGCCCCGAAAATGAAACACCCGGAAAGTGCAGTGAGGAGTTGCAGAAACGACGACAGCATGCATGACAACATGTCAATGACAGGGCTAGCAGCTGCAGCAGCAGCTTGTGCTGCTGCTGACGATGGCGCTCTTACTGCCTCCGTCACCGCTGCTGCTGCTGCTGCTGCTGCTGCTGCTGCTGCTGTAGTCAATGCTGCTGCTCAGCACCTGCTGGTCTGGGGCCCTCTGCCGTATGCCGCCCGTTCCCCACCTGCTTCGCACGGGCCCCCCCTGAGCTTCAGTCCGCAACCCTTTCCACCTCACCGAGCTCATACACCCACGCTGAGTTACCCCACGCCTGGCCACGCGCTGTACGCTGACATCCCCCCTGCCCAACGCACCCGCATCCTCACCTTCGCTCCTCCACCAAACCACCACCACCTGCACCCCAATCCTCACCAACCACCCTCCACCTCCTCCACCTCCACCACCTCCTCCATCATCTCCACGCCCGCAAGAGCCCACCTGAACCATTTCTTCATGGTTGGTTGCCTTGCATATATCCTGCACCATATTCAGCCTGTTGGTCTCCACGGTACCCCGGGAGAGCACCGGCCGTAGAGGATTCATCAAGTACAACACCCTGTGACAGCCGGGGCCCCAGCCAGGTGAGGTGGGCGGGCGGGTGGGTGGGCGGGTGAAACCCGTGTGGGAGAGGGCCCAACGGGGGGAAACATTTGGAGCCGTTTGGACGAGCGACATGTTTGAAGTTGAATGCGGATCCGGAACTTCCGGTGCGGCCCAAAAAACGTTGGACGAATCGACTTGATGCTATACATGCATACAGAGGGCGAGAGGGCGAGAGGGCGAGAGGCTTCCCAAGCATGGGCCAGATTGCTTTCCTTCACAACCCAAAGGTATGAAAAGAGTTACACGCAGTCTCTGGCCGCGCAACGGCTCAAACTACCCCAAGCAATCCAGATCACGCGCCGAAAGCGGGCTCTTGCAAGGCAAAACCCTAAATCTCATTCTCATTCTCAATCTCAAGCGGTTACCCAGCAGTGAAAGAAACCCACCATGCAAACCACGCGAGCAGCAACCCCCATAACAATCTCACCTAAATTTATACACCAAAACATCCCTTTAACATTCGAAAAAACTGTCTGCGATGCCTCGCGCTGCGTCGTGTGTCCCTTGACTCCCGTTCCAACACGGTATATCTCCGATGCTCAAGGCAGCCTACCTGAATACGTGGGTGCGCTTCAGGGACCAGGCCCGAGCCAGGTCATCTCGGGGCAGGGAAAAGATCCTCAAGGTGGGATTGGAGCCGTTGGAGGTGGGGACCCCAGTAGCGCCCAGCTCCGCTGCGCGTGTGTTTGGGCGCGCGAGGGCGAGGAAAGGGGGAGGGGGCCAAAGGAAACCGGGTCCAGGTTGGAAACCCTAATAACGTCCCCCAGGGGCCGTCAGAGGAAGATAAAGATATGATCGGAGGGGAGGGGTTAGCTATGTGTCCGCGCGCGTGTGCGCGCGTGTGCGCGTGTGTGTGTGTGAGTGTGTATGTGCTCTGCAAGAAGCCGTGGGGGAGAGGGGGTGAACGGCGAGGAGCGGCAGGGGCTGCACCCAGGCGGAAAAAGCCCGGGGATGTCTCGAAGGGTGTTAACCGTTACGGTTAACCGTTACGGTTACACTTACAGTGTCCGCAGAAGTTTCGCAGGGGTCCGTCATAGACCGGGACGTCATAGACCGTTGCTGAAAATTAATGTTACACGGTGTCGGGGGGGACTGTCGCCATCCTCCAACCCCCGTTTGAGCGTGAAGCGGCGGAGCGCTGCGTGCCCAGTCTCCTAGACTTCGAAGAGAAATCTAGCTACGCAATGCCAGCGGGGGAACCTCGGTCATGATGGTGCGCATGCTGCGCCCTTAAAACCCGAGTTCACTCCCAGACTAAGCCCTTAAGCCATCATACGCAGGGCATTCCCCAACACATGCATGCAATTCGTCTTCCACCGCGCTGCAGCTACAAAACCTGCAGCACGCTCGCGGTCATGGAGCCTATTAATCTCTAACTCCCAACACCCCAATTTAAAGCGCTTAATGACCTGGTGCAGTCGCTAATCGGCTAATCCACCAATTCTAGACGTAGCTTCGGGCGGCTGCGAGGAATCCCTGAACTACCGACAAACATACATCCAGACATGAGTCAGGATACTCCGGGGGCTCGGTAAGCGCTAACCTGAACCACACAAATCCGTCAATCACCAGCGAGAAATTTGCAACCACGGCAAGCCCATGTCCCGAGGCATCCGTGCAGCAACATGTTGGCCTTACCCAGGGTGTAGAGTACACCACAAGGTACCGTAAGGCGACTCAGCCTCCCCATCTAGCGCCCTGTACCACACATGTGCACAACACATACCTGACACGAGCCCAATTGTGTTTCGCTCGTCCGGATCGATGTACGGCAACATCAACATCTTGCTCCTCCAATGCGCAAACTCCAGTGTCAGCATGCCCCGACCGTCGAACAAACATCCCTCCGTGAGGAGCGGCAACCACATGCACCACAGGTCTGCCGCATGCGTGCCGTATGGGATGAACTCCTGGCAGACATTCGACGGCCGTACGGCGATAAGGGAGATGACGTAGATGAGAGCTTGTAGAGCTCTCGCGGGAGAGAGGGAAGCGGGTTGGAAAGCCAGGAGGGCAAACGGGGGGAGGCTGGATTAGAGCTCCCTCCACCATCCCCCATCACCCCCCCTTTCCCCCCTTTCCCCCCCCTAGGAAAGGTTACCCGGCTTATAACCGCATTAGCAACAGGCACGCACCCATAGCCAAGCTTTAATACATGCCACACAGCCGCCGCATCACCCCCTCAAACCCTGCCTACCCCCCTCCTTGCCCTCTTCTACCCCTCCCGGGAGCCATGATGTCCCCACCTGCCGTATGGTCAGGGGCAACGTGGAGGCACCCTCCGCTCCGGACTCGGCAATCCAAGGGGCGGCGCAAGGGGCGTCGGGCCACACTGGCACCCGGCCTAGCACTATGGCAGTCTGCACAGGTGACCCACGGGTCAGTGCGGTCCAAGCATCGGGAAATGTCGGGAGATACCGAGGACGGAGGGGAAGGAATGACTGCGTGTCTGTCCAGTGAAAAGAGGTAACGGGGGAAACCGCTGTGTGAGGAGGGACTTGGCTCTATATGGGTGTGTGTATGGGGCGGGGAGCTACGCGAGGGTGATCGAGGGCGTGACCTGGCGCCACAGCGCATGAGGCGTGACCGACCCATGGGCCACTTGAGCATCCAGCAATGCACGTGCAAAAGCACACACACACGGTCCTTCCAAGACCAGTAGTCCAGCCAAAAAGGAAACCAGGGAAGTCAAAAAAGAAAAGGAAAGCTTGCTCTCTGGGTCTTACACCCTGGCATGCGTCAAGAGAGCCTCTGTGCATCATTGATGCAAAGCTGCAGTGGCTCAAGGCTGCGATGCCGCCGTACAGACTAAGTACCAGCCCTTGAGTTATCTGCTAACTCACTCGAAATCAGGTGGTGGCATTAAACTGCGCCAACATGTGAACACACCCATTTTAAGCTAAGGCCCTCGAGGCCCTCGAGCCATGAACCCACACCCTGGACCTGCAGGTGCACTGCTATAACCGTAGCCATGACCAGCCGGTCACATGTTCAACGACTTAATAGGACAAATCCTAATTAAGCCCTCAGAAGATTCTGATCCATCCAAAGCACCCCATCATCCCCAAAGCCCACGTGACCCAAGCCTCCCCCCACGACCTACCTCCCCCCTCTTTCCCCTTTCTCCCACACCCCTTTAGGGTCCGGAGTGCTTTCACTGGCCCGTGACCTTTCCCCCTTTCCCCCTTTTCCCCGCCAACCTCCCTCCCTCCCGCCTCACCGCCAGCAGCCCCCTCAGCAACTGGGCATACTCTTCCCAGCTGCGGATGTATGCCAGGGAGCGCAACAAGGAGGGGTGCAGCGCCAGCAGGTGCAGGGGCGCCAGACCCCCGGGCTGGGTCTCCGGACCAGGCTGGATGTTGTCAGTGCCCTGGACAACGTGGATGGAGAACGACGTGTAATTGCTGCTGTCTTAGGTGTTTTATAGCAACTAAGCTCCTCTGCCATTTGGCGCAGTAATATGGTGTAATATGGCATCAGGTGTATGACGGGGGAATTACGTGTGCTACATCAGTGAGGGGGTGCGCGAGTCCATGATCGTGTTGACTGACCTGAATGTATACTGACCGGAAGGGATTCGGATTCCTCCGGATTGTGTGCCTGGGCTTGTGTGAGATGATCTGCCCCCTCCTCCTCCGCACGGCGTGTTGGAGTTTCGGAATACCATCCAACCGTGTAATACACCAAGTCAGTAATATACACCGTGCCGTACCTGGTGCAAAAAGTACAGTCGGGGCCCTAGCACCTGCTGTGCCAGCTTCCAGTCGTACTGCCCGACCGCCATTCGGGCGGCTGACTTGCCCACTGAAATGCTGGTGCCTGGGGTATTTCATGATATGGGTGAAGTACGGATGAGTTACGGCAGGTGCTATGATACGCAACCGTACACCAATGGTACAGGGAGCAATGTAAGCACAGGATGGTACACTACAACACCTACTACCCTACCTACCTACCCTACCTACCTACCCTACCTACCTACCCTACCTACCCTACCTACCTACCCTACCTACCCTACCTACCTACCCTACCTACCTACCCTACCTACCTACCCTACCTACCTACCTACCTACCTACCCTACCTACCTACCCCACCTACCCTACCTACCTACCTACATTCTCCAAAGATACACATACACACACGTATGCACAAAATGTGGTCCACATACACACACGCCGAACACAGCGCAGTCAGACCACCGCAGAAGTGACAGAAGATCTCTAACTTGCCCTGCCCTGCCCTTCTGCTGTGCCCTGCCCCGCCGCTCCATATCCAATGTTTTCAAACCAAACAGCCCCCCTCTCCCACATCCCAACTCACCCTCCTCCACCCCGCCTCAGGCCCCAACAACCCCCTCCTCACCTGGCACATAGTGAAGGTGCCCCACCACTTGCTGCGGCCCAGTGGGTGTGAGCGCCGGGTGCCAGTAACCCTTGCGGCCCCGTGCGAACCAGTTGAGCATCAGGAACGGGGGGGCCAGCAGGAAGCGCTCGGAGGGTACGGAGGCGGCTGCGGAGGAGGGATCCTCGGGGTCGGGCCACAAGGGGCAGCTGAGGGGCAGGAGGGGAGGGGGTGGGAGTAGATAGCAGGGATGAGGGGAAGAAGGGGAGGCAGGGCCGGGAGGGGGGAAAGGGGGAATTCGGGTGCTATGCTCGCAGGTGGGGGTCTGGGGCCGGGGGAGGGGGGTCTGGGGCCGGGGGCACGATGTGCCGTCGGGTCACACCATCCTTACCTTTTCAGATGCGCTCAATTGCACGTATGTGCCCCCCAGGTGGCGATGTTTCCCACCAACATAGCCGCCTGAAGAAGTCGCCTACAATCAGGAGCTTCATTTCCTTCCCCCCTTCCCTCCCCCCTTCCCTCCCTCCTTCCCTCTCTCCCTTCCCTCCCTCCTTCCCTCTCTCCCTGCCCTCCCTCCTTCTCTCTCTCCCTGCCCTCCCTCCTTCCCTCTCTCCCTGCCCTCCCTCCTTCCCTCTCTCCCTGCCCTCCCTCCTTCCCTCTCTCCCTGCCCTCCCTCCTTCCCTCTCTCCCTGCCCTCCCTCCTTCCCTCTCCCCTGGCCCCCTGCCCCCTGGCCCCCGGGGTGCGCTCTCCCTCACCCGCAGTCCTCTCGGAGCTGCTGCAGCCACTGCCCCGATAGAACACCCTTAGAAGGGTAGAGGTACGGACCGTACTTCTCGTCCCACGGCGCGTAGGCTGGCATCCGCATTTCGAAGTACCTTTACATGGGGGGGAGGTAAGAAGACACGGAGGGAAGTCAAAGGGAAGGGGAGAGAGGGCGGGAAAGCGGGAAAGGGGAAAGGGACGGACATCAGGCTGAATAACCGGGACGTGCAGTACAGAGATGTCTTTGGTACGGCACGAACCCATACCGCACCATGCAGCAAAAACCAAATAGTAGCACAAGCAGCAGCATAGCCGTAGCAGAAGTAGCCGTAGCAGTAAAAGTCGTTGCGAGAACAACCGAAAGGACGTGATGATCACAAACGTCCACTTTACCGTCAACCCCAAGGCGGCGGTAGCGGCACCACCGGGTGCATAACACCACCACGAGCACCCCCAAACGAGGAAGGGTCGAGAACGTGTTCGCCTCCATACCTGCAATCCCCTTCCCTCGCCTACCCTCTCCATCACCTGGCCCCTGCCTGGATCTAAACTGTTTAGATGTATCATCCACAGACATACATACATACATCCTCACATACGCAGGCGGCTGGCAGAGGTTAAGGCCTGACTTCTGCTCCCGGATCAAATCCGCCTGCCGACTTCTCGGGTGTCTGAGAAGTGTTGAAATGGGAGGTGGCCCCCCATCTTATGGAGGGTGTAGGACGTGATAATATCAACTTGCGAGCTGACCAGGAACCAAGTTGAGGCGCCGTTGATCCGCTAGATTTGGTTGGATGCTGGTGGTGAGTTGCTGAACCCAACGAATACATTCTGAAGTCGGATGGGGTGAACGGATTAGGGTGCCCCTCTAGCAGGGGAGAGCAGGGAACTGCCTCGGGAAAGGGGGCCGCTGGTGAAGCTTAACCACCCTGTAACGACATACATACCCGGTTACGGCCTCCACTCCAACAGAGACGCGTGTGAGTTTTGGAGCCGCCTTAGACGCCAGCCCCACCCGTCAGATGGGTTGTACGGGATGAGGAAGGGAGGGCGTCATAACCAGCACAAAGGTGGCCTACCTGAGTGTTACGGTCTGCTCCCCCGCGGCTCCCTGGAGCGCTGTCGGCAACTCAACATGATCGTCCTGTCGTACGGCACCACCGCCGCTGGCGGCGTCCTTCCCTAAGAGGTCAGTTACTGCATCCCGAAGGGCCACATGCTGGTCCGGATGTTCATTTCGCCACGCCTCTGTACGGCAGTCACGTACGGCAAACCCGAAGAAAATGCGACCTGTGCAGGGCATATCCGCCCATGAAAACGGAACACGGCACATACGACACCGTTACGTGTGTGTGTGTGTGTGCGTCAATCCTAACATAAAAACATGCTGAAAGCCTTGTAAGGCAAAACGTGCGAGTAAGACCGCAGTTGTGACCAGCGCCTGCTTTCCCCTCATCAATCCGCCCGGGCCACGTCTCCTAAGCCCCCCTCCCCCTCCCCATGGCACCTCCTCCCAACCTTGCAGCTTCTCACAGACAACACACTGACAAGGTAATCCGCTCCACCTCAGGGGGCCCATCTACCCATACACTGATCATGCCTGATTTCCCTTGGGGGGCTCCCATGCACTTCTACCATGCACCCGAAAACCTCCTAATCCCCATGATAACCTAAAACCTTAAAACCCACCCAGTCGCACGCTGCTGAGCGCGTCCTTGAGTCCATCCTGGTCCATGTAGTTGCACCATGTGGCGATGTGGTGTGTGTGACGGCTGAGGCGAAAGCCGTCCTCCAGCCAGCGGAGCAGCCTGGCCAGGGTTAGAGGGTTGGGAAGTGGGGCAGCCAGGGTTTTGGAAGGACAAATAAATATAGGTTGACAGCTTCGTTGAATTTGAGGGAAAAAAGCCGCCGCAGCAGCCCCTTTTTCGCCGCCGCCACAGCAGGCAGGCAGGCTTGTTTGTTGACCAGGACGGCGCTCCGGGCAGCACGTCGAGGAACGCCCCCAGCAACGGATGGCGCGAGGAGGCCGACACCCAGGCCTAAGAGGTGCACCCCAGCGGGTAGGTAAAGACATCCTAAGCACCCACACACACCCGTCGTGTGGAACAAACTGCTGTCCTGCCAGGGTGTGAGTTCGCACCACTCTGCGTGTGTGTGTATGTGTGTGTGTACTGTAAGTGGGGAGTCCTAGTACGGAGTAGTAGCCGCTCTTTAAATGGAGGGGTGCGGACCTCCTGTGGCGATGTGTGAGCGCGACGGAGCGGGCAGCGCCGCAGATGCCCTTAGTAGCCAACTTATTAGTGCTTATTACTACAGCGCAACCCGCACTCGATTCGGCAACGCCCGGAAGGACCGCGCACACGGCGGCTGGTGCCTTTCCCGGAAGTTCCAAGAGCGACGGTACAAAAGGCAAAACACACGTCCCAGCCGGGGCTCTCCACCGCGGTGGACCTAAGGATGGAGGATAGGCTGCCCTCAGCCAACTGCTTCCCGCGGAGGGCGGAACAGTTCCTTGTCCACATCCGTAAAAGATACCTTATGATGGACTGGGTCCTTGAATTTCCCCTGTTAACAAGGCCCTTCCCCGCATAAACCCTTCCCCGCATAAGGCCCTCCCCGCATAAGGCCCTTCCCCGCATAAGGCCCTTCCCCGCATAAGGCCCTCCCCCGCATAAGCCCCTTCCCCGCATAAGGCCCTCCCCCGCATAAGCCCCTTCCCCGCATAAAGCCCTTCCCCGCATAAAGCCCTCCCCGCATAAGGCCCTTCCCCGCATAAGGCCCTCCCCGTACCTGTGCGTCACCTCAGACAGCAGCCAGGCTGCCGGGCCGTCAGGTGCCGCGCTCTGTACGTACAGCACCCCACCATTGGGGTCACTCTCCGTGAGGTAGTCCAGCTGGTCGTACAGCACCTGCGTCATGGGTAAGGGCAATCATAGCAGCAAAATCAGGGACAGCAAACCCCGTAGATCGGATTTGAAAGTGGGGGTAACTGGGGGAGTGGATGGGACGGGTGAGTGAAAAAGAGCTGCTTGACTGCTTTCTGAATTGTACAGTTTAATGTGTCCCTCCACCTGCCCTCTGCCTGGAGTGCATGAAAGCACGTTATGGCATTATTTTTTGAGCACAGAAGCGAGCGGCAATGCCGTACACATGTACGGCGGTTGATGGTGCTGACTAACTCTAGCTGAAGGACGTGAAGCTGCAGGGCTGCAGCGCCGACAGTGACAGCAGCGGGCGCGGCATCAGCGTAAGCCAGGGAGGATTTCGCGGCAGGAAGTCGCACCTCTGGCTGGTTGATGATGGTGAAGTTGGCGAAGGGCGGTGACTTGAAGTACAAGTACGGATCATCGAAGAAAATGACGTCAGTGTCCACCAGGAACACATTGTACCGCATCCGTACAGCCCGCGCCGCGAGGCGGTACCTGCCGTAGCAAAACAACATGTCAGCAGTAGCAGACGGCGATAGTACGGCACCATGATACGCCAAAAGCATCATTGTCCCTACTATCAATCCAAAGCGCTGCTTAAGCGTCCCGATCGCAACCACAAGCAACTATGCAACTATGAACAACCCTCAACCCTCAACCCTTCCCCCTCAACTTTTCTCGGAACGCCTGCTGCCTCTCTCGGCGACTCCCAGCTGGCCTGCCGCTCCCTAATCCCCCTCCTCTTCCCTCCGCCTTCCCCCGACCCGCCCCCTTCACCCCCACCCCACCTGTTGTGCCACAGCGGGGCCGCCACGGGCACCAGGTCCCTCTCCGCCCCCACCACAGGCAAATCCCACTCCATCCACACACAGCCAGTGGAGGGCAGGGCGGACGCCACACGAACACACTCGGGACCCGAGTCGCCCAACATCAATACGTTGTCCAGTCCCAGACGTCGAAGGTTCGTGACCGCCTGGGGGACGTCCAAGAGAGTGCGGGCGCGGGCGCGGGTGAGGTGAGGGGCGGGTGAGGTGAGGGCGCGGGTGAGGTGAGGGCGCGGGTGAGGGCAAGGGACTCAGGGATTCAGAATGGCGGGCTGAAATGCTCCCGCGTCCCCGAAACACATCGTACACATACGGCACATGTGCCATTGGACGGCTACCTACCCGCCTGTGCCTTCCTCCTCCACGACCAAAGACGTAAGGTCGGTCGGACAAGCAAGCACGCACCTAACCCTCCCCAAAGGGGAAGCCCCCTTCCACACCCCTCACGGCCTGTGAAAACCCGAGATGAAGATTAGTGTGGGTGTGTAAACATGTGAGGGGCGGTATTTTCACTGCCTCTAACCTCATTTCGCCGGTCCTGGGCCCCCTCGCCCCACTACCACATGTAGTGCATATGCCCGCCCTTCGCGGCATTGCGTGCGTCCTGGAACTGGAGCTAAAAGTCATCTCTCATATACAATCAATCAATCAATCAATCAATCAATCAATCAATCAATCAATCAATCAATCAATCAATCAATACTCTACATGTAGAAGTTCCAGCACTCATACGGACACACGGGCAGATACACGGGCAGGCCATGCTAGTCTGGTACCAACCGCTCGCCGTTTCTTTCTCGCGGCTCAGTTCCTCCCAATACACACACGGAGGGCACAATCCAACACACCCAACCACGCTTGCGACCCGCCTGTGCCTGGTACTCCTCCTGGCCTCTAACGGCCAACCGTTCTACCCGTCAATCCCCTCCCTGCCCCTTTCCCGTTCGCCCCGCCCGCCCGGGGCCCTTCCCCCCCAAATCAGCCAAGTAGCGCCACCTGAATGGCGCCCAGCACGTGCTTGGCGTCCGTGGCCATGAGGATCACTTCGCGCCTGTATGACCGAGCCACCAGGGCTCTACGTAGCCCCACCGCTGGGGGTGAAGATGGGGACGGCAGCATGGGGATGGGGAGGCGGGCGGCCTGGTTTAGTTGTCCTCAGTGAACGGACAGGGGCACCGCCGTGCTCGCGAGCGGAGATGCGGCAGGACAGAGAGGGGCAAGGCACGGGGATGGGGGCCTAACGGCAATAACGGCCTAACGGCAATAACGGCTGTCTGTGATGGAGGGCTGTGAAGGAACTGAATCGACAACAGACTTGGACGGTGAGGGAGGCGACGGCATGGAGTAAGAGCGGGCCCCTCCCGATATCCATACATACATTGCATACGTAAATAAGTACATAATACATACATAATACATAGTACATAGTACATAATACATACATAGTACATAGTACATAATACATACATACATACATACATACATACATACATACATACATACATACATACATACATACATACATACATACATATATGAGGATGGCGCTGAACGGTTAGCCAAGGAAAGAAACGGGGAGGTGGTGGTGGGCGGGTAAGTGTGTTTGTGTGGTTGGTCTGAGCAACCTGGCATCAAAATGCTTGCCAAGAGAGGGTCCCCAGTGCAGGCAAAGACCTCTCTCTCGACCTGTCCTCGTTTCCCCGTCCCCGGGTCAACCCCTCCCGTTTGTCTACGGGTCTGTTTGTCTGTTTCTTAAGTCATCGCACACAGCGCTGGGCTGGGCCGTGTTGGGCTATCCTATCCTATCCTGCTACACACACAGCGCTTCAGGTCTCACCAGTGTCCACCTCTCCGAGGTACGGCTTGGTCCTGCCCAGACTGCAGTATCCACTGCGCTCACACGCCAGGCCGGCCTGCTCTGCGCCCGGCAGTAGCACCAGCACCGACAGCAGTAGCAATAGTCGCAGCCGCCAGACCGCCAGGTGTGGGAGCTGCAGCAGCTGTTCCGCAGCCAGCGATTCGGCCACCATTGCTCTCCCGCCGATCATACTGCTTCTGCTTCTGCTGCTGAGAGCACCAACCTTGCTGGCAATCGCCAATGAAAGACTTGCCGGGGCGGCCGAAGTGGCGCTGGGTGGCTGGCGGGCGGCGCAGGTGCGGGAAAGGGCTACTGCGGCCACATGGCTGGTAATAATTATGCAAGCATGCCTGTCGGTAGAACAGTGGACCAATCAACGCGAGAAGTCCAGGTATAGAGCCGCGTGCCGTGAACCTTCGTGGCCAAGGCTGTAGTCGGCTTCCGATGCGATGGAGGAGATGTGTATGTTGTGGCGGTGGTCGTGGTGGTAAAGTGTGGTGTTGCTAAAATCTACTGCCGGGACCTGCGCGCATGCCCTAAGCAGGGTAAGGAAGCGCGCGACCTGGAAAGTCCTGTTGTCGTCCTGCGCTGGCTGTGCGCTGTACACTGAAATATGTTCTTCTCCAAGTTAAAAAGGATCTTTCTGGCTTGAATGGATCCTGTAAGTAAGTTGAGCTTATGGGCGAACGAGGCGCTGCAAGGCATACAGAGCCCGCGACTTAACTAGCCTAGTAGGAACTTCCAGATCCTGGCCAACCGCGAGGCCTCAGCTAGGCACAATTGTTAATGCAGGATTTGGGTTAAGTGAGTCAGGACGTGTGCGGAAGCTGTCGTGAACGCAGAAGGTCACGTCGCAGTTCGAACGGCAACTGCTGACATTGTTCGCTGCGAGCTTCGATGGTGGCGCACCATGGGGCTACACTAATGAATTAGCATGGGCCGATATGTAGACAGCATATAGTGAAACTTCCTTTCTGGAAGAATTTCAGCGCATTGCGTTATGTAGCCTTGTGCTAGGCCTACAATAACCCTTTTCTTACGCCGTGTTAAGGCCGGTAAATTTACTGTCATGTGAAAGGACCCTTCCAAAGGCTTATGTCTGGCACACGTTTCATTACAGAAGTGTACGCGTCTGTCGGGTCTTGCTGGGTCGACAGACTAACCACCTTAACGGAAAATCTCGGGAACGGGCTTGCAAGCAACAATAGAAATGGACCAGCGGAGGCAAGCGAGATGAATTTAAAAACTTATCAAGTATCTTTATGTTGTGTTTAAACTTAAGTTTGCAACCGAAACGCATGGCGGGTTCCGGTCTTCTCAATTTTGTTTCTTCCTTTCTTCAGTGATTAATCGGGTGCTGCATATCCAAACAAAAGCTTTTAGTGACGATGTGTGCTTTGACTAGTTTTGGTTTACTTTACCTGCGGTAGACCTACAACATAGCTATGAACGCAGGCAGCTGTTCTATTGCAAAGATGCGGGCGCAAGCTCATCGATCAGTAGTCGCCGGGACTGTCTGCCCATCAATTTTCAGGCGTTGGACTGTGTCGTGTGCACAGCGACCATGCACGCGAGCAGCTGCCGCTTTCGACAGCAGGCGTGTGGAGAATGACTCGCTTTTGGAGATACAGAACCCGTCTACTTCGGATCCGCTTGTCAAAGAGTGAGTATGTGTTGGTGTTCGGGGCAAGCATTTTTGTAGCATCGGCCTCACCGCAGAGCGCGATCCTTTCCAATCCCTGCTTATGGAAATTTCTTATGCCCCAAAACTCCCGGACATTTTACAAAAACCACTTCCTGTAGGGTGTTGCCACGTTAGAAGAAGGTATCTTTTTCAGTCCGGCTTGACCGCTGCGTGCCTGAGCATTTGCCGCTGACTCAGACACCCCGCCAACTTCCTTAACACTCCACACGAAAGTGTTTCGAGATCCGTTGCGCGCGAAACTCCTCAATCCTGCGGTTCGGTCCCGGCATCGGTCCCCCTCGCCTCACCCGTTTTTCCAACGTCTACTTTCGCTTTCGCAGGCGTTCAGCCCTAAAACCCTGTTAAACCCATGACCGCCACCAACACCGCCTGCCTTCAACCTTTTCCACACGTTTGCCTTCTCCTACCGGCACCTACATCACCCGCATGCCACTCTCTTCAACCCCATACCCCATTACCCTCCGCTGGCACCTCTTCCCATTTGCCCAAACATAACTCGCCTCGCTCCGGGCGAACATTCATCCCATTTTACACAGCTCCTGAACAATTGTTAATATGTCATCTCGCGCCCCCGCACATGCATATTTCCGTCACAGTTATACCTACAGCTATACCCACACCACTCTATTCCATGCCGGCCCAAAATTGCCCCCAACATCCTTCCCCCTCTCCTCTAGCCTGGCCGACGTCCTTCACTTGACCCGGAAGCGCGCCCCCTTTGACAACGAGTACCTTCTTGGATTGGTTTGGCGGGAGCGGCGGCACCTTGCTTTGGCGCTGTTTACTCTGCTGCTGTGCACCGCCTCCAACCTGGCTGCACCCGTGCTGTCTGGTATGCTGCTGGAAATGCTGGTCAGCGGACAATCAATGACCAAGTATGCGGAGGTGAGCGAGGGCTGCAGGCGGGGGGGGATTCGCAGGACAGGGACTGGAAAGGAGCAGCAGTCGACTCAATATATGTATATAGATCTTTTATGGCCGGCCGAAGCAGACGGAGAAGGGCGTGTGCGTGTGCGCGGCGGGGGTATGGGGGAAGAACGAGGTCCGGGGGGGTGGGCGCCCGCCCGCCGGGTAAAAATGTGTGTGGAACGGGTGGGATGGGCGTTGCGAAAATGAACGGGAGCGATCGGCATGCCGTGTGGTGATTGTGATTGCTGTTGCGGGGGTGATGTGGGAATAATCCTGTTGATACTTGTTGACTTGGTAATGACTTGTTGACTTGGTAGCTTCGGGGGTTTGAAGTGTTTTTTCTCTGAGCGAGGATGTGGGTGAACGCGGAGTCACGGGATTATACGTGGGGTGTGTGTGCGCTTATTGCCTACGTTGCCTAACATCTCGGTTAAGCTCTTTCCAGCACCCTCTTCCCCCCTGCGCACTGACTTTCCTTCTTGCAACCCGCCTGTTGACCTGTTGAGCAGTTAACGCCTTGCTTCTTACACGGAATGTCCCACCTGACTCTCGCCACCTCTCCCCCCCCCCAGGTGTTTGCCATTCTGGCCACGGGCTACGTCCTGGAGCCCCTCCTGACCAAGGCGCGTGGTGGGGTGGTGCATGCGTTCGGGTAGGGGCCGACATGTCACCTTGCCCCGCGTGGGGAAGCCAGGGAGGCTCCGACGTGGCAATAAGAACAAAGGGAGGGAGGTCCACGGATGGAGCGATGCCCTAGCGAGCCATGCACATCCGCCCCTATGCTGAAAGTGACAGGAGGACTGTAGATGAAACAAGTTTAGATGTATGCCGAGATCGCAGGGTTGGCAGAAGCTTGGACATGTTCTGTGTTGATGTTGGTGTTGGTGTTGGTGTAGGGCACCCAGTACAGCTGGGGCACCCGAAATGAGCCCAGCCACGTGTGAACAAAGGGAAGGTCCCTTTCCAAGCCAAGCGTGTGTGTATGTGTATGTCAGTGAAGTGAGACGGCGTGGTGGGTGTATAAATGTGTGTATGTATGTATGTGTATGGGGGGGATCCGTCTGGGTCTCATGTGCCGTCAGCCAGCTCGTCAACCTCCACCACCTCGCCCAACTCCCACTGCGGGCCCCTGGTACCTACCTGGTACCTACCTGGGAGGGGGAGAAAGGCCCCAGGCCCTCACGGCCCCGTTCGTGGTTCGTCTTTCCCCCAGTCTGGGCTCTTCCAGGACCTTCCTTCCCTGCTAATCCATTCGCGTTCCCGTTCTCCCTCCATCTCTCAACCAAACTCGCCATCTGCATGGGCATTATAGCAAAAAGCAATGTTAATTGCAGAACAATGCCCAAAATATTGGGCAGGTATTAATTGCCGCACAGAACGTGCGGTCGCAGATCAGTCAATTGGTTTGCCTGACTTTCCTTTTCTTTCGGCCTCCGTCCTCCTGTCTGTATAAAGATTCCCTCCATAAAGATTCCCTCCTGCATGCATGCACGCATTTTTATTACATACAGGTGTACATGTACAATGTGTTGTCGGCGGGTGAGAAGGTTCTGGCCACGCTGCGTCTGGAGCTGTTCCGCACCCTGCTGATGCAGCGGCTGTCCTTCTTCGACCGACACACCACCGCGGAGCTGACGGCGCTCATATCGGTGGAGCTGGATGCGGTGCGGTCGTTCATCTTTAAGTGAGCCCCGGGGGGAGTTTGGGGGTGGGGCCTAGGGTGTTCGTCGTCATTCTGGTTCTTCCCAGCCGCCCCTCACTGCTCTCTGGCTGGGCCACTGCTTACCCGGCCTCCTCCTTTGTAGTGTAGCTGAAAAGGGCCCTCGAGTTGGTAGTGTTGCGCTTTGCGCGTATTTGTATAGTTGTTCAAGGTGCCGCACTGTGTACCAGCTACTACTACATCCTTGCGTGTTCCCTCCTGCCCTCCTTTCCGCATCTTGCTACTGCTACGACGTCATTAACTGCGGCTTCCACCACTGCCCCCGCTGCTGCTGCGGCGACCGCTCCGAAACCGCACCCTATCCATCTGGCCTCCCTTCCGGCACAGCAACGTGTCTCGGGATAGAGGCCTCCGGGCTTTCCTCGAGGTGGGGGGGAACTGGCGGGGGATGGGTGGGAGGCATGGGGGTGGGTGTGGAGGCGGTGCGTCTGTCAGGGTGTTTGGTCAGGGGTTTGCGTGCGCTATATCTCGTTTCATCCCCTTGTGTGCTCCCTTGCTCACCGCTCCGCCCCACGTCCTTCCCACCTTTCTCCCTTCCCTTTTCTCCTTCTTGGTCCACTTCTCGCTCCCTTACACATCGACTTGAGGAGCCCCTCTCCCCACATCCCGACCCCCCCCTCCCGTTGTCCTTCTCCCGCGTATCAGGCCGCTGGGTCTGTAGTGGTGCTGTTTGCGCTGTCCTGGCGCCTAGCCCCCGTGTGCAGTGTGGTGGTAGTTGTGGCGGGGCTGGCAGCCGCCGTGTATCGCCGCCACACCCGGGATATCGAGCGGCGGCAGGGCGCTGCGCTCAGTCGCATGGTGGCGGTGGCTCAGCAGGCGCTGGACAACATGAGGATCGTCCGAAGCTTCGCGGGGGAGGCGCTGGAGAGGGAGAGGTTCCAGGCAAGGGGGGGGAAGGGAAAAGGTGTGGGGGTGGGGGGTTTGCCATATGCAAGGAGCAAGACACAGAGGCTCAAGTGTAACGCGCCCAACGTAGGAACGAAACGGCACCAACGTTGGTGTTGCGTGGGTTGAGCGAGAGGGTGTGTGTGTGTAACTAGGTAACACCTATCAGCAGACGTGGGGGAGGGGGAAGGGAGAGGTTTAAGATGGTGGAGACGAGGGGACGAATTCAGAGGGCTATCCAAACTGGGGAGCAAAGGGACGTGTTGTTTAGGTGTTTAGGTGAGCGGAGGAGGTTTGGCATGAATGAGGTGGGGCAGGGGGGGAAGTAGACAGGGCGAGGACGAGGGGGGTTATCAGGGAATGTGTTTGCATCGGGCGAATTTCGGGTGCCCTTTTCCCAGGGCTATAGGAAACGAATTCCCCTGAAGGTCTGTCACGTTGTGTGTCACGTCACGTCACGTCTTGAGCGGCCGAACGGGTTAATTCGCATCGGGCCCCAATCCACCACACGTCCTTCTGGGGCGCCCTCCCTCCCCTTCGCAGGCTCATGTGGGTTCCAGCTACCGAGCAGGGCTGTCCTTCGCAGCGGCCAAGGCCTGGTTCGAGAGCGCTAACCGGTGGGGCGCGGGAGAGTGATGGTGGGGGGGATGATGGAGAATGATGAAGGGGGGGGGAAGAGGCTATTTGATAGGGCAGGCGAACACGTTAAGAGACCCGGACCGGACCTGTCTTCCTTCGCTTTAACGTCAAAAGGTTTCTAGTTGCCATGTTATGCCCGTGTCCAAAACGCTTCCCGTGCCCTCTTTTTCCCCCTGTGGGAATGTGTAAACCGCAGGGGCGCCATTCACGCGTCTTTACTTGCCCTGTACGCCTGGGGCGGCTGGCTGGTGTCTAACGGGTTGATGCCGGTGCGGGTGCTGGTCAGCGGCATTGGCTTTACCTTCAGTCTTATGTACGCGGTGCAGGGCTCAGTCAACACACTCAGCGAGCTGCGGCGGGCGTCAGGGGCATTCCAGAGGGTGAGGGACGGGGGGGGAAGGGGTGCGGGAGGGCATGGCGGGGGCAGGATTTTTAGCGTTTTGGGTGGGGAGGGGGAGGGGGTGTGGGGAGGGGTTGAAGGCTGTAAAGGAGAGGAGCGGGTGTACGTGGATTGGAAGCTTGGGTTGCGGCTAAGAGCCAGTCCAGCCTCGCGTGTCGTCATTTCACACAGAACGGTTGTACACCTTGCCATTGATTTGGCCTTGGGTCGGCAGTGTGTACGACAAGCTGGGCCTCTTTTTGGCTAAGTGGCAGCCTGAATTCGGGTCCGGGAGGGTGCGGAACGTAGCTTGGGTTTGTGTGCTTTTTCTTAACGTACGGCCTTTATCCTACCGTACGTACTTCTTTGTCCACGTGTCCAGGTTCGTGACCTGATCCAGAACTCGGATCCAGATCCCTCGATGTACGGCGCACTGCCACCGGGCGCCTGGTGGGAGGTGGCTAACGGCGAGTTGCCTGCCGTACAGCCGTACGGTCCCGCCGCGGGCGATCGCGCCATTGAGGCTGCTCGTCGTGGTCGTGGGTTGGAGCTGCGTGACGTCTACTTTGCCTACCCGGCACGTCCCGAGTCAGGGGTGTTGCAGGTACGTGTGTGTATCGTGCGTGTGTGCTAGCTTGCTTACGTGTATGAGGTGCTTGGTTCCGGATGCCGCCATTCATCCAGCGGGGGGGTGCCCTAGATGGCTCCTGGGGCAGGGAGGGGGACAACAAGGTTGCCGTACGACTTTTTCGGGTTGTGGTACAACCCACTGATTGACATCTATTACCAGTGCTTACCAGAGTGTACTTGCCACCATGGTATGTCATCTCCCCTAAAACTTTAAAACCCTAAAACCCCAAACCCCAAGTAAGATGAAGAGGGAGCGGTTCTGGTTGAAGCCTTCGTCGTCCGTCCTCCTAGCCGTGCAGTCGGCTCAATGCCCGCCCCCATCCTCCTCCATTCCACCTCCCCTTGTTTGCATGCAATTTGACCCTTCCCCCCCAAACCCTCTACACCCTTACACGCATGGTCCGACGCACGGACTTGCAGGGTTTGCAGCTGACGATTCCCCATGGCCGTACGACCGCTCTGGTGGGCCTTTCAGGAGCAGGTGAGGGGGCAGGAGGGGGTCGGTGTGTGTGGGGGGGGGGAGGGGGGAACAGGAGGAGAACGGAAGAGGGGTGGGGGAAAGACGAACCACGAACCACGAGTGAAGCTGCTGCCAAGGAAAGAGAAGCAGAAAACTGCCCAGTAGGCGGTTTTGAAGGAGCCGGCCTCGGGAAGAGGGAGGAGGTAAGTAAGTAAAAACCTGGTTCGCGGTGCCTCAGCATTCCGGCGCCTGGGTTGGCCGGAATCTGGGTTGGCCGCTCGCAGCTTTATATAAACTCCGCTTTCGGCCCCCCCCTCTCCCCGCTCCCCCCTCCCCCTTCACTCGTTTGTGGTTCGTCTTTCTCCTCTCCCCCTTCAGGCAAGTCCACTGTCGCAGCCCTGCTATCCCGGTTTTACGAGCCCCAGGAGGGGGTCATCCTGCTGGATGGTCAGCCCATAGACTCGTTCACGCGGGGGGAGTGGGCGCGGGCGGTGTCCCTGGTCAGCCAGGACCCCGTGCTGTTCAGCGGCACCATTGCGGACAACATTGCGTATGGTGAGGGGCCCGGGTGGGGTTGGGGACAAGAGGGCGAGAGGCTTGGTGGGGGTGGGGAACTGGGTTGGGCTGGCATGGGTTGGGTTGGGTCGCACAGGGGGGCTACGGGTTTTGAGGGGGTGGGTAAGGGTGAGGGCGGGGGCTTTTGGGCTGCTTTAGATGCCTGGATGGTTGGGATGTGGCCATTCCCATGGCCGCCATATCCCGGGGTGTGTGTGTATGCATGTATGTATGTACAGAGGAAGGGTTTTTAATGCGAGGGGGCTTCCTCGGGGCTACGTGACTCCCTGCGGGTTGGGATCGCAAAGGGTACGGCACTATGGCCGGTGTAGTTTTCGATCCCGACCGGGCCCTCCCCCCTCCCCCTCCTCATCTGTTTCCCCACGGCCCCCCTTGCCTATTCGCCATTCGCGAGGTCGTCTTTCTCCAACTCCTTTCACCCCCTTGAAGGCCCTTCCCCTTTCATTCACCGCCCCTTACCCGCCCTCTTTGCCCTTATCCGCATGCGGATATAATTAATGACCCCCCCCTCTCTCTCTCTCTCCCGCACCTCCCCATGTTCTTTTCAGGTAAGTTCGGAATGGCTACTTTGGAGGAGATCCAGTCCGCCGCCAAGGCCGCCAACGCTCATGACTTCATCACCAAGCTACCTGACGGGTACCGCACCGTGGTGGGGGAGAGGGGAGTGCTGCTGTCAGGTAAGGTGGGGGGTACGACAGGGGGTGAAAGAAAAGGGCGGCTGATCTGCTGTGACCTGTGCAATTGCGTGGAGCGTAATTAATTTGCGGGGGAGAGGGATTCTCCCACGCCTTCAAGAACGCCTTTTTTCGGTCAGTTCTTCTTCTTGTACACTCTTTCCTTGGCAGCAGCTTCACTCGTTCGTGGTTTGTCTTTTCCCCCACTGTGTGTGTAGTTGTTACAGCTTCCCCCCCCCCCCCCACACACTGTTTTGATTCTTACCCCCCCCCTTACACACGCACACACGCACGCAACCCTACCCCAACCCACTCTTCCTCCCACCCCAACCCTCCTTAACCCAGGCGGTCAGCGTCAGCGTATCGCCCTGGCCCGGGCCATCATCAAGGACTCGCCCATCATCATCCTCGATGAGGCGACCTCGGCACTGGATGTGGTTTCGGAGCGACTGGTGCAGCAGGCCATCAACCGCCTGGTAGCGGGGCGCACTGTGCTGGTCATTGCGCACAGACTGGCAACCGTACAGGTGGGATGTGTGTTTTGGTGTGAGGGGGGATTGAGTGTTTGCAGGCGTTTGTGCGCATGTCCTGTTTTCCTTGAGCTCCCTTCTGGAACCTTCCACCTCAGAAGAATCCACTGCAGGGATCTTCCTGATCCTCCCCAACTGTATATGACTGACCCCTGTATATAGCAAAAGACATGGACGAACGCCATCTTTCATTCGCATCCCCATGCGTCCTGTTCCTGCCTGCGTGGCGGCCCTCCGCGGCCCACACCCCACACCCGCAGGCTGCCGACCAGATCGTGGTGATGCGCAACGGCCGGGTGGTCGAAGCGGGTACTCACGACCAGCTCATTGCCAAACCCAACAGCCACTACTCGGAGCTCATGAGCGTCCAGAACCTGTCCATGGCCTCTACGTGAGCAGGAGAGTCAGGAGGGGGGGGAGGAGGAGGCCGATGTGTTGCGGGGCTGGGACCCTTGGAGATAAAGCTATATGTGTTTGTTTTCTTTCATGTTGTATATACTCCTACTCCTACTACTCCTACTACTCCTACTACTCCTACTACTACTACTACTACGGCGCCACTGCTTTAAAGGGAGGGCAGAACGCGGTTACCGCGTTAATGTGAACCTCGTCAATGCTTCATGAGGAGAGCGAAGTGGGGTATTGTGTGTCTGTCTGTCTGCATGTGTGTCTGTCTGCATGTGTGCGTCGTCAGTGAAGCACACACATGTGGTGGTCACGTATCGGGCGCGCTGTGCTGTGCTGGGATTGGATTGGATGAGGTGCGACATGCGAGGGGTGTGATGGCTGCGGTGCGTAGGGGCGAGGGGGACAGTGGCCGATGGGTGAAAGATAGGAACGTGGGAGGGAGTGGGAAGGGGAAGGGAAAGGGGAAACGTTGCCAGTGTGACCTTTGCTGCTGTGTATATGGCCGTATCCTAGTGTTAGTTGGACTGCGTGTCGGCGTCGAATCCTGAATCCCGGTGGGACTGCCAACGCAGCGAGGTGGTTAGCAGGAAAGGGGCTCTCGCGTGGCCCTACGTCTGGGAGGGAATCTCTTACACCGCAATTCCCCAATCCCCCTTTCGGCGTGGAGACCTGGAGAAGAGTACGTGACACGGGGAAAATTCCCGGGTACTCCCACCACAAGCTAAACCTCCATTTTTAAATAGGTTATGCAAAGTGCGGTGGCGGATGGCGATATCATATCTTGTGTGGTGGCGGAGCGCGGGTGCGGTGCGAGAGAGGAGGAGGAGGGACCGCGCGCGTGTACTTGTACTTGTATTGCGGCTCGCATGGATGTCCGTGCACTAACCCTCGAGAGCTATTGTACGCTTATGATTATGTGTTCTGCTTCGGAAGGGTTGTGCGTGAGTTTTGTCGTGGTTTTAATGTTGTTGGTGATGACGAAATGTAATAGATTTGATAGGACGGAGTGTCAAGCGTCCGCCGATATAGGCGCCGATACAGGCCTGAGGGCAATACAATACCTCCAATGGACTTACATATGCAATAACAAGGCAAGTGTTTCAACATTACTCTTGCGTGGTCGTTTCATATGCCAAAATGAGGAGGACGCTAGGAGGCAAAGCGGGGGCCAGCACGCCGACGCGGCAGGTGACTTGCAGCGGCAGCACTCATGCCCACCACGGACCCTTCCCCCCCAATCCACGCAACCGCCCAGGTCCCAGCCAGAATTCCCCGCCCTTCTGATCACTCCTTGCGCCAAGCTACTTCCACAGACCGGCCCATGGGTCTCATATCGCGTGATAAGGGGTGCCTGCCTCTCCGTAAGCCGCTGCCCAAGCGGGTGAGTTGGGCACTCGGCAGAAAGGGGTTCCTCATTACCAATGCGAGAGGGAAAAACACACACACACGGCGTCCGCCACCTTCCCGCGCCCGTCATCACGCATTTCTCTCCCCTCGTCCGCTTCCACCCCACCCACACTACTTCCCCATCACGGCCTCTTACCCCCCTGCCTCCCAGCTCCCCCACCTAGTCCCCCACCCGCCGCTCCAGCGAACCTGCCCGGGCTGAATGCTCCCACCGGGCAGCTCTTTGCCCCCCCCTCCGTGATCATCTCCGCCAGCACCAGCCCCGTGCCGGGACCGTTGAGGATGCCCCAGCAGGTATGTCCCGTGGCCAGGTACGCCCCCTCACATCCCGGCACGGGGCCAATCACGGGCAGACTGTCCGGCGCGCAAGGCAGGTAGCAGGCCTGCTGAGCCTCCACAGCGGCCTGGGGGGGAGGACGGGGGGCCGAGTCCAAGGGACGGAACCCTTCGTGTGTATGTTGAGAGGGGGGTTAAGGGATGAGAAACTCCTAGGCAGGAAAGGGCGGAGCGGTATTAGCCGAAATCAAAAAAAGGTAACTGCCGACGCCCAACGAAACACCACCAGAAGCTGGAGGAGTCAGAGGCAAAGACGAAACTGCCCCTCGCAAGGAGGGAGCGACGGCGGCGGGGGTTAAGGTGAGGAAAACCCAGACCAGCCAAGGCCAGACCAACCCCCGTCACCCGCCCGACCCCTTCCCACAACCCCTCCCTAACCCTCCCCCAAGCCCCACAACTCTCACCTGCCCCAGGCAGGTGGCCAGGGAAGCCGCCACGGCGCGGATGTTGTCTATTAGGGGCTGCTCCACCGTCACTTGGGCAGCGCTGGGGGGAACGGGCAGGGACTGGGGCTCCCCGCACACATACACAGTGCCATCCGGGCGGGGGTACACCTCGGGCTCCACCGTACGGCCTACGGAGGCGGGGGGACCAGGGGGCCGTGGCAGAGGTGGTTAAAAGGGAGGTGGTGGGTTTTAGAGGGCGGGGAGGGCTGGGTGGGCAGAAGGGGCAGGCGGTAATACTACGCGTCGCACGTGTACATGCTAGCTGCATGGGGTAAGGATGGGGAAGGTGCAGGTGCAGAGAAGCGGGGAAGGGGAAGGGGGGAAGGGGGAAAAGACGAATCACGAGCGAGTGAAGTTCCTGCCGAGGAAAGAGTGCTGCGGCAGAGGGGAGGGGGGAGGGGGCGAGGAGGGGGGAGGGGGGAATGTGGGGAATGTGGGCTGTGGCTGAGGGGTTGAGGGGTTGAGGGATGGAGGGTGAGATAAACAGCCTCACAAATGACCTCTTGATGGCTGCGGGGGTGTCGGATGTGCGGTCCCACGTCCTAACCCTCCTGCCCTCCCCCCTCGCCCAGCACAGCGCCCCTCCACGCACTCTCCCCCTACCTTACCTGATGCGTATTTGAAGCCCGTAAAGAGCATATGGTTGCTCACGGGCTGCTGGGGCCGCAGCACCACGCTGTGGTACTTCTGACCTGTGATGGCCAGATCGGGTAGCAGCGGGGTGGGGGAGGGGGAGGGGGGAGGGGGCCCTCCTCCGGTGCCTCCCCCAACCTCCCCCGATCTTGCTGCTGCCGCTGTCAGCCATTCCCTGGCTACCCCCGACCAAGGGCCCATGGCGATGACCACCGCATCTGCAGGAATGACCTGGCCGTCCACAATAACACCTGGCGGGATGGTGGGGTGGGTTGTGGGGTGGGGGGTGGGGGGATTAGGTGTCATATGGGTGAGGGGGGAGGGATGAGGTGAGGATTATGTGTATGTGTGTGTGTGTGTATGAGGGGACCGAGCACAACACCGGAGAACAGGTTGGTAGTCAGGTTGTACCAACAAAAGAAGCCGTACCTGTCACACGGCTCCGCCTCTGCATCCCTTCGGCTCCCTCCCGCTCTTCCTCCACCCCCTCCAGCTGCAGCCCCTCCACACAGCCCCGCAGCAGTTGCGACCCACGGGTCACGGCCGAGTCAAGCAGTGCGGTGGTGAGCTTGTGTGGGTGCACCTGGGCGGTGTCGGAGGGGTCGCCCATCTCCTGTGCAATACGGCGAAAGTGGGGTTAAGGCGCATGCTGAGGGGGAACGGAGAAAACAACAGCGTGGGAGGGACCTGTGGAGGCGGAGGGTGAGGCGAGGGAGGGAGATACAACAAAACACCGTGCCAGGGAAGAGTTGCGGCCAACTGCTTATGGTCCATCAGCAAAGTAAATAGATATCCTTAAGACCCCTAGCCTCCTGAAACTCTGGACACTGACCCCTAAACCCTCGAAGAAACCCCAACCAGCCGCCTCCTGTGTCCTGAGACTTCCCACGTCCTCACCACCCCGGGGGCCTCCCCGACAGCCAAGTGCGGGCCCTCTCCCAGGAGACAAGGAGACAAGGAGGAGGAGGGAAAGCGGTTTATCGGCCAATGCCAAATCCGATCCGATCCGATTCCGAATCCTTTCTGATTCGACTCAACCGACTCGTTAGACGTGCGAGGTATGGATCCGGAACCCACCGACATGCCGACGACATGTCCGTCCACCCAGTCTGGAAGCGCCTCGGCGCCTCGGCGCCTCCCAGGAGCCGAAGGGGAGGAGCCGGGTGGGGGCCGCTCAACACCCAGCACCTGCGGTGTGTATGTATGTATGTGTGTGTGTGTTATGGCAGGCCACCGTACAATAGACGAGTAAAACGGGTAAAACTGCGGGAGGCACCCAACGTGGATGATCCACCCCAGGAGCTATCTGGTCGCTGCGTTCATGCGAGCCTCCCTCTATAAACCTACGTATCCATTGTCTATATTCTATGCACACGCTTCATGTGTGCATGTTGGAAGCGACCGGGGCTTTTCCCAAAGGGATGAGTGAGGTTAGCCCTTGGTTCCGGAGCGCAATTACTCCACTCCACGAGGGCCTCAAGTCCGTAAATTCTCCCTCACCCAGTGTGTGAAGGCACACACCGACATACAAACAAACAAACAAACATACATACATACAAACATACATACATACATACATACATACATACATACATACATACATACATACATACATACATACATACATACATACATACATACATACATACATACATACATACATACATAATACATACATACATAATACATACATACATACGGCTTCCTAAATCGAACAAATTTAGGAAAGGTTAAAGCTACCGCTAAACGTAACATGGTTAACATGGATCATGCAGATATTATTATGTTCTACAATTCCATGATCAACGGTATATTAAACTACTATTCTTTTGCGGATAATCGTTCAAGTCTAGGATCTATCGTACGTTTACTTACCCACTCTTGTGCCTTAACCTTAGCTCTTAAATACAAGCTACGCACAGCTGCTAAAGCATACATACATGATATCCTACACATATCACTTTCCTTCCCCAACCCATCCCAACGAGGTGCAACCTTCGCCAACAACTCCGCAAACCCACTTTCCCTTCCCCCCCCGCACATTTCCTCCTCTTCGGCCCATGTCCCCAACCACCTCGCACCCTCCCCCGCTCCCCTCCCCCCCCCCCCACCCCCAACCCACCTGCAGGGTGTGCACGGTGCGATATCCGATTCTCTCAGCCCCCAGCTGTCCGGCCAGCTGCTCATGCAGGCGGTAGCTGAGGCGAGCCAGGGGGCCCACGGGGGATGAGTCGTTCCAGTCGAGGGCCAGGAAGCCGCCAGCCTTGCCTAGGAGGTGGTGGCGGCGGTGGTGGCGGCGGTGGCGGCGGTGGGGGTCGGAAGGGGGAATGTCGTCAGCAGCGGCAGATATAACCATCAGGGTTTCAGGGCCTGAGCCGACATCCGGGCCTGTGCGTCGAGGGGATGCGCCGGGCCTTGAGGCCAGGGAGGAGGAGACCTTACACACTGGGAAGAGCAGGGGGCAGACGGGGTCTAGGATGGCCAGTGTGACGACCGTGTGACGGCCCGATGTTCATGCGACATCGCACGTATGTGTGGCATCTTTTGTGTTTTGTTTCATGGTTATGTAGAGGTTGACCCGCCGTTATGAAACGCGCCTGATCGTCGGATTGGAGCTTGGTTTCTCTGTTGGGCTGCTGCGCTCACCCGATGCCGCACATGCAGGCTCGTGGCGCTCCACGACCGTCACCCGCTCCGCCAGGCCCTTCTCCGCCAGGTAGTATGCGGTGGCGGCGCCGATGATACCGCCGCCGCAGATGACAATTCTGGTTGTGCGGGGCGGCGGAAGAGCAAGAGGGAAAAGGGGAAGTGTGGAGGAGGGGAGATGTGCGGGTGCGCTAGGGTGCTCAGCTGTTCACACAGGCCCAAAAGTCCGCGCGTTGGGTGCTAAAAGTTTGTTTTTTGCCACAATAGCTTCTCTTTGGAAAATTTTGTGCAAGGCTGCCGTACCTGGGCGTCGTCTTTCCGGTTCTTGCTTCGGCCGCAGAAGCCATTGCCTGTACACGATCGGCAAAAGTCGCGTCATTATAGCCATGAAGCTAAACAGTTGCTAGCTTCGTCATGCATATGGGACGCCTGTTCAGGTACTGTAGTTGGGCGTTAGAAACTACTTGAAAGGGGACCTGCATCCCCCTTGCGCTCAGGATTTTAACGAGATAAAAACGTTTTACCTTCACAGAATAGCACCTGTAAAGTGCAGGCCGCTTCAAACTGGGCCAGGTATTAATGATGGGAGTTAACCCCAACGTCGCGCGAACAATCATCGCTGGGCCCTTTGCCCGACAGGTAGTGGACGCAGCCAGACCGTTTTCAAGATGAGTAGAAGCTCCCTGATTTACCTCATCCTTAGGTCGTTAAAATATCTTTGTTGGTCTCGGAGCAAAGTGTCAATCGGAAAGGACAAATTTCCTCTTGAAAGGTTAACGTGGCTTGGATCATACAGTAATTGAAATATGACAGAAGCTGACGGGAGTCCTAAATGTGAAGCAGGGTCAGGCTCCGAGGCGGACCCAGACATCGCTTGGCCGAAAATCCCTGGCATCGTGAGAGCATTCCTTCGCGGTGACCTATCCCGGATTGACCCGCATTTGCCGGAGTGGCTGGATGTCTTGTCGAGTGTCGGAGCAGGCGAATGCTGGCACAAAAAGTCCAGGCAAGTTCGCTTGGCAAAGATCATAACAACGGAGCAGACCCGTATCAGTATATAGTTCTCTTAACTGCCCCGACTGTAGTATCGTAAAGTAGATTTGTCAAAAAGCTGTTGCAAGTACGGCGAACGCATGGTCAATAGAAACCACTCCAACGGTGTATGTTGGCACCACCCGTGCTCTTTCTCCGGCCGCATTCCGCCTAAACACCAGTCTAGCCATTGCAATCTACGCCCTTAAGACGGCCGTGTTTGCTGCACAGTTTGCGATCCTAACAACAAGTAACAAACGCCCCCGCGCCTCGTCCGTCTGAGCTCTTGAAGTCCTTCCACTTGCCTATCTGGATGCTGCTACTGCTGTCGGCGACGTGTGCTACACCTTTTATGCCATACACGCCCATCTCCCCCTTCTCCAACTACTCTCTCGCTCCAACCCCGTTTTTCCGGCGCCTTCGTCCCCAGCTTCAAATCGCACCTGTACGAAGTGTACAAGATCTGCAAGATCTGGGGCCAGGTAATGCAATAGACGGTAATGCAACCTCTCCTCCCCGTCCCTGCCCCCTCCGATCCACCCAGTGAACAATTGCCGTTCATTCACGCCTGACCTCCCAACACATCCCCCACAACGCGCGCGCATCTTCTCCTGGGCTATCCGTCTATCTCTGCTATCTCGGGCTCTCACGTCCCCTACCCTGACCCGCGGGTCTCCGCCTGCCTGCCTCACTCAGGACGACGACGTGTGCAAGTGCGCATTGTTTCACTCAGCCTACAGCAACAGCTACGTCAACCTAGCCATATTCAAGGAGTCCACGGATCGAACCCGATTGAGGGAGGTGAGCTGTTGTGATAGTGCTACGGGAGAGACGGAAAAGGGGGAGATTCGCGGGCCAGGGCTGCTTACGGGGTGCACGCGGAAAATGCAAGGAGGGGGGGTTCCTGGTGTGGCGATGCTCGCGCTGTTTGATGGCCATTTGTGACCGGAATAGGAATAGCGAACAGCGCTTCCATCAAAGAGCTAGAGCGCAGCTTCTATAGGAGTTGACTCCTGGCTCATGTTTAAAGGATGATTGAGGTTCGGGCTGCAGCATAGCGGTGCGGTGTGGTCGTGGTGGTCGTGGTGGTAATGGTGGCGGCGGAGGGTGAAACCTCAAAGGCCCACCAAAGCGGGTACGACTTCCCGCCAGGGAGGAGAAGAACCTTAGAACCTGTAACCAGAAATATTTGAATCCCGCCAAGGGACCGCAATAGCTACAAGATGACAAGATGTCACGTGCGTCAGGCTTTCTGGTGAGTCCAGCTTTGAAGTTGCGGGTGAGTTTTGTTCATTGCCGTACTGTACGAACAGCTCGTTGGGCACTCCGCGGAGGATCTCATCCATACCTTTTGTGTCGTACCGCGCCACAACCTCGTGTACGACGATCTACTCGCGAGGGCGCCGTCAGCGGAAGACCTTGCGGCGCTGGGCGTCGGTGGCGCTGGCGGCGACGACGGCGCTGCGGCGGCAGCTGCGCCGCCGTCGTTGCGGCGGTTAGTCCCACCAGAGGGCATCACTGTCCGGCACATTAAAACTGGCGAACCGTTGACAGTTGACCGTTTGACGGTTGCCCGATTCCTTGTGATGACAATGGCGGACTTCTGCGAGCAGTTGTTTTCCTGGCAGGTATGCCGGGGTGGCTCTTCTCCTTGTGGATGGCAGGGTGGCGCGGCGCGGCTGTCTCAATGGCATGTGGAGGGCGACTCTACAGAGGGAAAAGAAGGGAGGAAGAGGGCCGCCACAATATCAAAACACTTCCCCGCCCTGCCCTTCGATTCCCGCATGTGGGTCAATATGGGTTTAAGTCTGCCACAGATTCCCCCCCCCCCCTCGATGATCACGGAAGTCACTCACCCTCACCCAAACCCCAAACAACTTGAAGGACTCCATGTTCGAGAACCACAACGGGCGGCTGCTTTACGCGGGAACGAACCACGGGTCGCTCTGGCCCGGAGCCTGCAAGCCCGGTCTCTGGCACTCGGCGCTGTCCCGCATGGGGGCTCTGCTCAGGTTCGCTTGCACAGGACCCGAGGGTCGGCCGCTGGTGCCGCTGCCACCCGTGTTCGAGGGCTGTACGCAGGTGGGGGTGTTCGGGCGGGTGTGCGCCTGTGTGTATGGATGCCTCTGCGTGTCAGCTGCAGCGCTCCTTCTCCCCGTCCCGTCTCACAGTGTTCGCAACCCATTTCCTCGCCCGCATCCGCCCCTTCCTCCTCTTCCTCTTCCTCCTCCTCTTCCTCCTCTTCCTCTTCCTCCTCTTCCTCCTCTTCCATTTCCCCTCGCCCGCATCCTCCTCTTCCTCCTCTTCATCCGCGCCGATGCCGTGGTCACGCCGCCGGAGGTACCCCTCTAGCGCGAGACCCTTGTTCTCGTGTCGTCGGAGTTCATAGCTTTGTGATCTTCCTCGTACTCCCTAACTGCGTCTCCCTCATCTAAATGCCTCCCGCATCTCTCCCCCTCCCATGGGGGAACCGCAACCCACAAATTCGCCCTAGGTCATCACTGAGGCAGATCAATTGGCGGCCCGGGACGCCTACTGGGTGGCGGTTTCGGAGTGCACTGAGACTCACAAGCATGACGAGGCGCTTAGGCTGCTGAGGACAGCCTGTTGGCATAACCCGCATGTGGCAGGTGCGTTTTGGGGTTTTGGGGTTTGGGGTTTGGGGTTTTAGGAGGACTGGCTTACTGGGGAAAGGGGGGAGTCATCATGCGCTTGCTTGGGTATCATAAGTGTTTTTTGTCTTTTTTGTCTTTCCCTGCCGGCCCGTGTGCGACCCTCTCTCCGGTTAAGGGTTCTGCCTAGACCTGTCTACGTTTACAACGAACAGCTTGCTGCATTTTTTTATCAGCTTTTTCGCTATACGGGTTTTTACCTCATCTAAAAAAGCCGGTGGTTTCCTTACCACCTGCACGCATATCCATTTACATACACGCTCACACACGCGCATGTTTCCCCTTCCTTGTCCCCGCAGAGCCCCACGTGCTGCTCGCCCAGATCTACTGCCAGAGGGGCCAGTGGGTCGACGGACGGAGGCATGCGGACAGGGCAGTGCGGCTGCTGGGCTGTTGGGGCACGGCCTGGGACAAGAGGATGTCCTGGGAGGCATGGATGGCCATGGCCAGGGTACTGGCGCACGGGGCGGCTCGGGGGACCTGGCCCACCACACCCTTTGGGATGCTCAATTTGGGCCTGGTACCGGATCTGGATGAGCCGTACGACGTCACGGAGGACGAGCAGGACAGCGGGAAGGATTGAGGCGACGCGTCTTTTGGAGAGATGTGGAGCGGCGGGGTAGTGTGGCCTCGGGAAGGGCGGGGGAGGTTGCCTGGGCAGGGGCAGGTACTGGGGTGGGCTGGTGGGGCAAGTAGGAGCAGGGCCTTTCAAAGGACATTCCACAAAGCACTGTAGGGATGTAGATCTGCAGTATGAGATCTGCGGTATTGAATCTGTCGAACTGGACTGTGTGGTACCATACCTGCCATGCTGTGAATCTCAACTTAAGACTTGTGGCTGTGTGGAAAACATCCCGTGTTCCGCATAACTGTACGAAAGCTGCTGGAGGACGGCAATGATTGTGCCGTCCAAAAACAAGGAATTCCCCTTGCTGGTCGGCGGCTCTTATCGATTGATTGATGAAGGCGTTTACGCGGGGGAAGGCGTCTGTTCGGGGGATGGCATTGGGCTGCTGGAGGATGCACTGGAAGCGGGGATGTGTTAGGCGGGAGGGAAGTAACATCCTGGCTGGAAAGGGAGAGCCATCTCCTGGCGGAAAGGGGTAAGGGACTTACCTAGGCAATGATGATGAGGAAGAATGTTACGTATGGTACCCGGCGCTGCTGCTGCCGCGGCCGCTGCTTGCATGTTGATTGGTCTCGACTTCTCCGGGAGATGCGGTTGGGTGAGAAAGGAGCTGCGGTTGGGTTCCCAAACACACACGGGTATCTGCAACACTGGTGTTTACCGTCCAGCGTGAAGCTCCGAGCTGCTGCTGCGTGTCAGCGCGTCCCAATAGCTGTACACCATGCAAGCTGGTTAACGGTCGCAACCCCGGGTACAGTCAGGTTGTTCAGTGACGCGGATCAGCTACCAGTTAAGAGCTCCACACAGCTCCAGGGCGGCGTACATACATACATACATTTGGTTGGATGCTGGTGGTGAGTTGCTGAACCCAACGAATACATTCTGAAGTCGGATGGGGTGAATGGATTAGGGTGCCCCTCTCGCAGGGGAGAGCAGGGACTGCCTCGGGAAGGGGGGCCGCTGGCGAAGTTAACCACCCTGTAACAACATACATACATACACAGCGTTCGAACGACAGGAGGCGGCAGAGGAGTTGCGATGCAGGCGTGTCAGCCTGACGTCTCCTGACTGTATCAGGAGCTCTAGCGAGGGAGCTTGTGGAGAAGGGTAATGCAGCTACCAGTGGGAAGGAACGGTGCATGTGCGAAAAGCCGCAGGCCTTATGGTGAACTTGGTCAGGATGGGCTGCAGTCGCCATAGCCTAGGTTATTATGTCCATGTGATGATGTCATCAGCTCCCCGCATCAGGTCAAAGGCAGCTGGGGCCCTGGGCAGGGCAAGAGAAAGAAGGGGGGCCGAGGAAGGGAGGGAACCAACTTCCATGGCAGCAACCACGGCAGGTACATGTTAGCACATGGCTATTATTATGTGGGTAGGTGGATGACCACATTTATTTCGAACAGCCGACATCCGTTGCTGCTGTTACCATGACCTCTGGACCAGGACATTGCGAGAGAAAGCCAAGGAACGGCAGGGGCCAGGGAGAAGAGGTATTGAGATGGGTATTGGCCAGCTTCAATGACAATGGTGTTTACAAGCACAACGATTTGTTTCACACACAAATCTCTGGTTCGGTTGTCTCACATGTACGATCATCATGTACGACCAGCAAAGCGTGCATGTACGGCAGTAGAGAAAATTCTACCCAGAAAGCTCCCGCATGGGCAATGAAGTGCAAGTAAGTATCCATACCGCCGTCCTTCCATTCCGCACCGCCGTCCTCTCTCCGTCCCGTCGCCACTGTGCCACTACCAGCAACCTGTCGTACATTGGCACTAACATACAAATCCTTCCTCTAGTTGGGCATTCTGCCTACATTATCAGGAGCTCTGTTTGCCCTGTCTCACGTCTCCCTTCTTCCTGCAACTGATCTCCCCTTTCCCCTCAGGCGCCATAATCGCGTTGAGGTTGCGGAGGGCTGTCCGTGCAGAGCTGGACTTCACTTGCTCGGCAGGTAGGTACGTGCTCGGTATGTGCATGCATCCCTGAGCACCACTGTTTGCACAACCGAAGGTTGCTTGGTTAGGCGTTTTACCTCCGTCAAGCGCCAACTGAAGCGAAGGCGTGGGTCACTTTCATTTGCTTATGCCATGGTGGCTAACGCACACGCGTCTTCAGGTCCTTGGGTACCTCTCGGTTGCCGGAGACGCTCTTTGCCCCCACGATTTGGCTAAGATTTTTGCTGTTTTGGTACTGTAGGATGGCATCCGTGTGCAGTGATGTGCGGACTCCGAACAGCGTAGGTAGTAGCGCTAGGTTCCTCCTAAGCGTTCGTGAGCATGAGTTCTTTCTTCAGGGTTCTATCCTGCGGCGAACAGCCAGGCGCTGTGACATCTGACCTGCGAGGGGCCTCAAAGCTGGGGCTGGCAGAGGGCCGCCCTCGCGAGTCATGAGACAGGAAGTCAGGGCACGAGCCAGGTGGCATTTCCACCGTTAAGTTTGGTCCGTTCATAACCTTGCCTGCAGCTTGAAGCTGCTCCCCTCAGTGCGCAAAGATGGGCTGTATATAGGAAAAACCTTAACTTCCGTTTTAACAGGCAGTAACACAGAGGATCCAGATCCACGCAAAGCTGCCGTACCGGCCTAAAAATACTGTGACCCTGTGCTTATTAAATACGATATCACAAACTAATAACTAGCGATAGTATTGAAATCTATCGAACCCTCTCGTGGCGGAGGGGGAGGCTTTTGCGACTCAGATAGCTCCAGGATTTCATCAAAGTCTGTCCTATCTGCCGGTAATTTCTGCTAATAATTTATATAATTATAAAATTTAAAGTATATATACTCCGCCATATCCAAGAATCCGTAGGCAACCTAAATAACAGTCTCTCCACTATCTTCGCTGTCATTGCAATTCAACGTTTCAACGTTCACTGGGGCCCAAAGGACCACACTTGTGCCATATTACCTTAAACATGGATTCCGCTAGGGAGCCCCACGCCGCACCACCGGCCGTAACCCCGCATACCCCAGCTACGGCCACAGCGACACACCCTGGCGGCCTAGAGAGCTCCAGGGGGTCCAAGGGGACCCATCGGCCCATGCTGACACCTGGACAGGCGCTGTTCCTCGCCCGGGAGCTGTACGGCATCCGTACAGGTCCTGTCAGGGCCACGGTCCAGTGCAGCAGCAGCACGTTCGGCACACACCGTGTCGGCGATGACGGCAGCGGCGGCGGCGGCGGCGGCGGCGGCGACGCCTCATCACCAGCCGTCACCATCGGCGGCGGTACCGCCATCATGTCTGGCACCACCGTCCTCGACGCTGTGTGTACGGAGCTTCCCAGCTACAACGACCGTAACTTCCACATACGGACATCCGGGATGCAATTGGCCCCCCAGCTGCCCAGCTACAGCCGAGGTCACGGGGGCCTTACCCGCGACGAATCTCAACAAGAAGCGCTACGGTCGCTGCAGGAACGGTCCGCACAGCTTTCCAAACAGCTACAGCCTCCGCCGCCACAGCCGACGCAGCAGCAGCGGGCTCAGGAGGCTTCCGGCGTTCATCGGAGCGACCAGGGGGCGAGCATTATGGTGTCGGGGGGAGAGGAGGAGGAGGCGGAAGAGGGGGAGGACAAGGAGGCAAAGGAGGAGGTGTCTGTGGTGCTCAAGGTCCATAACACGCAGGACAACGACAGGACTTCCCAGCTGCAGGTGGGTTCCTCCCATCCCACCCTCCCACCTCGCAGGCCCTGTAGACCTCTACAGCACCAGCCCCGGCCCCGGTTCGGTTCGGTTCATGTCGGAGCCAACCACGGAGCTCCCAACAAGACCCGCAAGACCCGCAAGACCCGCAAGACCCGCAAGACCTTCTCCACAAGGTCGCCGACGCAGCAGGATATATGTAGTATGGACATCCCAGGCAGATCTAGATACCTCTTGGAGCCCCTTGGTGGGGCTCGGATCCCCCGGGGTGGTCGAGGGAGAGCCGAGCCATGGGGTATCCATTCCGTAGAGTAGTTCTTCTTCTTCTGACTGGGGGCCCGTGCTGTGGAACTTTCCCGCTCTTTCCTCAGGCCATGGATGAGGCGATGTTGCGAGTGCTAGCAGCAGGTGTGCTCACCAACACGCCCTTACGAACCCCCGCCGGTCGTCAACATCGCCAACCTCCGGCCCCGGGAGGTGAGGGAGCGGCAGTAGCTGAAGTAGGAGGCAGTAGCTGCAGCAACAACAACAGCTGGAACAGCAGCAGCTCAAGGGATGAGGTGCCGTACCGAGTGCTGCCGGTTTCGGAGCAAGGGGAGCCCTTCTGTGCAGGTGAGAGGCCCGCTCGCGTGGTGGCGGCCGACAGTTGGTGGTTGACTCTACCCCCTACCCGGGGTGTCCCGACTGGGGGGGGACCGGTGACGGAGGGCGGTCCGAGCGGTCCTGTGTGCTGCGGACCTGCCTCTGCGGGGAGATCTGCGTCAAACGATCATTCGTCGGTCCGATCACCGGCAACCACAGCCGCCTGCATGGAGGCTGCATGGAGCAAGAACGCCCCTCCGTGCTCTAGACCGCACCACCTGTTCTCCCCCTTGAGTGTCCTCTTGGCGTGTTCCCCCCAGGCGTGTATTTCCCGGGCCTATTCCTCTCACCCACCCGGGGTAATGCCTTCGCCGCCCAATCCACGCCCGCATCGCAGAGTCAGTTCTGTGTTGCTGGGCCTACCTGCCGTGCACCTGCCACCCCCTCCCGGAGCCGGAGGACCCCACAGAGGGCCGTGCGGGGGAGGCAGGTGAGGTGGCGGGACTGGGCACGGCCTCGGGGCCGCTCGCTGCTGGACCTGCTGCCTCCATCCGCCCTCCTTGCCAGTCGGATATGACCCATGGGTCGGTTGATATGCAACAGGACTCCGGCAGGAGCTGCGGCGGACGATGCCACTGGCACGTCGTGCGCTGCTTGTCGTACGTACCGGGCAAGATGCTGTCCAGTGTGCCGTACCTGGTGGGTGCCTGGGGAAGGGTTGTGGACATGCAGCCCCCATAACTCATGGGGGGGGGTCTGGGGGGGGCGTAGCCCCCCCCAGCGCCTTACAGATTCGGGATACTTTTATTCCCGCGACTAAAAACCTATTCCTCCGTTCGGACTGGAAAATTGACAGGCAAAAATGAAAAAAAACACTGGACGGGCTGCTTCCGGGTGGGGAAGGGGGGGCTGGGAGAAGGGGCAGCTTAGGCAGTCAGGACGGACGATGGCGATCACGACGACGGGAGGGTCGGACGTCAGTTAGTCGCCAAGGACAAACACCTCTATCACAAACTTGAGCGAGTTTTGACGCTGTGTGCTCCTGATTAGGCGCATCTGTGGTGGTGCTGAATGGACTAATACAGTGTTTGCAGTGGCGGCAATGGGTGCGATACCCCTCATACGAACACAGGCACAGACAGAGACACACAGGCAGACACACAGACGCGCAAATCGCTGCGCAGATAATAGAAACACACACACACACACACACACACACACGCAGACAGACACACACAAGACGCCCATACTGGCCCACAGACCCCGGCGCTGCTGCTGTCCCTGGGGCGCCTGATGGGCCGGGTGACTTGCGGCCTGGCGGGATGGCAGCCCCCCGCCCTGCAGCAGCGCTGTAGCCACGACTGGCACCCAGAGAACGGCGGGGCAGTGCTGCGGAGGCTCGTGCCGGGTATACAGGCATTCGACCAGGAGCAGAGGTGGGAAGAGAGATGCGGATGCAGCAGCAACAGCAGGGGGTTAGGGGGTTAGGGGGAGAAAAGAAGAGGGGAAAGGGTGAGGGCTGTATTCCGGTGCAGCTTCGGAGTGAAGGGTGGTCAGTACGTGTTGCTTGTATGGAGCGGTGTGCGTGCACGCGTGGACGGCCTAGCATATGGGTGTGGGTATCACGAAACGTGGGAGGGACGGGTACATGGTACATGCGTGCGCGTCTGTGCGGATGTGGGGAAAGGAGGTTCACTGGGGCTGCCTGGCGCTGTTGGCCACTCCGAGGACCGGAACTCCGCTTATCGGCACGTGCGTGGACCTCAGGTTCTCAGTCCCTAGGGAGTCGCTACGCACTTAGGTCCCTTTCTACTTGACCGCCCTCCCCTCCTTCCCTCCCCTTTCGGACGCCTTTCGGTCAGTTCTACGTTTGATACTCTCTTGCCCTGGCAGCAGCTTCAATCGTGTGTGGTTCGTCTTTCCTTCCCTCCCCTCCCCTCCCCTCACCTCCTTCCCTCCCCTCACCTCCCCTCACCTCCTTCCCTCACCTCACCTCCCCTTTCCCGCCGCACACGGGACTCACCCCGGCCCCGCCCCGAGCCCTTCCCAGATCCCTGCTACTGCGGGTGGCGGATGAGCTGCTGGCGGCCAGCACCAGGCTTAGCGACCCACGGGTCCTTCCTCGCCAGGTGTGCCACGCGGACGCCAACGACGACAACTGCGTGGTAGGTCCATGGGTCAAGACCCGCGTGGTTGGTTGCCATGCTGGTTGTTGGTTAGTTGGCCAGAGCTCAGCTTCGGAGCCGTGCTTGGATGGGATGAGGCCTGCTGTGGAAGGCCTCGGACTTTTGGCTAGAGCTGCCGCATTGGTTGCCTACCCACGATTAAGGTAAATAGTGGTTTGGCAGTTGACAGTTTTGCCTGTTACCTGTCTTGAGCTTCCCCTGCATCTGTTTGACTGATCCCATTGCGCAAATGCACAGCAGCCAGTGCCTCCCGCGGGCTAATATCACTTTTAAACCTGCTCCAAGGATCTATTAAAGTATGAGAGAAACGATGTTTAGATTAAATCGTTGTTTTTTCGACTGTTGTTTTTGTCCCGTTGTACAGGTCAGCGAAGATGGCCGGGAGGTTATTGGCATCATCGACTTTGGCGATATGGCGATCATGCCCCGGGTAAGAGCACTTGGGCGTTAGGCGGATCTGGGTTGCTGGTCCAGGTTCCCTCCATGATCCTGATGCTTCTGGTACGGTTGCGGCACATGACAGCGTGCATTAATGGTAAACTACGCCGATACTCTGCCCGTGCCTAATGAAGCATTACGCTTTATCCCTGTTGTTTAATTTTGATGTCGTAATTTTTTCCTTTCGTGCCGTACGCACCGGTGTGCACCACGCAGGTGTGTGAGGTGGCGATTGCGATGCTGTATGCCGTGCTGTTAGGCCTGAAGCGACCCATGGGACCGCCGGCGCCAGCTGGCACGCCACACACGGCCTCCACTTTGGAGGATGCAGGCCCTGGAGCTGCGGCCACGGTGGCGACCTGGGACCCGCAAGCGGCTGCGGGTCCCGGGGGGGATAGGGAGGAACCCGGTGGATGCACGCTGCGGCGGTTGCTGCGAGTCGCCGGGCTGGTGTTGGTGTGTGATGTGTAAAGGGACGGGAACTGGAGGTTGAGGCGGATGAAGGGAGGGGGGCACGGGCCCTCGGATGTTCGGGCAAGTCGGGATAATGGGAGGATACCGCGTGCTGGCGGTGCGTTCCAGGAGGGATGTATGATGGGGTATATTTATCCAGCCTTCCCTAATCCAACTGGTGCTAGGAGTCGTCAGGTCGCTTGAGCAAGAAGGTGAGGTGCGCTGTCGTGGTGCGCTATTCAAGTTCCCTTGGGCGCCATGCCCATCCACCAACGTCCACAATGGAGCACAAACAGTTCCTCCGCCCCGCACCTCCGCCCCGCACCTCCCCCCCGCATTGCTCCTTCCTCCAGCCCTCCCGCAATTGCGCCTCCTCTCTCTCGGCATCGCGTCGGTACTGAGAGCTCGGTTTTCCCTGCTGTGCTGTGGCCCCCTCTTGCTGGTTGCGTCCCGGGCAGTGCGGCTACCAGCGGCTGGTGCCCCTGCTGCCCGTGGAGCTTGAGGTGCTGCCACTGCTGCTGCGGGGTCGTCTGGCCCAGAGCCTGGCGCTGGGGGCCGTCTCTGTGGTGGCTGACCCGGGGAATGCGCAGTACCTGCTGGCCACACAGAGGTGCGTGCCTTGGGGGGAAGAGATCATACGATGATGCAAAATGCAGACCGAACCAACTGCCGAAGGAGACCAAAGTAGATACTGCTGGAGTCAAACGCACTGATGGGTGGCAGGGTGTCTGCGCAGGTGACCGGTTGAAGAAAATTGTGATGTCTTCATTCCGTCTCGTTGCTTATCTCTCTTCTTCCTTTTACATGAATGTGGGAATATTTGCCAAGCGTGTTTGACAGACAGCAGTTCAGAGTCCTGGAGTCCCAAGCTTGCCTGGGCAAATCTGCAGTTCCCGGGTTTTACCGCACCCTCGATCATGTGATGCACAGAGAACGTTGTGAGAGTCGGGGAACTAAGCACTCCTGCCGTCCTGAAGGTCCGCGGTGATTGACTGGACTTGGGTAGGGTGGTTGAGTATGCTGTGTGGCCCTGAACCCAACAAACCCTGGCTGTGCAAGATGCCGAGGACTGCTAGATGCCGTCCATACGCGCATCCTGGTGACATGAAACGGATCTGGACCGTGATGAAATGTCCCCCATGCATGCTACATGCACTGCCGATATCGTATGTCGCGTTGACCGTGTATCCACGTGGACTGAACCACTGAACCCGATTCCGCGACTCTGTAACGCCGCAGGCCCGGCTGGCGAGTGATTCGGTTACTGGCCCCGGGGTCGGTCATGACGGACAAGGAGATGCTGCAGCTCATGCTGATGGCGGGGTCGATGCAGACGCAGTAGATGACCGGTTGCGAGCGCGAGCTGATGGTGTATGGATAAGAGGGATGCGGTAAGGGGTCAATTTTTCGTGCGGTGATCGATCGAAAACGAATCTCCCAAGGGAAACTTGATCCCACTGTTCGCATCTCTCCCAGTCGCGACCCACCCACGCCTTCCGTATCTCCAACCTTTCAAATATCATATCCTGGCTGGGTGGCCTTGAAACTGTTTGCTGTTGCTGCGGACATTCTCAACCCTCATGCTTCAAGGCTTTTTTTGAACATTATTGGATTGGCGAATAACGCGCTGGCGCGAAGGATCGCTACTGTAGCGGTCCTTCACTGTATCAGTGATGAAACACGATGTAAATGTGCAAAATCACCTACCAGCTAATTCACGTTACAATAACATGATAATAAAAATACAGCCATCATATCTGATATGGCACCTGGCCCCGACTTGAAATCGTGCTACGGCATATCTAGCCGATAGATGGCGGAAACGAAGCGAAACTTGCCGAACAAGCACTTTGAGAGGCATAGCATAAATGTCATGTGAGTTTGCTGTTTTGTCGACTTCCCCATCCCCTAAATCCCCGACCGACCAAATTGCGCCGACCCGTTGATTTAGGCCAAGTACCCATAGGGGAAATAGCAGGTGTGGCGTTTCCCCAAAAGGCAAGATAGCCACGCTGGTTTGCGTGTGTCTTCCTGGAGGTGTTTGTCTCTTCGCAGCTGGCGGCAGCACAGCTACCGATGGTTCTATAGTAGTAGAATCGCGTGCAGTGCCGGGATCTTTGAAAACTCTCTTGACACCATGAGGCTATCTGCCATGTGTTTAAGAACACAGCAACTAGGTACCGTTCCTGAGCCAAGGTACAGCCGTTGCGTGCCAAGTTGACCTTCCTCTAAACCTCTACGGATGCATAAGAGCATGAATAACACGTATTCATAGCCGTGTGCTGCTGACGACGACGACAGAGGTACATACGGTACAGAACAGAACAAAACATCGCCACAGACACTGAACACATTAAAACTGCTCAGCACAATCGCCTTCCCGCAGCACACATCGCCTTAGGACCTTCGCCTCCCGCCTCACATCACGAGCGACCCAGATGCTGGATAGCCGCCTGCGGCTGGTTCATCGCACACCATGCCGCGCCCCCACCCCAACCATCCACTTGGCTGAAGCCAAGAACCTAGGCGCTATGTTCCACCTTAAACCGCGAAACGCCGCTTCGCTCATGACCTGCTTGCCCCCAGAGGAGACCGCCTGCGACATACTGCTCCACAAGCGCAGCAGGGAAAAACAAAGCCATCGCCATGCCGTACGCTCCACCGTACTCAATCATAAGGTCCACAATGCACCATGTACATAATTCATACGCAAATTGCGGTGACAACGATATGCAGTAGCCAGCACCTTTTGACATTCTGTTCACCGTCCACCGTCCAAGTCAGTACCCCCCTGCTGCGTTTTCAACTGCTTAACGCATTTCCTGCTCAGTAACCGTACCCAGGATATGCCCCGTATCCCTGATACTGTGGCGCAGCCTGGTACTGCCCGTACCCGTAGTATGATGAATATGCCGCCGCTGCTGCTGCTGCTGCAGCAGCAGGAGGGCCAGGTGGGTAATACCCTGCCGCGGCGGCAGGTGCCATCATGGGCGGGGGCGGAGGCACTGCCACCGCAGCGGACCCAGAGGCTGTGGTGGCGCCTTCAGGACGAGCCGTCTTTGCCGCCGGGGCCCCAGCTGACGCCTCCGCTACTCGCTTGGCACTGGCGGCGGCACGCGCTTCCGCCGTCACCGTCGTTGGCAACATAAAGCGCTGCGCGTGGCGCGCCGAGACCACCTTGACCTGGTCAATCGTGCCGTACATGTCCGCGAAGTCTACTGACCGTGCTGATAGCTCTTCCCGGTCGCGCTCGGGCAAGCACCGCCCTGCTGCCGTTGCAGCCACCGCGCCCTCCGGTGGCGAGCCTGTACACCTGTTGTACAAGTCCAGCGCTCGTGACACAGCCTCTGCCCCGCCAACTAACTCTTCAAAGTGTATAGCTGCCTCCCACAAGCTGCGGACGCCTGGGCATTGCTGCAACGCGTCGTCCAGAACCTGGTGACACATCGGAAAGCACCGAGGTGCAAGGGCAGGTCTCTGTTTCGGAGATCACAGGTGATAAGAGCGATTTCTGGTTGTTGCTGCAGCGTCCACGCAGGAGGCGTGGCAACGTGCCCAAGAAACTACCAGCAACTGTGAATTAAACCGGATACAAGCGTAACAGTTCTGTGACCACCGGGATTGGCAGGTACTACGGAATATCTCAGGCCTTTATTAGGAAGAAACCTCCTCTATCGAGCGTTACTTGTGGCCTCCGGAGCAGTGGCAGGCCCTGCTCGGACAACGAGCCCTAGCAACAAGGCATAAAGCAGCAGCAGCAGCAGCAGCAAGAGTCCCGCGGCAACGACCGAGACACTCTGGCAGTTCCCGTGCATTTGATCGGGCCTAGTCCACCACCAACTCCCCGTCACACCTTGCGCGCCGCCGCCAGGTCTCCCGTGTTGCGGCGTAGGAAATGCGCGTAATGGATTGCTAGGAAGGGGTAGATGCGCGAGCTTTCCTTTGCCTTCTCCTCGTTCATCAGTTCCGACAGGTAGTGGCACGCAGCCTCTAGGTTGCCCTGGGGTCAACGAAGCCGCAAACAAGGCACACAAGGCATTCACGTGGATACGCACGTGAGGACGAGAAGTTGATGCGGTTACTTATGACATCAGAAGCTGCGGTTAGGACGCATGGAAGCACAGTTTGGAAGCCTTCACCTCAGCATGCTTACCAAACCAGGGTTGGAAGGTGTGGGCTGCCCCCTGTTCACCTGCCCCGCTAATAGAGGCCAACCTGATGCCGTCTGATGCCCCACAAGGACAACGAGGATAACATCTGCACGCGATCTTTCCCTTGATGGCTAGTGGCACCCGCGAAGGCCTGCCCTTCTTCCGTACAAGTCCCAAGGTAGACAGCCACCCAGGCGAAACAGCAAACACCTTAGGTAGCCATCGGTGTAAAGCAGCAACCACCCACCTGCCGTCGCTCAAAATTGGCGGCTGCTGTAACCGCCTCAAGGAGGCGAGGCGCCACGCTGTTCAACAGTTGCTTGTAGCGTGCGCGAGCACCCTCCACGTCGCCATGCCGCTCGTCGAAATGCGCTGCAAAGAGATGAATCTCCGGCCGCCGTTTGCAAAAGCCCATCACTGCACGCTCAAGCGCCGGCTTGGCTGCCTGTGGATCAGTCCGCTCCAGGTAGCGCACGTAGCGTTGCCAGAACTCTGTGCGCATGTGGAAGTGTGATGAGGTCGCGGAGGTAGACGCCGCCGACGCCACACGGTAGCGATGGCATGGGGGCAGGGAGGGCATGGGGGCAGGGAGGGGGGCCCAGGCAGCGATTAAGCTTACGCGACTCAGGCACTTGCCCAAGTGGGGCGGAAAGAGCAGCATAGAGCAGGAGAAGCGCCCCGAAGGTGCGATGCCCGGGACTCACCTCTGGTGCGCACCCGGGGCCATGGCAGGGCACATACCGGAAGGAGTAAGTGCGCGCGGCAGCCGCAAGCTTTCATTCATAATGGCTGTACGTGGTGCATGTTACAAGAACACCGGCTTCCGCTGTGTCTGCTGTTGCTGCTGAAGGCTGCCGCCCCGAGGTCAACAAACAAGCTGACATTACAAGACCCCAGGGGACGTCGGGACATCATGGGGGACCATGCGCAGGGGACCGTAACTGACGTAACTTGGGGTGCAAAAGGTAAGGATGCAAGATGCAGCAGCGACAATAGCAATGGCAGGAGCAGCGGTGCAGCATCAGCAGCAGCAATCTGCGTGCATACCGCATGTATGGGGCCTGGCTGGCTTTGTTGTCGCGCGCACTTTGGTTCGCCGGGGGACCCCTCGAGGGACCCGCCAGGAGGTCAGCCTGCAGGCCAACACAAGACAGCGAGCTCTGCCGCCAATCAGCGCTAATCAGGCCCGGCCGAGGATCCGGACCGAGATGGCAACGGCAGCAGTTGCAGCAAAGTAAACCAACCCAGCCAAACATCCTCGGCCATGTGACAGGGATTACGCGTTGAGCGCGCCATAGCCCTATGCGGCAGCTGGCCTGCACTATGAAGGGTCGCAGGTGACTGTCAGGATGAGGCCGCTTCCGTGACTGTGCGGCGCCGCTCTCGTGCGCTGGCGACGACCGGTATGAAGCCGTGCGCTCTGGCTCAGCTGCACGGCAAGTGAAGCCTGCAAACCTGCACAACACGAGAGGCCCACTGCGAGGCCGCGGCCGCACGCAAACGCTGCGCGAGCAAAGGACCGGCGCGGGCCCTCCATGGCCGAAGCCGCGTTTCCATCAGCACCCGCATAGATTCAGGCGGAACACACTACGCTAACCTGCACACAGCAGGTCGCAGCTTCCAAGGCCTACTACCTTACTGCCTACCTCCCCATCTACATCCTCCTTCCTGAAAAATCTTCATTTTTCCGAAACTACCCGGCATTGCTTCCCACCTGGATAGTTTGCACAAGCCACAAGACAGCGCTCGTACAGGGTAACGGTAGCCGTATAGTCACTGCGGCCCTCGACGTAGTCTAGGTAGCGAATCCAGTTGAAAAGCTGCACGCCATCAAGCGGCTTGATGTGGAAGTACGGCCGCCGCGCAGCATCCTCGAAGGGCTTGCGGCGCAGCAGCTCCTGCTTCGTCTGCTCATACAACCCGTCTTGCTTCCGTACCCAAACCTGCTTGATCTCCTCGTCTGTGACTACGATCGGCTCAGGCTTCGGCGGCTCAGCGGGTTCTGAGGCTGCCACGGCAGGAGGGGCCGCAGGGGCGGTCTCCGGCACTGCCGCTGCCTCGCCGGCATCTTTGTCCTCAGCTTCGGTGATAACGCCATCCGCCCCCTGCTCCTGCCCTTCGGATGCTGCTGACGCAGGAGCTGTAGTATCTGCTTCCGCAGCTGCGTCAGGGACAGCTGCCGCCGCCGCCTCCTGCTTCGCTTCCTCCATTGGCTGGTCCACGTCGCCGTTCGCCGCAGGCACTTCATCCTCCTCCTTGACCTTGATAACCCCAGAGGCAGCAGACTCCATGGCAACATCGGCGGTGGTCTCCGTAGCCTTGCCCTCCTCGCTTCCAGACTTTCCCTCAGCCTTAATGTCGACGGGCGCGTCCTCTGTCTTTATTTCCTCCATTACTGCTTCTCCAGCCGCCTCTGCCTTTGCCTCTGCCGCAGCAGCAGCCTCCGCGTCGGCTTTGATCTTGGCGTCCGCCGCTGCTTTGGCTGCTTCGGCTGCCTTAGCCTCCGCCACTGCTTTGGCGGCCTCTGCTGCCTTAGCCTGCTCGGCCGCGCGCTCCGACTCCAGGCGCAACCGGATGGAGTCGTAATCATTGGGCTGCACGATCTGGGCCGCTGCCAATGGATGAATGTAGTTCTTGAAGCTGGTCGGCATGATGCGGGCAGGACAAATAAAGTGGATAATGCAGGAGTTTCGATTCGAGTAAGATTTGGAGCGGTACAAGATATTAAGAATCACGTGGTTGTTGACATTCGTCCAAGCCGTGCGCGTGCAGGGGCGCGACGCCTCCCAGGTTTTCGCGACGGCTTCATGCACCGGCTCTGGAAGCCGGTTTGCAAATGCACGTTTTCAGCCAAAGCGTACTGCATCAGCCATGTGCTCCACGACGACAACCACAGAATAGCAGTCAACGAAACAAGTGGGAACAGGCCACTTCGTGGCGCTAGGGACCTCCCTTTACTCCAAGCCAGGCTTGCCACAGCCCCGCTAATGTTATCTACACACACGCAAAGAGGCAGCCATGCCGCTGGTAACTTAGGGTTTTAGCCCTTACCTGGTGTAGTACCGGTCCAGATCCCGCACTGGACAAGCCAATACGCGGCTGTACAGCGATGCAATGTGCATCGTGCTGCCGCGCTCCTGCTCGAACGCAAAGTACTTATCCCACAGCGTCTGGCTGTTGTAGTCAGTGCCCACATATGCTAAACCGCGCTCGAAGACGCTGGTCGCACGCAGATAGATGGGACAGGGTGAAGCAGGTTCATGAGGTAGGTGAGGGCGCTGTGTTCCGGATCGGGCAGGGCCATTACGGTAAGAGGGTTCCCCCCAGGAGGAGGGATCTCTGCCGGGATTGCTGCAGACGTGTGCGCACCATCCGCAACCGTGGCTTAGAAGACAGATGCAGTGTAACGTGGAGTGGAGGCTGGCAGGCAGTGTCACGCGTGGTCGTAGGGCTAACCCTAGCCCTCTGCTGTCCAGTCGAAATCCAGGTGGGAAAGCTCAACCCCGCCAACTGCTATGAAAGTAAAATTTAGAAAACTCCATGCGCTTTGCTGTGAACCGCCGCATGCCCCCACTCGCCGCATCCCACCGTTCCGGCTTGCCCATGCCCTCATGCGCACCTTCGGACATCATCCGCTGTCGCATCAGGAAGACCTTTTTTAAAGGTGGCGTAGTGTGCCCACAATTCAGAGCTGTAGGGGGTCGCTGCAACACCACGTTCGTACACGTGTGCTGCCATGTCGGAATTCTGGTGTCGCACCTCCGCATCTGCGTACTTCTTCCAGTAACCGTAACAGAGTGGATACTCCGCGAAAAACGCATCGTAGGCAGAACGGACTTTTTCGATGTCGTCCTGCGATGGAAGTACAATGACCACGTGGCTGTTCCTGTTGGGTCAGGTTCCAGTCCATCACCCCACCCACGCAGCATACTAGAGCCTCGACACACGAGCTGCACCACACCCGCATGCCTCACCAAACGATCTGCGGTAGTCAATAAGGAAGTCCAGGAAGTGAAGTCTTGCGGATCTGCCTGGACGGTCTGCCAGCGTTGATTGTATGCTTCGAGGTCCGGGTTTGGGGGCGCTGCTGCGGTCCGGAGTGAAATGTTGGACAACACAAGTATAATAGGCATGTCCTCCCTCTTTGCGCTCCACTTACCTGCAGGGGCGGCCTCTGGCGCCGGCGTCGTTTCTTTAGCCGACCCCGCAGCTGCAAGCTCCGCCTGCTCCATATCAACGTCCATTTGTGCTCAGTATCTGCTATCTACGGTGCCTATGTACAATAGCTTTCTATCCTCTGACAAAGATAGCTGGTTTCCCACTATTTGTGCTGACGGTGCCTAATAAAGTCCTTACGACGGTTTGTCCAGGAAGATAATTTTAGAGAGAAGGCTGGCAATGCTTGCAACAAAAGTTACTTCGGGCAAATGTAGCCGTACGACGGCGCCAAAGCATTTCCATGCCGGCATCCCGAGTCCTGAGAGCCCAGATCCGCAGGACATTCAGCAACTGTAACGCTAGGGTACAACATGTTCGGACCACCTCGCCGCCCTGATCGCAAGAAGGCCCAGCGCGAGCTGCGGCAAAGCCTTGTCCTTTTCGGCACCCTGTGCGTTACCGTCAGGGCCATTCCATACATCCTCCATCTCTACCAGAAGGCGACAGCTTAATGCTGCTCGGCCAGGCTTGTTGCGAAACGCCTGAGCAGTTTCGGCGGGCACCATGAGCGACAGGGCGAGATCGGTGGACCCAAGCGCAGCCGGCCAGGCAGGCCGCTCGAAAAAGCAGTCACAGGCCGATGCCAAGGGCACCAGGCGGCGGCCCGGGATGGCCCGGCCCATGGCTCAAGCAGAGGAGGTCGAAGTGAAGGAGAAGATTAGCTTGGTGCGCCTCCGATATGAGGGGGCGCCAAAGGATGGCCAGGATGACCCACATAGAGTACTTATATCTAAGGTGCACAAGGCCGCACAGCTCCAGCTTAGCGATGACCGGCTCAGCGTGACAGGCTACAAGGGTTTTCGCACCGCACGAAGCAGCCACGGCACGCACGAGGGCGCGCTGTATTGCGAGGTGCGAATCACACGGATGGGTGTCAGCGGGCACTGCCGCCTCGGCTGGTGCACGCGCAAGGCTGAGCTACAGGCGCCAGTTGGCTACGATACCTTTGGCTTCAGTTATCGCGACGTGGACGGCAGCAAGGTCAGCAACGGCTTACGCGAGCCCTATGGGCAACCGTTCCGGGAGGGCGATGTCGTTGGCATGTACATATACATGCCGAAAGGCGGACGCACGCTGGAGCCGCAGCAGAACGAGTATGCTAAGTACAAGGGCAGATGGATGCGCATTGAAGATCCTGAACCGAACCCAGAGCCACTCCCCGGCAGTGTCATTGCATTCACAGTAAACGGCCAGTACCAGGGCGTGGCTTTCCGAAATTTCAACGAAGGCACCTACTACCCAGCGGTGTCCATCTATACAATGCCGGAGCAGACGGAGGGTGCCATGGTCACGCTGAATTTCGGACCCCGTTTCGAGTATACTCCTCCCCAACCAGATGGTTGCCCGCCCGCGACGCCTGTCTGTGATCTCGCGTCGTCGTCACCTACACTGCCCGCTGCGGAGGCACTGCAGGGTGTGGCGGCGCCACAGGGTGTAGGGCCGTTGAATTCGGGGGCTCCAGAGGTGGCAGTGCAAGTGCCCGGTCAATCAGAGGGAGTCATGCCACCCCAGGGAGCTGTATCGCAGGACGTGGACATGAAGGATGGGCTGCCTGAGGCCCCCTGAGGCGGCGGAGGCCATTTGCGACGGTATATATATGGCTGCAGCGGCAGAGACGAGAACCGCCTGAGTGTATTTCAGTAGGTGGTGCGGTGCGTTGGAACGCATGCGGTGTCTGGGTTGAGGTTAATTGGAACATTTGCAGCTTCGTTGGGATTTTTACAGTACAGATGTATGTGTCGACCGAGGAAAATTTGTCCAGCACGTGCCCGTAGATTTGGTTAAGGCCCCCATTAAGCCTGTTGCCTGTGAGGTTTCGCATCAAAAGGCCAGGCAACTAGACCGCTGTCACAGACCGCTGTCACAGAAGTTCTCACACGCCGCCAGCTTGTAATTCCCGCGAGTTGGTTCGTCGACTGGACATCCAGAGGCGTCTTCATCAGACGTTTGCCCGCCGTGCAAGACGCATTTGAGCGCCACCTTCGTTATGAGGTGCTTTGCTTGTATTTGGACACATCAAGCAGTTGTTTGCCGCACATTGAGCAGAGGCCTGGACGGGGCGAGCATGGCGACAGCGACGTAACGGCAAATAATGCACATATCGGTCAGCCAGGCAAGAGCACGGTACAAACTTACCCTTCACATAGGCGCAGCTTTGGCAATAGAGCCCATCTTGGTGGAGATTCTGCCGAGAAAGGGAAAGGGTGCATTGTATAAGGGAAGGCGTGCGCGCGTATGTAAAATGGACCCATTGGACCACGTAAACGTTTCACGTGACCGAGGTGATCTGCGACAATGGCGTCCCGCATTTTCGTAATTAGCCGTTCGAGCGAAGAATAAGGTGTGTAGAATTCCAATGCGCTGACACTGTAGCAAGGTGGCAACCTCGGAAGCAAAACCTCGCCGACATGATGGGAGTCTTAGGACGACGGATAAAGAAAGATCGTGCAAACGGTTGCTGAGTTTTCAGATAAGGAGCTGCCAAGTGTTCCTACATCATGCCGATCGTCCTAACAGCTCACCTGCTTGCATGTTTTGCACTTCTTCTGACCGTACGGCTGGTACCTATGGGTAAGGGTACTTCGGAAGTCAGGAACCGGGATGAACATTCGAATGGTTTCCCAACCAAACACAAGTCCCATCCCTCTCTTACAAGCTATGAAGTAGGCAACATACCAACCCACCTGCCGATTCAAAGCAGTTACCTTGCACAGCACAGACCTCCGAGAAACCATAGCACGTCATCCCGCTATCCAGACCGTCATGTGACATTTCCCGCATGTGACCCCTCTACAAAGCGTACACTGTGCATAACCCAGGCTGAAGTCAGAAAACTAAACTATGGAAAAGTTGACCATGTTACTGATAGCTTGTCACATCGTCAGGGCACGCCGCTTGCCTTACCTCTTTGCACCTGTCAAAAGTTTGTTCTCGTTGACCTTACGCCCACTACTTTCACCCTGTTTGTCGGTCTTGCTGTCTCTCCACTTCTCAGGGCAAGCTACCTACACAAACGAACGCAACATAAAAAGGTTGTTACTAACTTGTGACTTGCCAGGCTACACATGTACCACAAACCTTTTGAAGTTTCCTCTCACAAGCTTGGCAAACCATAGTATTGATCTAATGCTGGAGATTCAGGTGGACCTCGGTTGACAGATGGCGCACCACAACCAAACGTGAAGGGAGCATCACGAAGCTGTAAATTAGCAGGCCTAAGAATCACAATGTTGCGCAAGGACTGAAGCTGGCAAGGATAAAATCGCAGGCTGCAAAGGCTTGGTACGAAGAAGCAAGCAATGATACGCACATTCGCTTATTCTAGGGATGGAGCTGTGTAACAGATACTTCTTCATCATAACAGCTTGATTCTTTTCGGGTCCACCTTGGACTCGGTTGTGTCGTGCAGCGCTTCTCGCGCAGGCAGTTGACGTGAGTACTTGCTTCATTTAGGTGTTGTTGTGTGCGCCTCAGAGGTCCACTCACGCACTTACGCGTGCAGTATCACACTCAGTGAAGTGACAACGCCGAGACAACTATCACTACCCAATCAATTTGGGTCTTGCCTTAAACTCTATCTTGCAGGGCCTTCCCTTCAACTACCCACGTTGACAACCTTGCAAAAAGCCACTTCCAATGACTTTAAACCGTTATCCCTGGACCGTCCATGGCACCCCCGGCTTTCACGGACACCCCCGCACGTGTGTGCGGAACTTGTAACTTATTATCTACAGACGTCTTGAGCAAGAGTTTTGCAAATACTTGGTTTGAACCAGAGCTTTGGCGGCTTCCTGGGTGCCTGCGCTGTGCGTGTGCGTCCCACCTCTTGCTGCGTTTGGTTCCGCGTTCTTCTTCCCTGCCTTTATTTCTGCCTACTCTGAGAAGTTGCGGCTTTCTGATTTTTCTTCGCCTTGTAGCTGTCTCTTTTTGGCAAGGACCCCGTATGTGGGTATGTACTAAAAACTTTTTAGTCGTGTCTGAGCTTAGAGTGGGTTTAAGTAGCTTTGAGGATTGTTACCGGCTAGAGCTTTCCCGCTTTCCTTGGTCGCCATCTTACTCATTTTCTGATTCCTTAACTCTCTTATGAAAATTAAGGGGTCTCAACCTTAGGAGTTGGTCCCCATGCCAGTTGTCGTATGGCATGTGTATACATAATGCGGCGTGGCTCTCGGCTTGTGAGGAGTCCCACTGGCGCATGGCAAGACAGTTATGTCCGCTGTCCGGATTCCCATGAAACATCCCTCTCCTGGCGACGTTGTGTCTGGCTCTACTAACGCCCCAGGCTTCAGACGGATGTGTTAAGGAGCATGGAAGCAATTTCTCAATATGAGCGCCTGCCGATCCGTTCCGTGACTTAAAACTTCCATCGCCGCAGGGAGGCATAAACGCAGGCAAACAGACAGGGAGTAAGTCATCCTGGGGTCCCCACTCATAGTTCAGTATCTTCACGGGATCTATGAAAGCTGTAGACCTCCATGGCTAAGCTTCAGTGCCAACTGTTCCCCACACACGCCGACCACCTGTTTGCATTGTATTTAGGGTGTCACAGGCAAGCAATAAACCTGCTATGATTGCAGCCAAGACATTACGACCAGTGCAGCCCTATGTCCTTCGCTCAGGCGGTAGGTAATGTCAGAAGTCCAGGTTCGACACCATTTTGAAAGTAGTTTTTAGAAATGGAACATAGCAGTGTTGTCAAATCGTCTAGGTTGGGTCCCAACATCCAAACCGGGAGGTTCTACTCGCATTAACACACTAAAATTGCACTACGCTACATGGAAATAGTTCCTGCATGTCAAAGCCTCTCAAGCCTTCCTGCGCGCCCCGAAGTACTGCTATAACCCTGCAAAGTACTTAATGCCCGTGGCGGCGCGCTTTCACACGCTTCCTGCCGTCTTTCGGATCCCCAAGGCCTAGAGAAAATCCGCCTCCAGCGTCACCTCCAGGCGACGGCGCTACTCCTCCAAACCCCTGTGGCGGTACCGCTCCATATCCGCTAGGTGCAACAAAGGAAGCCGGCGCAGCGCCAAACCCGCCGACAACAGGTGCTGGAGCCTGCGTAGGCTGGGCCTGCACGCCAAATGTGGGCGCGGCCTGCCCGAATGCGGGCGTGGCTGCAGGGGGCGAGGGCGACCCACCAAAAGTAAACATCCCGCCCGCCGGCGCACTGCAGCTATTGCTACCAAATCCGCCAAAGTTGGGTGCTACAGCTGCAGGGGCAGCGGACGCCCCGAAGGCAGGAGTCGAGTTTGCCGGCGCAGCTCCAAATGCAGGTTGTGATGTAGGCGCTCCGAAAGACGGTGCTGCGGCACCGAAGGGATTTGCTGGTGCCGGTGCACCGAAGGACGGTGCCGCCGTTCCAAACGAAGGTTGCGGCGCCGGTGGCGCACCGAATGATGGTGCCGGTGCGTTCGCAGAAAATGTAGGCGCAGCTGCATATGGGAAGGGACAAAATCAGGTTTCTGTCTACAGCACGCACGCCTTGTAAAAGGCTGCACATCGAGGCTTGGTACGGCAGGGCTCAACGACAACGCTGGGCTTAAGCCACCAAACAATATGGGTCAAACAGAAACCTTAAGAAAGATCTAATGGGTGGCTGCAAAGTTAAGGCACTTACATGCTGAACCGAAGTTGAATGTCGACGCAGGACTAGGAGCGCTTTGCTGCGTGCCGAACCCTCCGCCACTCACAGACGCAGGAAGACTAGATGAACCACTATTGGGTGCAGCTCCGAACGTAAAGCTAACCGCAGGACCTGATGCTGCACCGAAGCTTCCGGTACCAAATCCGAGGGACCCGGCCGATAACTGCGTTGCACCAAACATAGGTGCAGAGGAGTTCGACACAGGCATCGGTGACCCGAAACTTGCAGGCGGAAGCGGCAAACTCTGTGTGGCGCCGAATGTAAAGCTTGCCGCCGCTGCCGATGACAACGACGCTGCCGCGCTGGATGGAGCTGCACCGCTAGCCAGAGCATTGAATGCGAAACCCGGCGGTGCTGAGGTAGAAACGACGTTCGCTGGCGCTGAGCCCGAAAAGGCCGGTGCTGAGGACACAGCCGGCATTGAGCTGCTGGGAGCGCCAAACGTAGGCAGTATCGCCGAGGGTGCTGTCCCTGACGGTGCAGCCATGGCCTCAACAGCCGGCGCAACCGTAGCTGCCAATGCAAAGGCCGGCTCTGGCGAAGGGGCTTTGGATGCGATATTCGGCATTTGCGAGGCAGCCGTTGGAGCTCCGAAAGCGAATTGGCCGATACCAGTCGACGTGGGCTGCACAGTGACCACCTCCGGCATGACAGGGTTAGGCTTGGCGAGGCCTGAGGTTATCAATGCATTCTCCGGATTGACCCGCTCCTTGTCAGGTTCCGCTTTTTCCATCAGAATAGCAGTAGCGTCAGCCCTTGCTGATGGTGCTGCCTCCTTAGGTGCAGCGCCCCACGAAAACGAAGTTGGAGTGGGCGTTGATCCGAGCGGTTGGGTAGTAGAGGGTCTGGCCCCATCGGCCGGCGCCACCACGGGTGCAGCAGTAGATGGCCCAAAGGAACAGATATACGGGCGACCGGCATCTGACGTTTCCTGTACCATTTGGGACCAGCACAGACATGGTGTACTTCGCAAGCCATTATTGACCACTGGCCGGGGCAACTTCAGAAACCGTTTGTGAATTTTAACACTACGGGTATACGCTGCCACGGAACTTCCATGCAGAAGGTAGGACAGCAATACCAAAGGGCCAGGGGAGCGCATCCCGAACTTACCTCGTTGCCAGAGTTTGGCATCTTCTCACCAGCACCATTCGCTGGCGTGTCCGCACCAGAAAACCGTGTGAAGGGTGTGCTGCCCGCATGCGAGCTGAAAAAGACTCCTACTCCTGGAGTTGCCAATGGGGTTGCAGCCTGCACCATAGCAGCAGCAAGTTCAGGGCCAACGACACGTCACGCAATTTCCAGATGCTCAGGCAGCGGAGTGAACTACGAAAACCCAAATAATGTTCCGGGAAATGCCACGGTACGTCAATGCATATGATGACCGACCTTAGCTTGCGCGTCAGAATCCTTCCGCTTCTCGGCTGGCGTTGACTCCGGCTGGTCCGCAAAGGCTACACGCCTTGTGCCACCACACTGAAAGGCTTTGGTCGCCTGACACTCCGTTCGCGCATCCACACCCGCTGTCACAGCTACTGCAGATGCCGCTGTTGTATCGACAACGGTCTCGTCATCCGAGTCATCCGGCAAGGGCAGTGCTGCCGCCTTGGCAATTTCCTACGTAACAAGAACGACGATACCGGCCGCGCTGTCAGCGCTTCGCGTCCACAAGCATGGTCCAGACTTTATCAAATGCAAACAAGATATGCAAAGCTTGAGGCAAGAATCCGGCCGTCCATCGCACGCACCTCTGCCACAGTGCTCGTAACTGGAGAAACCGGAATGGACTTTCCCATGGAGACGACTCCATCGGCTCCCACAGTTGCAGCTCTGAACACGACTACTTCCAAGTCACTGCTATTGGCCGCGAGTGCCGCATGCGCTTCGCAAACGTCCTTTGCTCGCTGCAGTTGTTGGTCCAGCGGAGCCCGTGGTGACCTAAAAACGGCGTTCGCCACAGATGATGTACTAGTGGGCTCGGGTGGTGCCTGTGTGCCACCTGCCGTCGTGGACGCCGGCGCCGGGGCATCAATCCTGTTGCGCGCCTCAGCTGTGCTCGGAGTGGGCGCCTCCACAACCGGTGCTGAGGCTGATCCAGCGTGCGCGACACGATCCGTCGTCGCAGCAACGTGTGGTACCGCAATGGGACTTAAAGGTAAGGTGTTGATCCCAAGCTCCGCGGACGTTGTTGCCCGTCCACCCGGTGTACCATCCAGCTGCCGAAGCGACTGATGTGCCGGAGGGACTACAGGCGTGTTGAACTCCAAGACTGTACAGTACGACGACATGAAACACCAGGACGAATAAGACCGGTGCGAGTGGATAGGATAGGACACCAGCAACCCTCTCGGGCCATAAAACTCATGTCTCCAGTGCTTGTTCCTCCCAACCTAAGGTTTCACCAGCAGCTCCCTGCGGTAATCTCTCATACGTAAGATGTATGGAAGTCCTATCACGACACCATCGTAAATGAAAGCCCGTCGGTGTTTACAATCACGGTGAACCTTGCACGGAACTAACTGACAAACTTCCACAAGATGTTGAAGTTGTAACAGGTTGGCTATCGCATAACACCACTATGGAGGCTGGGTAATCGCCTCCCATATCATTGTGGTGATAGCTCATTGTACTGTCTAGGAATAGGGTTGAGAGCGACAAGCAAAATATCATGATACCCAGAAACGGCTCGTGACTACACCTGAAACCCAAGAATACCGCCAGCAACCTACCCATACGAGGTCCAGGAGTTTGGCCCACATTTCCCGCATTCCCCGATGATGATGGCGTTGCACCGCAAACAAAGCCGGGTCCGACGGTAGTGATACTGGGAGTAGGCGTGCCACCGTAATGATTCTGATCTAATCGGTCCAGCGGAGGCATAAAAGGACCGGGAAACGGGGAACCTGTCGGCGGACCAGTGCGCGCCCCAGACTGTGCAACAGGCTTCCCAGCCATAATGTTGGATGTGTTGGCGTCGCCAGTCTGAAATTGCATGGGTATTTTTAAAACGAGCGAAATTCAAGTGCGACATGGGCCATAGAAGGAGCAAAATGGAAGTGCGAAATATTTAGCCAAGCGTATGACGCAAAGAGCCATGAAAGTTCACACAAGCATGCCAAGCCATATGTATGCCTACTGCTGGTATACACGAATATTACACTTGGTCTTTACGCGTACCCGCTTAAAATTATCCAGCGTTTCAAGGATCTTCCGCGCAGTCTCAGTCGCCGGGAGTTCTCCCGCCACACCGCCTCCTGATGATGGTCCCGGCGTCACCACAGTTGCCCCGGAACCTCCGCTACCACCACCAGGCGTCCGCTCATTGTCCGACTGAAGAGGTGTATTTTCGCGAGGGGTGCGCGCCGAGAAGCCAGCCAACACAGACCGTGGCTGTAGAGATTGTGCTTGGCGCCGGCGCTTGAACTCTGCAGCGCAGCAAAGCGCAATTAAACCCACCCCTCCCGCTTCCCCCAATATATCCTTCCCAGCAGTGTACCTGAGAGGTTACGAATCCCTGACGCCATCAGCGGCGAGACTGCTGGACTGTCACGTTGCCGCTTCCCGCCAATGGCGCCAGCAATAGGCCGGAAACCGGAAGGAGTCTGCTGGTGCTGCGTCCCTTGCCCCACAGCAGCCAGCGGGCCGAACTTTGGTAACGGTGTCCCGGTTCGACCTGATGAGAAAGCCACCTGGCCTGGGGCAAGGCGGAGAGCACCTGGGGCCGTTGGAGGCCGCGGTCCTATGCCCATGGGAGCTGGTGCAGTGCGTGCATTGGGCGGCGGAAGGCGCGCTGTTGCAACTGCCATAGAGGGCTTGGGCCCCGTTTGTGGCGGTTGCTGCCCAGCCTCGCTGCCAAAGCCAGTCGCCGGTATGTCTGCGGTGGATGGTTGTGGAGCTGAAGGCAACCCAGCGGTAACCGGCCGTGGAGGCTTGGACAAGCTGCATGGCAAAGCGAGCGATGTAGATGTTAGCCAGCGCCTAATTTGTCCCCTTGGAGTTCTTACTGCACGTGCAGCCACCCATATCAAAGCATCAATATGGCAAAAGGTTGTTCATAACAGCGCGTACTTGAAACTTACTTAACCCGCCCATAAGGGTTGTATCGCGCGGTGCCAGCTGACGGCCTCGACGCGACACCAGCCGCACCCAGACCCGCATTTGCTCCGCTGACAAGGCCTCCAGGTCCCGCCCTCAGGATTGAGGTCAGGTTAAAGTAAGGCCTGGGCGGCTCGGATGTGCTCCCAGGTTCATTTGCGCTAGGAACTGCAGCGTGCACGGCTGGCTGTACGGCATCTGCCCCCGACTTGGCTCCTTTCATAAAGAAGTTGAGTGAGGCCAGTTTGGACGGAGACCACCCGCTCAAGCCGTCCTGTGGGACCCGTCCTGGTGCATTCGGGCTTAGACCCGCCTGTCTGACCTGGCCTAGAGGGACATCCGGGGTAGCCACTGCACGTTGCTGCTGTGCTGTGGCCGCTGCAGCAGACACAGGCCGCGACAGTGAATTTGTCGGAGGCGAATCATCAGAACCCGCCAACGTTGGAAAGGAGAAGCCACTGGGGCCATCCTCGACCTGTCGGAAGTACCAAGCAGATCTTGACCAGCGCCGTTGCGCCAAGCGATGCGAATGAGCTGGCAAGACGACAACTACATACACACCTTTGATTTCAGCTGAACTGCTTTGCGTATTTGCTGGTTTTGCGGTGGCGGCGAAGGCTTCCGTGCGGCGGCTCCTGTGAGCGGTCATAGCAAGGGATTAGTACCAAGAAACCTTAGATCAAACCCAAAAGCGATCACTACCTGTCTGGTTAATGCTATCGCCTGGCGGGGTGCCGACAAGACCCTTCACCTACAAATGGCGGGGACTTACAACCTCTCAGCTGAGAGCAGGCGAGTGCTTTGTTACATAGCAAGAGCCTTACCGTCTTCGAGATAAGCTGCAGAGGGCTAGCAACCAGACCAATAAGTCTCCCCGGGGTGGAACCTCCCCGAACCCGAGGTGCTCTGCCACCAGCGCCACGAGTATCTTTAGCGTCCATAAGACGCACAAATCCTGAGTAAAGTACGCAGATACAAAAGTAGAAGTCTTCGTGTGGGGCCGGGGCAGGCCCCCTGGTATGTCGCGTTTACAAAAGAGCAGAAACTATTCTTCTATCAAATTCTGTATTCTCTTAAATATGTGCATACAGGTCCCTGGGTTGAATTGGAAATTGGGAGAGTGAAGGGTAAATACGGCATCTTGCATTTTTTGCTGCAGGACATTGCCTGTTGGATGCGCCCGGAAGCGCTTTGTGCGGTTGCTTTCTCTGAAGTAAATGTAGTAACAAGACCTATTACGTTAACGCAATTGTCCTGTGTTAGCCTGTCAGTTGTCATACGCCTGTCCAGACTTGCTTGCTTTCATGAAGGAACTATGATGCCCACAACTTAACATAGTTCGTCAGCTGTCGGCTGCCCGCATCCCGCGGCGCAGCGGAGAGCTGCAAGGGAAGTTAGCTGATATATTGCCGAGATGGTCTTCAAGAAGCTTTTGAAGGGCAAGAAGGAGGCAGACGGAGATGGACCTAGCACATCAGGAGATGCTGGGGAGCAGGTCAGCTTGCTATTTTGGGGGAATCAGTTGCGAAAGTGTGTTTGTTGTGGACTGCGACCGGGTTGTGACTTCTCGTTCTACTGCAGATATCATATCATCCGGACGCGGATGAAGCAGGCGGAATGCTCTGCACGAATGATGAACTTCTTAAGCAGCAACGCGAGTAGGTCCCGGCATTTTATTGCGCCGTTGCGAAGAGTCTGTCAGTCTTTTATTTGTCAGCTTGAAGCATAACAATTGATATACACGGATGTGTCTTCCGAACAGGGCAATTATGCAGTGGGTCAAGTCCATGGGTAAACGTCTGCTAACGGGCAGTATAAATTTAATCAATACCCCCTTTCCAGTCAATATTTTTGAGCCACGCAGCTACCTCGAAAAGCTTGCGGATGTGTGGGTATATCCGCGGTATTTGGCAGAAGCTTCTCAGTCTTCGGACCCGGTGGAGCGCATGAAGCTGGTGACGGCGTGGTTTGTGGCAGGCAAGTCCCTCATCTTGGGAGGAATGCGACCTCATGACTATCCAGAATGGACAGGGCTCTGGGGGGAAGTAGCCGGGCTGCCGTCCTGAAACTCCTCCCTGGACGCATGCCCGTTTCCCCAGGCCTTCATCACGCCTTTGAAAACTGGCGGAAGCCGTTTAACCCTATACTGGGTGAGACGTGGCAGGCGTCACTTTCGGATGGAACCACGATGTTCATGGAGCAAATCAGCCACCACCCACCAGTATCAGCTTTCCATATGGAGGGGCCAGGTGTGCTATGCTAGGAGTATTGGGGAATAGAATGGCGTTTAGTAATTATTTTATAGGACCGGTGATGCAAAGCTTTGCTGTGAGGAGGGCACATTGCAGCAACAAGTGGTCGAGTGCAGCAGCAGTGTGACACGGGGTGCAAGATAAGAGGAATGGCTGTTTTGGCCCTCCCAAGCGGTTTAATACTCCGCCGTTAGCCTGCACTAAGTCGAAAGACACCCTCTGTTCCAGGGTTTTCAGGGGCCCCTCCGCGGGTGTTCGGTTCCTGCGCTAAGTACTGAAGCAGCACCGGCGCAGCATGAGAGCGTTTCAGTTTGTCTGCGGACCTGCCGCCCATGGCTTTCTGCAGGCATGGTCGCCAAAGTGTCAGAGAACACGAAAAAATAACTAGCGAGGTTTGCGAAGGGGACAACTTAACCAGCACGTGGAAAGCTGCAGCATCTCGTCATTTTTCATCTGTCTGCCGAGTCGACTGACAGACAGGATCCGTCCCCTACTATTACGCCATCTTTCCGGTGCCGCCTCAGGCGGGGCTTACCGTTTCTTGGGTCTGTCTCAGCCAACCGTGTCCATCGTTGTGAAGTACTACGGCTTCAAAACTGTGGCCAAGGGCTTCCGCTACGTGGACTTTCCGGATGGCACCCGGATTGAGCTGCACTATCCGCAGTACTACATAAAGAATGTGGTGTACGGATCCAGTCGTCCACGTGCTGAGGTAGGCCTCATTTGTGTTGTTTCGCCAGGCGGGGCAGGTTTGTGTGCTGGAGCTTCCGGACTTAGCCGGTCAGATCTTATCCCTGCTAAGATGAAGCGTGCGCTTTACCACAAATGCTGTCGGGCACTGACTACCAAGGTTACAAGAAAGACCAAGTGACGTTCATCGGCATGCGGGCAGGCTGCGGAGTAGCGGATTTTGAATTATCCACGCCGAAAAGCTGGCAGAAGCTGTTTCGGTATGGGGCACATAGATGTAGCTGCATATGGGTCGACTCCCTTGGGTACACCGCATTCTCTCGTTGCAGGTTGACGGGCAGGCCATTCTTGTTGACGTCCGCAACAAGCTGAAGACGGTTATCAATTTCGGGGCGCTGAAAGGCGCGCGGAACAAAGTGCTGCGGAGAGCGGACGCTGTGTACGGCTTCATCTATGACTGCCGAGATAACCAGGTTAGAATTTTGGGAGGCGTTTGCGCACGCGAGGACGAACGCGCCTGGAGCTACAGCAGCAGACTGTCCGCTATGTAAATGTAGATGTCGGACACGTTACATCCATGGTCGAACACGTAATTGTTTCCGCAAGAGCATTGATATGCCAGTAATTATGAAAGTGCGCATGTAAGCGCGCTTTTTGCCGCCGCCGTCTGGTGACGGGCATGCTGTTCTCTCAAGGTCCCTGGCTTATATGCGGCCCTGCCATCATTTATGACAGGCCTCTCTGTTAGAGAAGACCAGCACAGCCGATTTGGCGGTGAGGCTGGAGCACGAGCAGCACGCGGCTATGCGTAAGGGCCCCGCGGGTCTGGAGGATGACGAGGAGTTTGAGTCGGCCTCGGAGAACGAGTACGACCCAGAGAAAGAGGAGGCGGATGCCTCTGCGGCGCTAGAGCAGGCGGCTGCGGAGGCGGCAGCTGCAGATAGGCGTGACGTCGAAGCCGTTGCGCCGGACCCAAGTATTGACGAGCTGCTGCCCTCTGGACCTCACAGGCGGGGCGCGACGGCCGACGGTACCTCCCGCCGGTCGCTCAATGGGGCCGATATGGTTTTGCCAACGGTGTTTGTATCTTCGCATGGGACCGCAGGCAGCGTCTCTGGGTCTTCGGGGAACCTTCACCGAGTGGACGTCACGTCTAGCACGAAGCCACCATCTAGTGTCACCGGCTCGTTCTTCAGCATGTCCGCGTTGAATCGAATGGGGACGCTGCTCCGCATTAACCAGGTGAGGTGGGATGCGGGTGGAATGGACTTTGGTTATGCAGTGTTAGCGTCGGATAGAGATGTTATGGTTGAGGCGTTAGGCTGTGAGAAGTTGGCAGCAATCCGTGTGCTCGGGTATGTAGGGGCGCCCTGGAAGAAGAGATCTGTCCTGCAGTGAAATGCCCGGCTGACGTGTCCGGTGTCTGCCGGCTGGCAACTGATACGAAACTTCAGGTCAAACCTGTGCAGACGACCTGTGCTCTTTTACTCAAATCGAAGACCCACAGAGCATCCTTCGCATGGGTACTTCTAGCATGTGCAACATGTATACTTGACGCTATAGAGGGCGCTGATAGAGACCCGTGCACACTGTTTGTGTTAGCCTCTCTGGAGCAATGGACGGTGTGGGTTTCCGATTGGCCCGGCATCTTCATCCAGGCATCTCCTACGGCGGTCCTGGATCCCACGCCTAACGAAACGGATGGCATTCCACTGGCGAGCATTGAGGGCAGCTGGCTGTCGCACCTTAACATCAACGAAAAGCGGTACTGGTGCGTTGCAACCGAGGTACCGGACCGCTGGCGATCTGTTGCGCACCCGCTGCCTTCTGACTCCCGGTTCCGCCAGGTGTGTGGGAGGAAAGGGGTCTTGCCTTAAGCTGCTGCCGCCAAACCAGGATTCTGAGATCGTAGAGGAAAGTTTGGCACGCTAAAGTCGGGGTTTTGATCTTCACGCCTCCAAGGCACGCTTTCTGTCGCATCCGTACGAATGGCGGGGCTTGATTCTGGTGTCTGGAACTGCTCAATCTTCTCGCAACATCGCACGTTCTCCCAGTTCTAGCAGTTTGCGAGTTGCGTGATTGGGACTCCGTTCCCCTGTATCAGTTGCTAAGTTGTGCTGTTTGTGTCCCTCCTCGTCGCACGGAGCCGAACGCAAGGCAATTACGTAATAATGTGTTAGAAAGCATAGCTGACCCTGTCTTTCACGCATTTGTCTGGCCACTGCTGCTCAATTTCCAGGATTTGATGGTACTGGAGGGCGGAGACATGAAGGCCGCGCAGCGCGCCAAAGAGCTCCTTGAGAACACGCAGCGGCACGATAAAAAACTCCGTGAAGCGGCCACGAATAGCAGATACGGCGGTGGACACTGATGGAGCAGGACTTGGCACGGCCGCGCCGTCCTGGGCAATTGGTTGCTGCTTCATTGGCTAGCGGTCTTAGCGTTTCAGGAACCACCGATACTGCTACTCCTCTCATAGGAGGATAGGGCGCTGTGGGGGACCGCATCGGCGAGAACGGTGGCCCTTAAGCAAGGTTCTCCTGTTTACTGCTTTAGGTGTGCAAGTCTGTGGCAGCGAGGCAATGATCGAGCAAAGATGTCAAGTTCCGCTGAGCGCGCTAAGTCCCCCGAGGTCTTAGCTAGGTTGATCTCCCAAGGGGGGCATGGTCCTTAGGTGCGGTGATTTTCTTTGATGCCGCTGAGAACGTAGCCTCATTTCTCATGGCGTTCCATGGCCATTTAGCGTCACCCGTTTCTAATGATGGTGGGCGGTTACCTTGCCCGTATGTTGGGCACATGAAAGTGGGGTATCCAGGCATTGCCGGTGGCACGGCCGACACTGTGAACGTTACATGTGGGCATGATGCATAACATGGCTTGGCCAGCGAGGGGCGGCACCTGTTGGCATCATCGGAGGAACTGCTGCTGGAGGTGCGACAATTGTCCGGGTACCGCGATGCCGTCCACGTAAGACGGCGTTAGGATCCTTTACATGGTGCGTCGAATCATTAAGGCACCGCTGGCATAGATGACGGGTTAGGCCGCTGCCAGGTTGGGCGCAGATCGATGACGAGGGAAAGGGGAGAGAGTGTGGTGATTTATGGAGCCAAGCTGGGCCGTCCTGCATGTGCATTCATATGCTGGGTTGGGCAGTTGGTTGCTGCGGCCAACCCTTGCCACCTTACACTGACAAGATTTTGAGATGTTGTGACTAGTTTGAACGGCTCCCGGCTTGCATGGACCATGCAGGCGATTGCTGTGGCATGTAGGTGGTCATGTAGTCGTCTTCTGCTGCCCACATTCATAACCATGCCCCGACCAGGATGGCTGGCCCGGGTGCCGAAGCTGCTTTAGTGGCGTGCCCCCGCATGTGCAGTAGGCAGAGATGTGCAATGAAATATGCTGCCTTGGCGAGTCTCCGGCATTTACAGATTCCCACGCTAACGGGGCAAAGACGCATTGCTTTGCTCCGCGGCCTGGATGCAACGACGTACCGGCACGGCTGGCGCAGCCATTGGCTGCCGGTAAACCTTCGCGTCCGCACCACAGGTGCGGACACCGCGGGCCGGGGTTGGAGGATTCGCGGAGGACGCCGAGATAATGTTTTATGGTGCTGCAATTCTCATACTCTAATGTTCAAGATCCGAAAAAGGGATCTTGCTGCAGTGATCCCGAAAAGCTCTGGGTCTGTGGGCACATGCTTTGCCGTTCAGTGCCGGGTTTAGGAGCCTAAGGCCGTGACATGTATAAGAAAAGCATTTTACGGGCCATTACTTAAGGGTACATACACACCCGACCGAGTTCAAACACAATCAGTATTACAAGTAGTCCTCAAGTAGGTAAGGTAGCTCCTAAACAGACATCCTTGCAGATTTTCCCAAGGACAGGCAATCCATGCACAACAAGGATGACGTGTTAATACCATTCAACATTCAGCCGCGGCTTGCTGTTGCCCTAGAAGTATAGTCGTACGGGCTACATGTAAAGTCGTATGGGCTCGCAGCAAGATACCGTCGGTAGTATGCCGCAACCAGCCGACAAGTGAACTCAAGGAAAACTCCTATCCACATACCATGGGTCACGCTAGCTTACGGACTTGTGCCGCAGGCGAGCGCCTCATCATGTCACATCCAGGATCGTGATCTGGCCGTATGCCAGAGTCCTGCATCGTATATTGACACGGCTAGCCACGTCGCCGTCCCTCGTGCAACAATATATCTTCTGCGTAATTCAAAACAAGCCCCTCAGCAATACTGGTGGCGCAACAAAACAAGCAATGAAGGAGCTAAGGTACCCGTCATGCCAGGCGCGTCAAGTTACTTGCAATGCTTAGTGCTTCCACATGGTTTCATTTCGCAGCGTTGTACGTATAAAAGCAAGGAAAGCTGAAGATAATGGTCCTCAGTCGGCGCCAATCAAAACATCCCACGGCCGCTTGAAAGCCGTCACGAGCTGTCCATGCGTTCAAACGCTACCCTCCTTCCATAATGCAAATATAATTTCTTCCCGGTGATGCTTGTCGACATAGGTCCTAGGGCCTTGCCCTAGGCGAGGTGGCCTCACCATCCTGCCATCGGCATACACCCATAGGGCGCCAGAACCAGGCCAGAACCGTTCAAACTCCGAGCCGGCTGAACCGGGACAGGCAGGTGCACGTGTTTCAGCCTGAGTTCCTAGTGTAATCAACGCGCCCGCGTATCTTGCGGCACCATGGGTTGGTTAAGAATATGGGGTGCTGTACACGCATTACCACAAAAATGATCATGTTGCCTGCCATGCATACTTGGCACACTTAGTGCGTACGGCTCACACTCGGATATATATAACACCTGCATGGTCTTGGCATCTTAAAAGCGTCGACGGCCCGAACGTGCCATTGCTGCTGCGCCACCCTGCCGACGGATAACCTAGTCCCGGCTCCTAACTCCGCCACCAGCCTTTGTCCCGCACGCTGCGGCTGCTCCAGAGCTGGCTGATAGCCGGCGCCTCGCGAGGCCCAGAGACGATGTATTTCCAGCCTCCAGCAACTTTGGTTGGCAAGTGAGGGGTTTGCGCTGGCATCATAGCAGCTCCTGCTATTTGAGCAAAAGCGTCATTCTCCCGAACACCTCCAAGTTCCTTCCCCAGCCGTACTCGTGGCTGGTGGTAAGAGGTTTTCGGAACTCCTTTGTAGGCAGCTCACGCGCCATTGGAGAAGCCTTAGCCATATAGCTACTGACGAAGCCGTCCAGTGCATCTTGCTGCTGCATTTGCCGCCGCGCCCGTGCTGAGTCGCGCTGTTTGGAGGCGATGTAACTGAGAGGCACGGCGCTGGAGCTGGCCGGGGCTGCGCTCTGCATGAAGGCTGACAGAGCATCGTGGGGATCCGCTGACATCTGTCCATTGCACGCTATAGGTTGCTGCGGTTTGGCTCTGCATGGTTGCTCCAGGAGGAAGCCCCAGTTGCGTTGCCAGGCCTGATGATATCGGAAGGAGTGTTTACAGAGAAGGCAGCTCATCACCATTGGCTACAGTTTGCCATTATTGCTTCATGTGATTCCGGGCGGCTGCGACGTCTGATGGCCAGGTTGACGGTTGACAATGAGGGGTCACGGCACGTGGGTGCCCGTACACTAGCACACCCTATTACCTTATTGGCGTCTTACCTTATTAGCGTCAAGCTCATTGCGGATGCGCGCTGTCCAGTTCCAGTCCTCTGCAACGGGAGTGATTTTGCTCTGGCTAGTCGTCTCCGCCTGCGTCCAGGAGGGTGACGATAACTTCCCTGGCTGTGATAGCGTTTCGAGCTCAATATGATTGTAACTCTGATACGGAGTTCATAACCATGGCATTCAGGTAGCTATTTGCAGAAGATAACGGGCCCCGAAAAGTTACCATGACAATGGTCCGAAGCGCCAGACAAGTTATGGGACAGAGGAAGGTTCTAGGGCAGTCAGATTACTAATAGTTTTTGCGATTAACCTTAAGAAACCTTCCTATGGGTCGCTGCTATTTGCCTTCGAAAGGAACGATGGCACATGAGTGCGCAAAATCTTGTGAAGTGGCTTACGGAGTTCTGTGGACATAGGCGCCATTAGAACTTTGCGATTATACCCTTGAGCTTTGCTGTTGACTTCCTTGGTAGAAACGTCGTACTCCGTACATCTCGCAATTGACAATCCTCCTCGCAGTGCTCGTGGCCGTATCCTCCTCACATTTTTGGCAATAGTAAGATATCTTGAATGTAATTCAAGCTAGGATACCTCCTTGCATAAGTAGTTTGGCAAAAGACCAAAGTTGTAGCCAAAGCAGGAAGGATCAATCAGCCATGCATTTCATTGCTGGTCTACATTCAGGAGTCCTATGGACATGGGGAATTGCGCTAGTATGCGTACTTACCCTGGCGTTGCGTGTGTTGTACGTCCTGTTCCAGCGGAAACCGGCAACGGCACGAACAAAGCCAGCCAAGACTCTCATAGTCCTGGGGTCAGGTGTGTCTCCCTGATGCCATCCCATCACTTTCATTGGTAACGGGTCTACGCTACTAGCCTCCACCGTCTTTGGCAACTCAAGCCTCCAAACCCCATGCGCATTCACTGCATCCAAATTACTCACCTGGTTAGACCTCCAGAGTTTCCCTGCACCATCCGTCCATGCACAGCGCTAGCCAACTGTATACAGCGAGGACGAGCTCGGCAGCACGGCAGCAGGCGCGACATATATCAACCTGGATGACTGCCGTTACGGCGGACTCCATTATCGCTAAACCCAATTAAACGATTTGTTCATGTGCCGCACCCGCACCATGTTGGATTACCTTACATGCGCTTATCTCCCCCACCAGCTACCCCTTGGCATCTCAGAGCCGCCTCTCAGCGCCGCCTTCCACCTTCCCATACGTAGGGGGCCACAGCGCGGAGATGCTCATGCTCTTGGACAAAATGGATAAGGCCCGGTACAGCCCGCGGAGCTACGTGGTGGCCGCCACAGACCGTATGAGTGGGCCCAAGGCGCTAGCGAGGGAGCGGATCTGGCAGAATGAGGTACGGGACTGCGGGGCGGGAGGGGCGGGTCGGTGCTGCTGGAGGTCGATCCCAGGCGCATTTCGGCAGAGGCAGGATCAGGCGACCATCAGCCTGAACACTCGCCCGGAGAAGCAGTCAGAAGAGGAAGGAAGCTCAAGGGGGCTGAATCGTGGTGGCAGATGCTGAGGACATATGTCAATGTCAGTCTGGGCGGGGGAGAGAGCCTGTGGGGGCCTGTGGGTAGCTGGCGCTGGCGATGGCGATGGCGATGGCCTGTTACCGGCTGAAGATGCTGGCCTCGTAGCCGTCCGGGAAGAGAGAGGTGAAGGGTGAATATCTTGGCAGCAGCCGGCTACCTGCGGACGCTAGCGGCAGCGGCTCTACTGGGGGCCTGCTGTGCCCCTTCGGACGCACAACCGTCAGAGGGCTGGCAGGGGGCCCTTACCCATACATTCCGCCTCGCGCCTTGACCAAGACGCTTCTTTCCGGTTCCTGTGCCTCGTCACTTTGGACCTTCCGCACGAGGTTTTGCGGCTATTTTGCAATACAATACGTCACAATACAATTTTACATGTTTTACTCCCCTTCCCTCTCGCCCTTTTTGTCCTGGGCTGGTACCGTTCAACACCTGCTGGGCCCCAGGAACCACTCCTACTCACGCTATCCCACCCTCCACCTTGACCTCTCCAGGACTCGCCGACCGGCTTCAACATCCACCATATTCCGCGCAGTCGCGAAGTGGGCCAGTCGTACGTCACCAGTGTGATCACCACCCTGTACTCGCTGGTCTTCGCATTTGTGCTCGTCCTCCGGGAGGTGCCCGACTTGGTGAGCGAGTGGGGTCAGTCAGTGATTGAGGGAAAACACGGGAACTGAAACACGGTAAATGTTACTGGCTTGGCTTTTGTTGTGGCGGGGTTAATACGGCCAACATAGCTTTGCGGCTCTGGTCTAGTCAAGAGGATATACCCTGCAACAGACCGGTAGGTGGCTCGGTGGATAAGAGACTCGGCAAGCGGAGCTTACATGCAGAGGTTGCACCGGGCAGCGGGTGCCAAGCCGAAGTGCGGGAGGCAGTAGTGAATAGGTTTGCTTAACATGTTGCAGGTGCATAAGCGCTAGGGCTGCCGGACCCCTACATTTTGCTACCGCCGGACCCTTACACATGCCGGGATCCTGGCCATGCAGCTCGGGAAGTAGGTTTGCGCGGCAAGACAGGCCGCAGGGGCCGTACCGCCATACCGGTGAACGTGACATGTGTGTACATGCACGGCAACACATGGAGCGCGCATACACCGTATGGCGGGCTGCTGGCTTAACTAGGCCCTGGCCCGACATTGCCAACAGATCAGCGCCGGCGATGAAATGTGCCGGCTCGGGCGGCCAGGTCAGACCGCACTGTCATGCGAGGCAGCGAGATTATGTACGCACATGTAGCCCTCAGGCTACTACCCCGGGCTGCCGCTGCTACCATTGGGCCAATTGGCTGTGGTCTGGTTGTTGACTTGGCTGTGGACCTATCCGCCTGGCCACCCTTCGGCATCCGTCGCTGTGCTCTCTCCAAGTGCCGGGTAATGCGCCCACCCACCCGTCCGCTGCGCCACCGCACGCGCGCGGCCATGCTCCGCAGGTCCTAGTCAACGGTCCGGGTACATGCATACCGATATGTGCAGCGGCGTTCGTGTACCGGTAGGCGTGTGGGAAATTGGTGGAGTGACCGGGCGGAGGCGGGGCCGGTCTTAGCTTGGCTTGGCTTGGCGCTAGACTGGGATGTTCCTGGGGCTGCAACGGGCATGTGCTGGCTGGCAAAAGCTCGTCACGCGTTGGGTTTGTCTGTGCGCGGAAAATTGTAGACAAACCCTGTGGGCCCGGGACTTGGCGATGCGGTCATTTCAAAGCGCTTGCTGATCCTTGTGACATTGGCCTAAGCTGCAATTGGCAGACAACTTGCATGACCGATACGGCGCATGGCATTCGCTCCCTTCACCGCGGCCCCAGACAGCGCATCCTCTCCTTCAATTATAGGCAATTATAGGAGTTGGCCTTAATCCTTGAAAGGACTGCCGCTTGCGAACAGCTGCGGTGTGGTGCGGTGGCGAAGTGGTGGAGTGCCATTGGGAGGACCCTGTACCCGAATAGGTTAGGTCCGGATTTGGGGGAAATGTGGGAAGATGCCGACGCCCAACTGCCGTCGAGCGCCCTGGAGCTAGTGATCGTTCTGAAGGCCGAAGGCTACACGCCTGTCACTTGCCTTGCTGCCCTTGTTCTCTTTAAAAGCCCGTTTATAGTTTTTGTTTATGGTATTCCTGCGTTGACCTCTCGCCCTCGTCCGTCTGTTCCAACCGCTGGTTCCAACCCACTGGTTCTCTTTCCCCCAGCGTTTTCGGTCTGATGGGGACTCGGATCGTGTACGTGGAGAGCATAGCGAGGACCCGGCGCTTCTCCCTGTCCGCCAAGCTGCTGTATCACCTGCGCATGGCGGATTTGGTCTTCGTACAGTGGGAGCAGCTGACCCGTACGTACCCGCGGGCCTTGTATGCCGGGCGGCTGTACTAGCTGTGCACGGGTTGGAAAAGGGTCATAAACGGAGGTTATACAGCTGCGCTGGGATCTGGAGCATTATGCATTTTTAGGTATTCGATACGAGCTGACCGATTCTGACACCGCGAAGAAGACAGTACGAAGGGGAAATGCATTTCACAAGTTGGCTGCGGATTTCGAGTAGCTGTGTGTCCGTTGTGGAAAGCGTGGGGAAGTGTGGGGGCCGCAGGGGCTTAGATGCCGTGCGGTGGCGAGAAGCGGTCACTCTTCATGCGATGCCTTCAGTTTATATGCCTCCCAAAAGATTTTTGTAATCATGACACCATTGATGCCGTTGTGCGTTCTGTGGGGCGTGCACTTTCCTTTCCGGAGCCGGACGGGTACGACAGATGTCATAACTTCCAGGGCCACGAAAAGCGAGACAATTCAATCCAAGACCCGGACATGTATTTTACTGCTGCCTCTTTCGCATGTGTATTGTGCTTAGCTGAGTAGTGACGTGGAGACCGTACGGGCTGCGTCGACGACCATCCGACGCTGCACTTTTCTCTTTTTGAGGCAGCCGCACGTATGTGGGCGGACTGCTGAAGGGTCATATCTTGTGTACTGGCGTAGGACGAGAAGCATTTCTGATATTTTATGCCTAGCATATCCTGGTAGGGGGAAATATTACATCCTGAGGTCTTTGGCTGCAAATCGGCACCCAGCGCTCAAAGCGCTTTTTTGGGACAAAAGTTCCAGTGCAAAGGATGTTCCCTTCAGGCGGTGGCAGCGGTGGAGGCACTAATCCTTGGGGAAAGAACCTTAGCCTTCGGAGAAAGCCTGCGGTTCTAGCAATCAGGCTATCAAGAGAGCTGCAAAGGCGACCTCTTCTTGCAAAATGTGTGCCAACAGCTGTCGGCTTTGCCTTCGGCGACTGCTTAACCCAGTTCATGAATCGTGACCGGTCGCGCACGCTTCGGGAACAGTGGTCTTTCAGCCGAACAGGAAGCATGCTCTGCATCGGAGCTTTATGCGCCGGGCCTATACTGCTTTCCTTTAACCGTTGGATGGATCTTGCTGTCATGCCTTCTGCCGGTTCTAGCCCAGTGGCAGTCGCAGTCAAGTTTCTATTGGATCAGGTAATCCCCGCAGACTGCTTGTGACAAAAATTCTGCAAACAATGGGAAGGCCGTGAATGGGTTTCGACCTTCGGATTTGGTTATCTTCGCCCCTCCCCTTCCGCACAGGTGGTTGGGTGTTTCATCTGGCAAGCTGCCTACCTGAGCATCAATCCGTCCTACCGACAGTCAGCAATCGCTTTATTGGAGTCGTCTTCGATGCAGATAGAAGAGCACCGCCGAGGCCTACAACGGCACGCGCAGCATGCGCTTGCATGAACGGCCGCGGCGCCAGTGTCATCTGAAGTTTTTTTGGCAAACGCGGCAGCACATTACCTAGTCGCTGGCTTATGGGATGTTGCAGATTTGTTTAGTCTCTAACAGGGGGCTGATGCCTCCTGTTCTGAAGTGCCTTTGCCGCACTTTCGGAAGCCTGTGTAACACTACGAAGACGCGGTTGGGCCATTGCAACGCATTTGGGCGGAACCCTAGCGTCGTTAAGGCCGGCTGTAATTCTCTTGTCGCCACGCTGTTTCAGCATTTGTAAGTATTTGGTGGTGTGGTGCTGTCGACATGGAGAGACGTGGTGACGCAATGGTCAGTTGGCGAGGTGTATCGGCCATCTACCTTGGTGCCGACATTGGTGGTAGTGTGGCTCCATGTGGCTGCATCTATATTTACCTACAAGGTGCACCGTCGGTTGAGCTTTCAGTGAGTGAGAAGAGATATAGAGTATAGAGGAGCGGCGTGGAATTTTGAGGGAAAGCGGTATGCTTGCCTTTCATGGCCGTCTCAGTAGGCAAGGATGCCTTGCCTGAATCGTGTTGCAGGCCAGGCTAAGGTCGGGATGGCGGTGCCCTGACGGCGGGTAGTGATTACAGGAACACGGCTTGGGGGCCATTGGTACCTAGTTAGTTTAGGTGCCCGCGGTGCCGACCACAAGATGGCATCCTTACGAGAGTTCTTGACAGGACAGCAGATGACCTGGGCAGATGTGGGTTTGGGGTCCGTAGAGAGTTACATGGGTATTAGGAATAGTGGCTGGTAGCCGAAGAGTGGCGTCGGGGTGTTCATAGGTAGGTATGCCTTGTTTGATTGGAGCTTCGCATTGTAGCGTGGAATCCGCATGCAAAGTTCGCAGCAGCGCTTGACCGAGGCAAGTTTTTCTTTTTTGGGGGGAGGAGCCGTAGGGTGCCCGTCGGCTTGTTGGTCTGTATCGTTCGGCCCCTTCCTATCACTCTGTTTGCAACCCCCCCCCCGGTTTGGGCATTAATGCCCTGGGCTGAAGACGAGCAAGGGAAAGCGCGCATCACTCCCCCTCGCTGAAGACTGGGTGATGCATCTGTGCTGCATCAGTATATAGTGCTTAGTTCGATAAGGGGGGCTTCCTGCGCAGGAGGCCGGTTTTGCATCTATTCGGTTGCTGATTTCCTGGGTTTCGGCTTGTAGAGCATTTTTGGCGGTCGCAGCGGCGCAGCTTTTTTGTTGAGAAGGTTGATGCTCGCGTATTAATAGGAGGGATAGAAGACAGGAATTGTGGCCGCTTGGAAGCCATTAATCTGCACAATTACTTTAGTATAGCTACGAATGAGTTCTCTTGACGCAGCGTCTTCGTAACCAAGTTGTACAATTCATTCTCAGATTTTGTTTCCTTAGCCGGTTCCCGTGCTGTACCCGGGATGCTTTCATGCCTTCTGGCTGATGCTGTAAGTACACTGGATATATTTTCTTCCTGCGCCTTAGGTGCTTGGCTCTATTGGCAACGTCTGCAGTGCTGTGTGTTCCTCGTACAAAGTGACAACTGTAGAAGGCATATCCCTCTAGGGAAATTTATTGCAGCGCGGTGTACAACTGGCCACGCTGGACGTACCGCTGCCTCCAGGTACTTGGCAGCGGTGGCCAGTCAGAGCCCGCCTTAGCCAAGAGAGGGACTACTGGCCAGATCGGGTGCGGCCTAGCATACTATCATGCTGCTCCCCGGCCATCACATGCAACGGCCCCGCTCGAAAATACTCAAGTCAGGCAACCATTGCCACTACGGAGAGGCTAATGAACCGATGGCGACAACAACAACCGCTCTCTTTTAACCTTCACTTCCCTAGCTTGCGTGCGGCATCATAAAACACAAAAAGAATGCTGCGCAGGTGGGGCCTCAAAATTGCATGAAAATGTAACCGGTTCTAAGTAACCGGATCGCTCTTGCTTATTTTCAAGCTGCTCTAGCAATGCTCTATGCAGCCACTATAGTCCAATAGCGCTTGCAACCATCCGACCTTCCAAAGCAAGCAATAACCGCCGATGCATATCATTCATCGCAGCCACACGCGCATACACTGTGCATGCAATATGCCATAAAAACGTTTGTACCCTAGCCGCGATGCTTTCAATGAGGCTGAGTCTGGGCTTCCTGTCCAGGGTGGTAGAATAGGGGCAGCTCTGCGAAGGCATCCTCTATACCTCCTTTACCGGCATCCAATCCAGCTCCGAAGTCCTGCCAGCCAGCTGTCGAAAACCGCACATCATCGCAAATCGCAACCAACCGAATAAACGCTGGCATCTGCCACGCATAAAAACGAGTTTTGGTGCCTCTGGACCAGGTAACAGCCGCTGGTGCAATTCCCCAGCACAACCTTCAACGTGGCATTCTGGACTCAACACAGCGCCATCCTCTTCCACGCCATGCACGTCGAACACGTGCCCTTACTCCCGGTCTCGTTCACCTATTTCTAGCTCCCAGTCGCTCCCCCTTATGAAGAACCCTTATGAAGAATACCCGGATCAGGCCAGCACATTCGCAGCTCCTAACGTGAAATGCGGTGTGTTCTGTCATCATGCCATTCAAGGTTCTGAGCAAAGTGCCTTCCATTCACAACCTGCTACGGGGCATGTGTTTTATAGATCCCATCTGTACAGCACCTGCCAAAGTAGTCATTTCGCCCCCTGGTTCCACGAAGACTGAGAGGACGACAAAGCATTGCGAGCCTGAGCTACCACATAACCCCGCCCGGCACCTCCCCGACCCGGGCCTCGAATTCCCCGGCCCCTCCGGTCCGATAAGCAGTTAGTATTCCTGCATCCTGCCCAGTTCAGGTCAGATGCAGACCCGCGGTTGCGGTGGCGGCTGCTGGCCCAGCTGCTGCCGGCTGCGGCGGCTGGCTAGCGGCAGCGGCCGCGACACCTGATTGGCTGCACACATGAACCATGGGACGAACACGATGCCCAGGAAACACAGCGCCACAAGCACCACTAGACTGTGCTGCCTCATTACAGGGTCCACCTCGTACACCTGCTGATGCGCCCGCCGGTCAAACCCCGCGCTTCCGTACAGCTCGCCCTCGCGGCCCTTTCCGCCTGCGCCCGCCTGACCTGCGGTGGTTTCCCCTGCGTGATCACCTTGGGACCCCAAACCCGCCTCCTCCTCCTCCTCCTCCTCCACTGCATTCGCGCCGAAGTCCTGACCAGCACCGTCTCGTCCCTCTATTTGCCCAGCCCCCTCCTCCCCGCCGGCGGGTACCTCCAGCAGCCGCCGCCCTAGGCCAGAGACAGCTGCGGCATCTATCTGCGACTTCAACCCGGTGCCGAGCCATGGGCCAGTGCTCATGCCCGCCAGTACGGTGCCCGGCAGCGGGTGCGGTGAGGGCCTGGGGTTGGCGGGGTCTGCCACGTGATCCAACGTCATCAGCAAGATGACCACCCAGCGGCTGATGACGTCGCGGTAGGCGGTGCCCGGGGGAGGGTTGAACATGTCGAAGCAGCCCTGCTGCATCTGCGGGACGCGGCAGCAACAGGTCGCACGGGCCGTGGTGTGGGGTATGCTGAGGTGTGGCGGGAAACGGAAGCTGCGAGTGGGGGAACGTCTGTCCCAACAAATGCTGTACATGGTACACATCATGCTATGTCCTGTTTGAACAATGTGTTCCGTGTTCATGAAGGGGGTCTAGTGATCACGGTGTTGCTGCGTCGGCAGGGAACAAGAGGCTACACCAGAGCGCAGGGGGCTCCAGAAGAGCAACGGATGGCAGGAGTTCCGGAAACCGGGAGGTCGAAAAACGTCATGCAAAAACGAAAGCATGAAGCGCAAGGAAGGACAGCTCACGCTGATGGCCTGGCGCACGAGAAACAGCTGCATGGCAGCTACCTCCTGCCCGACCCCATTTCCCATCCTCAACACCGTCACCTCGGCCGTCGTCCAAACCACCCCCCCCCTCGCGCGCCATGTCCCTCCCTCGACGCAGTGCAGCGCACGAACCCACCCCTGGCTGCCTCCGAACCATGGCCAAGATGTGCCCCTCCGGGCCCAACAGCGCCGCCGTGTCCTGCTGCAGCTCCCTGCCTCCGGGCCCTGAGCCCAGCGCCTCCGTCGACGCGCCAGCCGCCCCAACCAGTGCGGCCGTGGCAGCGGTCGCAGCCGCTGCAGCGGAGCCGTCGCTGCCATTCATGGCGGCTTGTAACCTCCGCATACTGCGCCCACCAAGCATGCCCCTGGGCCCCGATTGGAGCTGCGATGGCTCCTCTAGCTGAGAGGGCAACTCCGCGAGCGCTGATCCCGGCAACACCGCAGCGGAGGATGACTGCAGGAGCGCCCTGCCGCTACTGCCAACACCGCCGTCCTCGCCTCCGTTGCTCAGCATCATCCTGCCCACGCGCCTCGCTGCATCTAACCACCAGCCTAAAAGCCCCCGCGACCCCATCGCCGTCTGGCGCTCGCGCAGTGAGGCGCCCGCCCCCGCAGCCGCTTTGCCAGCAACTGCTCCCGATCCTGCCAGGGCCTTATCTTCCACCCCCCGGACCCCTGCCGAGCGGCGCAGGCTGGAAACGGACGTCCGCGTCAGACGGGTGGCGCGGTTGGAGTGCTGGCGAGCGGTGCGGAAGTGGCTCTGTGCATTTTGATGGTAGTGGTGCTGGTGTGTGTGGACCAGCGGCAGCAGGTCTTGGATGTGCGGCACGGTGGCCGCAATGCCGCTGTCCGTCATGTAGGAGTACTCGCTCAGCGGCTTGTTGCGAGTGCCTGCAAAGCAAGAAGGTCAGCAAGCAATGTGCGGGGAGGAAGGGGCTCACAAGCGTTGCAGGTGCTTGTTGGCGCACTAAGAGCAGCCCAGGACATCCGCCCACTGCCAGTGTGTGTGTGTACAAATCTTGTCCTTCACTCCACATGCTGCATCTCCATTCGCAAGGTCCTGCAAGGTTAAGGAACTCTGCCCCTTCCGCGTGTCTGTCTGTCTGTCTGTCCGTCTCTATTCCGGTATACACTTCCCCGTGTGACGCGAGGGTAGCCTCGGGGGCCGCCCAAAGTCCGGACTGGGCACCCTCACGGCCAAACTCGCCAACAACTGCCGGCCAGCCAGCAAATCGAGTAATCTAATCATATAGACCAACAAGGAATAAATTAAACAGGCGGGTCATCATCTTCCGAATCACCATCGCCGACAAGGATTCGGAGAACGAACGAACCACGTGAACGAGTGAAGCTGATGCCAAGGAAAGACTCGTTCGCTAGGTGGACTGGGGACCGGGAGATCCTCGCGGGGTGGACCACCAGGCAGCGGGACGTCCTGGAACAGGAAGTTCAGTCCTCTCTCTCTTTCTTTCTTTCTCTCTCTTTCTTTCTTTCTCTCTCCCTCTCTCTCTCTCTCTCTCTCACACACACACACACACACACACACAAAAATAAGCATACATAGCAAGACTCGCAAAAAGGGCCCGAGGCAGGTAGTGCTACATTGCCGGGTCGTCATGGCGCGGTCGACCCCCAAGGCCACCCCGCCGCAGCCGCGGCGCCCACAGAACCCTGCGCCTCACCCTCGGGAATCCGGCCGGGCTCGCCGGGACTAAACACGTTGCTCTGGCCGTACACTTCGTACGTCAGTGCGTACGGCACGCCCAGCTGCGTGTACATGAAATCCATGCCGGTTCCAAAGGCCAGGTAGTTGGAGACGGCGCCGGCGGGACCTGCCTGGCAGCGACACACGTCTCCTGAACGAATGAGCAGGTCCGACAGGTCCTCCTGGGGTAGGGGGTGGAACGAGGGTTAAGGGAGGTAGGGGGAGGGAAAGACGAAACACGTGCGAGTGAAGCTGCGGGGGAAGAAAAAGAGGGGGAAAAACGAACCACGAACAAGTGGGAAGTAGGGCAAGGGAAAGCCCGTGAAATCCCTGCATAAAATCTCTGTGTACCAGAGATGGGTTGAAGAGAGGACATAATTAACGTAGAATCCCAATATCCACATATGCCGCCCATTTCCCGGTATAAATCTTGCGTACTGTTCGACCCTCATAAAGCTTTCTTCACACTCCAGCTCCGTCTCCAGGCCCCAACAAGCCCCCACCGGCACCAACCAGCTCTCACCACCCCTCACATCTCCTCCATCCCACACCCTTTCCCCCGAGTTCCCAACACCGTGTCAGGGTGCAACTCTCACCGGTAGCCCGGGGCCCACTCCGCTCTTGCTGTCCCAGCCCGAGTAGACGGCCCATTCGCCGCTGTGCACGTTGATGTAGCCCTTGGGCACCCTCCCGCCTTCCAGCGCTAGGCGCGCAATGAGGCGGCTCTGCGCCTCGCTGAACGGATACGGCCCACCGAACATCTCACTGCTAGGGGGCTGAAAACGGGGTGCGAGTGCGGGGTGGGGTGGGGTGGGGTGGGAAAGGGAGGAGTCAGGGGCGGCTGCGGTGCGGAAGAAGAACCAAAGTGAAGGAGTGAGCGTGCGAGAAGAAATGCATGACGGACTGCTGACCGCTGCACAAACGGCGGGATGGCGAGGACAACGGAGGCGCCGGAAGGGAGTTCGGAAAAAGGGGTAGGATACGGAAGCCAGGTACAGCGGAGGAGCACGTGGGACGGCGGCAGACGTATGTAAAACAAACAGACAGACAGACAGACAACCTAATATCAAACATCTTGGGCTCTTAACCACCCACGTGGGCCACCCAAGTAGTGCCTCTGTAAAACACATCCCCTGCGTGCCATGCCGCGTGCCGCCCGCGCCCGCCCCGCGCTCTCTCATCCACGAGAATACCCCGTCCCACACGCCCGCATGCATAGCGGTGTCATGAACACCCCTCCGCGCCCGGCCCCTACAGCCTGCGCCGTCCTCTCTCCACCCGGTTCAGATGCCACCCCACACCGGTTACCTCAGCCTCTCGTATGACGACGGGGCACGGGGGCACGGGGCGCTCTCACCCTCACTACCTGCCACCCCCCTCTGTCCACCCTCCTGCACATCCCCACTGCCGCCGCAACCCCGAGCAATCTCGACTGACCTCGGAGGCAAACGCAAAGGGGTAGTTGCGGTTCAGGTCCACCCCTTTGCTAGTCTTGCGAAGACATAGATTGCCCGCCTCCCAGGCTTGCCGCCCGTCCACATTCTCGATGGGCAACACCTGCAGCGGCAGCATGGGCCCCGGCACACATCGCCAGATACCACCAGCTAGTCATCAAGCCAAGATTAAGAGCCCCCCGCCGGGGCCGGGGTGAAAACCCCAGAGCCCCCGCGGTGTGTTTTCCTTCCGTACTCTCCGCCCACAACCCACCCACACCGCAAATCACTGCCATAGCGCAACCAATCCGCCGATTATTTGTCCGACATCGTATCCTCTGTCCGTACCGGCGCCGCCGTACCTTGACCACCAGATTATCTAAGATCCTCCGGACCCAGCCCTGGACCGTGGCGGCTACGTCTTGGGGGCCGATGCCCAGGGGCTTAAAGGCCTCCGGCCACTCGGCCCACTTGGAGATCTCCGCCGTGTCGCCCACCAGCACCCGGGAGAGCCATAAACCCACTTCGCAGGTGATAAGCTCGCGGGCGTGCTCCCCAAAGACCAGTAGCACAGAGGGCTTGTCACTGACCTTGGATTGAACTAAAGGGATTTCGGGGGTTCGGGGTTGGGAGTGAAGGGCGCGGGGAATAAGGGAGGGAGTGGTAAAGCAGTCTTAATGTGGGCCGGGCTTGCGTCAGACGCGCGGTTGTCAGATGAATAGGTGATGAAACGTGGTAAGCATGTGTCCAGAAGCGGATAGCGGAATGCGGCGCGGCAGCAGGATTGTGACTCATAGCGGGGTGGGGAGGAGATTTGATGTCGGTGGGGAGCCGGGAGGGCGGCAGGAATTAAAAAGGCAGGAGACGTAGCTGGCTATACGAACGCAGCGGCAGACGGTCTGGAGGGCCTACCTTCGACGTCATCATAGTTGCTAAAGCTGGCCAAAGGCAACACTGTGTGCTCGAATCCGGGCTCTCTGAGCTCCGTGTATCTGTGCCGACCGGAACAAGATCGTTGGGGTCCTCCCTATGTTAGAGTAAAGCAGCCCGATGCTGACGTACCGAACTAGGGATGGATGCATCTGCGCCGCGTGGGCATACCAATGAAGCAAATCGCCAAGAGAACTGTAATCCTCATGGCTGTTTGTTAACGGTACCACCAGAAACAGCAAGGTCCAGGCGAGCAGTGACCTCAGAAGCGACATGGCAGAATATAAGGTGAAGCAAGACTGGATGCATCCAGCCTAGGTTGGCGTTTAAACCATAGGAAGTACCGTCGCGCATAAAAGGATGGTAACCAGGAAAATGTAAACCAATAGTAATCTGACAATAAAACCCAATGGCTCCACAGGCAGAAACGGCTGTTGAGTGAAGACGTATAGTGCGTGCTTGCTAGCGAACGCTTTAGCAGAAACGAGAACGGGGCTGCCGTACGCCTCTTCGAATGCTTTTCTCTCAGGAGCCTTTCATTGTGGTAATTTTGTTCTAGGCATACTGTATTGCCTGTTCCACTCTTCCCGTTTTCGCTGCGTGGTTATGGTCAAGGCAAAGAAACCTGGCTTTCACTTGCTTACTGTCAAGTGAGCTGTGCCCCCTAAGAGCTGCGCTTTGGCCTCCTCATTTCAGCGGCTATAGTCATCGTGAAAGAGCCTGGAGAGTTGGACGTCGTGGGGCCGACGCGGCCCGCGGACAGCAAGAGGACAGCTATCTGTGCAGGAACGTATGTGCTGTGGCTTTAAGGAACTCTTTGTCCACAGCGCGAGGCTCTAGCCATAGGCCCTGGCGTGACCAGTCCTCAGCGGGTCCCCGTGGGGGCTCCGCTCAAATCCAAAACTGGGTTGCGGCGCATCCCGTTCGGCGTCCTCTGTGGCGCCGGAAATAAAGGTTGTGCGAGATGATGAGGACTTTGAGCTGGAGAGTATCGTACTCCAGCGGACGGAGTACATACCCGAATTCGATGCTGTGCTGGAAGAAATGGAAACAATTTTGGCACAATTTGTGACATGGAACAACGTGATCAATGATTATGCGGTCAATGTGCAAAACCTCCTTGCGCCGGTCCTCGGCGCAATGGTGGCAGAGGTTGCGATCCACCGGAATGTCGACGCGGTGCAGCTCGACCTTGTCACCCCCTTCAATAAGCAGCGTGCGGCGCCACAGGTGAGAAACGTAGCACCATATTCGAAGATTCCATAGCGCCACGCCTGACCTCATAGTAGCTCCCTTATACTCGCGAACCATTCGCTGACCGAAACAAGCGCTGCACCCGGCATCCACGCGATCAAGGCTTGCGAGATTAGGTGTGCAACCCATTGCAATGGTGGTCGGGGATCCATTGGCCACCTTCTGTATTCCGTCCTCCGTATACATGCCAACTACCTCAAGGCACCAGGAATGCACAACGCGTATACACCGCCTTTTCTATGTCGTTGCACCTCCTAGATCGTTCCGCCTTAAACCCAGGATTGGTTTTGCAGCCCATCCCGGGGATGGAACGCGATCAGTACACACGTGGCCGCTCGTCACCAGGGTTGTTGTTTGGATGAAGCTAAGCGCTTCCCCGGCTACCGCAGTGTTGCAACACAAAGCGCGATGGGCTCCTTTCCTTAGCGTCCTGAACATTGGCTGTTCACCACAGTATGGTCCACATCCAGCCCCTTTTTTTGCTCTTAGCACTTCACTTCGTTCTCAGGCCCATCACCTTTCCCTGTGTTGTCCTTTTCCTAGCATCATATCTTGGTGGACTGGATCAAAAACCAGGAGCTGCGGGAAGCTGACGCGGCGTTAGCGCAGGCGCGGCTGGGTCTCATGGACTTCCTGGCTACTCAGGCAGACGCGGCTGCAATGGCCGGTCGGGCCGTTGGCGCCCGCACAAGCGGCAGCAACACCTCTGTTGTTGACGTCCCTCGTCTCGCACGATTGGAAACACCGGGTTCGGCCACTCTCGCGCTGCTGACGGAGGCCCTCCTGCCGGGTAGGAGCCAGGAGCTGGAACGCAGCGGCAGTGGCCGGGGGGACGCGGCATCTGCCGCGTCGCCGACGGCGCGTAGTGACGGCGGCGACGCGGCCGGGCCGCAGCCCGGCAGTGACGGGCAGCCATTCGGACCGGTGCGGCCGCCGGGCACAGCTGAGTCGGCCTCAACGGACGCCAGCGACGCCCCAGAGGCGCCCCCGACCCTCATCCGGCACCTTCAGCACTTCAATGGCTGTGTTGCGGCGTTACAGCACCACCTCGGACCGAATTTTGGAGTGTATTTTCACGTGACGCCCGCAGCCTGCGCCGTTAAGGGCCGCTGTGCATACGTGCGGCTGATGCGACACCAGTACCCAGGCAAGCTGGCGGCATCTGTCGTCCTCGGTAATGCAGGGGAAACCAAGGCGCTGCTCAAACCGCACCGAACGGTGCGTTTTGGCCGCTCTCCCAGCGCTAATGGGCTCGCTACCGATGGGCCAGAACAGGCTGTTGCGTCATCGTCCTCGCGGGCACCATCGCGAGGGCAATCACATGGTGCGCTGCGTTCGTCATTGCGAACGGGTGCTGCGACGGCGTCTGGGGAGCACTCCGCACCGCCGCCCGGGTCCGCCGCGTCACTTCTTGGTGAGGACAATGTCACTCCAGTCACACTCATCGATGTAATCTATAGCGGCATCACAGACGCAATACTCCGCGCGGAGAGGAGCGTGGCTGTTGTGGGCAATGACCTGGCACGGCTGTTTGACAAATACGAGCCGCCGATATCCCTGGTGGAGGAGCCGAAGCACTGCCGCAAGCTCAAGACGCTGCCGGTGGCGCGTGAGTACGTGGAGGCGAACCGCAAGATTCAACAGCTGAATGCGGTGCTGTTTAAGCTAGCCAAGGCGGTTGCCAAAACGGCGTGGATTTACTCAACGCCGCTCAGCATGCCTGATGGCAGTTTGGGCGATGTCGCACAGATGGTGTGTGAGGCCATCCGGCGGGTGGCGGACACGACGTGGACCATGTGCAAGCGGCACTTGGAGAGTGTGCACGTCGTCACGTTGCTAACTCACCACGTGAGTCTGAATGGTGATGGGATGTGGAGGAGCGAGGGGCGCGGGGCTGGGGAGGAGAGAGGGGCGCGGGGCTGGGGAGGAGAGAGGGGCGCGGGGCTGGGGAGGAGAGAGGGGCGCGGGGCTGGGGAGGAGAGAGGGGCGCGGGGCTGGGGAGGAGAGAGGGGCGCGGGGCTGGGGAGGAGGAGAAGGGGCGCGGGGCTGGGGAGGAGAGAGGGGCGGGGGGCTGGGGAGGAGAGAGGGGCGGGGGGCTGGGGAGGAGAGAGGGGCGCGGGGCTGGGGAGGAGGAGAAGGGGCGCGGGGCTGGGGAGGAGAAGAAGGGGCGGAAGGAGAGAAAGCGCCGGGTCCCGGACGGGGGTAGGGTGGGGGGTAGTACGGGGCAGATTGAAACGAGCTGGGAGGGCGGTCGTCTTTCATGCTGGTGGGGCTAGCTGCTGAGCAAATGCAACCTTTGCATGGTAATGGAGGTGTTCTGTAGGATGGGACATCGGCGTGGGGGAAGGGGGGGGGATGGATCAGGCAAGAATGTGCATACTCGAGGTGGCAAATGGTATGCCGGAAAAGAGGCGCCTGCTGCAATTCATCTGGCACGAACAGCATAGTGCTGATGCCCGCTCGATGGGCCTTCTTTCGGCACCCTTGCGCACTTGGACAGGAACCCTTCACGATCACGCCGCGCCTCATCAACGATGAGACCACGTTCCGCTTCGAGCTGGACGTGGTAGTGGACCAGTCCTTGCTCATGAACAAGACGTTTCCTGACTGTCTGCCCCCAATGGTGAGCTGGAGTCCCGCCCAAAGCTTTTTTAATCCAAACAAACCTTCGTTTGAGCTTAGGGATCGGGTTTGCCGGGCTTTTGTACCAATCAAGCCCTAAACATCGAAACGCAACCAAGCTTTATTTACCAACTTTGGCGTCGTCCAGCCAATTCTATTCTCTACCTCTACCGCGTGCGCCACCTTGGCCAATTCTTTGTGTGTTGTCTGCTGCCCGCCACATCGGCCATTCGGCCAAAGTTTACGTATTCCTCTATTCATTTTTCGCTGTGTAGATCCGCGCCGTGTGGGACTCGCTGCTGGCCCTGGCGGCGGTAGTCCAGGAGAGCCGCAGCAGTCTGGCCCCGCTGAGGCCCCAGTACCAAAGACTTCACGAGGAGGTCCGGGAATTTTATACACTGGCCCCTGACGCCGCCAAGGCGCGTAAGCTGAGCATCACGGAGGCGGCGACAGTGGCGCGAGTCATTACAAACAATCTGGCGATCATTTATGAGGCTGAGCAGGTACGTGATGAGGATTCAGGTCCGGGGTTTGGTGTCGGGAAAGGAATGGATTGGGTGTGGAGAGGAAGGTGGATTAAAAGGGGGTGGGGGTTGCGTTGGCCACGAAGCGTGTTCGCGGGTAATCGACCGCAGCGAGCCAGTTGTTTTGGATTGGCGCGCCCACCCGAGTCTCCCAGCCCACCAGTGAAAGCGTGAGAAGAGGGCAGATGGGTTCTGGGAACAGGCGGTATGGCTTTGCGTTGCGGAGAAGGGCGATTTGCCCTGTTGTGGCCAGTCTGAAGCGCCCCGGCAGTGCGGCAAGGCAAATTGGATGGATCGCATGAAGGCTGGAAGTGGCTGTGGTTGGTGTTGCTGAGACGATTACATAGTTTTCCGTTAGGCAGCCGCACAAGCAGACGCACACGCAGTCGCCTTGTTTGCTTTGACGGTCGTATCACTGCGTTGTCCCTGGCTGCAGGTCTTTGAGGCGTACGACCGCAACGTGCAGCGCATTGTTGACGCGTACTCCCGGGCTCGGACGGAGATAAAGGCGGACTTGCAGCTCAAGCTCGCAGGTGGGGGGGCCGTGCACATGCACGTGTACGCCTGCAGCCGCCCGACATATGAATATTCGATAGCGTTAGTCCATTAGCCATTCCAGAAACGATGCAATGTTATGACAAGGTATTGCACACCAGGTGTAGGAACGCAGCCTCTTGTTGATCACTAGGGTGGCCAACACACTGCGATGCGCGAGGATCAGCAGCGTTAGGTACGGGAAGAAACCGGCGTGTACAGCGGGGCGAGGGAGGCGTGTTGATCCCAGAAGGCTCATGCAGTCTAGGCCCGGCCCCCCAGCAGGCGTCTCAGGCGTCGCGGGTTTCCCACTCCTCGCAACTGTTCAGGATGCTGCTCAGCCGCAGGCGCAGGCAGCCTTCTCTTTCCCATCGACACCAGAGCCATGGCATTTATTTTCCCACCGGCTCTCATCCCCCCCGCTGCGTTCAAGGTCCCTGTGTCGCCTTCTCTGGTTCTTTGAAACCCTTCCCTTGCTCCCACTGCCTGGGGGTTATCTTTGTCTTACACGCTCTCCTCCGATGCACCCTTTGCGTCCCGCGCAGAGCTCACCACCCACCTCCCGCGAAGCATTGTGAAGCCGTCGTTTTCCCCGGAGATGTTGGCGCTCATGCGGTCGTCCGTAAATCCCACGGAGCTCGCGGCTTCAATGACGCTCGCGCTCACCGCCAAAAACATGGACCACACGTCCTTGACGGTCATGTCCGACACGCTGGCGGCGGGGGCCATGGCGGCTCAGGCGCAAGCGCAAGCGCAGGTGCACGGCGGCACGGGTGCCCTGCAGCAACTGCATCAGCAGCAGCAACAGCAGCAGCAGCAGCAGCAGGCAATGCAGAACGGCGTCGTCGGCAACCCCGCTGGTGTTGGTGCCGTTGCGGCGCTTGGTGGCATTGGCATCCTGCAGCAACAACAAGCGCTACAAATGCAACATATGCAACAGGCCGCGGCTGCGGCAGCGGCGTACAGCATGTACAGCATGCAGGCGCAGGGGATGCAAGTCCCGGCAGGAACTTTGCCGACGACGACGGGAGGGACGGCAGCGGCGCAGAACCATGTGTCGCAGGCTCCGAAGCCGCCAGCCGACGCCCCAGAGCTCATCGCACACGGCACCAGCGCGGACTACGCTGCACAGCTGGCGATGGCGCAGGCTTATGGTTACGCGTACAACAATCCATATGCGGCGTATGCGGCGTATGGGACGGGTACCCTGGGAAGCATCTCTATGGGGACGGCGACGCAGAAGTCTTTGTCACCCAACCCGCTTACGGGGGCTGCTTCGGACGGCACCAACCCAGCCAACGCTGCTTCAGCCTCGGCTGGCGGGGCCTCTGCGACACCTGTCGCCGGCATGGTGGGTGCCTACCAGTCTGCCGGGTATGATGCCAACACAATTGCAATGCTTGCTCAGATGGGTTACGGCGGATTTGCAGTTGGCGCCCACCAGCAGGCGCTGTTGCAACAGCAACAGCAGCAGCAGCAGGCCGCTCTTGCCGCGCAGAGTGCGCTGAGTCAGCCAGGCGGGGGACGCAGTAGCTGAGGTAGGCATATGAAGTAGGCGGCAAAGTCGTGCGTGTGTGCGTGTGTGTCTCGTGTGCATCATCACATGGGGAGGCGCCAAAGGGTACCAAGAGTGCTCTTCGCGTGGCATTACGCTGACAGCAGCAGTAGGGGAGACAGATAGGCAGGGTGAAGAAGACGCTTAGAGGCGTTGTGGATTAGGTTTTCCTCTCCTCCTGCGCCCAGGGGCTGCTGGGAAACGAATGGGGACTGCGCCTGTTGACGAGCTCGTCCTGGCGGTTAGCCTGTGCTTATTGTCGGGTCCTGCCCGCCCGTGACAAACAGCTGTCTCCACAGCGTCTTGATTGTCGTAGTGGGCTTGGAGACCTCTGTGCATGCGGCTATAATGGATGAGCAACAGATGACGCAGGCAGTGGGTCCCGGACCCTTTCTTTCCTCGTGGCTGCGCCCCATCCGCTTTCCGGGCCGCTGCGATTCCGGTGGTGGCGGCGGCAGTAGCGGGATCTTTTTCCTGACGTGGAGAGGTCAGGGATATCCAGGGATATCAGTTTGTTGTTTTTTTTAGCTTCAACCCAACACGAGCGCATGCATGAGGGAGAATTGCAACATCGTTTTCAACTTGTCTTCAATGGTTAGCCACAGGGGGCGGATTGTCTCGTTTGGTGGTTTTACACATCAGAATGCGGCCCGGATTGGGGTCCCATTGGCAGGAGGAAGAAGGGGGATATTGGTACTGTTGAATATGCAGGGCGTCGTTTTGTCGTTGCGTGCGTGCGTGACATTGGGACATGGTCGCTGATGCGCTGGCTGGCGCCCTAGGGATTCGTGAAATTCGTACCACATTACCTCTGCGTGATGCATTTGATTGCGGGCTCGGAGTTTTCATGCAGCAGCGGAAGTGCGGGGCTTGGGCTTGGGCTTGTTTTGTGGCTTAGTTTCGTAACATATGGAAGCATCTTCGCAGTTTGAATGGGCTTGGTCGCTGAATGCGGCCGCGGTCGCGAGATTCCCTAGGTGTTGTGCTTTGTCTTGTCCGTCAGCTGGCGCATTCGTGGTCCAACCGGCGTTGCCTGGTATCTGGACTCAAATCTGGAGGCGGTGGCAAGCCGCAGCGGCGGTGCCGCACTTATAACTCGTCCCCATTTGGTCGGCGCGGGGATTTTACGAGCCTTATGGTATCACATCAGCGCAACATGTACACGCTCACTGCGACAGGTCTGTCTTTGACGAGTGCGCATGTCGGTGCCTGGCTAGCGTGAACTTAGGCTCATCCCCTTGGTGCGGTCGCGACGCGATCGAAGAGCCATTGCGCTAGTTCCCCTCCGCTTAACAGTTGACGTGCTTTAATACGCGGCGCCTGAATACATGGGCCTGCGATACGCACGCCTGAGATTACTTTAGGCGACATAGGCGATAAGCTGATGGTTGGATGGAAGTATGTGGTTTCATTTCAAATGCTTGGAAGAAGAAGCAATGTGTGTTTGCGTGTTTATGTTCTGTTTACGTCATCGTTGGCCAGGACAGCCGGCTGGCTGGCTTTGAGTGCACCATGATACCTGTCCAGTTTATTCTCCGCACGCGCGCGGTGTTGTGGTTATAGTCCGTCGGGGCCTTTGTTATTGACTTGACTCTGACAATTGCTTCGGGGTTGGCAGAGGCAGTTGCTTATGGCGCTTAAAGCAAGGTGGTGTGTTCTTCCTGCTGTGCGGAATGCGATGTGCAAGTGCTGGTGTGGATGCAGGGGATCAGAAAGGAAATGTGGGATCGGCAGGGTGGCTTGAGTTGTGCCAGAAACTCAACGCCAACGGTTTGGCCTCGTACACTGGGGGATGGAGGACTAATAAAAAGGGTTCATAATAGGGTACACATAGGTACGGGCCTACAAGTTGGCATCTTATTAACCATGACAATGGTGTTGAGTGTATGACGTTACTTCATTCCAATTCATTCAGCAGAGGGTGCAATGTAGCGCTCCCTGGCTTTACTGTGAGGATAGGCGGCAAAGGCTTCCTACGTCTTGCTGCGAAGCGGCGCAGAGGGACTTTACTCATAAAGTATTATGTAAAATTTGGCGTGTCTTGAAGGCGGCGTCCATTAGGCGGTCTCGGGCATCGAGGAAATGGCGGATGGGCAGAGCTCACACTTCATTTGTCAGCGATCCATGCCAGCAATCCCGAACGCTACCTGAGAAACCCCACTGGGCATCAGATGTGGGTCCCCTTGGAAGGAAATCGGAGGGCCCGGTCTCTGAGCCTTGGAGATGCATAACTTAATGCGACGAACCCACGGACGACGCCATCGGGGCGCGCACCGAAATCACCGCCGATATGGACGAGCAGCTTGCTGTTTTACTTGGACCGCCATTCATCCTCTCGCATCATTCATCTTCGAGTCCTGGAAATTGAGATAAAACAGAAGGAAAGGTGGAAGCAATCTATGTTACCGCTCTGGATGGGAGAACCACGGCTAGCTCACGACGAAAATGAGCTGCTTGAAGCTCACACCATGTAATGAAAAATTAATCCAATATAAAAAACATTTAATCTCATACCTTATGATATGTATGTAGATAGACAGCTGGCTAAGCGGGATTTATCAAATACCGGTACGAGCCATTCCATGCGATTCCATGCTGCCAAGTGCACTCCATTATGTGGGCAGTGGAGCCGCAATATTATGATGGCCCCAGATGTTTGACGCATCGCGTCTTTACCAACACAGAGGTTGAAGTTTCCCGCTAAGGATTCTACCCTGTCCTGCTGTTAAGCTTGCCATCTGGTTCTGTTCCTCCCAATAACCTTCCTTTGTGTAAATTTAGGACAGGAGGCAAACCATACAAATGTTTGAGCTTCCCTTGGTTAGCTGATTTGAGGAACAGTTTATACGCATGGGATGCGGCGCAAGCCGAGGAACTCCGTTTGCTGCTACGCTTGCCTTTATTCCACGCATAGAAAAGGAGCGTGATGATACGAGCTTGGAGCCCGTGCAGTTAAAACGATTAGGAGTTGTCGCATATGATGACTTCTTTACGAGTTTCGAGGCTGCAGTCAACAACATCATTAGCCTTAGTAATAAGCTACATGACGCCTTATGGGATGTTAAGGTAAACAGCCTGCGATGCGTACTATTCCTGCGGCTGCTTATGGCACGTTCGAAACATCTTTGTGCAGGCATCCCTTGTCTTCGCCACCTCCTCAGACCCGGAATACGCACTTGATCTCGAAGTTAAAACAGAAGGCGTTCGCAGCATCCCTCAAGTGCTCATCGATGTCTTCTACGCCGATGGCATCAGCCGGCCGCTGCCTTTCGAAGTGCGCCACGTCCTCACCAGCCGGCCGGCAATAGCGGAGGCCGATAGAGCAGTTGCACAAGCTGTTGAGGAGCTCACTAAGACGCTGCAGGCGCACCCAGCGCCCGTGCACATATCATACGATGAGGGCAAACTGCAGCTTTCAGTAATTCCCGCAGGAAGTGGGTCGGCCATTCCGGGGGCAGCACAACAGTACCAACGCTTGCAACAGCGTGCCGTGCGGCTGAGCTCCGCGCTATCTGCCATGCGTAAGGCAGCACCGGGGCTAAGGTTCGCGGTCACGGTGGTGCCCTCGCCGGCCCAGGGAGCACGGACATTCTCCTGGCGGTTGACACCGCGGCCGGATGTGGGCTCTTTGAACCGGGCCCAGGTAAGGCACTGTTATCATCCCCGGAAAGGTTAGGTCTCCAGGCCATCGGATCTGGCTTGGACCTGGCTCAGGCATCATGTGCTTGGCCGCAACAAACCTGTGTTATGCGGCAGGAAGCTAGGCTCTGGGGATCAGCAACCCCGCAGCTCTTCTGTTTGATGCTACCCACACTGCTGATGCTGCACGCACTGTCAACGGTACTCTTCAGGGGCTTAAGGAACAAGAACCGTCGCGCGGTAAAGTGGCCGCAACCAGGAGTATGGCCACACCGCTCCAAGTGGCCAGTGCGCACGGCGCTGCCACCATAATGGACGCCGCCGCAACGGTAGCGCAGCAAGCTGCCGCCATTGCTGCCGCCGTCACTACTACCGCTGCACCGTTAATACAGCTGGAGCTAGAGGCAGGCCGCCGACTTGTTGCAGTGACACCGCCAGCAAGCTTCCTGATGGCGGCAGCCGCAGCCACCGCCGCACAGCGCACAGCTCGGCATGGCGGCGTCCTGCGTAGCTTATCCCTGACACGCGGCGCTGACGCGTCTGACGTCAGCGGTGGCGGCGCCGCAGCCGTCAGCAAGGGTATCGCGGCTGCTGACGAGGCCGCGGCGGTGCTGCGCCGGGCATTGAGTAGCGCCAACCATGCATTGTTCCGATTGGCCAAGCGCGGTGCTGCCGGGGCGAGCGCTGGAAAAGATGCAGCAGCACTGCGCAAGGGGGACCCGTCCGCTTACCCTATCGCACAAGCTGTAACGCTGGTGTTTGAGGCGGCTCTTGACGCCACCCGCCACGCGGCGGCCACCGCCGCGATGTCAGAAGCGGCAGCGGCACCAATGCCGCCACCGCCGCGACCTCCCAGCGGTGATGGCGGTGGCATCGGTGGCTCAATTGATGGGTTGTCTGTTAGTGAGCTCATCTCCGTGGAGCCGCAGCTCCGCTCTGCCTCGGAGTCGGGCAGCATGCTTAGCAGCAGTGTCAATGCTGGCGGCGCATACTGTGGCAGTACGGCCGGTGGCTGTGCCAGCAACTGTGAACCTCCCAGCCCACTGCTGTCCAAGGGCTACGGGAGCGGCACTAGTGCGGACGGCCTCAACCCCGGAGGGAGCTGGTCCTGGGACTGGGGCATTGAGCCCCGCGTGCCTGGCGTGTCATTCCCGGACTGCCTGTCGCCCAAGGTGCGGATCTCAATGGCGCAGATTGCGCTGCTCGTGTTTGTACATGCGTACGTGGAGGCTCCGTGGGCGGAATTCTGCTGTGGGCGGCGTCCGTGTGTGGGAATCTGGAAAGAGAGGCCACGTGTGGGCTTGGCGGGTTTTAGGGGTTAGGGTGCCGGCTCAACTAAGGGAGGAAGGGAAGTGGTGCGAGAAGCTGGGGTTACAATCCGGGTACAAGGGTTGCAATTCGGGTACAAGGGTGGCCGTTTGTTTTAAGGGAAAGTCACCATTGCCCATGTAATGCGCATGTGCGCATGTGGGGGTGCTCGTGTGTCTCCTGCAGGTACGGGCGGTGTATGATGCGGTAAATCGTGTGGTGGACACAGCTCGCGCTGTCACGGAGGAGCTGCCGCGGGTGCAGCGGGAGGTGCTGGTGCTCGTGGATGAGTCCGAGGCGGTGTTCCGAAAGAATGAAGAGCAGCTGCACATCATGGCGCACGACATGATGTCCGCGGGAAGGTACGACACAAGTTTGGAGACAAAAACATTGTCTGGGCGCTCGTCGTCATGGTGTGCTTGTGTGAAGTGGTAGGGGGCGTCTAGGCCACCGGCCTGGCAGTCCCTTCTGCCGTCCCCGATGTTACAGGGCACCTGCATCCTTCTCATCACCCATGTGTGCCGACTCCTGCGAAAAGGGGCTCTTCCGGGTTTAGCACCCACCACCATTACCAGCATCCAGTGGAATCTGCCGCCAGATCAATAGCGGCGTCAACTCCACTCCTGGTTGACTCGCAGGTCTTTATCGCTATATCCGGTCCATCACCGTCCATCGGCATGGGGGGTGCATGCACCCTCTAACGGTCGAGGGATTTCCATCCCGCTTTTTGTTGGGATTCATCCTGGCACCTTCCAGCGACATTATGCCACGCATTAGCATGTTTGCTGTGTCCGAAGCCGTAGTGTGATGTGTGGGACAGGGGGGTTATATATCTTCACCCTGCGGCCGCTACCCGGCAGACCCTACCTTCCCCCGGTTTTTCGGGGCAACCTCATCCAGTTACCCTAGCCAACTTCTCAGTGAATCGCTCAGATTCCGCGCCCACCACCGGCATCCAACGGCATCTGCCGGATCAACGGCGGGCCAACTCCGTTCCTGGTCAGCTCGCAAGCTAGCTTTATCCCAGGTCACCACCGTCCATTGAATAGGCACTTACTGAAGGATTTTCGATACTAATAGGCCTCGACCCTCGGGGCATTGCTTTGCGCTCTACCCAGAGCGCCAAATAATTTTAGGTATATGATGAATGACATATACATGTGCAGTCTGTGGCCCCTATCGGGATCGAACCGATGACCTTGGCGTGCCGAATTTGCGTATTAGCACCACGCTCTAACCAGCTGAGCTAAGGGGCCCTGACGTGTATGATGGTTAGCACCTAAAGCACTAATATGTTGCCCTTGGCTGCGTCGCCTGATGGTTCTTATGGGGCCATGCAGAATTTGTGTCCCAAGTTAGTAGTTCGACATCGGGAGAGCGACAACTAGTGCGGTGCGAGCTTGCGGATGATCCCTTCCGGCTCTTGCAGTTCGTCTTTCCATGCATTTGCATCGCATCTTACATGTGGCGCGTACATTGCGTACAACAAGCTGCCGCAGTGTAACCATGGTAACCGTAAACTTGCAGTTTGCGGCACTCTGGGTACTTGACGCGATGGCGTCCGTCCTCCACCTGCAGGGCGGAAAAGATAGAGCGCCACAGGGTGTTGGTGTGTTGGGAAAATCTTCTTCCACACATCAAGCGCGGTTTTGCCGTACTGCTGTATCATGCCGTACTGTGCAGGTTGAGAGCTGCGTTAGATCGTAACGCCAACACCATCAGCGCCAGTCCCACACTTGTGGATCAGGTGAGGGCCGCCGTGACGCGATTGATGAGCGAACTGCGGCGCGGCGCAGAGCAAATGCGGGAGATGGTGGCGCAGAGGGAGGTGGGGCCCGGTGGGGATGTCAGTGCAGACGATATGCGGGAGTGCTGCGACAGCAGCCGCCGTGGCAGCGGCAGCGGCAGCCGCAGCATCATGGCACGCCAGCTCAACAAGGCAGCGGCTGTAATGGCAACGGCTGCGTTGGCACCGGTGGCAGCTGGGGTGGAGGAAGGGGAAGAGGAGGTCCAGCTACCAGACGCTGGATCGGAAATCGAGTCTGTGTCTGTGTTGCCCTCCACGCTGTCCACCGGTGGCAACAACGCCGGTGGCGACACTGCCAGCAAGTGCAGGGACCTGGCCACGGGCAATACAGATGTCGAGTACAACGGCAGGGTTGACAGCGGTGTCAACGATGGCGGCACCGACCACAACGTTTCCGGAGACCGGGCAGCCGTGCCGGCAGACGTCCGGGCACGACGTCCCGACGACGCGGGCTCCAAACGTAAATCTTTGTCTGGCGGCGCTCCTGTTGCGGCTGAGCCCGGGTCTGGTTCAGCTCACGATGGCTTAAAGCTTAAGCCTGCGACGAGCAGAGGCAAGGGACGCACACGCGCTGTCAGTCGTCGCGTGATGCTGCCGCCGCTGTCGAACGGGGCCTGAGATCGGTTCCGTAAGGAGCTTGATGAATGTCCTACAGTCACCATCGTCCTTCGTGGGGGCCCTGGAAGCCCCAGCTGGGTAGTGCCAGAACGATGGCAGAAGCGCCAGTTGCATTGAGTGACGGCGGCGGACAGCCGCAGCAGTCAAACAGGGAGACCACCACAGCCGTTGTGGCAATAACCGTTGATAACGTTTCTCCCCAGTGGGAGCCTCCCCTCTACGGCCCTTGTCGCAGAGGGGCCTTGTGATTGACGGGTTGTTGTGACTGCACCTACACGCTATCTGCCCCAACGTTTGTCAGCTGCGCGCTTGCTGCTTGAACGTGAAATTTAACTTTTTTTTGGTCGTACGACCCACTTAGGATAGGTTTCTATCTATCTATCACAACTCAGGGTTTCTACCAGGTCACGACCATCACGACAACCGTCAAGTTATCAGGTTGTGACGCGGCGGTTGTGGCGTGTGGTGTTTTGCCATACGCCTGACGTCTCAGGCCTCATCTTCCTCTTGTGCAGCAGCTTCCCATCTGCAGGAGGGGGGTTGCTGCGACCTACCGAATGACCGGATGGATGACGTGGTGGCCAAGTTGCGGCAGGTGCCACCGGCGTCGTAATCCCCGACCAATCTGGCGACCACAGACCTGGCAAATTGAAGCTTATCCTTTGAAGACTGGATGGGTACTGACTGGTTGCCGATTGCCAGCGGCACTAGGTGCTTTATATATATAGTTCACATAGACGGGATCCCGGGGAAGCGCTCTTCGGTCCGCATACGTATCCTGTTTTGAACCTCGTAAGAACCCTACATACTACTTGCGCTCGTCAGAACCATAGATCTACACTTAGAACCTTCGTTGGGGAGAGGCGAGAATGAGGAACGGCCTTTGGAATAGAGCTGCTGCGACGCTCAGCATCAGAAAAAGGATCACGACAAAAAAAATTGTGCGAAGTGAATGAATTTCTTGTTGCGATGTATTTCGAGAAAGGAATACACCGCCGTGCAGCCCCGCTACCAAATATTGTAGCGGCCGGTAGGTATTGTAGGGATACACGCGCTGTGTGTGTTTAATACCTTGTACGCCGTCACATATGGCGGTGTTGAATATGCGGTGACGTGCAGCTTTTAGGCCCGTTCGCTAGCTCGGAGGGCGGGGACGTTGACGGTGCTGTGTATAACCGTCTCGTATTGGGAGCGAACTTGAGACGAGGGGGTACCATGTCCAATAAAAATGCGGCCCAATGCGGCCCAATTTCGTAGGTGGGCGAGGTGAGGACCTAGCCTTCTCGGAGTATATGTACTGCGTTCCCGACAACTCGCTGGAACATGTGAGCCTCGCCAGAGTCTAGTGCTTAGTGTCTCTGACGCTGATTACGGTAGCTTTTTGCGTATATTTTGATGGCCCCAGGACGTGGATGTGCTTGGGCGGACCTTGGACTTCGTTTGTAGAGGGATTCCATCCAGGACACAGCGCTGTTCACGAGCGGAACGCGTCAACCTGGCGAGGGCCTGAGCAGGATTAGGCTTTCCTCGCTACGGATAGATAGCTCCAGGGGGTTGCTGTGGTCGGTCCCCATACGGCTACGCAGATGGAGACAACGTGGTTGTTCATGTTCATATATTTTGTGTGTAGATCTTGCCCTCCTTATCGGAATATTAGATTATCATTAGCGGTTTGGTTCCTCTGTTCCCTTCGACAGAACAATCCTTTTTTAATAAGCAGCGAAGGGAGAGCGCGGCCTCCCAAAGCCAACTGGGAGCCGCACCAAAAACCCACCTGCGCCATCCCTTACGGCAGCTGCTGACCACAGCGAGACAGCGCAACGTTTCCAAAAAAAGAATTTGATCCTGATCGTGATACTTGCGCGGGCAGCGGCCGTTCGGGTTCTTTAAGTTGTTTCCCGCCTCTACACTACTACTTGAAACACTTAAACAGCACTTGCAACTTCAAACTGTTCATCTGGCTCGCCGCCATTTCCTGTGCCGTACCCTCGTCTTGGGTTGTGGTCGAGATTGAGTGAGACAAGGCGCATCGGTTTCCGCGAGCTGCTTGCGGTCTTGCGCCGCCGACGGAATGTTCAGGCGTGGATTCCCTGTTGCGACCCAATTTCGTCCCATATCCCACTTAAAACTGTACTCCCTATTATCACGTACTGCGTATGCCCCAGAATCGTGGATGTTATGACAGCATGAGGTCAAGTCTGGGCCGTGCTGTTCGTCAGCAGTTTGCCCTGCCTTGTAGTCCAGTGAAGCAATGCAGCAAGACAAGGCCCACTGTTCACAGCTCCCCTACCTAGGGGGTTACGCACACGCCCTCCAATGCACCCCCCTCACCCCAGCGTATACCTTTCCAAGTACATAAAAGCCTGGGCATGAAATTAATTACGTTACCCTATTGTCAACTGCCATCTCCCAATTGAGACACGAAGATTATCGCCACCCATGCAACAACAGTGTCCGCGGAACCGCCATAAGCTGCGGCCGCAAAGGCCTAAGCGGTAACTTCGCGGGAACAGCAATGCCCAGCTCCGTCCGGCGTCGCCGCCATTGCGGCCACAGGACCTGCCTCGCAACCCTCCACATCATCATCATTACTCCCGACAGCACAACCGTTAGCACTCGGCGGCGGTGCTGCCGTCGTCCACTTAGGTGTCAATCGCGCCACCAGCACATCCGGCACCCGCCACTGCACAGGAATGGAGGCGCGCAGCCGCAGCACATGGAAGCCGTCATCGCCCTCCGCCGCCCAGCTTAAGAAGCGCTCGACCTCCTCCGGGTTGTGATGCAGTGACAGGGACAAGTACACGACACTGCAAGGGCCGCACAAGCGCCTCAGGGTCCACAGAAGCAGGCGGCTGTGGGGCGTCTCTGGCGTGTACGAGTAGTAAATCAGGTCCGAGCCTACGATCACGTCATACGGCGGTCGTACGGGTCCAAGGCTCTGCACAATGGCATGGGGCAAGACGGGACAAAAGAAGATAAATGGCTTTGTGAAGCAGGATGCAGCAGAGCGGAGCCGTTAATCGGAGATACCGGGTTTGAGGACCCATCAGACCGTGACACACCCCCACGTCAACCCCCCGCAGCCCCCCACCCACCTGCACGTCCTGCTCCCCCTCGGGTCCCCACCGCAGCGGCTGCAGGTGCACCTGTCCCGGCCGCAACAGCCCGCTGTTCCTCGCCACGTTAAGCCGCAGATGCGGTAGCAGATCTGGCAGGTCCGTGATGGTGATGCTGGCGGCAATACGACACACCGCCACGGCTAGTGACACAGCGCCAGTGCCTGTCAATGCATATAACACACCGCCACACCATCATCAACAACACCAACACCACCAGCGTTAGGGCGATATGTGTCGGTGTAACGCTGCGCAGCCAGGCCAGCTGCCGCTATCAGATCTTATGTTGGAGGCGCCTCCTGCTAGCCACGTCGCAACCCTGTTTAAAACCCCGAAGTCACACAGCAACCCTGTTTAAAACCCCGAAGTCACACGGCGTTGCAACCAGCCCATGCCCACCTGCCCCCAGCTCCAGCACGTTTGGCAGCCTTCCGCCGCTATAAGCGTACGGCCGATCAGCTGGTCGTACAAGTACGGTCGTCTCTGTTAGGTAGTGTGATAGCACCACGGCGCCGTCCCATACAGTCGTACCTGCTCTGGCAGCGTTGGGGTTTTGGGCCGGGGACAGGACACCAGGGGGGGGGAGGGTGTATGGCACCTACTTGTTATGCCCCAGGGCGACAGGAAAGGAAACTTTTGGAGCACCCAAATGGCTGTAGATGCCTCAGCGAACCTCAGTGTGTTGACGGTAGTTGCACACCCGAGCGAGTGCAGTCGCACCTGTTAGCGCGGGATCGGATGCCTTATCAAGCTGCTGCTTGTGGTGGTGCTGCTGTCCCTTTCCATTGCGGCCTTCTGCAGTCCTCTTAGCCGCGACCTTGGCGCTGGGGGCCTGCGCAAGGCTGACTCGTAACAGCCCTCCTTGAAGCTCCAGCACGCAATCCTCAACGAAGCGCTACTTCCCGTAAAATAAGAGGACCAGGGGATGCGGGAAAATGTGGGGGCAAGATGGTATAGGAACGAAGCCATCTGCAGCGGGTGCTGTGGAGTCGACAGTTGCTGTTGACCGAGCCAGTTGAGCGTGGCGAGTAGATGGGTTACAATAAAGGGAACAGTGTTCCCCATCTAACCTGGTGGTAGCCCATGTAGAAGCGCTGCCAATCCTTGGGCCCCGCATCTCCATCGTCGTCCTGCAGGTCCTCGGCCGCCTGCTCTTCGGTTAATAATCGCTGTGCGTCAAAACCTTCGAGTGCCGCGCTACTCTTTCCGCATTCTGTATCGCAGCCAGTCGCCGGCTCAGTTCCGCGCGGGTCAGTTGTATTGTGCGTGTCAGTTGTTGCATCGGGGCAGGGTTCCATTACAAGCCGCCGCCGTCCAACCGAGACGCGCTCTGCACAGGTTTGCAAGGCGGCCTGGTCGCTGAAGAAATGGCATGAATAAACCTTAGGGCACTACAATCACGTGGCATGCGTCTGGGCCATCATTATGCTGCAGCTTGCATTTGCCAGTGTGCAATTAACAGGGTTATGGAATTGCCAGACGCCATATTCAGCAAAATATGTTATGGCTATAAACAATTATCGTAGGATGCGCCGGGTACCCCCAAGCGGGGTATTGGGCAAAGCGAAAGTTGGACAGGTCGTTGGCCAACCAACACTGGTTTCATTGGCATCATTTCCGAGGGGATCGTAAGTAGAGCATATGGGGTATGAAACTCGAGGATGAAGGACTAGGTATTCGGTCATGCATTCAAAGCTGGTCTGACTCTGGCTTGCAAGGGTTTTGGACGGTCCACCTTATCTATCGCCGTAAAATAGATTTGGAGAAACACCCTATAATACTGGCACAAATAAACATCTATTAGGCGTGCTCTGGTCCGACCGTTGTTAGGGCACAGACGACGCGATGACGGGGCCCCTGGGAACCCAGGCATTTGGCGGAAGGTCCTGCGTTATTTCGCGCAAAACTCCAAAGCTTGTCATACCAGAGCGCAACGTGGCAAGATCTCAGTCGCGCCAGCGGGTTGTCGTATGCCGGGGTGAGGTATATCCGCTTTCTCGCGGCGCGCGAACTGCGCTCCCACATTACTTTCCTGACTATGCATACATGCGCATATCTCTGCAGCTGTGCGATTTCCAGCGGCGCTGCCTCTCCTGCCCTTCACGGCCAAGGAGGTACTTCCCCCCGGTGAGACCCTGATCATGAGTTTGGGATCGATGCCCAAATGAGCGTTTTCCATCGAGAGCTCCATTTGGCGACTCCTCACAGCCTACCTCCCTTGGGGTGGGAGCCCTCGATCGGGACCAAGGGGATTGGGGGTTGGGAGCCTCCTATGGCCTGTCCGTACCAACCGCTAGCAACGGTTTAGATTCAGCCGCTCACTTCAAGCCGTTCTCAACTTGTCCACACCACGCCCCGAAACCAACTACTCAGATGCCATGCACTCATTACCGCACTCCCTTCACTCTACTGGGGCCCCTCTCCCGCACCCACAGGCAGCTGCAAAGTCCTCCGCCTGTACGACAACAGCGGCTACATGCTGCTGCTTGAGGAGCTGCTCAGCTCACCGCACCAGATGCTCGTACATTCATCAGTGGAACCAACGAACTCGACCTCGAGCGGCGCGAGCGCCACTAGCCGCCTGGGGGCATACGAAGCGGGCGGCTTCGTGTTTTGCCTTTCCACGATTGTGAAGGTTGGTGGCGGCGGCCGGTGTCCCCAAGCTAGCATCAGCTCCCGGGCTGGTGCTAGGGAAAACCTGTCAATAACCGTCACTCATGGATTCGATGCTGCTACCCGGCACAGCAGCGGATGACTCGGTGCTGCTGGTGCAGCGCAACCCTAGGGTTCAGGCTGTGGGCCGTTTCAGGGGATTCCCTTTTCCTACCTCGTTTTTCCACTAGCCCGATGATTTTCGGATGGCATCGCGTTCGTCGCGTTCGATGAACAGCATGGCGAATAGTTTTGCGATGTCTAGTGCCAGCGGGCGGCTCTGCAGAGGGGTCCCGCCGTTCAGACGGGGATGCGACACGTGTGTGTATGCACCCGTGCCGCGGGTCTCAAAGCTTTCACGTGCCGTGAAGCCCACAGCGCTGGCAGCGGCCCCACACAGTCACCGGGTCATCCGGGCCATTGCCGTTGCCGCCAGTGCTCTGCTTCCAACAGTGTTTCCAAATACAGCATGTATGTATGTCATTCCATTCTACATGTACGGGACAACAACTTTTCTTCTGTACATGGCCAACCCAGCTATGTGCATGAGAAGTGATAAGGAGAGTCCTTGCTGTGTGGTCCATATGGTCCGCACCTACATCCCTCCCTTTCAGCGCCCTCCCCCCCCTACAAACACATTCACATACACACGCACGCTGTGTTGAATAACCCCCCTGGCGTTCTCAGATCCCCCCGGGAAGGGAACTTCCCCTCCTCCTCCTCATCCGCGCCCATCTAAACCCTCCACACTGCCGTACCATAATCCCTTCCCAAAACCCATCAGCAGTTGATCTGTTGCTTCCTGGTTCTGATTCCTCCCGTACGGCACCGCCCACTACCACCACCACTACCACCACTACCACCACAACCCGCCCACAACCACTTAGGTGATCGACGTGAAGCAAACGGAGTCCGGAGTGCTGCTCCGTGTGCAGGCGGAGGGCCGAGTGGCGGTTAAGTCGTTGGCGCAGACTCAGCCGTACTTCCGGGCCGTGGTAGTGCCCGTCACCGATGCGGTGGACTTGGACAGATTGCAGGTGGTCCGCCGGGCGCGGGCTGGAGGGGGGGCCTGGAGTAGCTGGAGTGCATGCATGTGTGGGTGTGTGTGAGTGGGGGTGTATGCATGCATGTATGCATGTATGTATGTATGTATGTATGTATGTATGTATGTATGTATGTATGTATGTATGTATGTATGTATGTATGTATGTATGTATGTATGTATGTATGTATGTTACACTCGGTATCACACACCACGAATCCGCGGACGCCATGCGGGGGGGTCTATTGCGGAGCGGAGGGGACCTTGGGGTTGCGCTGCTTGCGCGTACAGAGCTCCCGCTTGAACCAGTAGCTTGTGTCTTCATTGTGTCTCGGTGAATATTGCCATTTCTCTCGCTCCCTCCTCTCGACCCCCTCCTCTCGACCCCTCCAAAGGGGTATTTGTTTTGTTTTGAAAATCTGAGCCGCCCCCCCTCGTCAATGTGTTTGCGTGTTTGTGTGTATATGTGTATGTATGTGCTGCAGGCGCCTCTGTGGCGAGACATCTGCACATCCGTAGAGCGGCTCCGCGCCATGATGAAGGTTCGCACAATGACGGGCGGGCCGCTGTAAATCCACACGGCACAGCAGCTCGCGACCTTTGAAACAACTGTGATAACTGCACCCACCCACACAGTAACGACACCCCCTTCTGGTAAACCCGGTGAAATGCCCCCGGCTCAGGTTCAGGTTCAGGTTCACCTCACAAAGCTCTTTCGTCCGCACCGCTTTTTCGTCCGTGACCTCCTGGCCCTCCCTCACCTCCACTACACTGCCCCATCTTCGCTGATTGCTACTGCGGGGGGGGTAACATGTGATGGTGGTACGGCTGTACGGCTCACCTGCAGGACGTACAGAACCTGGCCGCCAAGTTCAAGGCCCCGGAGACGGCCAACTTGCAGCGCGCCATGCACTGGTGGGTGGGTCGTTGGCGCAAGGTGTCCCCCTACCTGCGGGTATTTGGGTGTCCCCTTACCTGCGGGTTGTTTTTTGGACCGGGACTGAGCCCCTCGGATGGTGGCCGCGGGGAGCCGGGAAGACAAGGGACGTGCGGACCGTTGAGATGTTGAGAGCGGTTGTTGTGTGGTATTCCTTTCAGCTTCCGCAGCTGTAATGTGTGGCGCGCCTCCTAGGCTTCAGTACTGAGGGGAGGGGAGGGGAGGGGAGGGAGGAAGACACCGGCCTCTTGGGGTGCACCCACCGAGCCGGGGGTAGAGCCGGGGCTGTAGGCGCTGGGAATGGCACCCCCCTTCCCTTCCCCCAACACGCAGACACACACACACACACACACACACACACCCCACACACAGTGTCATTACCCATGCCCTTCCACGGCTTGCAACGCAGGGTGGACAACCCCCATCCCCTGGTCTTCTCATCGTCCTCCTTGCTGCTCAACAGCCGTACGGCAGAAGGCCGCGACACCACCACCGCCGGGCCGCTGGGCTCATGTGACGACTTCCAGCCCAGCAAGATCTTGGCTGCTCAGGTATTCCCAGATACGGAAACGCTGTACACGGACTCCGAAACCATTTCCTCGGGATCTGATTCCGAGTATGATGCGCAATACGCCGCTGCCGCGGCAACGGGGGTGGAGCTGCCGCCGCCGCTGCCGCCGCCGCCAGTGCAGCTGCCTGTTGGCTCTGCCGGCGGTGGCCTGGCGGCAGCGGCGGTGCTCGGCGGCGGCTCCGGCAGCATTCTGGGCGGCAGCGTCATTCGTACACGACCCAGTCTACTGGATTTGGAACGCGCTTGCCGTCTGTCGCTGGCAGCCATCCAGGTGCTGCCCCAGGCGACCGAAGAGGTGAGAGCCGTAATGGTGCGGCATTGACACCTGCCTCGGCGCTTCGGTTAGCTGCTTGTCGACTGACCTTGCCCCTCTAGGCCCCTCTAGGCCCCTCTGTTGACGTGGTCCCCGTCGATGTCCGTGTCCGGTGTCTGATCAACCCACACGTCGCAACACCAACAAGCGCTCAGCCCAGTAGAGCGCCCCGGCAACCCTCAAACAGCCGCAACAGCAGCCGCAGCAGCTGCAGCCACATTCACCCGGCGCCACGCACCTACCCACCCGCACTCCCTCCCCCTTCCCCTCTCTCCGATATCTTCCCTTCCTCCGGGACCTCCGGGACCTCCGGGACCTCCGGGACCCGGCCTCAGGAGCGAGAGGACATCCGAAGTCATCAGGCGGCCGCGATGGAGACGCAGGTGGGGTGGGGGAGGCATGAGAGAGCCATAGAATACTATACGAAGAACCGAGTGGAACGGTATACATTGTATTTGTTTATCCTGATTTCTTAGCTCATCTAGCAACGGTTGGGGGGCGGGGGACTGCGGGTGCTCCTAGCGACAGGCGGGGGGGGGTAGTCATCCGCGAAGGCGAAAGCTGTTGTGTGGAGTGAAGGGCCTTTTCCCGCAGAACCGATACTGTTGGGGTTGGGGTTGGGGTGTGTCTCTACCTGCCGGGGGCCAGCTTATCTACCTGCCGGAGGACCTAGGGAGGGTCCGTTAGCCAGGCAACCATTTCCAGCTCCCTTCCCCGTCTGGAGGGAAGGAGCGGAGCCCAGAGCCCAGGCCAATGACAGACTCGCAGGCGCGTTTCATCCCATCTGGGTGTCGAGGACAGCAACGACAGTCCCCACCCCGCCCTGTGTTGGCACCGCCCGCCATGCCACGACGACGACGATGACGACGACGACGACGGCGGGCCTCCCCGGCCACCCTCAGGACGTCCTGGAACGGCTGCAGCTGGCTCAACGCGTTATGGGTGAGGCCCGGGGACTGCTCTCCGCCAAGTGCGCCCTCATGGCGCTGTCTGCGGCGTCGTGAGGGCGAGATGAGGACGGCACGGTGGAGCAGGGGGAGGAGCAGGGGGAGGAGCAGGGGGAGGACGTGGCGTTCGGTGATTGTGACCCCGCCTGACGCCACCACTAGCAGCAGCATGGCAGCAGCGGGCGGCGGCGTGGGTTTACAACCCAACCCCAGCCGTGCGGTGCGGTGTTGGCGAGGGTTGGATGCCTGACGGGCGGGGACGGCGCATGAGTGACCAAGTCTATGTCAAGAGAGAGTGGTGGCATTTGCACGGTCTCAGGCTCAGGTTCGGAAGGTGTGCACTTAAGAGTTAGGTGTCTCATTTTCGGTACATGGGTATTGGCTTCGTTGCGTGGTTGGTCGTTGGGATCGTGATTGGGTCGTAACGGCTCGGGGGCCGCCGTCCTCGCTTTGCTTTTGCTTTTTTTTTCTGTACCATTCGGCTGCCGCGACTGGGGGCCTGACTTCGTCAGTCTATCACAGTATTGAACGGCATGGAAGGTGATGCTTAGGTGGCCCTCGCTTGCCATGGGGGAAGAGTGGGGGAACTCGGGGTATGCTTCGTTGTTTTGGGTTTTGAGGGGCTTACATCTTTTGCCCCGCGCTGGCCTTGGTAAGCAATTTTGGTATGTTTATTTTTCCGGGGCATTAGGGGTTGGGGGGGGAGGGCATAAATTCGTGTTCGTGTTTTGCTTTATTTTTGCTAAAGATTTTTTTTCTCAATATGGCACGTCGCGGGTGCCATCCTGTCCGGTTTCATTGAGACTTCCCAGCGCGGGCCGGCGCGGCCAGTCACCTGCGGAAGCTGTCGATGTTCACGAATGAGAGATTGTTTAGATCACCGCGTGGAAACCGGAGAGTGCATTGCGAGGGGACGCTATGCCGGGTGTCGTTGCTGTGAGAAGGGAAGTTTCATTTCGAGCGGCGTTATTGGTTTTGGAGCTAGTTTTTTGCCTTTGGACGAGCCGTTTTGTCGTTTCGTGGCTTGATATTCCGTTATGGCGGGCTCCTCGGGGGTTTTGGGTCCCCTGAGGGACCTGAGGTACGTGCAGCGGTTTGGGCCGCCCCCGTGTATCATAACAATACTTGTTGTTCTATGTATTGCACGGTATTGAACTTTTGGTGAGCCGCAGGTCCTGCCATCGCCGTAAATGGCTGAGGCAGTCGGCATCAGCAAGAGTTGTCCTCCTTCCTCCGCAAGCGAAGGTAGTTGACAGTCGCACAGGGATTCCACGACACGGGATAGGCAGGCAGACAGACAGACCCTTTCGTGAGGTCCCGTGTACATTCCAGCCCCCATATGGCCACCGCTGTGGGATGGCAGTAGTAAAAAAAATCAGCCCCCATTGGCACTCAATGAAGCGGTGGACTCGGAGGTGTCGCTTGACATACATACAGCCTTCATGGACAACATCGTCAGCTCCCTTTTTAAGTACTTATTAAGTTCTATCTCACGATCGCGCATGCCAGCCTCCGGCCAGTTTACGCACCATCACCCGGGATGTTGTGTACATACTGTCACCCCTGTAACCCATTGTACTGTAAAGCACACAGCCAAGCCTGTACGCGCCAGTAGCGCAGCCGTTACACAATCGTTGCTGCATAGTTCAGTGGAATGCCTGACCGGCTCATTGAGGGCAGTTCCAGTCCAGTCCAGCAACACCAATAAGTCCACAAAATCGCCGAGGAGGACGTGCTGTTCCAAAACACGCTGATAACCCCAAACCAGTCCGGTCCTGTCATGTCCCACAAAGGCCACAACACCACTATCGCCCGAGAGCGGCCCTCAATCGCACGTCAAGGCTCCTGCGGTACAGCAGCCCTCGCAACCCCTGACCCCATGCCTGGCTGACATTATTCGGATCCCCAAGCTGAGCCTTTCCTGTTGGGGAGTACCACGTATAATCACATACCAGTGTGAGCAACGGCTGTTTAGCTCAGCACCAGCCCCATCGTCAGGGCGTCCTTGAGGATGCGAGGATAGCCCTGATGGTCGCCATCGCATTATCGGGCGAACAGGGACCACGAAAGCAAGCAAGCAAAGGACGTAGTCCGCCATCACGAGGGAGCGCAGGCTTCAGAAGACCTGCGGCAGCAGCGGCGAAGCGCCGTCGCTGCAGGAGGGCAGACCCGCGGGTCGCACCTGCGCCCGGCACATGGGGCAGGTGCGGTCGCGCTCGAGCCACTCCAAGATGCACTCTTCGCAAAAGATGTGTCCGCAGTCCAGACGGACGGGCGTGTTCACGGGGTCCTGATTGGAGGTGGAGGACGGGGGAGGGGCGAGGGCGGAAAGAACGCCAAATGCCCCAGAGGGAGGCGGGAAGGAAGGGAAGGAGGAGGGTGCGCGCGAGAGAGCACGTTGCTGCCGGGACACAGAGACGTGAGGTATGCGGAGGAGGGGCTGGAGTTGGCTGGAATGAAGATAAGTGATACCGGAAGCTCTGAGAGAGCGCTTTGCCATCCAATATGCAATCAAGAAAAAATGCGGAGGGAAGCACGTGCCGCATGCGGCATACCCTTTACCCCGCAGGCTCGTCATGCGTGCCGTGCGTTTCACGCCACCCCACCCCACCCTGCTTACAACTACCCCACTCCGCCCCGCCCCGCCCCACATGACACAACACTCACGACAGGAACCCACCCACCCACCTGGCATACGGGGCACGCACTGAAGCCTCCCTCCTCGCCACCGTCCACCCGCCCCATATACGTCCCGTACAGCGCACCCCGCCGTGTGGCGGTCTTCAGCGCCAGCGCAAACAGCCGCGTCTGAGCAAAAACGTAAGATGCCTGCGCGCGGCTCCCGGGGGGTGTGGACGGCGGCTGCTAGGCGGCTAGGAGTACACGCAACCATTACACATCCAATCCTGACGAGTACATACCAGCCAAATGAGTTAGCACCGCAAGAGGTACGCACACAGGGCTGTGGCAACCGCAGCTGTCCCCAGAACAACCCCATGCCCCCAGTACATAGACCCCCCCCGGGCGACGGAGCGTCGGTCGGCTAAGCGATAGCAACAACGCCGAGACGGAAGCGGGGCCGGATACATCGCCCCAGCCCTTGTGTATCGCAACCCCCCGTTTAGCCGTCAAAAACCCTGAAACCCTAAAAACCCTAAAGCCGTCATCACGTCATCATGGAGTCCCCGAGAAGGCCGCCTAGGTTCCTAATCCTGAGTCCCGAGCCCCTTCCAGCCCGCGTACCTTGAGCACCACGTAGAAGCCGCAGAACAGCGACGCTAGGACGGGCGGGAAGCCCCCTCCGTGCAGCAGGTAGCCGTACCTGCTCCACGTGGTGGATGGGGGGGAACGGCGTTGGGGCTGGAGGTGGTTGCTGTCCCCGAAGAGGAAACGCCCCTTTGTGGGACCGATTATGGAGATGTACGTGATTCCTTCCCCCTGCTATTTTGCTCCTCCTCCTCCTCCTACTACTACTACTACTACTACTACTCCTACTCCTACTCCTACTCCTACTACTCCTCCTCCTACTCCTACTCCTACTACTCCTACACCTACTCCTACTCCTACTCCTACTCCTCTCCTACTCCTACTCCTCTCCTCCTACTCCTACTCCTCCTCCTACTACTACTACTACTCCTGAGCCCCTTACCCAACGTCTTCCCACGCATGTCCCTGGTCCCATTCGCGCACCGGACCGCGCCGGCCGGCCACCCATCTCACCACACAGGCCCCGGAAGCACCGTGCGGTACAGAGCGACCGCCCGCTCGACCGCAGTGAGGACCCGCGCCTGCTGCCGTTGCCGCCTCGCGCCGCTGAGATGGCTGCTGCTGCCACCGCTGCCGCCGTCGGCCCCAGCCGCAGCACCCGATCCCCCTGGCCCCCGGCTCCTAAACCACGCCACCACCATGAGCTTCGGAGCCAGGCTCCCGAACCGCAGCACGCTGTCCGCCAGGAGGACCAGAAGAAGCGTGTCCACGGCCTGTGTGAAAACGGCCACGCAGACACACACGGCACAGGACCGGGACGACTCAGTATCGTACGTGCATTTCGTACGTGTAACTCGTACGATCACCCCGTAAGGCCGGAGCGTCGCGGACCACCACACAGACTACGGTGGTGTCTTGCAGCGGATGGATGCAGCGGGTCCAGCCAACGCTCCAGCCGCCCAGCCGCCAGCCGCCCAGCCGCCAGCCGCCCAGCCGCCAGCCGCCCAGCCGACCAGCCGCCGCCCTCCGGCTCCATGGTACCGGTTTTGGAGGCTGGCTTCTCCCAGGCAACACCCTTCCCGGGGAGAGGGATACAGTACTAGGAGGCCATAGGGGGCCCCAAGCCCTCCCCCCGTGCGGCGTGGGTCTCCCCGGTGGGGGTGGTCCTGGCCGAGTCAGGGTCTGCGGTAACTGAAGTCTGCTTCGTAAATGCGTTGGGCCCCCCCCCCTTC